ACCCTAAAACCCTAAAACCCTAAAACCCTAAAACCCTAAAACCCTAAAACCCTAAAACCCTAAAACCCTAAAACCCTAAAACCCTAAAACCCTAATAAACCCTAATAGATCTTATTTTATATAATACATATAAAATACAGGTATTGTATTATGATAATCTATTATATATATTTATAAGATTTTTAGAACATAGCTAAGGATTCTTTATATTATTTTAAATTTAAATATCAAAATTCATTTCTCTTTGACTTCTAATGGTTGAGATATCTTATGTTCAAAAAGGATCTTTTATATAGTATTACCAGCTGGGCCGCCTAACCGTGTGGGCCGTTTAACCGTGGGTTACGTTATAATTATTTAATTAATAGAACAATCTCTCCGGTTCTCCTGGGGTGAAAATTTCCGGATGCCAGAATAGTTAAATTTAAATTAATTATAATAGAATTGCAGTTAACATGGCCTGCCATGATAGGAAGATTATGGTCTATAATTCTAATAATATATTTCCATGTTATATTGAAAATCACCTGAGCTAATATTAAATCTTGCCCAAGCTAAGGCCTAAAATATAATATATAAGTCTTAGTATTGAAAATAGTTTGAATAATTAATTTTCCTACTTTTAGCTGTTCCATGGTTAAATAAAAATTTTCTTTGATCTGACTGTTAACCTGGCAGCAGGTATAAAATTTCTGATTAACCTGACCTGACCTGGCCGTTTGCTACTCTACTGCAGAAATCTAAATAGAATTATATATACAATGCCTCGCCTCTAGTAGATTAGGGTAGTTATTATTACCATGATTATCCCTAATAGGCAAGGTGATACGGGCATGATGCTTCACCTGGTTTACTATACAAAGATGTCTGCTGATGGAGCAACATATACTGCCCTGGATGCAGATGCAAACGTCAAGGCAAATCCGACAGTGAAGAAGGGGGTGGTTAAGTATATCCGCAGCTTTGTGGCCGATTACAAGAGTGGAAAGCGTAGTAGATTTGAGACTTTGAACAACAAAAACCAGGGTATCAATTATTTTATTGATATACAGAGTTGTGGGGAGACTCTGAGCACCCTGATGTCACCGGCTTGCTAGAAGAGAAGGAGAATGGAGAGCCTATAATGTAAAGAGCGAGGAGTTTTTGTTGTCTGTGATAAAATACTGTATTTTATTACCCCGACATGTTTTGTTATTATTACATAAGCGCACAACTAAGTTAACTAAGTTAGATGCTGGTAGTTATCCAAGTAACTTAAATTAGTAACTAAGTAGTTAATAATAGGGGAATTCTAACTATTAATTAGGTATGGCAATATGGCGGCGGCAAATTCCATCCTTCACACACATAACTAGTCCCTTTTTCCCAGGCCCCTTAATCTCGTCTAGTAGGGTGTGTCTATACACGTAGCACTATTGGTTGGGACCTAAATGATCCAATGTTTGATTTCCACTTGCTTTGACTTCCACCTTTTCTCCCATCCTCCCCTCCTCCCCTTCTCTCCTGCCCAGAAAATTGAGTAAAGGGAACAGATTCCTCCGCACACAAACATCATTTATTTCTACTGGCTCAATGAACTCATTCTTCTTCTTCCTGCAGCTGCCTTCGGAAATACGACATGCAATCTGGCGATTGTGCCTCCCGGGCCCTCAGATAGTAGAGTTTGATCGTCCAATCTGTAACAATGAACCCTGCCATGGATGGTGTGGGGTCCATCATCGCTGTCACCTCCGACTTCCGGCCCTTGCAGCTGTGTGCCAGGAGTCACGCCTGCTGGTTCTTCAAGATTATTACAACCCGGAGGCGGACGCCGAGATCCCACGCCCGTACTATCCCGCCGCATACCAGCACGTTCGCTTCCGACCGGGAATCGATATCCTGCATTTCAACTGGGACGAAGGGGATGAAGGCGCATATGATTTCTGGAATGACGAGGACAACGCAATCCCATACTTTTGCGCTGTGGCTCGGAAAGCACTACACAACCCGATCTCCATCACTGACCGACACCTCCGCCAGGATTTCGACGACCCCTTCTTCGCCGGCAGCGTTCGCATTGCCGCACTGGACAAGTATGCAATGCGCGACCACTGGTTGGTTCTAATCCGGACCGTCAGTTTTGACTTCACAGATGACGCTGAAGCGCTGCAATCCGGGTTGTTCGGGGAATTCGAGCTGGACCCTGTGCGCTATGTCGATCCCAATGACTCGGAAACACTGCATCGTTACCATCAGCTCTGGCGGATGCAAAACCCAACTGACATCACCGCCTGCACCACCACTGCTCCTGCCGCTCCCATAGCACCGTGGACCCGAGAGATCCAGCAGGCCGCCGCCGTAGAGTTCTTCGCGCTTCTGGAAGATGGTCACCAGCCACTGCATGACCGACTCGCGCGGTGGAAGGTATACGTTGACCGTCGCTGGGTCTGGAATGTATTTCACCGGATGACTGAAGAGGCCAAGGCCGGGGCCCCGGTCAGCGTTCCGGATCGTGACGTGCTGTTCCTCCCGCCCTACCCTGGCTACGACTGGGAAGATGATGAGGAGACTTACGAATACTTTCGATCGAAATATACACTCAACCGGGGCCATCCTTGGATACAGGCAGTTGTGGACAAAATGCCCGTCTTCCAGCCGATGATTCTCTTCCGCCATCGGATGGGGATCAGTTGCAATGGCCGGTAGACTTTACCTCAGCTAACAGAGCATTTATACGTCTGAGTAGAGGGGGTTTTGAAAGGAAATCCACCGTCCTCCCAAGCTAAAGTTTGCATTGAGCAAACCGTATTATTTATGCAGTGTTATCTGAAATCGAATCTTTAAATATATGACTACTATTTTCCTTCACTACTGCCGATACTCAATCAGGGTTGTACCATACTGCAATCTCTCTGTTATAGAATGACTTTACTACCGTTAGTATTTTTCTTTTCCGAATTATGGTTTGTTCCACTCGCCTTCCACCAGTAATGAGTTAAACTTTCTATTACTCAGCCATTTCTCTGGATCCGGCCAATTGGCGCTTGGAAAACTAGTGACTATTGTATGTATATTTCAACATACATCTAATATGAATGAAGCTATAACACAGATTTAGGGTATACTCCGTTTACTATATTGTGTTTATTACAGGCCTAGACCACTCAAGCTTAACTAGTATGAATCACTAGATCTCCCCTGATCCGAAGCCAGGCTCAGTAAGCCTCGATCCTCCCAATGGATCTACCCTTGCTGACTTTATTCTAGAAGATAGTGCGGGTTATCACAAAGGCGATTGGCTTGATTCATGATTATATGCCCCAATCCCTATTCCTGACTCCACTGGAAGCAGTATACTTCTCCTAGTCTCCTTGCCAAGGCTGTTCCCTTTCCTCGTTCCCCCGGCAGTATTGAATGCTGGATCGACGGATGAAGCCTACATATCTAATTGACTTGGTATACTATATCTCAGTCAGATCCTCATTCTTAGCCTTCCTACTCGGTATTTTAGTATGCAAACCATCCACAGCAGTATCTGCAGATATTTTTGAGCTACCTAGAATACCTTTCTGTCTATTGTGCTTGCTTTCCCATACCCCAATTCCCCGCCGACCTCTATATACGGAGATGCTCGTACTTTCCTGGTTCAACACTAGTATTCTAATATATGAATTTCTATATATTATTATTAGCAGTCAGGAAATCCTTCCTCTAGATTGCAATAAAATATGTAATAGAGGGCTATAATAAAGTAGTGATATTCATGGAGATGAATTTATATCAGAGTACTAGTCCTTTCATAATTTTACTTCTGTAGCGGTTTACTTTTAAGTGAAGATATAACTTTGTAATCATATCTTTTCACGTCATGAATTACTGGATTTAGAGGTATTTAGCTGACCTTACGGTTCCTTTGAAGCACGTCAGCGAGCTGTGTAGGGCTAATGGTTTATGCTCTAGCCAGGTTCTTGATCTGTTTACTGCAAAATATTAAATCTGATAAACTAATCCGAGTACCTTGGCGCCCCAGAATCTACTATAATAAAAGATTTTATTCTGGAAATAAAATGATATTGACAAAAGGAACTAATCCAGACCTAGAATATTTTTGACTTCTGGAAAAATCAAGTAATACCGATTTATAGTTCCAAATTATATAGGATAAGATAGTGGCTATATCTGACTGTTATATCTTACCTGTAACCTGACCGTTAACCGGCAATCAGGTTAAGTTAGAGATTTCTATAACTATCAGGTATAATAATAAAAAAAAAATATGTTAACTACAGTTAACTGTTTAACCTGATCAGGCAGAAATCAGGTAAAATCGGATATTTATCTAGCTAAATCAGGCTAGCTTAGATATGAATCTATTTACTACTCCGTACTGTTTTCCTACTAGATTAGTTAAATAGATCTAGATTAACTGTAGAGTTAATAATCAGGTATATATATTTTTATTAACCTGTCCGTTAACCTGACAGCAGGTAGAAATTTTCTGATTAACCTGACCTGACCTGGCTGTTTGCCACTCTAGTAAAATTTCAACTTTGATGCAATATTTATATATACTACTTAAGAAGATAATAATAATAAAATCTTTGGGTTCTTTTCAAAAATTTGACTAATCAGAGCTTTTGGGTATCTGGTATTCTGATAGTCTTCTACAGCAATGCTTTTACCCCTCTGGGATAGACATCATGTGAAAATATTATATCCTGAAAATTAATACTATTACATCCCATGCCAAAAAGTCGGCCTTATATAAACTGCAGGAATCCTGATGCCATCACACATGCGATGTACCAACCCCAGTGGAGTAGGGCAAACTATACCTTTCTCATTCCCCTACGGGCTGCCTATTCAACAAAGCCTTTTGCCCCCTCCACTTCGGAATCTGGGACGGAATCCGGGACGGCAAGCCGTCCACACCTCAGCCCCAGTTAGGATCCGCAGTTCTCCTCCCCGATGGGAGCAGCGGCTTTCCGTAGAGTGTCAATGAGTATTAAGTCCGCAGTGTCTCAGCGGTCTGCCCATGTCTCGTCGTCTCCATTCTTGGATGCAGACAACATGCTTTCCAAGGTACTGACATATCTTGCGCTCGCGGTAGGGTTAGTTGCGAACCCGGTTATGACATTGGTTGAGAGAAGCCCGTCAAGCAACACATCATGCAACCGTGAATGTCTGGAAAACATGATAACTAAAGTCCTAGATTCAATGGTGGCGCACGATCCATTCATACTCCCATTGGCAGAAGTTTACAAGGCAACTGAAAATGCACACCCGGCAGCCCTCAACATGATGACCCTCTGGCGCACTGTCACGAAAGTCAGCTCACCAAGCCTACTGGCCATCGACATCACACAAGGCCAGGCGTACTTTACAGTACCTATTACTGAAGGAAATGCCACAATTCAAAATATCCTCTGGGGCCGCATCAAAGTATCTTCGCAATTAATTAGCGAGTTCGAGCTATTCGTCAATCGCGGCAAAGGCGAGGACGGGTTCGCCTTCGACGTTGAGAATTTGGCCCATAACTTCAAGCGGTGGCAGAGCCCGCCCACAAATCGGACAAAAGCAACCCGCGATCAGCTGGCGCGCCTGGCTGCCTCGAGCTTTAACGCAAATGACAACTTCACGGTAAATATGGCCTCGGACTGCCAGTTCACTGAGATGGGCTGGGTGGTAAAAAATGCTGCGTGTAACTGGATGTCGGATCGACCTACTGATTTGAATGCCCGGACTGTGGTCATCGATGAGGAACTGGGAATTGTTGTCACGGCGGGCGTGGTTCCGGGTAAGGTATACCCCTACGCCACTTTCTCCGCGTTTATCCCGGATTCGATGAAGTCTTCGCAGGCGACGCAGGATACGTGGTACTCCATCCAAAGTTCGGAGGGGTATATATATCTGATTGAACCGATGGCGACCCTGGCGACTAGTTTCAATGTTTTCCAGTATTACAATGATCAGCTTCAAGGCGAGCAATTTTTGGTTTACCTTACTAGCCCGCGGAATGGAACTGGCTGGGCATAGTGACCATTTGGATTGTGAGATGAGATTTCGGAGGTCGTGATATTCAGGCTATCCATGAGTCCTCTTTTGGATGAGGCTATGTAGCATGTGTTTTCTTCGCTTCTGGCCCTCTCGGTATTACCAATGGATTCCGTCAGTTTTATATTTAACGGGAATTTTCCGGATTCCTATCCTGTATCAAGGCCCGAACGCTATAACGATTGGGGGGGTCCGCTCAATTTACCGTTAGTGAGATAGCGAGCTTCCAGTCTGCGGAATATATTGATAGCTCTGTACTGCTCTACGTCCATACTAACGGCTGAGATAGCGGAAAATCTTTCATATGGGACGATAGACCGGAGGGGTAAAATAATTCGGATAGGGGAACATCAAACATGATATATCCACTTTATTGTCATCTTCAACAAAAGAAGCTAGACTAGTAGGATTGTTTAATCTGGAAAACAAAGGCGTATCAGAGGAGTTGAGATAGTCTTAATCCATCGGGTTGGTAAATGGCACAGCAATAAGTGCTCCATATGATAAAGTCCCCTCATAACCAAGCAGATGTCATATTGGGACCGGCAAGAAAGACATTTAGCTGAAGGGCTTGAAGCTCATCGTTGTAATACTGGACAACCTCCATATTTTCACCGGTAGCCTCAGCAGGGGACAGCAGCGATACGTTCCCATGTCCCTTTACTGTGTCAATCCAGACCTCCTGGGCGTTCTGCTGCGTGTGCATGGAATCCGGGATAAAAGTAGAAATATTACCGTAGTACGGATAGACTTTACCCTGGACCATGCCGCTAGAGACGACGAATCCTAATTCCTCGTCGACAACGAGATTTGCTCTTGCATCGGGATCATACGGCCTTGTCGAATCCCAACTACACCCGAGCGGATCGGTGGAGCCGTTCCCGTAGGTCCCAGTATCGACAACCTTCCATCCTACCTCGGTGAACTGGCAGTTATTACTCACAGTAGCCGTGAAATTGGCAGATGGGTTCCAAAGTGCCTTCCCCAGAGCCTCCAATGTTGCTCGACTTGCTTGTTTTCGTCCGGCCGGCGGTGACATAAGTGTCTTGTAGTTGGCATCAAGCTCCTCAACTGAGAAAGCGAAGCCATCGTCACCACGGGAGCGGTTGATAAATAGCTCCAGTTCGGCAACAAGCCAATCAACCACCTGGATTCGACCGCGGAGAATTGATCTGGATCTATTTCCTTCACTGATGGCTGAGATAAAGTATACTGAATTCTGCACAGTGTCGATCGCAAGCATGGCAGGTGCTTCAACCTTGGTGATAGTTCGCCACGCTGTCATCATGGCAGGTGAAGAGGGGTGCGAGTTCTCAGTTGCTTTATAGATAGTTGCTAGTGGTAGGATATTCGGGTCCTGGAGCCTGATAGATTCTAACACCTGATTCATAACGCTCGACAGGTGCTTCCGGGAGCTGCTGGTGTTCGACTCGTTGGAGGCAGCGACCACGGGCAGCGCGAGGGTGAGACATGTGATAATGGCCCAAAGGCCTGATGGAAAATGCATTTTTGAGTTACTGTCAAAGGAACCTTCGATCAATCAAAGTTTGATAGACGTGAGATGGCAAAACCACAATCCGACGACTATTTATCTTGTCCAAGCTACCCGGTCCGCTCGTCATTGCTCCCAGCCTCTCCACTTTGACTGATCACAATTAAAGTGAGGTTTGTATGTTGAGTACCGACAATATGCAGAAGGATTAGCGTGGGTCTCTTGGTGCTCCAATATGCACCCCATATTGGGCCTTTTTCCCCACCGGAACGCCCTTCGGTGTAGCGAAGCTTCAAGTCTGGACGCACAGGACAAAAGGGGTCCCCCACATTTCCGATGTCTTTGCAATGGCACAGTGCAATGATTTCGGTAAAATGCGGGGTTTTGGGATGGATACTTGACTAAACCCCGCCGGCGATAGGGAATATACTCTCTGGAAGCTCTTAACATTTATGTGTGGCTTAATGGCTGTGCACCGTTCGTGACAAACCTGGTATACTGCCTCACATCATCACGCCCCTCACTCACTATATTCATACTGCCACAATCCCAGGCAGCATCGCCATCGGAACGAGAACAGGCCCGAACAGCCTTGGCTAGATTCCAATATACTTACAGGCCTCCTTCCACTCGTACACTTCGTGTTGTCTTATAGCTGAGCGGTCTCAGTTGATTATGTTAGACAGGAAACCCCCCATTTGTTCTCACAGAGAAGCCCAATGAAGCTTAGCACTTTCAGGCATTAGAAAATATGTAATGAAAAGGGACCTGAGTAGAGATTTGTCCTTTTGCCGGTTGGGATCCGGGGTTAGTCAAACAAACAAAGTAGCCTGCGCCAAGGGTTTGGTACTTGGCTCTAGCCAAGTCCTGTGTCCAATCGGAGATAGCAATCCCGCTTACTTTGATATCTTCACTTTTCATTCGATTAACGGAAAGCTCCCCCACGTCCTTTGGTCCTGAGCCCGAGAGGTGGACTAGCGGTCTGTGTGCTGGCCAGACTGTCCCCGGATTGCCGGTCAGTAACCCACAACCTGCTGGCCAGTTTAGGGGGCCTCAGGTAGACAATCACCCCCAGCCATGACCGGAGAGGACAATGACGACTAGTCAATGTATATTGCTTATTAGGATGGCCCCATTCATGGCTTGCCTTGCAAAGAGTATCTCGTCGATATCGTCGCCATGGATTCTGCTACCACAGACACTCACACTCACAAGCTGGGCACCTTACGCCTTCGCCATCATGAGACGAACGAGGTCATTCTGATCCCAAATCCTACAGCGGATCCCAATGACCCCTTGAATTGGTCAAGCAAACATCGGTATTTCCTGGCCGTTGTTGCTTGCTTGGCCGTGTTCTTCTGCAATTTTTTGGCGGCTGGGCCTTCAGTGGCCATCTCTGAAACGACTATCGACTTCCTCGGCCCTATGGGACCCGACTTCTCCAGTCATGTATCCCAAGTGTCCTACTTTTTTACTTCCGCTGCTCTCTGCCAGGGTGTTGGGATGCTATTCTGGATGCCGCTTATTGTGAAGTATGGTCGGCGGCCAATTTACGTCCTCTCATTTCTTGTGTATTTCGGGACGGCATTATGGTGTGGCTTTGCGCGATCCTACGCTGTCGAGCTGACTGGTCGAATCGTTCTGGGCCTGGCAGCAGGTGCTGGGGAGTGCCTTGGGCCACTTACTATCGCAGATATCTTCTTCGTCCATGAGCGAGGGACCGTCATGGCGATATACACTGCAGCCCTGTCCATGGGAGTTGCAGGTGGTATCATCATTGACGGTCTTATTACCATTCACTACCACTGGCGGGTTATCTACTATGTCGCGACAGCACTTCTGGGAGCAGTGCTGATCTTAGTGATTTTTACATTTCCGGAGACAACTTACGACCGGAGCGCGACCGACTATCCTTTCGTAATCGATGTCGACGCTGAAAAGACCCGTGCAGAAACGATGACTGTCGAGGATGCCGGATCACACATGAGAAGGCCCCCACCCAAAGAGAGCTATATCAGTTCGATCAAATTGTTTCACGGCACATACACCAAAGAGTCTCTTTTTCGGGTCTTTCTTAGGCCTGTCATCTTGATCATTCTTCCGCCTGTGCTCTGGTCCACTCTGGTGTCTTCTGTCACCGTTGGCTTCCTTGTTGCGATTACCTCCAATTATTCCACGGCATTTTCGACATACTATGGCTTCGAAGCATGGCAATCAGGTCTTTGCTTCGTTTCGTCCTTAATTGGATCCCTAATTGGCATTATGTGCGGCGGTCATCTGTCTGACTGGACTGCTGATTGGTTTACTCGTCGAAATGGCGGCATTCGAGAACCTGAAATGCGGCTTCCTGCTATTGCCATCGGTGGTGTCTGCGCGCCAGTTTCTTTAATTCTATATGGGGTTGGCATTCAAAATGAGTGCCACTGGATTGTGCCAGTCCTTGGACTTGGCCTTCTAAACTTTGCGATAGTGCAGGCCACAAACGTCTCCATGGTGTACTGCATTGACTGCTACAGACCGGCTGTTGGCGAGGTCAGCGTATCTATCCTGGCATTCAAAGGTGAGCCTCCACTTAGTCTTCGGGCCAGTAATACAGAAACATTACTGATGATCTTTAGCTGGGTTTGGGTTTCTGCTCTCGTTCTACACAAACCCTTGGATAGATCAGGATGGCTATGCAATCGCTTTCGGAGAGATGGCAGCGATTTCCGGTATCATTATTTTGCTCGTCATTCCTTTCTATTTCTGGGGAAAGCATATCCGCCACAGTACCTGGCAATGGTCGATCATGTGCAAGTATGGCCACTGGAGCTCCGATCGTGAGGTTGGCGAGTAGTTCGGGTAACTGTGGTCGGATCATCCTTTACTTTTTCCAGTGTCTTCGATCGCTTGGTAGGATTGCAAATACACAGAATGCTGGATTCATCATTCTCAGCTGATGCGGAGAATATCTTCTGGGAAATATTAAACACTCTTTTCGCCCCAAGGAATGAATGTATTCTTATTGGCTAGCGGATAAACCTTGACAGTAATATGTATAGATGATCTCTCAGGCTCTTGTCCTCAACCGCCTCTCATGTTCAATGTTGCGTATCAGAATGCAAAAGAATGTAAAAAAGACCGAGAGAGGAAGTTAACTAAGACGAAGTTAAGACTGGGTATTCATCACACACCGTGGAAGGCAAGACATACAGCCAGTCCAATTACACTTGTTTCACACTCCTTAACGATCGACCTGCCGTCCGGCTTCCCGTTCCTTGACATGCTCGGTTCCCTGTCTCCCCTCCTAGAATCATGGAGGCCACCTCGTGGACCGCATCGGATTTACTGACCGTGATATTATCGCGAGTTCCCCGCCGGCACCGGTTGCTGAGGAATATTCTCCAAAGCTGTACTTCCTGCCGGAGTGGGGGGACACAGTGAAGAGCTGTGGCCGTCTACGATTTATATGAGAACACATCTCGCAAATATAGTACGCCACTTCGAAATCTTCTGGAGACAGTCCGTTTACTATGACAGATCCAATCCTCTCCTTGGTGCTCTTTGCATCACTTGCTCTGGCGTCTATACTTGTTCAGGATCCAAGTGATATCGTTCCCCCTCAAGAGTGGGCGGACGACAACGCATATATTTTCGACTGGCATACAACCGGAGAAGCTTACCAAACCATCCCAGTCACTGGTCCCTATACCTACAGTCACCAGAAAGGATCTATCAGTCATCAGTCACTAGAAGCCACAGCAAATGACACAAGTGTTGTTGTCATAACGAATCGGTCTGACATCACTATTACTCATAGCGCTATCACGAAGTTCGGCTATTCTTCCGCTCTCAATCAAGCCAGCTTCTATGGTAAGCGATCTCCAGTGTCTCTCGGCCTTTCTGAACGTTGACTCATTAAATCTCACAGGCGTCAACGCAGCTGTCCATAATGCAAACAATTCCACACTACGACTCTCTACTGTCAACGTTACTACACATAATGGCGCAGCAAATGTCTATACATATGGCACAGGGAGCGTAACCTACGCCAAAAATACCTGGCTCTACAGTTCTGGCCCTGTTTCTCATGGGTTTTACGCAGCTGGCAATGGCACCGTTTATGCCAAAGACGTCCAAGTTTATTCCGGGGGCACTAGGTGCTCAGCTTTCAGCGGAGACTATCCAGCCGGGTACATCCACGTTGAAAACGCAATCGTCCGCACAGAAGGAGTCGGCTCCGCCATATGCTTCCTACAGGGACTGTGCAACATGACAAACGTTGTCGGCTATGCTGCCAAATCGCCCGCCATGATCAGCGACGGCGCACTATCCGATGTCACGGGCATCTTGAAAAACTCTGATCTGACAGCTGGACTGTTAGGTGGTATTGTCATGATATCTGATTCGACTATCAGAAATGGCACGAGTGTTATTCTCGACAATACTCGCTTGACTGTCCTGGGCGATGGCAATCCGGGGTTGTGGTTTGGAAATATCATAGCCACAGTTGACCTCATCGCGACGTGCATTAATACTACATCAGGAATTTTCGCGGTTTCGAACTACTCGTATCTGACTCAGGATTTTGATTATTATGCCGGCTTTGAAGAAAATAACAACTTATCCCCTGCACAGGCAACTATCAATGTTAGGGAATCAACTATTTCGGGTGAGCTTGTTGCATACAACAAGTCATCAATTATCTTGAACCTGGCGCGTTATTCCCACTGGACTGGCATGGCGAAGGTGGGATATGGAGACGCTTATTTGTCCGTGTCTCTGGACGATACATCGACATGGAGCTTGACTGGGAATTCAGTCCTTCAAAGCTTTACCAGCTCCAATGGTACGCTCAGCAATATCTTTAGCAATGGATTCGATATTGTGTATGACTCGGGTTCATTAGGCAATGATGTTTGGAGGGGAAAAACATACGAACTTCAGGGTGGAGGGAAGCTCCGATCATCATGATCGGACGATTAAGTGTACATTATCGAAAAGGTGAATCATGGTAGTTGTTAGTGCGTGAAAAGGACATTTTTTAAATTTCTGGTGCGGTTTATCCAAACCGGTTTACGTGCGTGCTCCTAAGACTTTACTCAGCACCGCGGCCAGTGTCTTCGAGTGTCCTGCACTAGATGCCTTGCCTCGCCAGGCGATTAACCCGTCAGGTCGAACCAGTATAGCCTCTCCATGATCCATACTGCAAAGCTTCTTGAATTGACCGCCTGGGTCGGCGATTGCGTCGGAGCTTTGCGACAGTTCAAACGCATCAACGGTCACAGCCTGCGCGGCAGCTGCCGGAAGCCACGGTGAGGAAGGGTCCGCGGTTAACAAGACGAAATTGACACGGACGAGGTCATGCGATGAGATGACTTTGTCATTCCTTGTATGATCAATTAGTTTGATATGAGGAAGACGTGCGCCAGCCACAGCATTGGGTTTGTGAGGATTATTCCATGGCTTCGAAGTTCCCTTATCCACCACGCTGCTGTAGTCAAAAGCCCCATTTCGGTAGCAATACCCTAGTTCGCAGACGTCATCTGGGAGCTCCTCGTCGTGGACAATAGATTTGTCCTCCAGGACTCGATTGACGAGACGGGAGAATGCCTGCTGCATCATGCTTTCTGCAGCGGGTTGGCGTTCGATGGTGTATGTCTTCAGCAGCGAAACATCTGCCAGTCCTTTGAGCACGTACGCAAGCTTCCACGCAAGGTTATAGGCGTCCTGTATGCCCGTGTTTCCGCCCATGCCTCCTGTCGGAGGCATAATGTGAGCTGCATCTCCAGCAAGAAAGACACGCCCCTTTTGACTCGAGTATTGACTGCAATTAAGAGCAGCCACACTCCAGTAAGACACATAATCAATATCGAGGGTAACATCTTCCTCTATTCCAGATGCCGCAAAAAAGGCATCTCTCGCATCCTGCTCTGTGACGGAGTCCGGCTCGAAGTCGTGTCTATCACGCAGCCGAGTCACGATTAAAAAGCCACTCTTGCCTCCATCTTCCAGACGAAATCCTCCACTGACGTCCTTGTTGATCACATATGTCACTCCATGCACTGCTCGTGAACCCAAATAATCAGCGAGATCTGCACGAAAGTTAATGGAAATATTGTTGCCGAATGTTCCTGGCCCTGTCCACTCGATGGCTTCTTTGCGACGTGTGGGGCTACGATTCCCATCACAAGCGACCAAATATTGAGTCTTGTACTTAGAGTATTTCCCCGTTGCGAGGTCCTGCACAACAACAATCACACCGTCATCATGTTCATCGTAATGCACGACCCTTGTCGAGAAGACTTGCTTCGCGCCGAACCTATGGGCTCCACTCCGGAGCAGAGGTTCAAACATGTTTTGGGTGAGCCATATTCGCTTGCAGGGCGTGATCTTGGCCGTCTGTTCCGGATCTGCCTCCTGCATTCTGGCAATGACTTTGCCGCCGATTAGCCGTTCCACAAGAAGCATCCCTGCATCGAGATCAAAATTGGATTTGCTGGCGCGAACCATGTCCTCTTCTAGCCCAAGTTGTCGGAAGATCTCCATTGTGCGGAGGAGGAAGAGGGCCGCGCGAGGGTGCGTTGCCGTTGAGGGGTGTCGGTCGAAGGCCACTGATTCTATACTACGAACGAGTTAGATAAAGGAATGGGCACAGGCGGATGAAAGGAGGAAGCATACCCCCAATACCCCAGTAGAATCCCTAGTGTCATTCCCACCATGCTTGATCCGATGATAACGACCGGCCATTGTTCGCCTTCTAGGGGAATGGCTGAATGGTCAAAGTCGGAAAAGTCAAACTCTGTTCTTTGTGGTCCCCGAAGGACTGTTTCGTCAGTTTGAGTGAATTTAGGAGACATTGTGAGTGTTCGTGCAGTGACTCCGTCGGAATTCGTCAATCTTGTCGAGCAGTTCAATTTGATGAATATTAATACCTCGGCCGAGGGTATATATTCCTGGCGAATTCGTATCCCGCCAGTAAATCAATGTACATATTGCTCCATGTTCATGGAGCCGGATCTGAAGCTCTGGGAGATGAATGGCGCTCGATATGGTGGAGAAGATGGTGTGCCTCGCAGCCGGGATGCCGCTGACTTTCGGGATGCCGTTAAACGTGGAGCCGAGCAAAGCAGGCAGCGGAAGGGAAAACCACCCGTCCCTCCGCATGATCGATTACAGGAATTTTCCATCATCTCACCCCTTTCCATCAAACACAGTATTAGCCTTCCTGCGCAGGATGCCTCTAATTCCCAAGATCTACGGATCAATATCCTCTACATGTACCCAGCGGGTGCTCATAGTTCTGGAGGAGCTAGGAATTGACTATGAACTGATTTCGATCAACATGCGTGCTGGTGTGCATAAGGTTCGTCTCTAGGTCAACTTAACAGATTACTGAAGCATATCTAACTATAACAAGAGCCCCTCGTATCTATCCGAGCACAATCCTTTCGGCGTCATCCCAGCATACCAAGACACGGATACTAAGATATTCGAATCACGCGCTATCTGTCAATATCTCACGGTCAAACACGGCGGACATCTAACCCCGCCATCTGACCCTGTGCAAGTTGCCGGGTTCTACCAGGCAGCAAGTGTCGAGTACTCGTACTTTGATCCACCGTTCAAGCAGTTGGCCTATGAGAGCCTATTCAAGAGGTTTGTTGAGTCTGAGTTCACCTGGCATAATCGGCCTAATTCAGAGTGGGTAGTATAATGGGCAACGGCGAGCCCGACGCCAGTCTCGTTTCTATTTACCAGGACCAGATACGGAAGTGTCTAGATTACTACGAAAGTATCTTGGACAAGCAGGATTACTTGGGAGGAACAGTATGTTGGTACCGATACACGCGGACTCTGGAGTCGCTAATATTCTTGTCTAGACATTTTCCCTGGTAGATAGCTATCATATGCCGTGGATTGCTTTCATGGCCGTACTTGGATTGTCTGCTGAGTTAGAGTCAAGGAAGCATTTGCGGGCTTGGTGGGAGAGGGTCGAGGCGCGTCGTTCATGGAGAAGCGTTTCTGGTAGATCATAAATATACGCCTAGCTTTTGGACGCCTTTTGACCATATGATCAAAGAATGTCGGTGTTCCGATTAGCTCAAAAAGTTGACTGAATATATTTTCGAAGTTTTACTTGCGTATTCTTGTAGTCCAGTAAGCTATGCAAAAAAATTCTACACCCCGTGTGCACGGAGGACTACTTCTTAAGCTTCATGATACTTTTAGTGGCCTTGGCGCCGGATGCCCTGGATCACAAAAGCAGGGCCTACAAATAGATGATGTTTAGGTCACGCAAATTAGAATAAAAGCGAATAAGATAAAAATAATAGAATAGGACAGAATAAGAATAAAGAAGGCAAGCCTCGACTTCATGACTTTTAGACCCTCACCGTGGCCTATATTTGCCTGACGAAAGCCTTAATCCTGATGTGGAGCCGGTCATCTCGAACAGAGCTTTTCTACTCCGCGCGAGCAGCGGCATGCCGGGCGCGCGCTACGGTGGATCAACTATGTAACCCACGTTTCAAACAGAGCCACAACTTCCTTATATTGATCATCATCCGATGTTAAGACACTGTCGCTTATGGGAAGGATCCTATATCAGGGCTTTTGTTATCCATCCCACCATATCCCCATCAAGATGAAACCCTACTCGGTTCTCTACTTCATTGTGACGGCCGCGGCCGCAATCACCATCAGTGACCCTGGGGACGTTATACCTGAGTCTCAATGGGAATCTGACAACGCAATCCTTGCCGATTACAACGTAAGCACCGAGGCAGTGCAGAGAATTGCCCAAGTCGGTCCCTACATGGTACGTGGGCAGCAAAAGCGATTTGACCATACCACTCTGGCTGTCGTTGGCAACGACACCAGCGTCCTGGTCGCGACAGAGCACGCCAATGTGTATGTCGACCACACGGAGGTTGTGAAGTTCGGCTACTCCAGCAACCTCATCCAGGCTAGCTTTTACGGCGTGAACTCAGCCGTGCTCGTCGCAAACAATAGCCAGCTGCATTTGACGGACGTGAACATCACAACACACAATGGTGCGGCAAATATTTACGCTTACGGCACCAATTCCGTAGCCTATGTTGATAACTCCTGGCTGTATAGTTCGGGGCCAACAGCGCATGGGTTGTATGCTGCCGGCAATGGAACAATTCGCGCGAAGAATGTGCGCCATTTCAGCGGTGGGAACCGCTGCTCTTCGTTTTCCGGGGATACCCCGGCTGGGTACCTCTATGTAGAGGACTCGATCGCTCATACTACCGGAATTGGATCGGCTATTGTCTTTGCGGTTAAACATGCGAATCTCACCAATGTAATCGGGTATGCTGAGCAGTCTCCCGCCTTCTTTACTATCGGTGAAGGCCATGCCGTCGCTAGGGACTGCGATCTCACTGCTGGGCTTTTGGGCGGGGCAGTCATATTCAGCATCTCCAAGGATACGCAGGCATATCCATTTCAATTTACTCTGGAGAACACGAAATTGAAGGTTCTAGGAGACGCACCGGGACTCTGGTACGGCACGGTCTATGCCGACAGCTACATCCGCAACAGTCAGATTATAACCGAGTCAGGAATCCTTGCGGTGGCTAATTTTTCAACCATCACTGAGGCTTTCAACTTCTACTCTGACTATGCAACTTCCGGGGATATAGTTGCTACCGCTGATAGTCGCATTTATGCCGAAGAAAGTACTCTGGAAGGCGATCTAGTCGCATACAATCGAAGCACACTGGGATTCTCCCTAGAACGACACTCGCACTGGAGAGGACGAGCCTACGTCGGATATGGTGAAGCGGAGCTAGCCGTATATCTCGATAAGACAAGCAGTTGGAATGTTACAGGGAACACTGCGCTGAAGAACTTGACCAACGCCGATATGTCGTTTTCAAATGTGAACAGCAACGGCTTCTCTGTCACATATGACGCCGATTCTCCCGCTAACAAGCCGCTGGCAAGACGGACTTTTAACCTCACCGGGGGAGGCACTGTTTCGCCAGCCTAGCCAGTTTGAATATTGGTAGAGGCCTGATGTGGATGGATGAGAAATACATCAGTGGTTGAACAGATAGGACGTTTGCCATATACATGTCTCATCCCTGAAAGGAGGTAGCGGCGATGGATTACATATCGAACTGGAGCAAGAGCGACATGTATATATAATCATGAAATCCATTTTCTGCATTTTTACTGGAAGTATGTGAGCGCAAACGCTACTGCTGGCGGGACAGTGGGGTACAGTAGCCCAGTAGCTAGCCTAGCAGCCGGGAAGTTGCAGTTCCATCCCCACATCTCCGATGAGGGGGCAAGAGTGCATGGATCATTCATCAAATGTTGTGAAAATCGTTGCCAAATTTCCATGCTCTCAATTTGTTGCAAATGTTATTGTTATGGATAGAGGGCCAGTAATCGGCGATATCTCACGATTAGTTGTGGCCTATCTGTTCTGCGCCTAAGGTACAGGGTTACTGGTGCTCCAAGTAAGACTTACTATCCCTGTGTCGGATACACTCGAGCAACTTAGTACTTGCTGAATACACCCTTCCTGAAAGATCATGTCGAGCACTAGCGTGGTGACCAAAACTAAAGTCTGTTTGTCGTCAGGGCCACGTACGGCCATGCAGGACCCCGCAATCTTACCCAATTTGTAGCTTGAAGCTTTCCCCGGACTATCCTTATATAATACTAATTAGTAGTAGTACTAGTAACCCCGCCCCCCCAACAAATGTCCAGCTCTATTATCCACCTTTCAACATTCATCTCCAAGTCTGCAATGAATAGACCTCCCCGGCTTCGTCGTCGGGGCCCGCGTGCCTCCCAAGCCTGTGAGGGCTGCGCGACAGCCAAAGCTCGATGCGATAATAACGAGATTTGCCAGCGCTGCCACCGGCGACAGATGTTTTGCGTTCGACCCTGGACTCTGGCAGAAGAAGAAATCCAAATCCCTGGAAATGCCGCTTACCCCCAAGCAGACAACAATGTCGCAAATTCCTGTTCCGGCGTTGCACATCAGACTTCCATCCAGACACCGGAAGCCAATATAGAGCCGGACGTGCCTAGTGTGAGATCCGACTTAGGTACGGTCAGCATTTGCCCTCCCAAATATACAATTGGTCTCTTGGGATGTTCTCTAAGCATAAAATTAGCTATCGGTCACCTCGGCGGACTGAATGATGTAGCTGAACTTCTGGTTGAGGGCTCACCGCAGCACCCGCAGATTCTACAGAGTTCGGCCGATACTCTTGGCATCGCTTCCCCTATCTTCCCAGCCGCAAATTTAGATTTGTCGATGTTTGCATCCGACCTTCCCCTTTCACAGACATTCAAGAGCCAGAGTGAATCCCCCAAGGTGCTAGAGGCCTTCGAAAAAACAGTGGGGCGATGGGATCCGGACTCAGAATATCACCGTGCTGCTGAGGAAGGCAATATGTTTCTCGAACCAGGATCCAGTTGCATAGAAGGTCACCTGCCATACCCTTCCACTCGCATATCTGACGATATAGTCTCATCCGAGACACGTGATCGAGTTTTGGCCATGATACTGCATACCTGTGAGCCAGCGAATGTAAGCAAAGTGCTCTCCGCCTTTCCAGCAGCCAATGTGCTTGATCGGCTCCTGCATCACTTTTACGCGGCTCATGCAACCGAAGATGATAGCTGGATTCATATCCCTACACTACGCTCAAGTGAGATGCCGTCAGAGCTTCTGGGTGCTTGTATCACGTCGGCGGCTATGAGGTCGTCCAGTCCGGCTGTTCGCCGGTTCGGAACTGCCCTGCACGGTGTTCTTCATCCATATCTATTTCAGATTGTAAGACTGGCAGCTTCACGGCTTCTTATATTCAGGGAAGGAATAACCAAGTGAAATAGTTCGAGAAACGGATAGCACAAACCCGCTGCTTGCAGCAAATCCAGGCGCTGTCCCTGTATGTTCAAACAGGGCTATGGAGTGGCAATAAACGCAGGATGGAGATTGCCGCGGCTATTGTAGGATCGGCTGTCACCGTGAGCATATGAGCCAGAATATTCCACTGTATACTTTCTAACGCTCATGGAGATGCTCCGAAGCGGCCGTCGTTACCGTGCTTCGACCTACAGTAGTGTGGTTCCAGATCCAGCAGATCCTGACGATGTACTTGAGAAAAAATGGCATAATTGGGTTGAGCAGGAATCCTGGAAAAGGTAGGTCCCGTTGTCATCAAGTCATAGTGTCCCCTTAGTCTAATGTGTGAATATACCGGCTAGATTGGTGTTCCACATGCATATTCATTGCTCGCAAGAATCCTTGGTCGACGGAAGTAGAACTCCTGTCTCCTACGCCGAGCTATGTCTCTCCTTTCCCCAAAGCAGGCAGCTGTGGACAGCAAAGTCCGCAGCGCAATGGCTCAGAGCATATACACAGCTGCAGAGCTTCGAGAAGACATCGCAAGAGCCAGGCCTGCGGGAGTATCTCGCCAACCCGCTCCTCCTGCAGACCATTTCACCACTTTACGACTCCAACTTAGCACGCTTAATTGTCCTTCATGCTGTCGGCTCCATGGTCAAAGACCACCTCCAGTCGAGAGGTCTTTTGCTTCCAGATATATTGGATACAACTGGAGTATTCATCCTTGCAGATGAGAGCTCCCAAAACCGGGTGGCACACCTCCTCAACAGCATCCGCGTACTCCAAGACGACACCCACTCAGGACAGCATTCCAGCAGCCAGTTAACGTCAGAGTTACTATCCATGCATTCTCTGACCCCCTTTGAGCAAATCGAAATAATTGCTGGCCGCGAAGGGCCTGAAGAAGCCGAAGCTGTCTTACCACTTTTGGAACGATGGTGCCAAACAACTCAGGCACGGAAGGCTGTATGGCACGCCAGCCAAGTTATTCGGTGTTTGCACTACCGTGATGCACAGAGCTTTACAGAGTTCTTTGCTGTCGCAGCTTACCAGGCTAGTCTGTGTCTATACATATATGGGACTATGGCGCAAATGCCATCCTCGAGCGACTTCTCTAGTAGCCCAAGGTCGGGAAGTAAGTTCCAGCTCGATGGACCAGACTCCCCCGTAATTCAGAGATGGATAGTTTTGGGGACTGGAATCCCCATGTTGGGAACCGTGACCTCAGCCTCCGCATTCTATGATGGTATGCCGCTGGGTGCCACGAGGTCTATTCTTCTTCGAGTTCGTGACCTCCTGTATCTAAAGGCATCACAGAAAAACCTGTTGCCACTAGTTACTGGTATCTGTGATCTTCTTTGTGCCTTGAGCATTACGCAACAGAGAGAGCCCCGACACCTCTGATGGTGGCAGACGTCTACGAGCAAGCTTTTGCGTGAAGGAAATCTAGAGCGATGCTCAGTTTCGAGTAATCTGCTCCGACCGAAATGCATCATGACTTGAACTTCGCGCCTGCTAATGCACTGAACGTACACAGAATGTACTAAGTCGAGTGTTAGGGTTCACACTATTGCTAACTAGTGTGCGTGACCAACATATCGACTATCACCTGCAGGCAACGAGGCAGTGGACAAGACGCGGACGTGTTGTTGTCATATACTATAGGAGAGTCACAGTTGGACTTTGATTTTTATGATAGGGATTGGGTGATTGGAAATGTCATTTTATGTGTGCCGTCTATTTGAGAATGGACAATATAGGAATCTTGACCTGTTGCTCATCCCTGGTAGTAACATATACAGCCTAACAATCGAAGCACAACATCGGTCAAGGCGGTAATGAGCACATGCGACCACCGAATGTGGAGTACGGGGCTTAGATAAGATTCCATTTTTTTCTTCTATAAATATTTTGAAGATTTCTGTAGATTATTCGACCGATTCTTCTGTTTTCTGATATCTCCAAATCATCTGGACTACTGTAATATATATCTGTTTAATGATACATTGTTCTATAATGTATTATTCTATACAAATATAATATATTCTGACTGGTCTAGAATCACACAGCTTATCATAATCTTAATCAAATTTTAGCCGCCAAAGCGAACCCGCACTAGCAGCAATGGGTTCGTAGCCCCCTAATCACGTGAGAGACTTGGGGCCGAGAATAATCACCAATCCACAACTACAGAAAAACCCACTCTTGATTTGTTCACAATATTCTCATTCGGGACGACATAACTACTGGCAGCATTCGAAGCACCATAGGCTGCAATACAAATATCAATACAGTCTCCTGTCTACCAGGAAACTCCGAATATTGGCCTGAACTTTCGATCGTCCAATCCATACGGCGTTTTACTCCTACTACATGGCGTTCTTCTTCTCTGGACACGCACCGTCGCTGCTAACCACTTCGTCTCTTCTTATCTCGACATTCAGTTACTTTATCAGTCCTAATCCGCAAAAATTGTTTCTTCAAAATGTGAAGTCGAACATGTGGCTTTTCTCTCCATTCGTGTCCGGCGCTCTAGCTATGAATGTGGTCATCCTGTTGATCGGCTACAGAATCTTAAACCTTGCCGAACCACATGTTAGCCTTGCACTCCTCACACAGAATGGTGTTACGTCTGACCTTGGACATGGGTCCTGGTCGCGTTTCGCAAGGCGTACGTTTCTCCTCGGAGCAACACTCCCCCTGTACATAATACTGCTTGTGTCAACGAATGATCGATTGATTCAAGGAATTACAACAACATTGGTCGCTCACACCGTGCTAGCCGAACTTTCAACGGTTTACTGTGTGACTTCATATGAAGTCCGTGGAGCGTGGCCTCGCAGTATACTGGTAGCCAGATCTGTTTCCGCTGCCGATAGTCTCACGCAGGACCAAATTGTGAACAAGGGCAAAGAGAGTGGATCTGAGAAAAGCAAGGAGCATAAACACATTGCACCAAACCATTCTTTGAGAGATAATCTCTGCGATCGCGTACACCAGCTCCCGCCATTGGCAGCCCAGCCGGATCTTACGTCTGCATCACAGTCTTTTCATCTGCAGCAAACTCCCCATTTGGAAAACCTCTTTCATCCAAACGCCTCAGCCCAGTGGATGTGTGGACACTGGCGTTGTCTAATTTACGTTATTTTGCACAAAGTTGTGAGAGTAATCAGTTGGTCTTGGTCACTGATCGAGCTAGGGTCCACCGCCTGGCTTTTACAATGCGAAGTGGAACCAGTCACGCTCCGACTTGCTGGCAAGCTATTGGAAGTCGACATCCTCAATGGTGTGATCTCTACGCTATACGACATATGTGTTGCTTTGTTCATATTCATACTAGTCTACATTGCCTGCATGATACTAGTCGTCCGCCTCTTTTTCTCTACGCCTCTGATTACCCGCCTGTCCAACCAAGTCTACATCCTGCAGCGGATGCAGCAGAAATTCCAGGACCTTGCTGAAGCCGCCCCAATCACCCATAGGGCTCTCAAAGCTTTATTGATACATTTCATACCTGTAATCTCGAGTTATTATGGCTCCATCGCCTTGATCACGCGTGCCATAGGCTTGACAAAGGAAAAGCTCTCGTTCATCTTTAAGATCATGATGATTTCAACCCTTTACATAACAATATGCTGCCTTCCAGTTGGATCGGACCAGGCTTCCACGGAGCCAGATGTGGCTCCTTGCAAAAAGAGTCAGGGCGCTCAAGACCTAGATACCACCGTGTCGGGCTCGCCGTACTCCGATGAACATGACGAATTTCCCCGGATAGGATCTGGATATCCTCAGACACCGAAGGAACTTCGCTCGGCGATATTTCGATTAGCTATCACTGTCCCTACGCTGACTGTCTGGATTTACTTTTATCGGTAAATAATTTAAAGAGAAAATAACAGGACCAAAGAGCCTATGTTTCATACGAGCTTCTTCTTTACCGTTCAAAACTGGTAAAGTCACTGAACACGGTATGCGTCATATCAAAAACATCGTACCATGTGATAAGGGTTGGAAAGATTACTTCAATATCTCCCAACGCGGATGCAATAGCAGTCAACATCGTACCTGCCTAGTAACAGTAGCCAGCTATTCCAAATATCGACTCCGAATCTGTTCGCATACTCCCCAAATCCTTCTCCTGTTGGCAAGGCCCAGGGTATAGCCATACCTTCTGCCCGAAGGCTCACCATGCTCCCTGCAAGCGAGTAGCAGTCTAAACACTTTCTCCTCGATTTCTTGCGATTGGAAAACCGAGAGTTCAAACACCTCCCACAGCCATGGATATGTATCGACTAACTTGGCCTCCCACGTGGAGCGCGAGACCAAGGTGGTGTGCATGACCCGCGAGGCGGCTTTGAGAGCCAAAATCGATTCTGGGCGAATGTGCTTGAAGATTTCGTGTCGCAGTTTGATCGGAAGACGACTGAAAATGTCTTCTTTATGGAGCTTCGTTTCCTTATCTAGGCAGGTCTTCATGTCTAACAAGCACCTTATATCGTTGATCTCTGATTCGAGCTCCGGTATGTCGACTGGATTCACTACCAGAATCTGGGCATGTTAGACTTTTAACCGGCATTGTTTGCGCTCGGAATATTACTTACCTCTTGCCCTCGGAGAGTCTCCCACACCTGCTCTGCGGGCGGGTCTGGGTCGCCATAGTCAAGTTGCAGCCGGACGTACCGGTCGCCGTTGACCTGTTCAAAAATCTGATACAGCTTATTTCCTCGAATTTCCCCTCGTTCCCTCAAAGAGATGCATCTCTTGAGAATCTCGTAGCAAACGGGGTGAAAGGGAAACACATGGGGTTGGCCGATTTCCGCAAAGTCGTGATATCTGTGAGGGTTAGCGGGAAAACTGGAATAGGAGACGCAATACATACGCCATCATGGGCACAATCTCGTTCTCCGGGTATGGGATGTTCGTGTCTGGTAAGACGATGTTATCATTGACAGGTAGTTCCAGTGCCTCGGAGGGCTATGCATCCAGGACAACGTACGATTCCCAGCAACGACTTCGATTCCACCCTGGGAGGACCTCCAGTTTCAGCAAAACATGGTGCCAGTACGAACAATGTCAACGAAATTGAATAGCTTACATAGTCAAAGTACCGACCGGATCCTGTCAGAAATGACCTAGGAAATCAGGGCACTTAGTTTTACCAAGGCGTTTGTTTATAGCGAGTGACTACGAACTTGTCACTTCCGATAGCGTTGGGATCCATTCCTAGGGCACGTAGGTCGTCGAGCCACTCAAGGTTACAGTCCGCGAGGATGTCGAAACGATAGGCCCTTTCGTCGGTCCCTTCGCAGTCAATGTCGACTTGGCTGGAGAATGGACCTCCACAGATAGCGCAAAAAATCGCCCAGCCACCCATTCTGCTTGCCGTGCTTGAATGATATACAGTTGCGAGACAGAGGAAAGGACAGCGCGTCTTGTAATATTGTAGCCAGAGGGAGATTGGTGCCTGGTGTCTGTGCCCTCGGTCGAAGTTGCCACCATGCCTAAGCGGGACTAGCTTAATTTTATGCCGGGCGGCGCTTGTCTTTGGCTCGAACAAGCGCATCAGAGAGTATAAGGTTTGATAATTTACAGATAACTCCCCTTATCTTTGCCAAGGGTCAGTTTAGTATCATATCAGATGTTGATAGGCTCGACAAGGCAAGACATATTCGAAGCTATACCATCATGCTATGGGGTGGCCTAATTGGCCGATGGCTAACGGATCACAGGTAGCAGTCGCGTTGTCTACTAAGCAGCAAGGATTAGCCGGAGTAGAAAGAAACCGATCCCACCATGTTTATATTCGAGTTCTATATCCAGTTTCTTATTGCCGAACTGACGACGCCACTGGGAATGGTCACTGCTTTGGAGGCGAGGCAGTTCAACGTTGCGTTCAGCTATCAACTCACAACTGCCCCCCTACGATCGGGGCCGAGTCTGCATTGTTATCAGGGTGGAAAAGCACACTACCATGGCTATCTATCTGCAGACCAGCCGTTCAGCACCTGGGAGTAATATCTGTGAACTATTTTTTGATCAGTTACTATATTTCCCTACAATGAAATATCTAGTGCATACGACCACAGGGTGCGGGAAAGTATTATTCTGCACTTTCGTTTTGCCCACTTTCTTGCACCATTTCCGGTCCTGATCCGGCCAATTGGACTTATTACCATGATAAGGCATCGCTCACCAGATGCAATAAAACCAATTTATTCGAGCTCAATCTTAACAATGCCGTCGATTGTCCTTTGGCGCATCAAACATTTCGTGCTTGTGCCACGGCAGACTCCGGAAATAGCGAAGACCTCATCCAGCGTCGTGGAATCATCTCAAGGCAACAGCTTGCGTCTAACTTTACCGTCAGCAGCAGCAGTACCACGACTAGTGCCACCACCAGCATCCTCATGGATAATAGTACCTTTTCATGTGGCCACGTACATCAAGCCCAAGCTACGGTTGATATTGCTTAGTGGAGTGTAACTAATCAAGTTTTAATATCTATGCTGTCAATGGCTTCGCGTCCACCGCAAGCCAAGTCGAAGATTACCCGATGCGGGATGATACCTGTGGCAAGTCGGTTCTCTTCAGTCAAGCCGAAGCCATCGTGATGGGAGTCTATATTGGATTGCAGTATACGAAGACTGGGGCTGCCCAATTACTCTCTGGCTTCCAGGACCACCAGAATATGCTAGACAAATATGTTGCATCGCATCTCGCTCTGGAGGTCTGTGGTGAGAAGTCAGTTGGGCCTGAGGTTATTGGGCTTTTAGTCGACACCACAGGCAAAACAGATGCCAGGCACGGAGCGACCGACGAACTGGACGGCATTAAAAAACCAATGACTTCTGCACAGCAGATCCGGCAGACACAGGAGCCCCCAGGACGGCTCAACCCAACAGTAATGGCTGCATTTCCAATTGCGGCACCAACATCATTAATAATGATGCCACCTTGGCTGAGTTCAGACGCTTTGGGTACTACGAACCCTTCAATTGGGACCGCCCGTGTCTGCATATGTCAGTATGAGAATCCTCCGCTATGCCAATTCCGACGATATGAGGGTGAGAATAATCATCTTGCTAACCAAGTTTGCCAGCCGTCAGACATCGACAAAGATATTTACACCCACATCGTGAGTCATATTCCGACTTCTTGCTCGAGGATTGAGGCATTGCTGACCCACTTTGAACCCCGCAGTACGCATTCGCGAGTAATACATCAGACTCCGCTGTAAACATCAGCGAATACACGGACGTCTTCGACCAATTTGACCAGTTGACCGGCACCGAGCGTATACTCTCATTCGGTGGCTGGTCATTCTCGACCGACACCGCCGTGCGACCTGAGCCTCACATTTGACACGCTGGATGCACTGGCAGCGGTAGCGACGAGCTATGACCCCTACTGCGCGCAGATTTACGCTGTGGACACTCTGGGCAGCGAGCTCGCGGTGGCGCGAGTCAACTACACCGCAGTGGACACGGATTACGATGATTACTTTGGTTACTACGTGGACTACACGATGGAGATGGTTCCCTCGGTGCTGAACTCATACATGAATGACGTCAACGGGCCGGGAGACCAGTACTTCGACTGTACTTGGAACCGTGACGGGGTAAACACGACGAGGAAGACTTGCCCGTTCCCGGACATCGAGCTGGGCGAGGGCTCATATAAGCTGTACTTCAGCCTGGTCAACGGAACAGGCTTCTACAATGATTTGGCAACTATTTACGGCATTTATTCCTCATGAGTCACCTTCGGCGAGGTGAGCATGTCTGATAGATGCGCCAACACTGTTAGGCTCGAAGAGGGCTGCCAGCTGGGCATCCGCACCTGGTATGGGTTCCCACGGGCGGCCAGCAACATCGTCGTCTCCAACCCCAAGGATGTGGTCACTGCTGCCGGTGCCAATATGACCAAGCTCATGGACCAGATCCAGGAGACCTCGGTCGATCTCTTGCTGGCTCAGTGGGACGGGTCGGCGCTGGGCGCCGCCCAGGTGCTTGCCATGCCCGTCGCCCTTGTCTAGCAGGCCGTCACATCCATGGTTCAGGCAAAAGCCGTCGGCAAGGCGGATGAGAAGGCCCCAGAAGAAAGAACTTATCCTGACTATCGTGACTGCTGTCTTGGCCATCTTCCCTTTTGTGGGCGACGCCTCCTTCGCCGCTGCCGGCCTGGAGGATGTCGCCCGCGCGATAGCCCTCATCGGCGAGACCACCAACGCAGTATTTGATCTGTATACCATTTTCAGTGACCCAGCAAGCGCTCCTATGGCAATTCTCGGTATGATGCTGGGCTCTGCCGCTTTAGGCCGCGATTCTCAGTCCTTCTCCAAGATGGGCAAGCTCCGGCGCGAGATGAGTGAAGATGCTCTTCCCGATATGGGCGAGGTCTCAAATAACACCCTGATAAACACCATCGTTCGACCGTGTACGTCCTGAGTTCTGCTTTGTATGGACACGACTAGCGAGGTATTATGCCACCTATGTGGTGGTTCATGCTCCGAAGACAAATATACTTCGATCGCGGCCTTCGAAACGGAGCATGCGTACCTAATCGATTGTATTCTGATTGCAGTGTGCCTTGTTTCTTACCTATTTATACACCCTTATCTATGTATAGATACCTGATACCAGTGAATGCTACAGAGCCCCGTGTTCGTTTACCGAAAGGAACGATAAGGATAAACGTATCTCCTGAGGATTATCGTACTCTAGACCAACAAACCTAATCCTATAGGTTATTACAAATCAAAACCGCTTCTTTGTCGAAGGCCTTACGAAGAGCAATTCTATACCGTAAGATAGTGAGGAGATTCCATGTACGAAATATGCATGGAAGAAGTTCTTCTCAGTAGGCCAGGTAAACAAGGATCTACACTCAATGGCAGCCATTGAAACAGAACCTTAAACTACAGGGATTTTACCTATCGCAAGAAGTCTTATGTTCACATAAGGATGGGAAGTCTAACAACTGTATACGGCGGAAATATACTACTACGATACCTATAGCAGTTTTATATATCTCAAAATTCTTTCCATGCTGAAGGATTTATGGGAATATCAACTTTGCTCTTATCGACTTTTTCATAATCTCTTATCGTGGGATACGGAATACTGCGAATCTAAACTATTTATATAGTGCAATTGCGAGCTGCGATGAAAAAGCTGCAGCGTACCTGCCCGATTCGGTAGGAACACATCGGCCTGTACTCTGATTCCTCCGTTCTCTGCATCTTCTATCCTGTTTCTAGCATCGAAGGAAGCATCAAATTGAACCAATTCCACGTAAAATCAAGATCTTCGTCTATACGTCTTATCTGAACCTGCATCCTTCCCTGAGAAAGTGTCAAACGCCCGGAACGAGGCGATCGCGCCAAAAGCAAAGATAGAAATATTAAATAATATATATTGGAAAAATCCGGGAAGTTCAGAAAGAAAGATAGCCATAAGAAGGCAGGCACACTCAATCCAGATTTAGGCAGGCCTAGCAGAATGGATAAACACACAGATGAATGATTTATCACATTATTAGACTCTCCTTCGAGACCACGTCCTCGACCCTGCATGCATAAACCCTTACCATCGCCTTAACAGACTTTGTCAGAAAGGACTTGTCCGGCCGAACTATCATTCATAACAACTGGCACCTCCCCTTCATCATTTGGAAGGGCGATCGTGGCATACACGCGGGGCCGTGGGAGCGCGCAGAAACACGGGCCATTGACGAATCAGCGGGCGAGAAAACGGAGCACACGTGCGGTCGGCCACGGCCAAAGGGAATAGACGTATGGATGATTAGGGTGGCAAAGGTCGACTTACCTCTGACCAGCAGTGTTGAATCACTGCTGACATGGCTAGCAAGTCTATGTTGACCGGCCTTCCGGCCAGAGATTTAGCTGAGGCGTCATTGCTATCGTTGATTGACTGTCTGTTGGTAAAATATCATGTCTGCCTACGACCTTAATCTGCTAACCAGCACCGAAACGCAGCCGCCACCATTTGAATCAGAAAGGCTATCGAATGCAACATACTCGTAACTATTGTATGCTAGATTTGGGTTGCCACTACGAGATCATTTGTGGCAGGCGCTCTTGGATCTCACATTAGACATTACTACGGATAGTAAGGATCCTAAGGATATCCCTTAACTATTGCAAACCAGTCAAATCTCCGATCGTACAGGAACAGGTATCTATTTATGACGGATCGTAGGATGCATAGAGACGTCGGTCGCGAGACGATACTTCACTTTTGGGGATCAGGGGCGGAAGGGATAATCCAGCGGACGGCTCAGGTTGTTGTTCAGTATAAGGTGAGGATTTGGAAGAACTTATTTGTGGACTCGTGGTTTTCGATGGCTTGTGTATAGTGCTTCTGTGATTACTGGTTTCCAATATTCAATAATACGAGAAATAAAGAAACCCGGCAAATATTATACTTAGGTAAGTTTTCCAGAAAAGAAATAACAAACATCTTTGCTGATGAAACACAGGGCCATTCGCTCAAGGACATCTACAGAAGGTGATAAATGTTTTGCCAGTAAGGTACAAGCTTATTGCTCCTTGTCTTTTATCTCAGTGCTATGGCAATGGTTTCATGCTCATAAAGAAAGACAATAACCGAGACCACGGTTTTTTGCCCGATATGAGTCACTCGGAGCATTCATGATATGTACTAGATAATTAAGGACCTAGGCTACATATAATCCTCAGGTTGGTAAGACATCTCGCTGACCAAATAACTCGTCAAAGGACATACAAACGGTTTTTCTCGATTATATCTTCAACATGTAAATCACGCAAGTTAAACTCGATCTCCACAGCCGAACATGACAACTCGAGTTTGACCTTAAAGTCCGCAAACTCCTCAGACATAGCAGGTATGGGCCGAGGCTTAGTGTTGGACTCCTCTGTTGACTGATGGACATGCATCCAGTTTCCTTTGACTTCTACATAAGTCAAGCTTGGACAGCGGTACTTTCCTCCTGAAAGCAGATCTTCAAAAGCTATGGCAAGTGCAGTTAGATGCTCTCTCTCCAGGCCATCAAGAATGAGGCGTTCCAGCGATAAAGGCAGTATATCATTCAGTGTATTTTTGGATGTTGTGTCTAGGCCGTCCCAGTCTAGTATCTGAGTCACCTGCAGGCGGAGTTCTTTTAGTACACTAAATCCCGCGAACGAACCGATGTAATCATACTCGTGACTCTGGTAACAATCATAATAGTTGGTACTCTCGTGGGTTATGGTTAATCTCTGCAATGTCGCCCAATGTCTGCGCAATGGGTGGTAATATCGTGACGCGTACATATTCTCATCATCTGCGTAATTCGGGTTCTGCGTATGCTTAAAAATGAAAGATTCGAGGGCTTTGGGTGCACCGATGAGGTCTGCAAACCCGCGTCGAGAACAGCTGGACCGAAGCCGGATATGAGTCACATTCGAGTAGCCCACATTGTCCGGAATGTAGCTCGCAGCATCAAAATCCTGATCCTCGGCATATTCCTCATCAAAACTACCACCGTCACATATCATATGGCCGTAGAAGCTCCGTAACGAGGGAAGTCGAAGGATTGGAAGAAAATGCGCTGAGCTGAGGCCACCATCTACATCGGAGCAGTCCACTCTGAGGATTCTCAATCTAGACAGAATACGGCTTGATGTTCCGTTCTGGGCGATGCCGGCCAGCCAATCAAGTGTGTAGTTGGAGAAATCACAAACCTGCAGGACCAGGTCCTCCAGATTGGGCAGGAGAGCCAGAAGCAGAACAGTCCATGCGTCGTTTCTTTCTCGGTTCGTCAGCTCTCGGGCCCAAGTGGCTATCTTGTCGTTGTCATCGGATCCCAGGGCCGCCGACAGAACTTCAAGAGTAACGTCCTGTTCGTATCGCACGCCGGAAGTCGGTCGCCAGCCACAGTCAATACGCAAAGTGCGCACTTCCTGTGCTAATGAGGGCTTGGATGCGAGTGTGTGTACTAAATGACTCAAGTGGCCATTGCGGTGCTCTATCAAGTCGAGCGACGTGAAGACTTCGGGTAAGAGAAGGGGGTAGAAGGCACGGCAACAGGATGCGAGCCGCAAAGTGTCCGTGTGGCTATTGAGGAAGCTTGTTATTGAGAGCAGTAATTCTCCTGGTAATTTGGAGAGCATATTGCTTGGTCTATCTATGTGCGGATTCCTGAAGCGTGGAATATTGTGCGAAGTGTGGAGTCGTTAATTAAGCTAGACAGTTTGTGGCAGTTAAGCTGGGGTCGATTTTCGAGAGGAAAGTTTTTGATCTGGGCACGCTAACCAAAACTTCCAACAGTGTAATTACCGTACTGCCTGTAGCATCCTTTCCCGGATAATATTCACAAGAATTCACTATTATTGTACATATCCTATCATAATAATATTATCAAAATATCCTAAAGCTATGATGTACATTTTCAAGATTAGTATGTGCATCGAAAAAGAACATTGAGCGAGTATCTACAGGGTATCAAAGGTAGTTATCTATCAAAGAATATATTGTAGATTTGTAATCCGTAACATGAAGTAACAAGAAAAGAGAACAAGATGTTATCATGACAAAAATGCTCTTTATTCATCCTTACTAGCTTATAGTTCGCTAGAATCAGTTATTAAATATAGTCACAATTACTGATAAGTTAATAACAGTCCAGCTGGAATAAAAAAAGAAATCCAAAACATATATAAATACTAGTATAAACATGTAATGATACCTTCTATTTCCTACTCTGGCGGGAAAGGATAACATACCCCACTGTAGTCGAAGATAAAAAATAGTATATAACTTATAAATTACCCTTTTTTTTTAAAAAAAAAAAAAAAAAAAAGATAGGAACTCAGTAACAGCTGGTATTATACGAGTAGATGTTATAGATCAAAAACAAATTATTAAGCACAAGAGATATGGTTTAAGATATCATGAATGGACCAGACAATGAAAGTAGAAATCTCACAGATTAGTAATAGCCATAATCAATCATTATATTCTCAAGTTTCATGATTGTTAGCCATGCCGCTGAACTATATTCTTATCCTGAATCAGGGTCGGACAAGCTTCACCCCGCCTTTTCGAGTCATTGATTTCCTCTCTTTCTATATTCAGCTGCCCATTATAGTCGGCATGAGTGTCAGGAGAGTAAACAAGCAAACGAACTTAGTCTACTAGGACAGATAGACTTGGTCATGAAAAGGTATGATCTGGAAGGGGATGAACAGGAGCTCTGTCCGGAGAAAGCAGATTTAGAGGCAGTGAAACAGAGCTTGAGAATGATCCAGATAATGAGCACATCTTGGGGAGGCTAATCAAAGGACAAAGCGACATGCGAGCTACGTACTTTAGCTGTGCATAAACTGGTATCGCATGTGGTAATGTGACACGCGGAAGGGCTAGTATACTCAGCTTTAATTATGAGTTTTTGATCTGCCTTTACGAAAATAGTTTAGTCACAATTTCTGCTCTGGATCGCAATCTGTCGAGCAAGTTTACGGCACCGTGGAGTTATTTCGAGGTGTTTAGAACAGGCAGCTGCTTGTACTGCCGGTGATGACACCCATAAGGATATCACTAATAATCTTATTATAATTCAGAATACTGTATTTCTTGTCCAAATGATTATTTATCCTATCGCACAGGGGGCATGCAGCAGGCGGGACGGTGTTCGTTTTGTCGGGCCTACATCGAGGTTAACGCCGAGGCCGACCCGGCTTCTCGCAAAGAACCCCCCAAGTAGGGAACTGCGGGAAAGCTTACTCCACATGAAAAGCCCCCGTTGCACCTGGATCGTCAGGCCACATTCTAAAACTATATGCCTACGTAACAAGCACTTTCAGATGTAGCAACGCGTCTCAACAATTATTTTCGATGATTAAGGAGACATGAAACAGGTAAACTTGGGCCCGAGATGCCGATGCAAATGCCAAAGCATGTACTATATAAAGTACCAGTTTTCCGCCTCTGATAAAGAGCGTTGAAGTCAGGTGGCTATACGAATCGCGGTGATGCTACTAGTACAGCCTGGCTTAATCTGGTAAAGTCAGTCCATGCCCTGCTTGGTATTAGCATAGCCTGCATCATTACTTCGGTCACTTCTCATCATTATATTCCACACATCCTTGTTCTTTCATCTGAGATGGGGTGTCTGCCACTAGTCATCATCCTTGGGGCGACACTGGTTCAGGCCGTCACCACTTCCACCACTCTCGATGATGTCTGCACCCCTGCATACGTTCGATCTAAGTTGCCCGTCGATAATGTTTATCCTGGGATCACTATTAGCCACACCAACCTCTCCGCTAACCCTGTCTACAACGTCTCTACTAGCGGCTCTGCGGTATACCCAGCCACCACGATCGACTATTGCAACGTAACCTTGGCCTACTCCCACAATGGCCGGGATGACACCGTCCAGATGCGCTTCTGGTTGCCCTCACCGGACAAATTTGCTAATCGCTACCTCTCCACCGGCGGAGCAGACTACTATGTTAACCAAGGCACACAGCAGCTCCCCGGAGGTGTGATGTATGGAGCTGTTTCTGGCTCAACAGATGGAGGGTTTGGAGGGTTTGATGTTGGTGTTGATGAGATCCTCCTCCTAGCCAACGGCACGTTGGACTGGCAGAACCTATATATGTTCGGCTATGAAGCTCACCACGAGCTCGCTACGATCGGAAAGCGCTTCACGCGCAATTTCTTTAATATGACAGTCAACGAGGAAGACCAGAAGCTCTACAGTTACTATCAGAGCTGCTCTGAGGGCGGCCGCGAAGGATGGAGCCAGGTTCAGCGGTACGGTGACCAGTTTGATGGTGCAGTAATTGGTGCCCCGGCCATCCGGTACTCTTTCCAAATGACAATGCACCTCTGGGCGAATGTTGTTGAGAAGACGCTCGGGTACTACCCCTCCCAATGTGAGATTGAGGCCATTGTCAACGAAACGATCACCGCCTGTGATGGGATGGACGGGCGTATGGACGGGGTGGTGTCGCGCTCTGATCTCTGTAAGATGCAATTCAACCTCACCGAAACGATTGGCAAGGGGTATTACTGTGCTGCGGACGGGGCCGTCCCAGTGCAAAACTCGACCATCTCGGCCCAGGCAGTCGAGGTATTCGAGAAAATTCTTGACGGAATGACAGATGATGATGGCAAGCAGGTGTATCTATCCTACCAGCCTGGGGCACTTTTCTGGGATGCTCAAGCGACGTACAACACAACTTCAGGAAATTGGGGTTTGGACATCAACTCCATGGGTGGAGAATTTGTTACCAAGTTTCTGCAGCTTTTGGACCTTGATAACCTCCCCACACTTGAGAACGTCACCTACGAGACCTTAAAAGAATGGGTGCAGCATGGCTGGCAAATGTATGAGGATTCCCTGCACACCACGTGGCCGGATCTGACGCCCTTCCACGAAGCGGGTGGCAAGGTGCTTCATTATCATGGCGAGCAGGATGGGAGTATCCCGACAGCTTCCTCGGTGCATTACTACGATTCTGTACGTAGGACAATGTATCCTACTCTTGGGTACAATGCGAGCCACGAGGCCTTGGGCCAGTGGTACCGCTTATTCCTTGTCCCAGGAGCCTCGCACTGCATGAACAATGATCTACAGCCAAACGGACCATTCCCGCAGACCTCCCTCCAAACGTTAATTGAGTGGGTGGAGCAAGGTGTTGTGCCAGTAAGGTTAAATGGCACCGTTTTGAGTGGCACATTTGAAGGAGAGACCCAGGAAATCTGCGCGTGGCCCCTGCGGCCGATGTGGTATGATAATGGGACTAGCATGGAGTGTGAGTATGATCAGAAGTCTCTAAAGACGTGGGAGTGGAATCTGGATGCGTTTGATCTGCCTGTATATTAGTAAGATGTGTGCGAAGACCGCTTTCAGTCTAATTTTCTTTTCCCGGCGGTATGTACTCTAATACATATATCATACTTCCACGGGCATTATACCTGAAGTGACTGGCTTATTTCATATCCTTAACGCTTGATCTCTACATGCATTCCGACCAGGCACACCATATTGTCTTCAGTCTCGTTTAAAGGCCACCAGCCGAATTGACGCCCTGCCGAATCGAGATTATAAATGTAATTATATATATCTCTCTCTCTCCCCCTCTGTATCTAACTTTACCTATTGTCTTTACCAATCAGTAGATTTCTCTATACCCTTTTCTTTCTTTTCTCATATGAGATCTTCTTGTTTAGTAGCACTGAATAAGACTAGTTCACTAGACTAACACACTATATACCTAGGTACACATACAGTGGGAGTAGGCCTCGTAGGATTCCGATCCTTACAATATAGAATATAGATACGGAAACTGAATATCTTGATACTCCAATCTTACGGATATTGACTTATTGATAGCAGGTATAGCTTAATGTTATAAATATCCATGGGATGGAATTCGTTCAGTATCAGGAGTGCTAAATATGGATTCGTCAGAGTATTTTGTGAACCCTCTGCGTGTGAGATCCTGCTCTGGGGCTTACAGCTACTCGCAGGGGTTGCCTGCCTGTTTCTAACAGACAGATATATAAGAACTACCATTACTCTGATCTGGCCTGGCTATTAGCCGCTCTATGTGGGAAGCATGGAAGAATGAGATTTTAGTGCCATAGTTCAGGGACAATCAGGTTCAGAGACCCTCATTAAAAACGAATTATGCCGGTCGCATGACATGGGATAAGGGACTACTAGAAGGTAAACATGGGATTCCCGCCTGGATAGTGTGGTTGTAGCGACTAGCGGCTGTCCAGAGATGTACTAATCGCAGGATGAAACTAGATCGGGTTAGTTTCCCAGACCCAGGAGGAGATGTCAAGATTAAAACAGCCTTGCATATGCTGCAAGGCTAGCAGTAAATACTAATATAAGTTCGTCGCTGTGCTTAAACTTATCCTTCATCTTTCTTCCTGTGTCATTCAAACAAGCCTGATATTTATCATGTCTCAACCATATCTGCATCCGGTGTCCCAGTCTGTCGCGTTGTTTGAGCAATTCATTGCAACGGAGCCACAGGTCCTAGTCTTGAAGGAGAAGGTGCTCTCTCTTTCTGGAGATAGCTTCGATATCAGGCTTGGGGATGGAGTGCCAATTCTGAAAGTGACTGGTACTTTGTTGTCAGTTTCCGGACGTAAGAAAGTCGAAGACATGGATCGCAACCATCTATTTGATATTCGCAAGGAGCATATGCACGTTCATACAACCTATGTGTTGGAGGATCCCGATGGTAACAAGATATGCGAGGTCAGGAGCAGTCACAAATGTAAGCACCACCAGGTACACTCCTACTGTATAACTAACCGCTACAGTTATCGGGTCGAAAGCCACTGCCACCTGTACTGACCGATACGGCAAGCAAGTGGTCTTGGTAATGACAGGAAATTGGAACGATCGTGCTGCCCATATTGTTAATGAAAGTACTGGAGAAGCAGTCGCTCGCATTTCCAGGAAGCGTTTTACCGCCCGTCATATTTTCTTTGGCCAAGACACGTATAATGTGATTGTGGCGCCTGGTGTAGATATGGCATTGGTCGCTGGTTTATGTATCTGCTTCGATGAGAAAAACAATGATTAGTGAGGGAAAGGCGAACAAAATTGTATATAGACTGTGAAGTAATTATGCGATGGAGTGGTAGAACAGGAGTAATTAAAGTTCTACTGCAAGCCACTTGGCAAACCCAATGAGAACATAAGAGCCGTCTAATGTATCTAGGATGTAAGATGGCCTACATTGTAACCTAAGATATAACTTCAGGCATAGTACAATGTTTTGATTTCTAGTACTAAGACTGTTGAGTATTGCTGCATTAATCTTGTGGTAGATCTTCGTATGAAGCGCGCTTAACGAAGCCTATAACTGCTGGTTGTGAGGCGTAGACAACATTACGGCCTCCTCAAGCAAAGCAACCAGTCCTGCTCTGTTATATTTGGATGGCAGTTGAAAAGTTTTGGGAGCACTGAACTTAATCATATTAGGCTTGTTGATTGACCAGAATTAATCTTCTGAGGATTTTCAACAGGCTGCTTGTCACAAGTCGAAGTAATGGGCTACTACGAGGCTTGACAGCGCTAACCAGACTGGCCCCTTGGACCCTCATTTCTAATCAAACCTTAAAACTTGCAGGTCGCGCCCGCGCTTTCATGTCGATCGGTCATCCGCTAAGCGCACGTTGATTCCCGATTGGGAATAGCCTGCAGGTGATGGGGAATAGAAAACCTTGCATCCCCAACAACCCCACCAGGTCATTGTGGCTCGTTAAGAAGCGATCAGCCTTACAGGTAGTTTTCGACATTTCAGAGTGTAGGTATGTAAGGACGAGTAGGACAACCGAAGCTGAGCTGTCAATATTACAGCTTCGTGGGTTTGATGCGCAGAAGGTACCCCAGTCAAGTAAGGTTTATCCGAGCCGAATGTTTTTTGAAATCCTAATAATCCGAGGCTGAGCAGTTCAGCTGGAATGGGTTACACATTCAAGGTTGTCCGGCAAGGCTGACAGGCGAATTGTGTTCTTAAATAATTTGTACATCGAAATAGAAATGTATGCTAGCTGTAGGTACAACGTTGGCCGCATATAAGACTAAGCCCGAACGCCACTCCTTGATTCCCCAGTCCCTCCTTTCTTCCAACATCCAATTCTTGGTAACGTGATCTCAAGCCAAAGTGAATAGTATACCATGGTTGAGCAAGGCAGCTATCAGCTGGCTGGGAACGATGGCCCCCCTCCCTTGCCTCTTGATCTTCGTGAGCATAAAATACATATTCTCTTACAATGGGGGATTATTCTCCTCACGTCCTGTATAGCACCATTGGTGCTCTATCCAAGTTTACACTGGGGGGCGGATCTATCCCTCAAGATTTGTCTGTATCCCACCCATGTTTCCAAGCTCATCTTGCTCTTACCTTGTGACTGATACTAATGCATCAAAACATCAGCTCTTAGCGTATCGAGCGCAATCCTAGGGGCATCGACCTTATACTCGTTGGGCATACGAACGTGGCGACTCTTCAAATCGACATCGAATTGCCGACCCCGCACATCTGAAAGTCGCTGGAATGTATGCTATAAACTTCCAGTTTACTTCTGAAAATTGATAGCCTAGACGCTGCTAACACACTCTTATTCCCTTCCATCATACAGTTCGATTTCTTCCACTGGAACTATCTTCTGGGGTTTGTGCTCGTCACAATCATTATTGTGGTTGGCTTGACGGAAGATCCTCCTAGTGTACGAATGACAGCTTTGCCACCGTCTATTCTGCTCGTGCAAGTTGGCCTCACACTCGTCATTGTCGGAATTCTGGCAAAGCTTCGCATACGGCAACCATTCGCAGTGTCTTCTATGCCTGCAGGTACAGAATTTCGTCCAGGTATCTTAGTGATCATCGAAGATGTCGTTGCGGTGGACGGGGGCCGAGGCAGGGCATACCGTTCAGCCCTAATGGAAAGGTATGCAGCCAGCTTACGGTTTCGACGACTAATTGAGGATCTCAATTGGTTCTGGGGATTTGGTGGGCTCCTGATGGGAATTATTTTGATATGTATACTTGCATCGGTTGGCAGTCAGACCTTTGCGTTTGGGCTGGGTAAGTTCATGAGTAGTCTTTTCAATCTCGTTTTTATTCCTGTCGTTATGTACCCCACTTTAAGGCCCATATCCTGAAATTTCTCTTATAACGAGGGTGAAGGCTAACATAATTCTTTTGTTTTCTTCGGATAGGGTGGACTGTCCCATGGATTTGGGCAGGTGTCTGGGCAGTCATCACGACTTACTGGGTGAAATCTGCGCTGAGGGAAGAGAAGCTTACCTGGTCGGAGAGCCAGAAAGTAGTGGAGGTGTAGAACTTGGCTTCTGGATATCTCACTTAACGGGCTCGACGAGGTATAAGGATAGGTATTAGTTTGAAATGAAATGAACTTCAGACTAGCATTGTACGGAGAAGGAATTTCAGCTTTTAATTCGCCAGAGACGTAGGAAAATCATATATCTATTACAGGTCGGCTTTGTTCTTGTACCCAATCCCTGGGCAGTGGGATTGGAAAGAGCCGCTGAGGCTAGGCTTGGCCTTAATGAATTATTTGCGAATTAAGAATTAAGTCATACTGTGAGAGGCAATATATACGTTTGGGACATGTATATGCGTACATACACTCCCCTTGAGTAGTCACAGGAAGATGGCGGCGTATGTGTCTTTCATCTCACTCAACTTGATAAAAGTAGGGTAGCACATTGATAAATTAATCGCAGCATTTGACATATGCCCGCTACAAAAGATTAATACGCTTTAATCGAAACCGAGATACGCTGTACTAATGTCCATCTTTACTGTTATAGAGGTACAAGAAGGTTCGTCATATGGTAGGCTGAGCCACACTCCATTGCGGGATGAACCATACTCGATCGAGTATCATTGTGCGTGGGGGCTAGACTTGGCGAATAGGGGTCTATAACTTTGGCTAAAAGGTGAATTAGGGTGACTACCAAATGACTAAATCAAAATGTGAAAGGCAACATACGTCTACGACTTTATTGGTCTTGTGCTGCTGAGCTGTATGATAGGGTTTGATCCTGCAGGTGTCTCGCGCAGATCTTGTCAAAGTGCTGGTCCAAATCCTCTAGCTATGATACTACCACCAACGCCCCATTGGTGGCTCGGCTTATTGGCGGCTCCAGCGTACATCTCTATATAGCACCGAGGTTGTGGTCAAGCATAGGGCCAAACCACCATCTCCTCATCCTCAGTTCTACCCCATGCCATCCAGCTATGTCGTTTAGAGATTGCCCTGGTACGTCAACCTTGTGTAGATGACTAACAAAACGTGCGGTATACGCCTTCATGAACGGTTGTGAAACTAGTTCTCGTGAGAGCTTGTGCACGCCTTGGGTGTCGCCAGCCTCGTGCGGGAAAAGATGAGCCACCGCGAAATAACGGAGCGCCATGCCTAGCGGAAACGTTGAACACAGTGCTCCATAGCCTCCGGCATAAGGCCCATGTGATAAAGGTACGGTGTGGATTATCCTGTGGGCGTGCAAAGTCGGGTTCCTCTCATCGCGGTAGTTGGGGTATCCTGGAGAAGAAAAGGGAATTGTTAAGAAGTATGTGAAGCTTGGACCCTGATGCACCTCATTCGCAGCCATATGAATTGTAGTGTATAGGAGGATACAGCAGCTCCAGTAGAGACAGCTCATGTGCAACAATGCAAAGTCCCTGTCTACCTGTGGCATCTGGGGAGGATTACCCGATTGGGTGTAATCAAAGGTCTGCAGCTTGTCTCCCATGGTTTCCTTCCAGGCTAGTAACATTTGCTCAATGCGGATACATTCGCCAAGAAAGTTTTCCCAGCCACGTAGACTACGCTCCGCGATAGGAGATGCTCTAATGGTGTCGAGCTCTTCCAATAAACCCGGAACTTGAACCAGAATGTCAGTCAGACCATCAAGTAGGGACTTTGTTCTGTATTTCCAGGGTGCTGACATCCAGTCGTTGTCGCTGAAGGGCGAACGCTTTCTTCGTCCGACGCCTAGAATGAACTACACATATACCAATGAATATGGACGGTCCGTTGACGGAATCCGATGGTGGGAAACTTACTGACACAATCCGGCCGCTTACGAGTAAGTACATTCCAGCTTCGCTCCAATCCTTCTGCCAGCCCCTGTTCATGAACAAGGCCATTTCACCGTCAGTATGGGCGTAGTACCCCTTGATCTGGAGGGTAGGGTCATCTTTGTCCGAACCACGGGACTCAGCGCCATAGAGAATCTGGCAAGAATTAGTGACCTGATAGACTTCACCGGAAGCACAACTTACCTCATAAAAGCGGAACAGCCGAATAGCGGCCAAGATCCCATCTCCCGAGGCCCTTTGTGGATCCCGCAGGGCTGTGCGCATTTCCTGCAGCGCCATGCTGTGTGCCTGGACGCCCTTGAACTTCAGCTGGCTGTCGTTGTCTCTCGTAGCCAGCATTGACAGCCCGTGAGCAAGGGTAATGAAGCGCAGAGTTTTCTCAGACCGACATAATTTGTCAAGGTGTCTTAGCCACCCGGCAGAGGATATCTGCGCGGCCTCCTTGGTGAAAAGGCGACCGTTTGGTAAGAACGCTGCCAGATAAAGACCGACGTAGGTAACCTCTCTGGTACTTCTCGCCAGCGACTCATGCAGGGTGATTTCTGGAGCCCCACGTCTACGAGATTGTACGCTGCCGGTACACTTGGTGTACTTGCGATTCTCGCCGTCTGTCGAGTTGATCCAGACCGAATAGTTGCGAGAGTAGCCCTCGCATACGAGCCTAGCTTGAACGCACTGGGTACAAAAAGGGGTCTTCCTGTCGCACTGTTTCCCAGACGGGGCTATCAGCATGAGACAGTCACAGCTCGGAGTTCAACGTACGCCTTTTTTCCTCCTGCGACATGTCGCACACCCGCCATATCGACCGGGCACGCCGACCATATTTTCTTAGTCGAGTGAGTGGGCCAGAGGGATACAGCGAGGGATTCAGGCTTGCGCAGAAAGCCCCATTGTTTTGGAAGCAGGAGTGGAGGACGTGCGCCTTTCAACCCCGCAGTAGACCTTGGACTAGGGGCGGGTTGGCCAATCCAAACCCCTCATCCCATGAGACGGGACGCAATTTCGGACCCGCCCCAACACAGGCTGTCAGCCTGACCCTGCAGCGCAAGGCTGTAGGGTCATGTGACTCTTTTCTCCCGATGATTTGTATAAGTGGCTATCTTCATCTTATTTATCACCTTAGAGCTCTTTGCAGTAGGCCATTACCATTAAATTACCATCATTTTCACTACGAGATGCCACTGTAACAAGTGAGTTCTTACTCCATACGTACTCCCATACTAGTGTATCTGCCCGAACAACTCAGAATAACCAATAAATGGACACGGACACTAATAAAATCCCTCCCTCTGGATTTTTTCACTTGGTACACCAATAGCCCGCAATCCTTCCACAGCAGCGTCTGCGAATGCCTTCGGGCCACATATGAACACTTCTTTTTCTCTGGCGCTCGGTTTCCAATATTCCGGCCCAACTCTACCTTTAAATACCGAGAGGCTCGTATTTTCATGCTTCAAAGTCCTAGTATCCAAGTCGAGGGGGCGGCTGGTGAACAGATCTATTTTCACCGTGACGGTCGGTGGAACCTTACCCATAGCCCGTCTGATCAGGGTGAGCATGGCATCTGGCTCTCTTGTTGATAACACGAGCACAATGTCGCCTCGCGCAGCCTTCTCGCGCTTACTCAAGGCATTCAGCATGGCCAGAAAGGGTGTCACCCCGATTCCACCAGCAATCAGGAGCAGGTTGACCTCCTCTTTATTCAATGCGAAATCCCCAGTGACCCCTATAATATCGGAGACTGCATTCCCCTTCAAAGAAACAGGATAATCCCGTCTATTGGGAGGGGACATCCTAAGCAGATTGAACAAGGCCGTTGTCACAACGCCACCCTTCATTTCCCGCATTGTTAATTCAAACCATGCAACATCAATCCCCTCGTGCGCACTAGATACTGTCCAGGTTCGCACGCGGTCATCATTAATTGACCCAGGTGCCGAATCCGCCATATGCTGGTACTGCGGTGGACCTATCCAGTCCATAAAATCGAGAACGATAGCTTGACCCGGTCGGAGCCTTAACGGCTGAACGCCGCTTTTAGACACGACCTTGAACCTGAAGACAGCCAGGTCAATAGAAAGTTGCATACCTGTTTCAAGCACCGCCTTGTGCCCTTGCATCCTACCCGCGTACGTTTCTCCTTCTTCGACCAGATATTTGACTTTGGGAGTGTAGGGGCTCCGCCCGACCTCCGATCCATTGCGCTGTCGCAAGGGAAGCGCATTTCGCACAAGCGTAAACCCTGTGGTTTCCAGAACAGTAACCGTCGCATGTCTAAACATCATTTCGAGGGCAGATAGCCCGACCAAATTCCTTGCTGTACCGGTCAAGTACAGGATGTCGCCGGTTGTGAACGAAATGATCGTAAAGCCCGCTAACCCGCTCGACTCAATATTGCCAAGACTACTCATGAATCTGTTTCCAGAGTAATCAGGCAACACAATGCTCCGTCGATCTGATGGCCTCACCCGTAGAAACCCCGGAAAACCGCCACGAGAGTTCATGCCCGCGTGTGAAGGGAATGTTGCTGCGGAGGCGGGGTCAGTTCTGTGTATTGTTGCCACGAAGACTGTGTCGGCGGATTTTATCATATCGATTACTTCGTCAGGTAAGCCCTCCGTCGGTGCCATATGCAGTGATTGGTATGCAATGTGTGGTTTCGCCCATGGGTATGGATCGAGTTGACGCACATTGATATACTTCGGACAATTACTGTAATCTCGCTCAGTCCTGATTCCCCTTGTTTTGACCATTCTTGGATGTGAACGTATACGTACCCCAACGCCTCAGTGATGTCAACACCAAAATCATAATCCTGGTCTGACCTCGCCTTCACCATGTCAATCTTCCCGGCGAACTTGTTCCTTCTCCGGGTGGAAAACTCAATCCCCAACCCAGCCGTCAGTAACCTCTCCTGCAATATTGGGCCTTTTGTTTGATCATCTTCCAGCGGTTTCCACTCCCGGAGCGTTTCTAACATTGGATCTCCGTCCCATAATCTTGCTCGGAAAACCAACGACTTTAAGCTTGGACTTTCTACGAACCCGACTGTTCCTGTTGATCCTGCAACGATTCCTGCCCAGGGCCGTCCATCGGCATCCGTTGTCGTCAGCGGAATAAATGGCAGTTTCGAAGTGTGAAATAATTGATGTTGTTCACGGAGTTGGTTTTCGACCGCAGTCCAGTGAGACGACACGGCGGTCGCGTAACCCAGCTGGCGTTGGATGGCGACTTCGCCGGGGTGCCAGCCTTGAAGGGCGGGAATAGCCATTGCCTTTATTTTCCAGTTGAATTCGATCAAGTCTTCGTGGGTTGGGGTTCCTATGAGTTTGTATCCTTACGATCACAATGAGAAGATAGGTATTTGGGGTAGGGATCATTGAATTATTAATTCATGTCAGTGTCATGGCAATCCCGTCAGTTTGAAGTTATCCGAGCTGACAAATGCGCCACAAACTCTCAGATGTCTAGACTTCCGCCTTGACTTCGAATACGAGTATATTTTCCCTTCGCATATAATCTACAGTACTAGGACATCATATTTATTGGCAAGATTGGTTGCATATATTATCGACTGGGTACATCCGGAAGTTTTCCGTTCATAGATCGATGTTGCGAATATGGAAAGGCCACGAGACAGATAATTTGAGGCACAATTTTATCGACCTTGACCTGTAGTACCGTCGTGTGCTAAGCTCGGCGCACCCCATACTGGCGTTCCTGACATGATACCGTATTTCTGCACTCCTTAAAGGCCTATCGCCCGTCACAATATTGCAAAACATACGACCCATTCCTAAAAGTTAGTACAATCCTTACAGCCCTCATGCGTAAAACCCGCACTTACTTCAAGTATAATGTTGCTACGTATGTCAGATCCGTTACGTTCACCATCTCTCTCATCGTAGACAGATACTCGTCGGATTTTAATAATCGTTGGGAGCAGTTTATATCTGATATTCTGACAGCTAATCGGTGCAGTGATGCCACCCTGGGACCCGTTCAATCGTGGGATGAAGCCTTGCCAGCCTGAGGGCTGGGCTGCTAGCCGCTTCTCGGGAAGTAATAACATTACCTAGAAGGGACTGGCGCTACAATTCTGTTTTATCTACATGTACTTAAGCTATATATATAAGTACAAGCGTTTCCGGGCCAACTGGGTATATCTGTTATTGAAATCACATTTGCAACAGCTGCTGATCGGGAGTATATCCGAGCGCGACCATCATTGAGAAGCCCAAGGGAGGCGAGCCCGCGGCTACCGATGGCGAGCACAGTTCCTTGTCCCGGATTGGTATATTTCCGGGTACATTATATGTCCACACACTGGGTCCCAAGCGTCTAAGTGCCGAATGCATGATTTGCACTTGGTCAGGTAGGGCTATGGCACCCTGATACAGGGCACATACAATAACAGTATCTGTATGGCTGGCAAAGTATTCATCGCGGTAACGCATGTACAAGGTGGTCGCTTCTGCCATTAACCGACGAACATTGTTATCACCAGCATACGGGTCGGATGCTGATGCCGTCGGGCGAGGTGGAATGTGAGCAACAATGGCACCATGGGATGATGCTATTACAATGGCGGAGCATGCTCCAAGGCCTTCTGTGCCGATAGCAAACATTTCGTGTAAAGAGACCACTCTGACAACGTTCATGGGCACAACAACCACGTTTGCCGGGTGAGCACGCACCCAACGAGCTAATTGCGACATTTTTATATTCTGTTTAAGGGATCAGTAGGCACTCTCTTTTTCCTAGTAGACAACTACTGTCGCTCTAAAAGTCGCTCCCGAACCCAGCTACTTATATATTGTCGCAGCGCGAAGAAGTTTATATCACCGGAATATGCCTTCTGTTCTTTACTAGGGACTCGAGCTGGGGCTCCCAATGTGGAATTTCTATATTTGTAACTAGGCAGTCTCCGACGTTGATTGTAGGGTGAATCGCATGTTTCCGTGCCCCTGGGCACATTGCGAATGAGCTATATACCCAGCCGTACATCAGCGGCTATTGATTGTGTCATCTTTCCGTATTGTAACTCAGCGTTGGTTTAAATACACCGTGAACGCCAGCCTTCTGAGCCAAGCTGTTACAACCTGCAACCGTCCCACAAATCTATTGTTCATACAGTCTCTGACAACCACGATCAGTTATGAACGTACAACCTGCTTCAGGTTCGGCTGCGCCTTCTACTTGGGGTGAGATTTATCAATTTCCAGGCCGGACATCTAGGGAAATCCTTCTGAGAGCAAGAGAGCTATGCCTCAGTGGGGATATCCAACAATTCCGCGACCTCATTGACTCGGCGCAATCGTCATCGGAGAACTTTCATATAGATGACTTCGGTATTATCATGGGGCAGGCTGTCGAGCAAGACAGCGTGATCTTCATGCGGGAGCTGATGGATCGTGGCTTTCCCACGCATTCAATCTACGCCCGGAACGCGACCAGATTCAAATCCAAGAATGCACTCGCCCTTCTTATTGAGAAGGGATGGGATATCAACGAGCCAATGTGCGAGACCCAACCCCCCGTCCTAGGGTGAGACAATACTCCAATCCTTCGCGAGATAACATTTTACTAATCCCTCTCAGCATTGCCATAGAGGACGAAGAGATGACAACTTGGTTTTTGGATCATGGAGCCGATCCTAATAGACGTACATTCATAGACCTTACCCCGCTTTCGTGGGCTGTTGAAAGATCACCCGTTTTCATTATCCGCCTCATGCTGGATTATTGCCAAAATATTCATCCAGGCCAGCTGCTTCATCATGTGATCCAACGCGAATCTGACACTATCGAAGTACTGGAAATGTTAATTCAGAAGGGAGCGCCTCTTAACACTCCCGTGCACGAAGACCTTCCTACCTTATCGATTCTTTGCTTTATGCCTCTAGGAACTGCTCTGCACCGGGCATGTGAGCTCGGAAAAGTGGATGTGGTTCGCTATCTCCTCAGCAAAGGAGCCGACCAGAGTGTCAGAGATAGTAATGGACTTACAGCTATTGAACTGGCTGCTAGATTGAACCAGCAAGAAGTGGTTGAAGTTCTGCAGAATCATGGAAATGGCGATAATCCCTTTGGCCTCTTCTAATTGTATTTCTTAGATCGCATTAACAAATTGGTACTGGAAATTATAATCACTATTACATATTTTGAATTATCAAGCTACTAACTAACTGATCGCCTGCTGATCAAGGCCGTGTAGATCATGGACTCCTATACTTTAGAACGCTTTCCGCGATGAAATTGTCTACTGTGTATGAACCATGACCTTAGGTGATGTCTGAGCGCCGAGGCACACAAGTCGGCGTATTTGCAGCTTCCTGCGATCTATGCCTCCTGAATGAACGACCTCAAGATTCGTTCGACCCTCGTAGCGGATGGTACTGTATACTACACGAATCGGGTAAGGAGCCATCTAATCGGGGCTGTCTACGGTTCCCCACCACCGAAGCGCGTCTCTACCAACATTAACCAGACCGAAAACGCCAAGTGTCCGATTCCCGAGCGAAGCCAAAGGAAAGAACAAGGATTATACGACCTGGATCCCCGGCAGTTCAATCTAAGGCAGTACCTCGATAGAACTATTGGATTGGACAATCGATATTATTAGTCTTTCAGTAAGTAATTTTGTAGTGTCGACTGAGCATGGTATTTGCGGTACCATCGCATCCCCAGGAGCTTTCGAGCCAATCAAGACGACGTCGCTAATACCAAACACCAATTCTGAAGTATCAGCGGAAGCGCCGCGTTACCTGGAGAAAGGCCATCGCTTTCGTCGTATTGGCTACAGAATGAGTCACACATATGCTTGGTAGCAATGCGCATTCTAGTGGACAGCCGCAGGAATCGTAAGAGTGGAAGATGAGGTGATTGAACTGCAGTGAGAAATGATAGTCGGAATTATTGATGAAGTCTGGTAAGCCATGAGACAGGTGTTGGCCGGAACAACAGTCTGAGACTAAATTGAAACACCGTAGAGAGGGTGCTACAGAGCTAATTTCACGAGAAGGGGCCCGGAAAAGGCCGGCAGGTATAAGAGGTAGATAAAATTCGAATGGCACTACTAGGGCAACGCTTTGTGTAAAGTAGCTCTTGCATGGTTAATCTGACTTTTGTGGAGAGCTGCCAAGCTGGGTTGCCTGGGGTCGGTGCCTAGGGCGGCCCCTTTACATTTTCATGTGACCAACTGATGCCACTATTAATAAAAGAACAACGGCATGCCGCAGCAGCTGAGGGGCCTCAACCGCCGAGTCTCAGACACCATGCCCTCTGAAGGAGAACAACTGCTACTCACACAATCAGATATCCCTAGTTCCCTTAGTTTTATAGTGGAGGAATCGTCATTTTTCCGAAAACAGAATTAATTATCTTTATTAACTAAAGTACAGGCACGCGCTAAGGCACAACATCTCACCGGAATATATCCAGACTAAAGAAGAATATTTGATAACGGCTCCATATGTGCAACCACCACCTGCTATTTTTAAAGAGATAGGTCTGTTTATCAAGTAAAAAAGCTCTGTCCAATTATAGAAAGCCCAGTATCTATATACCATCCGTCATTTCCTTAAGAATGACGTTCCTGTCCCTGAAGTGTATGGTTAGTATACTAAAAAAGATGAGAAATACATTTACATGGAGTATATAAATGGAATATTTCTTGAATAATCATGGCTAATTATAGAACATGGGGACAAAGCTAGCTTGTGTTATAATCTCAGAATAATATATCGACGTCTACGAGAGATCAAACAGGACCCAGAGGATTTATTCATAGATATAAATATTCTACGTACCCTCAGCTAAATAGACAAAATGGGCTGGCTTTATAGAGGATACCTCTAATCCGGGAATCCCACTGAAGGAAATCAAGGCAGCTATTGCAGTCTGGCATTACCTCAACGACCAGGACGTGAAGAACTCGTTTGTTGAACTTGTATCACATCTCCGTGAGGTATGGGTGGAAGTGGACTCCCGCATTAATAATAACCAGCCCTTATTCTTACCTGCGTGGGATGAATGGTGGCATGATTACGTTGAGTACCAAGTCGAACGAACCTCAACCTGGATCACAAATGGAATTGCGGCCATGCGTAAAGTGTGGAGCGATGAGAGCCATGATAATGATCCAGCGAAACTGATTGTACTGGAAGCCTTGAGCGAATTGGAAGCCTTCGAGGTTGAGATTGTCAGATATAACCACCTCATATTTCCCTGAAATTGGGTTCCAGCAGACGGAAATACGTTGTCAGAATAGAGCGTTAACCCATGAAAATTGCTTTGATTTCCGGTACCTAAGTCGTAATGATCCTCGAGTGATCGAAAGCTTTGCTTAAATACCAGGGTAAGCAATATAAGATGTTAGTCATTTAGAAAGGCCTCCCAGTATACGCCTTAGCTATCCTAGTAAGAAAGTAGCAGAATACAACTAAATGATGCACAGTCCTTGGTCCTTGCATCTTTAGGAATCGATCGGGAAGGAAGCAAAACGGGGGCTTCGACATCTAGATTGTGTCAACGCGTTTCCCAGCAGGGTTATTCGGCAGCTTCTTGACCGAATAGCTCAGGCTATCTCTATGAGATATTGGGAGGGTTTTATTACGAGGCTTTGTGCTTCGTGAGGATGCCCCTTTTCTGGAGGCGATGGCTAATGCTCCGACTACCTCGTCTAAGGGTATACCGTGATAGTTATACCTAGCACTATATAGTATAGACTAGTACAGCCCTTGTATATGCTCTGGGTCATCTTTCATCAAGATGTACGGTAGAGCCTTCTGAATGCCTGCTGGGGGCCTGACATAGCACGTGACAGGGTTCTACGGAGAACACATCACACAGACAGACCCACCTATATTTACATGGCCACTTCCTATAGATCTTCATCCAAAAGACGTCTCCTAAGCCTATGTGTGGATGTAGTGGCTACTCGTAGAGAGGCCATCATCAACCCCTTAGTATGGAGGTTCACAATGAACTGAACTGCGGAAGCAGAGGCGCCAAGGCGTCCAGTCCGCTAAGGAGGTAATAGCGCAATTTTGGAGTCAAAGGAAAGGTAGCTCCACAAAGCGTCCTAAGGGGCCAAGCCAAGCCCCTGCCGAGGTATTCATTGTAGTTGAGCTAGTGAAATTTTCTGACCCCATTGCCTGTCACGAGAGATTGAGCTCGCTTATTGATTGTTCCGGAGAGGATTGACCAAAACATTAATTCTGACATCGGGGAAGAGCAGATTTCTACTCCGGCCAGGCTCGTAATTCCAGGGCCAAGACCTCCTAACCTAGTGTATCTACTATCTACTTTTCTAAACCCGTCGCGTGTGGGTGCGCTCAACTAGGCAACATTTAGTTTGGTGGGTACGTTCAGGGACTTCCTTGGCTAGCCGCCTTTGGAACCGTGGATCAATCGTGCTGTGTACATGTCTGAACTCTTCTTATTAGACCACCTTCGTATTCCAACTTCCGCTCTACCCGTCACTCCCCATCCCATCGAAAATCATGCCTACCGTAGATTGTCTGCCTGTGGAAGTGCGACGACGGATTTGCCTTTCTGTAAGTGGCAGAATGCATTGTTTATAACTGCCGAAGCAAAGTCTCACAGACCCACAGGTCCGTGATTACTCATGGCATGATCTGTCCGCTCTAAGTCGAACAAGCAAAGAATGGCATGATTTCGCAGCTACGGAGCTTTACAGGCACCTTCGACTGCCATTCTCGGACCGCACAGATCTTCAGAATGGCATGTCCGAGCTTCGCACAGATGGCCTTGGTCGTCAGTACCTACGATATGCACGAACCCTCGAACTTGTATGTCTGAAGAAACCAGGGCTCGAAACCAAAACAGCCAAATGTCTGTGGCAGCAGAAGAATTGGGCAAATGAATATGTCCTCTTCAACCCTTTAGCCTCAATGGACACACTCCTTCAGGACTCATTGTTGGAAACCCGTGACGTCTCACTCCAGTTCCTGACCTGGACCCTCGCCTATTATCGGCAGGAGGACTGGGAGCCGATAATCGACCTCCTTTCGCGCTTGCAGCATCTTCGGCTACTCAGCTACGCCGTGCTCAATATGTTTCCTACTTGCCTGTTCCAAGCGCTTCAACAGTTACACCCAGCCTGCCAATTGGATGTCTGGACTTCCCAGTCTCCAACCCTTGACCTACCCGGTCTAGGACGCTCCCACCGTTGCGTTGGTAAACAGTTCAAAGAGCCTTTTGACCTCAACATCCTGCGTTCCTCAGCACTTCGTACCCTCAAGGCGGTCTATACAGTGGGCCAGGATCCTGAGCAGGGATGGATACATAACGACGAGGCCTTCTCTTTCATCTTCACGGCCCCGAATCTTAAACATTTGCTCGTTGACGAGATGCCCGCCCGGCGTGATAATCCGATTATGAAGGTCAAACGGGAATGGCAGGAGTTTGCCTCCCAGGCGAAGCCTTCTCGTGCCTCACCCTGCATAGATACCTTGACTTTCATCAATGGCGATCCTCATCACCCGTATGAGCGCATCCTTCTCAATATCTCAACCATGGTTGATCTCTCTAGACTGCGATCCCTTGATGTGGCCGTCAATTCAGAGCCGGCTATGTTAAGTAAAGCAGCGTCGATCCTCGGTCAGTTGGAACGTCTGTATGTCCATATGGTTCCCTGGAATAAGCAACGCGTCACCGATTGGTACAATGATCCCGAGGGTTCCACATGGGATGATGAAGAGATGATATCTGCAGTGCAAGCATTCAGGCCGCTACGGTTTTTGTGTCTGCGGGGGTTGCGAAATATTTCCTCTCTATCCCGCATTCTCTCCTCCCACCACTCCTTGGAGGGCCTCAGTCTTGAGGGTTCCGATCGGCATCCGCGAACACCCCCAGATGGATTCAAATACCCTATCTTCAATAGCGAACACATTCGGTCCATAGCCAAGTTATGCCCGCGACTCGAAGAGCTCCGCATGCCACTACAGCGGTCTCAGGGTAATGCTCAGGAGTGCGAGATTTATAAGGCCCTCGGGCAGCTTTCGCGCATTCAGACCGTTTACCTCGATCTTGACTGCGATCCTCGGAGTTCGCCACAAGAGGACGAAATCCCAAGTCCCAGCTGCCTCCGGGAGGTTCTCATCAACTCCGCCATTGACGAAAGCCTCGTAACCGAAATCTTTAAGCTTGTCTTCTTTCACCAGAAGACTCGCAAAATCAAGAACTTGCGTGTCAATCTCGTGGGAGCAGATGGCTTTAGTCGAGAACTGGAACATGTGATCCGGCAGCTTGCTAGATCATTCCTTGTCACCCGGAATGACTTTTACCTCAATACGGATGAGCTAGTGGAGGTCAAGGAGATTGGGGGAGTCGCGTGGCAATTGTGGCGTGAGGACGAGATTGGCTATTCGGGGCCCGTCCATATCCCTCGGGATATCAAGGAGGTTTTGGGGGAGTTCTGGCCGTTGCAGTCGGATAGGAATCGAAGTAAGAAGTGGAAGGAGTTTCCATTGCTGGTCCGAAGTTTTCCCCTGGAGAGTATGCAATGAATAAGCCTCATGAGGAAGTCACCTTTACCCGATCTTGTAGTAAGATTCAATACATATTCACTTGGCTCATTATGATATTTCTTCCAAATCCTACACGCCTCAAAGCCTAGCTACTATCCATAGTAACATTCCGGTGAGGCTCTTCGTAGCATTGTACTTTGGTTCACTAGTTTGGCTGTCTATTTGCATGTTGATTCCAAACATTACAGGTACTATATTATGGGACTCACTATTTGCATGCTCTGGCTCTTCATATAGGAATCTATTATCCAGTTATTGTTTGCTTACGTTGAAGCTGTGGACATCTATGAGCAGGATATATACCAATATTTATTTACGAGTACCGTATGAGAATCTGCTCCGTGAAACAGTCTTACCATCATTTTCGCGATCTCTCGGGGGTTCGATACCTCGTATCTGAAGTTTTGAACATTATATTTACTTTGTATGAGCCTGAATATGCTTTGCCAGTTTATAGACGAGTCTTACTGCATGTCTGGTTCAAGACATGGCCTTGCAGGCAAACTCGGGAGTTGGAAGATAGTTACGCCGACAATACAAGGGGTTAACCATCGCGGAGGATCAACTCCCCTCAGCTCAGAATGAATTCTTGGAATTTCTTGTTAAAAGAGAAGCTTAAATAATCTGAAATCTGGTTTAAATTTCTGAATAAAGAAGCTGACCAGAATATAAGAGATAATAAAGAATTTATAATTATTAATCTAGCTGCTTGGTTAAACCAGCAAGCGGTTGTTGAAGTTCTGCAGAACTATAAACCGATGGATATCCTGCGGACCTCCTCTTATTATACTTTGTAGATCGATGCAATCAATTCATTATTGCATGTTGTAGTTTCTATTACAGTCTCTATCTGATCTAGCTTCCCGCACCGAGTTCTGGGATTACAGGATTCTGAGAAATTCTTGGAGTATACTCTGTGGATTTTTCCAAATATATACTAAAATGGATAGTCAGAATAATTCTTATCAAGTGAATTCTGGAATTTACGAAAGCAAAACTAACCCGATATAGTTTTCTCAATTGATTTCTCATTTTATTACGGGAATATTTGTCAAGCTTGGAAGTTGCATTTATGAGAAGAATATCTGGCTTGTAAACCGAGAGCTATCAAATGTAATGATCAGCTCAGCAGCGGATAGCCAGTCTATATTATTAGTCAGTAATTGAGGACTTGCTCTGTTCGACTGCTGATAAGATGATATTCTTGTAATATAATTAATTTGAATTTTATAACTCACCTTATTTTGGTTGGAACAATGCGAACGGAAAGGTATATGTAATTTCACCCTAAAATGATCGGGACTGGGATTACTTGCCTGAGACAGATTCTGCACATACGGTTGCTAACATCATACCCGGGATGAGATGACAATTGTACGACGAATAGGAGTTATGGGCTTTTTTAGGCGTGGAAAATAGTTAAGTTTTGACGGGCAGCCAGCTTGCATGAAGATTGGAGAATTTCCATGATTTCCTTGGACGCACGTCTACCCAGAAGACATGGGACAGGACAGTGGCAAAGTTCTAGTGTCATCAATTTATAATTTCAGTTTACAGGCCTCTCCTCTCTTTGCTCCAACTGGCATTTTCGCCACCTGGACTGCTTCCTTTGACAATCTTAACATATCATGATCCGACTGCCGACTTCTGTACTCAGACCAAAACTTTTCATCTGCTAACCAGCCGTTGTACCACTTCCAAATCCATCTAGCCGAAGTCTCAGCACACCATTCAACATTTTCGAACACAAGGGTATGCGTCCCATCTACCAGGACAGCCTTTTCTACCGCCCCAGCTTGAACCCCGCCGCTACCACCCACTCCGGTTCCTGTTACCTGCATCTTGGCGTCCTGCGCGTCCGGCAAAGACAGGAAGCTCTTCTCCCCAAAGACCCAGAGGACACTAGGTCTCAGAAACGGTAAATTTCTCATGGCGGACCAGCATTCCGGGCGTGAGAAGAGATACGGCCGCTCCCGTTCACTGTCCCAGTCAGGTAGCAAGAGTCGGTCCAGCTGCTCGGGTTCCAGGTTCATCGTAGAAAAGCTCCACGCTTCTTGGTGCTTTGTTGTTCTTAACGTCACAGCTTCGGGGCCAACATTTGAATCTGAAGGGTGGTATAGGGCAGTTGGGACTTTGCGTAGCCCGTACTGAAGGTATCTTTCTCGCGTACGAGGATCCCAATTTCGGAGGCCTTTTGATAATGATGCTTTGGCGCTTTCGGCATTCGGCCAAAGGTCTCGGCGGAGGCTAGCGGGAAGTGCTGGGTTGGGACCACCGAAGGAAGCCTCGATGATGACGGGCTCGAAGAGGATGAGCGTGGACAGGAGGCGCGGATGAATGATGGAAAGATTAACCCTGTTCTCTTTGTTAGAGATTTTGGTGTGAAAGAATCATGGTCGAGCGATGAGGCTTACAGTTGTGCACAGCCCATGCTATGTGCAACACCGATGATCGGACGAGGGATCTCATCGCGGAATTGGTTGACCATCAGGAGGAGGTCGCGGGAATGGTCGTACCAATTTGCTGCACGTCACATGAATTTATATCAGTTAGCCTCAAGTCCAGCGCTTTGCTATATCGATGCACCCAAGCAGAACTTAATTGACCTACTGCGATCGCCTTGAATATATTCATTGAGAACCCCGCTTTCCCCCTGGTTGGATGTGTCTGCCATCCAGATTCCCCGCAGAGGCACCCCTCTATGCTTCAACTCGGTGTAGATGTCCTCCCAGAGGGGCTCGTAGGTTTCCTTCGGAGAGCCATTACCAGGGGACCCGATAATTGTGATCGCGTTGTCAGGCACTGGATCGGGGCGGTCAAGAGGGATATATTGTTTGATCGCGAGCTGGTGAGGGGTTTCTTGTCTGCCCCGGGTACTTTGTGGGTACTCTCGGATGTGCTGCCCGGGAATGATGTGGTCAATTATTCGAAAGGGAAAAGACATAGTTGGTATTTCTGCGAAGGTGATGTCGCGCGTACTCTGAGGGGGGTGTTTGTGTTGCTGATGAAATTAAGTTGGGGAAGTTGGTGTTCCATCGAGCTGTAAGCACAAGGCTGTGCTAGTGCCATCATCCTCGGCTTTGTAAGTTGTTGACCAATCCGCTCTTAGTATCAATTGGCTGATCCTTTCCATCCTTTCCTATCTGGAGCGGCCTTGGGATCCTACAAGTCCCTGTTTCAGTTGCTGGGGCTCCCCGACTGCTGTCCACTGGCAGATATACGGGACATCGGTTTTCGTGTAGTGGTTAGCGCTTTGGCGTTCTTCGACTACGCAACTCTGCACAACCCTTCACAATCTCACTTCTAGGAGGACATCCGTCCTTTCTGCCTTTTGACTGCTTGTTCTTCCTCCCTACATCTCAAGAAACAATCGCATTCCACAATTACTCGGCGGTGGATATGAGTAAAGCTCTTTATCCGGACGATCCACGGCGTAGCCCAAGCTCTGGCTTCCCGGAATACCGCATCATGCTGGCCCCTGAGTACGAATCAGAATCGAAAAAAATTCTACCTCATGGAAGCTCTGGTCAATAGAATAAAGTCAAGGGTAAATAAATGATCAATGATGAAGACAGTTTTGACAACGAATATGCTGACTTGTCCTATTTAGATCTTCGGGGATGTAGAGCTGGTAGATAAGGAAGAGTTGGCCAAGTTCATTGTTAATACTTCCAAGCCAGGCATACCCCCCGAAGGAGATCAAAGCGGCCATTGCAGTATGACATTACCCGAAGGATCGGGAGGTGCAAGAGTTACTTGTATAGGCATTGTTGCAAACCTTCAGAAGGCCGTGGAATACATCAACGATTCATTCATTAAGAATGAACCCCTCTTTCGACCAGCTTAGGATGAGTGGTGGCATGGTTACATCAATGACCAGGTACAACGCACGTCGACTTGGATCAAATGTGCCAGCCGCTTAATGCGCACTGTATGGGAGCACGATAGTATGAAATATCATCCCGCAAGGAGATTCGTCCTGCAGGCATTGGAGGACCACGCCAGGAAAGGAAAGGGAATGACTTACCATTAGGGAAGAATCGCAGACATAAGCAACGACAGAGTTCCATTCTTGCCAAGATAAGTTTTGAATGTGGTAGATTGGTAGAAAGTTATCGCATTGGCCCCACAGATCTGTTGCCCCATCTGTAACGCAACAGCGATGAAGGCGCGGTTGGCGAATCGTGCTGGTCCATTTCGAAAGATATCCTTGAACGACCCCTGTCCCGTTTCCTGAAGCGTCGTTTCATTCTGTTCGATTTGGTGAACGATACTGGGGCTGTCGATGGGCTCGTCGCGGAGCTTGGCAAGGACATTGCGGGCGTCATCAATGCGGCCCTTTTTAATCAGCCAACCGGGGCTACGCTATTAGCACTATCATGTATCATGATGGATGGGAGTATACCGTACCGAGTCGGGCCAAACGGGGTCCCAGCATAGGAATCCCAAGCAGAGAAAACAAGCAAATACAAGAGGAAGTCTCCAGGTCACCGATCCGTCTGTAAACGCGACTCCGTATTCCAGCCACCCAGCCAGCGCTAGCCCGGTACATAAAAGGATACTCTGTAGCATGGCAATAAATCCTCTTAACATGGGCTGAACAGTCTCACTCTGCCTATAGGAATCACTGTCTGGTTATCAGAATCTGTTAAATACCTATAATACGATGCATAGCCAAGGAGAATGAGTGTTCATACCAATTTGGCCCAGTAGCAGTGACTCCACCAAACCCAAAGCCAGCAATAAGCCTCCCAATTGTTAACTGTGGCAAGGTGAATTCACTCGACTATAGTACGGAGCCGATAATACAGACCCAGCCAGACCGTTCTCTTCCGGCCGAGGATACCTCCCACGAGTATACAACTAAGGGCACTGCAGAGACAGCCCAAATTGAAGATTGCCGTTACTGTTCCCTTGATACGTGAGTTTTCTGCTTCCTTGGAGCCAGTCATATTGACGGTGTCCATCTGGGGGAAAGTGTGTATCCATGACTGTCGAGTTTCGATGCCCGAAGTCTCAGCCATGAGATAACCGAAGCAGATATAGGCCGGGAGAATGACCGTACAGATGTGCCCGATGTTGAGCTTTGTGCCACGGAAGCCTGATGCTGGTTTCATCTTGCTGTATGGGGAGGATATGGTGAACTAGATTAGTTACGCGTATACGAAGGGCTTATGGGAATAGAGTGGTAACAGAGGAGACTACAGGCAGAACAGAACACATATTTGCTGATCTAGCTCTAAGCGAAGGCTTTCAGGGGAATCCCGGAGACCCCAATACCAACGGGTTACCATGCCATCATTGTACCAGACCCATATTTTCGTCCGGGGAATCGGGGGGCCGAATCCTGTATTGCGCAGGGAATCCGGAGGAGTTGTGGAGGCATTGGGGAGTTTGAAGTCGAGTTTGGTACCGACAATGCTATCAACTAGCCAGTTGTAGGCTTAAGTTCAAGGTAGCGATCCACATCCTCCACATAAGCTTAACTGATTGGGACTATTAAGCTGTGGGTCCCGGCCTTTTCCGCGGGAGTCTATCAAGTCCGATGCTTTTTCGCCGTACACTAAATAAGACGGTGTCACGTAACGAGCGAATTTATTTTCTTTGAAAGTAGTCCACGCTTAGGCGAGGAAGAACATTGGAACAAAAATTTGCGACAATGGCATGGTGTTTCTTGGGTTCAAACAATTTGATAAATTCACACAAGTGCGCAAGTCTTCAGGAAACAATATATTTATTTAACAGTGTGAGGCTTGTAGACGTGATTGTATATTATTTATCGACATTATAAGTACTCAACAATTCTCGGACGTCAAACTTCATCTTGTACTCACTTCAGTTTCACCTCAGCCTTGATCATTGAAGTAAAAAGTAATTCTGACATGCGTAGCACTGACTGAAATGCGAGGTTTAAAACTCAGAGTGCCCTGCTTGTTGTGATGTAAAGTGCTTGTAATGTCCGTAAGAGTTACCGTGGTATTGCGGCAACAGATATTAAGTGATTATTTCAATGCAATAATTTCTGTAAAGACCATAGCTGTCATCCTATTGATTCTCCGTTTGGTCCAGTTTACGCTTAACCAAATCAGCCAACAGCACATCACGATCCCCCTCAACCTTCTTCAGGTCGACTTGCGATGTCCACCCATTGACGTTCTTCTTCAAGCCATCAACTTGCTCCTCGGATCCCAAGTCAAATTTATTCTGTTCCATATCGTCGACCCACGACTTCAACGCCGGGCCCAAATGATCCATAAAATGGGTGAAGTCTCCCCCGCCGCCGAGGGTATTCGTCATAATTGGCCCTGTCAGCGCCCACCGCAGGCCGAGGCCGGAAGTGACAGTTTTGTCTATACGCCATTAGAACTTCTTCCACATTGCAACAAGAGGAAGATTAATGCTCACCCAGATCTTCTGCAGAGACAATCCCTCGTGAAACGAGGCTGTATGCCTCGGCACACATTGCGGCTTGTAACCGATTGGCAATAAAACCGGGCGTTTCTTGATTCACAACCACTGGATCCTTGTCCAGACCCTTGTAGAATTTATATGCAGCTGCCACATAGTCTTGGCTTGTTCCTGGATGAGGCACGACCTCGACCAGAGGTACTAAGTGAGGAGGGTTGAAAGGGTGACCGATGAGGATTCGAGATGGGTTATTTGTGCATTCAGTGACAAATTTTGACGACGGAAGGCCGGAGGAGGAGGATGCGATGAGGATATGGGAAGGGGTCTTTGCGTCCAAGTGCGCGAATAGACGGCGTTTGAAGTCTAATCTTTCTGGCCCATTCTATCATATTAGTTAGCATGCATGACGAACTGCAGAGAAGCTCTAAAAAATGACCGGCCACTGACTTCTTGAATCATGTCTAGGCTTCCGAGGTAAGGCTCAATGTCCTTGACGAATGTGTAGTTCTTCAGACAAGCGGCAGGAGCAACCATAGCATTAGGTACTGCGGAGCAATAATCCTGCAAGTAACCACGCAGCTTTGCCCCAGCTCCTGGCGCTGGGTCTGTTACAATCACTTGGAGGCCCTTGGCAAGGAAGAGTGCTGTCCAGCTGGCTCCGATCACGCCTGCGCCGATCACGCCGACCGTTTTGATTGGGGAGGACATCGTGGGATTTTGTGAGGCTTTGCTCTTCACACACTTCTGAAGAGTGTAGTGAGAAATGTCTATAAATATAGCCAGCGCTGTCGACTTCACAGTTGACCAGCCTCCGTCATGCTTTTGGTAGTGGCCAATATCTCGGAAGCTCCAGTCGGCTACCTAATCGGGCAATATCCACCTCGGAAGCGGCTCGATGTTGATGACGACGATTATTGAAGAGATGTCCCGGCAATCCCAGCGGTCGGGAGTTGACCGGCGTTAAGCCGGTAATTGCTCGGAATGACATTAATCACCAGAGGCGAATTACCGTGTTGGGCCAGATCCAGCGGGTTCCGTGGTTTCGGCTTGGCAACATTCACTTTCCGCAGGTTCGGGATGCCAATTCTGAAACATCGGGATCAATTTGGAAGGGCGACCCACGATGTTCAACGGTTTGATGGGTCTATTGTGGGGGGAGAGAGTGAATGATGGCCGTATATAGTCACAGTATCCTTGAGCTTTTAGATCCTCCCTGCTTCGCAGCACTTCAATACTTACTATTTCTCTTTAGAACATTGCTGTCCTGCAAACATCTGACACCCTTCACGATGGCTTCCCACGAAACGACGTCAAGTGCAGACATCTACGGCCCCGGGACCTTTGTCGATAAGGACTTCCTTCCCGCACCCCAAGATGCTAGCCGCATATTCGAGTATATCGCCAAGCGCACGCCTGGGTTCACTCAGGATCATGAACTGTGGAGGACCGTCAGATTCACTGGCTGCGACCTACCTGTCATTCCTGGCCCTACCAAGGCGCCTCTCGTCGCCGCTGCCCTGCATGCCATGTGTGGTGTCGTCGCCCACGAGATTATAGAAGATCGCGATGGTACCGCAGCCCGCAATCAGAACGTGAAGGTGAACACCGATCACGCGGCCATCTGGCTAGGGACGATCTTTGCGGCGTCCGTTGAAGGAAAGGACATGTCAGAATTGGTCCGGTCGCGCAAGCTACCGTCCCTTTTCGAGCGTGATTTCGAGAAGGGCTGGCAAGCAACGCCTATGAGACAACGGTCGACTGCGATCTACAAGACCAAGACGCCGGGAGTTTGGTATCAGATCCATGGCTCCCTAGACGCCGCGCCTGTTCTGCGTGCTCTGGGAATGGATCCCGACTACCCGGCCAAGACGCCGGACGAAGCCTACGAATACATCAGTAAGCATGTCGAGCAGTGGACTGCGGATGAGCTCGAGATGCTCAATGTCAAGAACGGATTCTGTGGCAGTATCTGCTTCACGCCGCAAGGGTGGGCAGATACGTTGATGGGTAAGAGACTTGCCGAGCACCCGCTGGTCGGTTACTCGCGCCAGTCGCATGCCATCCCGACTCCCCCCATTCCATTTTCCAAGGTCGCGAACGATAAGCGACCACTCGCAGGCATCAAGGTGGTCGAGCTGGTGCGTATTATCGCTGGTCCCGTGATTGGCAGTACTTTGGCCGCACTCGGTGCCGACGTCATTCGAGTTAACTGCAGTCGCTTGGTGGATCTCAACGTATGTTCCGTATTCTTGCTGGAACACTTTTAGGACATGGTGTGCTAATATGAAAACTTCAGGTTCTGCAACTTACCCTCAATGCTGGAAAGCGGACCATAGATCTCGACCTGACGAAGAGGGAGGACAAGTCACGCCTGCGGGAACTCATCGAGGGTGCCGATGTTTTTGTTCAGGGTTTCCGCCCCAACGCGATCGCAAGAAAGGGTTTCGGTGTTAATGATCTTCTCGAGATGGCCGGTAACCGTGGCAAGGGTATCGTCTATGTCGAGGAGAACTGCTACGGCCCCGACGGCCCATACCACGAGAGACCTGGCTGGCAGCAGATTGGAGATGCTGCATCTGGTTCGTCGTACGTGATGGGTCGTTCCCTGGGCTTCACAGACGGGACAAGCGTCCTGCCTCCGCTGCCCATCTCTGATATGACAACCGGGCTTGTCGGAGCCTTGGGTGCACTGATGGCTCTCCGGGATCGCTCCCGCCACGGCGGCTCGTATCGCGTGACTAGCTCGTTGGTCAAGGCTGATACGATTAACCTTGAGCCTGAGATCGGGCTTTACTCGCCCGAAGTTGTCGAAAAGTGCACCCAGTTGTTCAAGTGGGGGCACATCGGGCCCTCGCAGTTCGTCACAGAAATCCTGCTGGTTGTCATGGATGGATGGAAGAATGTATTCCCTCAGTATTTCAAGGCTGGTCCTGAATCGCTGCTCTCCAGCTTCGGAGAGGGCCCTTGGGGTAAGATGGAACTTCTGAGGCCTGTGGCTCAGTTGAGTGACCCAAGCGTAACGCCTCGTTGGCTAACACCCTCCGTGCCTAATTGCTACCATGATCGCAACATCAATTGGTTGTGAGTCTTAGACTCCTGGTGCACCGATAATGTCAAGCAGCAACCCTATTTGAACATTAATCGCAGGGCAATTGCGGCGTGTTGCACCCATTCTTGCACAATACTAGCGAAGGTAATTTTCACGAACCATACACCGTAATAGTTTTTTGTCTTTCTTCAAAGGATGTAAATGGAACCTCTTCTTCACCAAACCCGCATGGGATTCCGATGTGTAAACTGTTGCCAGTAGGTAGCCGATCAGTATCGAGTACTGGTGATCCACAAGAGAGTTGATGCGTCCTTAGAAACCAATTCTGAGGCCTACATCCCCCAACTATCAGGAAGCGGTGCTTCATCACCGAGCTGCGCGAAGAACATGGGCCAGTTGTTCCAATCGAAGGTATAGTTCTCTATGATTCCCAAATCGTCCCCCATCATCGCCGGAGGCTCTTGAGGACCGATGACAAAGTTCTGCACGGATGTGTTGTCATGACCTCTGGAAACTGGTAACGCTTCAGGGGGTCCAATGTTCGCTATTGATGTGCGCCGACCAATGCTTTGCTCAATTAAATTCAATGCAGAACGGCACCTCGATGCCAGCGTAGTATGTTTTTCATAATTGCTGAGAATGTCTCGTGCACGTTGCAGAATGCCCTGCAAGCGAGACGCGGAAAAGTATTCCACTATCTGCGGCGATGATTGAGCTGCAAGCAAATTTGTTACAGCCATATAGACATCTTGCTACTGTTAGCCGACCGTGTTCACTTACAGCATAATAAGCGCCACTTACATGAGACAGTGTACCAATTGGATGGTAAGATGTAGGCCTGCTTCTGCCCGGGGGAGTTCCGGACGATAAATTCAACCATGTCGATGGCCGCCTTTGTGCAGTTCACCTGGCATTGGAATACAATGTGAGGCATGACCTGGTCATCATCCGCATAGAGACCAGTACCAGGCGCGTTCTCGGCCTTCTGTTGATGAATCTGTAGAAGCAAGATCCTGAACAGCAGAAGCCGGACTGAAAGATACCTTCGCGTACGAAAGATGTCAGTGATTTCTTGTTATCACAGGTTCATCAAGGTTGTATTTACAGACCTGGCTCGTAGGATATTCGCTTCACGAGTGATGTGCTTTGTTGGCGTGGGATCTTCCAGCTCTGACGGCATCTGAAAGAACGGGTGCAAGCCACGGGCCCAATTATTCAGGGCAGAATCGATGCGAAGTAAGCTCGCGAATTTGTCAAAAAGGAGTGCACAGCTTTCCTCGCGATCATTGACAGTGCTAGAGGCATGATGACGATCCTTGCTGTCATCGAGGGAATAGAACGTCTCAAGTACTTCTGCTATAATGTGGTGTAGTCGGCAAAAGGATGTGTAAAAAGTTAGTTTCGATGGTAGGCTGGTGGTTGGAGTGTCGCTCCTGGTTTCTTCAGACTTAAGTACTAGCGCGTTCAACCCTCCCTGTGCGACCGATCGAGGAACTCTGAGGGGGCAGCCAAAAGTCATGGCGCAGATTCTGGGGTGGCTTCAGTATCAGCACTCATAATTGCGGCTCCGGTTTCATACCTGTCCATAATAACGCATCCGTTCCAAACCTGACGCGCTAGGTCTCGGTCTTTTGGGTTGTCCATCCCCTCCGTTGTTTCAGGGAGATGTAATCCAAGCTCCTGGGCGACATGAATCGCGGTTCCAATAATCCGGAAGCACTTCTGGGGCTCTTTGTCATGCTGGAGATAAACTGCTGTGAGTAACAGTATCTGAATTATTTCAATGTTGTACATGTCCATCAGATTGTAGGACATCAGCGCCTGAGCTCGGTCGAAGAAGACAACAGAGGATGGATAGCGGTCAAGCGGGGTTTCCCCTTGAGATGCGACACAGGATGTGGCGAACATGAGATTCAGAAGGCAATGGAGGACGGTCTCGTTCATTGTCAGTTCGCCATCACGAACCCATAGGGTCTCGTATGCTTTTTCAAATGAAGGCCTGTCTAGCCAGGGGTAAGCGCTGTCGACATAGTCCCAGTAGAGGCTCAGAAGGTTGTCCGCCTGCTTTCGTGGAGGAACGGCAAACTCCACATCTGCATGTTCTTTGTGAGTGCGCTTTTGCAACTTTGGCAGACGTTTCAATGCTTTTGGTAGTATTGAAGTCCGATTTTGTCTTTTGTTGGCAGGGGTATCGGGTGCGCCTGCCTGGTTTCCGACATCTGGGAGGAGGTGTGCACCACTGGATGCGCCAAACAGGCCGCCGGTCGGGACGAATCCACTGAAGCTGCTGGCAGCATCATCATCATTGATTTGTGGGCAGTCGTTCGATAGTCGCTCACTTGTGTGGCTCGACTGCTCACTGACATCAGCATCACGGTATTCACAGGCCGTGGTATGCGAGGTTCGTTTCCTTCTTGAGCAGGAACCGCAGACTAATGCACGATGAGCCTAATTATGTTCTCCACCGCGAGTGACAAGGAGTGTTATTGGTTCAGTCTTACTTGGTCTAGCACCATCGCACTTGGTTTTCCTGGCCTTGCATACATTGCAGGCAATTCTAATCTTGGCCCGTTTCGGCTTGGGTTCGCTCAAGGTCTGGCCGTGTGGGGAAGAGTGGCCGGCGTGGAATGAGAACATCATCATGCGAAGAGGAATACATGGAAGAGCAAGAGATTCCGAGTTTCCCGCCGAATTCTAGAATCCATCCGTGCGATTATGTCATCCGCTTCCGCTCCCAATGCGGTAATCCGAGGACCAGCGGATAGTCGGCATCAATCATCCACAGTTGCCCTGAAGCCCAAAGCACAAAACTTGGAAGAATCGGTATGCCGGTGGGTCAATTTGTCGGTTACAAGGTAGATAATGGCTCAAGCTGTAGCAACTACGGAGCATTAAGTGCGCATTGGATAATCAGTTGATCCCGAGGTTCTCGGCTTCGCTGTTCTCCTACTCTTTATATATAGTAGTCCTCCACTGAGCTCTTATCACTTCTCAACTTAAACCTCAACCCTAGTACTACTAGTATCACGAAAAAACCAAGGTACACACTATCACAATGGCACCTCGACCTGACCCTCCAGCAACCGGACGTGTCTACTTCCTCGACATCGGAATCTCAACCTCTGAGCCTAATGGACGTCTTTTAACCTGCAAGCCCGATGGCTCCGATTTCCGCGAGCTGATCACTCAACTCAACACCCTGCCCGACGGTATCGCCATTGACTCTGACCGCCAACACATCTACTGGACAAACATGGGAATCCCGTCCGCCGATGATGGATCCATCCAGCGCTGCGATTACTCAGGGAATAACATCGTCACCATCATCCCAAAGGGATACACCCATACCCCGAAGCAATTGATCATTGCTCCACGATCTCAGAAGCTGTACTGGTCTGATCGCGAAGGCCGACGGGTCATGCGAGCGAATCTGGATGGGAGTGAGATCGAGGTACTTTACAGGGCCACTTCAAGTGAGGGCACAAACACACCGGCTGTTCTTGACTGGTGCGTGGGCATTGCGGTTGACGAGGAGGCACATTCGGTATATTGGACACAGAAAGGGCCGTCGAAGGGCAACCTTGGCCGGATCTATCGCATGGGAATTGAGATGAGACAGGGTGAATCAGCGGAGTCGCGGACAGATGTTGAATGTCTCATCGATGGTCTGCCCGAGCCCATCGACTTGGAGTTCGACCATGCCACAAGGACATTGTACTGGACGGATCGTGGAGATCCGCCTCGGGGAAACACGGTGAACTCGGTCAATCTTTCCAGTGCGCCCGTGAACAAGTTGGAACCGAAGATTCTGGTGCGCAAGCTTCATGAGGGAATCGGAATTGCTTTGGATACCAAGAATAAGCGTATGTTTTTCGGGGACCTGGGTGGCTCATTGTACAGTGCCAACTTTGATGGGACATGCAAGTATACCATCGTGGCTGATGTTGGGGGTGCAATCACTGGTGTGGCGTATGCTGGGTAATAGAGTATTATGAAATTAAGCTAGAAACTGTTGTATATATGCACCTATCTAATTTATCATCCTCTGCTGTATTCGCTGCCTTCGCACCGTAGATTTCTTTATAAACAGCACATAGATTAGCATATCTTGTTGAATCTAGTAGAGGTCCTTTTATGGCATTCCGCATGCGTTCCAGCTGTATTTCCCTGACTTGACAAATCGGCCATTCGTCAGTACGAATATCTGAAGTGAACATTCTCCGTATCTGTCTGGTCCAGCTCAGTATCTCTCTGGCCTTCTCTTGATGCAATTCCGTTCTTCTTGCGATTCAAGTGCGCCGCATAGACTGCGAACGCGAGCAAGAGAAGAATCTCCACACAATATGCGACCAACATCGCAATGATTCCCGATGTATATTGGGGCGCTTCATCTGACTTGAATGCAAACGGCCCGATAATATTTCCGACACAGTACGAAATGAAGAATATGGCATTAACAACCGATCGTTTGGTGGTACCTCCTGTATTTGCGGTGATGAGGGACATGATCAGGGCGAATGATGCTGTATAAGTACTCGTTAACTAAATCCAGTTAGCCTTCAACTTACTCGTGGAGGGGTAGAATGTAGAATACCCAGTAGCAAACCAGCAGAGCGATTTTGTGATCTCTCGATATGGTATGGATCCCGACCGCTCCCGCCAGAGCCGGACACACATACAAAGCACCAACGATACACCTCTTCTGGCCCGGCAGCCATCGCTGAATGTACATAGCGGACACATTGGAGACAAGGATCACCATCCCATACGGGATCTGGAATAATGTCGTGACTAGATTCGAGTATCCGAACCCCTCAATAATCAGACTCCCAAAGTTACTCGCCGCCCCGTTGACGACTTGTGTGCAGACGCCGCACAGGAAGAAAAACCAAGTTTTGGGATCTGTCAGCGCCTCCCATATCTGGTACATCTTGATCTCGGACACCCTTATGCCGGAGTGTTGGGGGCCGAGACGATTGATCGCGATGTGCTTTTCTTCTGCGGTAAGCCAGCCACTGTTTGATCAGCAATGGTAAAACCGGACAAGGATGAGAGACTCATACGCTGTAGCCGGACCATCCGCAAGAGTGAAGAACATGAACACTCCCCATGCAGAAGATATGGCACCTATAATGATGAATGATACTGCCATGATGCTAGGTCGCCATGGATATGGCCAATAGCAAACGCCAAGAGCCCACCAAAAGCATTTGCAATACCCAGAAAGGTCGACCACCATCCAATCCTGATCGGCTGTTCTTCGATAGTATACCATGTTGCTGTGATGAGGAGGTAAGCTGGTGTTGAGCAAGATTCGAGAGCACCGAGGACAAATCGAAGACCAAGAAAGGGTTGGAATTGCGTGCACGCCGCCAGAGCCATAGTCACTCCACCCCAGATGAAGATGTTCGCAGATAGCCATTTTGACACGGAGAGTTTCTGCATAGCGAAGACAGAAGGGTACTCAAACTGTCAAGGTCAGTAAGCTGTGATACCTATGGGTTACACGAATGAATATACGGCGAGATATCCAAAATAGAACATGCTCCCTGTCATTGTTAGCATGTCCCCATGTAGAAGAAGGTTGCTCATACCCAGCCAACTATATTCGGTTCCTTTTAGATGCAAATCCTCCTTGAGTCCAAAAACAGCGGCGTAGCCCATCATCGCTTTGTCTATGTAAGTGATGAGGTACGTGATGCAGATGAATGGAATCACCATCCCATCTAATTTCCTGATTACCCGACGTAGAAGATCTGGGTCGAACTGGGCTTGCCATTGTGCTTCGTCTACACTTTTGCCCTGCTCCACTGACTCAAGATGGTCTGTAGTTATTTTCGACATGATTCATAGTTTGTGTTAACTGGGTTGCTAGTTCAGCGAGGATCTAAGCTGGAGATAACCCGGTTGAACGGATGATCTTAATTTATCGACTCTGTACACCCAAGAAGATTTATATAGGCATCCCAGTTAAACTTTTTCACAATTAGCGGTTCAAAGTGAAATCTAGCACTTGCGAATTCACCCCGCATTCGCTATCGTGGTCTACACCAGCCGGCCAATTGACTGCCAATTGCTAGTACAGTGCTCCGGGGCCCCGGGATATCAACTGTGGAGATTGGCTGAAGCTAGTCTGGGCGGATATGCTTGTTATTTGCTATGGGAAGAGGACCACAGGGGAGGTGGCTGCCTCCCAGGAGTTAGCAGCGGATTTCAATAGCAAGACTCCTTCCTTATTATACGCCTCACCCCAAGGGTGAGCTGTGTATCTGTCCCGTAGATATAGCAAATCCGCGTCGGAAAAGTTGTGAATCGGATGCTTTTCCGCTCCGGTACCGCACTCCAGGAGATCCCGTGGGGTCATCCCCGGATTGACGGAAATATGTCGCATAAACCGGTTAAAAATGACGATGTTGGCAGGTATCAGTAATCTGATGGAGTGAGACAGCGAGTTATTCACTCTCCACAATTTTGTATGTCAGTTGTGTTCGTAAGACGCTTCTTCTGGTGTTACCCAGGGAACGCAGCAGCGACCCTTGGGTTGCAAACAAGCTTTCTGATACTACATGATATACCAATCTCGGTTATAACATGCGGAAAAGTAGCCGAATCCGCCCATCGTCGCGGCCGGATCCATTCCAGCATTGCGAACACAGTCAGTCTCTCCATGCTTTGGGATTCCTATTAACACCACTAAAGTTTGCCTAATGCTATAATCTAACCCCACATCTGAAGCAATATCCTCGGGATAAACTCCGAGACGGCTCCTATAAGGCCGGAAGTCCCTCTATGAAACCGTACACGTTATCTCATCAACACAGCACCTGAAATGGAACCTGTCGCGTTTGATGCACTCCCCCTCCGAAAGGATGGCCCCCATGAAAAGGCCTGGGGTGTTTTTTTTGGTAGAACTGACCAGCTAGGTATACTGAATCGCCTCACACCCGAGACAACGAGGGAAGCAGCAAAAGAAATCATCGACGGAGTCCGTGTATCCACCGACTGGTTTTTGGATAGTATGCAAAAACCGTGTTTTGGCCGGCCAAAGCTCGAACATGTTGTGAATAACAAAGCGCCGCGGGCTGTAAATGACGACAGCCTTGCTTTCAATACGCAGGTTAGCTCTTAGTGGGATGGATTCCGACACCATGGGTATCAAAATGAGAAGATCTATATCAACGACTGTACTCTGGAGGAGATCCAGAGTGGGGATAGAAATGGGATCCACGGTTCGTTTGTTCTATATTCTACTTAAACTCATGCAGCGCTAATTGCCTCAGTATGGGTTGAGAATGGAGGAATTGTAGGACGCGGCGTTCTCCTCGATTACGCCTCCTGGGCTGAAGAACATGGGATACAAATCAACTGCTTCTCTACCTCATCTATTTCTGTCTCTTCTCTAAAAGAAATTGCCATCAGCCAGGGAACAACTTTCAAAACAGGCGATATCCTGTTCATCCGCACTGGCTGGACCCATGCCTATGAGCACTTATCCGCCGAACAGTGCCAAGAGCTAGCTGATGTGAAAGTCCCACCGGCTATTGGTGTCGAATCATCCGAAGAAACCCTGCGTTGGATCTGGGAGGAAGGATTCGCAGCTGTTGCGGGGGATATGCCCAGTTTCGAAGCATGGCCATGCCAGAATATTGACTTTTGGTTGCATGAGTGGGTGCTCGCGGGCTGGGGCTTCCCTATTGGAGAATTGTTTGATCTGGATCGACTGAGCCAAGAGTGTCGGAAGCGGAACCGATGGAGCTTCTTCTTCAGTAGTTGTTCCGTTGAAGGTAACCTCATTGTGCTTTTTGTTGGTAGTTCTACGCTGACTGGTCTAGGTCCCTTGGTGGAGTTGCTAGTCCACCAAATGGTGTTGCGATTTTCTGATCGGCTTGTGCGTTGGGGTGATTGAGACGCTGTTGTACATATATGATGAAGGTTAATGAAAGGTAATGGGTTTTCCTATTCGCATGTCGATCGACTCAAGCTGTGTAGTTTATCTCGAGCTGATGGTATCCCTAAGGAAACTACCTAACCGTTGGGTTCGAACTGTCGGGTCACCTGTTGATTGTCCCGAATTAGCAGAGCAATTACAATCACTGTGCCACAATTCACGTGCACCATAGCAATTGGTTACATGCTTCGCTCAGTATCATGGAACTTTATTCACGGAAAGCACCGTTTCCATTCATTTACCAGTGTCATAAGCTTTGAAATAACAATGTTCACTTCGCATTGACTATGAGTATGATGTGATTTCCAGCTCCTATACGACACTCGACACAATCAGTCGATTTCAAAAGAGAAACAAATCAAAATATGCTAACGCCCTCTCCTGCAGCACTGCTGCATCCGGAACTCGCCGGACAACTCCTTAAATCCCAAACGCCGTTATTTGCTATTCTTCTTCTTCTGCTGCTCCAAAATGTCGATGTAGACGTGGCCCAGAGGTCCAGCCTCTGGGCTCCATCCCCCATGTTCGACACGATACTTGCTATTGCTGTCCAGCATCTCGACGATGTTGACAGGATTGCCCTGGCGATTATCCCAGTGCAACTCGCAGATCTTTTCCTCGTCGTGGAAGAGGTCCAGCCGGCCCTCGCTGCCGCGGCGACCACGAGCACAGATCTCACCGATGCCGTACGAGGGGATGGTGATTTCATCGATCTCGTCTTCGGTGAGGGACTGTCTGCGGTTGTTGGGGTCGTGGAATTCACCACTATCATGAGATATCAGTTAGTATACAAGAGAAGAGTTTCAATTGAATGAAATTTCAATGAACAGTTCACATACCCTTCGATGACGGTGTGTCGGACGGTGATCTCGCCCTTGTCCAGGTGGTCCCGGATGTGGAAAGAGACCCATTGGTCGTCCATGGGGCCGGCTGCAGGCATCTTGAATGAAGCAGGGCAGAAGGTGAGTAGAAAGGGTATGTGTATCTATGTATGCTGTGATGCTTTGAGGATGATGGGAGAGAGAAGAGCGAGTCGAGCAGCTACCGAAGGGGCTATTTATTGCTGAGGCCGGGCTGTGGGGTGATTCGAGAGCGGCGTTGGAAAAGGGCTGATCAGTCTCCCAATTTGCTTGGATGAATGGACGAGCCAGAGATGAGACAGTGAGGAAAGAGGATCAGATGACGGCAGGGTGGGTTGATGTGGTTGGCTCGGCGGTGGGCTGATCCACGGATGGAGACATGCAGATGCTGGGATTGTGGGGGTGGGCCGGCAGTTGACGGGCTGCTGCTCACTGGCTCTATTGTGTTTCGTTGCTCGCATGGCGTTGCTACTGGTGGCGTCATGGCCCGTGGTATCTTTGTCGCCGGCACCGATGGCATCACCACTTTTTTGGTGTTGCTGCTTTGGCTTCGTCTGTTACCCCCGGCTTGTTTTCCCCGCACCACCCGCCCAATGATCACCAGTTGTTGTCCCAGGGATCGGCAGAGCTGTCGATGCTGCTCCATCCTCTTAATTGGATGACATGTCACCTATTTCCCTTGGTGGCGAGACTGCTGGTCTGGGAATTTGGCCAGAGAGACCTGGCCAAAAGGTTTCAAGTTGGCGGTTTCCACCTAAATCTCGCCCTCGTGATGGTACCAATAAGCCCGGTTTCGTCTATTGGCTCAAATCCAAAAGTACCTGGCTTTTGAACAACTGCAAGCTCTCGAAACCACTTTGTTGGACGTAATGCCTGCAGCTTCGTACCATCATGCAGGACTCGTGGCCAGTGCTGATAGGAGGGTCAGACAAATGTCGGGGATCAATCTTGGTTACAGCTAACGCATAATGGCTTGCATTTTACCGAGAAGTGCTGCTGATCTAATATAGAATGGCTTCTTACTCTCTCTACTTGCTAGCTTGGACCTTTCAGTTTGATGCCTTTGAGGGTCAATGAACTCCAACGTGGTAGGGAGTAGACTCGTCCGGTTGCGGTAGTAGGAGGCCGGCACACCAATGCAGGCAGGAATTGGCCGAAAGCTAGGGATGCACTACACATAACTTACTTGACAGACCATCACCAAATCGGGTCATGATCATCTACGGCACACCATGCACTTGCAGTCTTCTTGCAGCAAGTGTCGTCTCAGCCGATCGGGTGAAGATCCGCCCAGCCCCAACGTGACCACTTGCCTACCTTTGTCCGGCCAGTGACGATCCTTCCCCCCTCAATTCAGAGTGGTACAAAGTAGATACAAAGTAAGAAACCATGTTAGGGATCGGAATAATCTAACCTGATGAAGCGTAGATCGGCCAGGACATTTCCCCGCGCGACAGATACGACGTTTGGTCGTCCCCAACACGAATGAGCAGCATACGGCTCGGGACGGTCGCGTAGTCCAACGGCTCGTACAGGCGACGTCAGCTGGTGATATTGCAGACTTACGAGGGAGGAATCGACGATGGGTTGTTGTTCGAAACAGTGTGGCCTTCCGGATGGGAATCTGCCCACCCAATGTAGTAGATGAAGGGCACTCGAAACAGCGTCGATGAAACGTCAGTTGCCCGTTTTCTATCTTGGAGAGTGACAGTGTCACCCCAGGCATCATCCAGAGAGCCATAGAAACCTACCCCAGCTTGCCAGTCCGAGTTGGTCAGGGACAACTGGGATGGGAAGTCAATTTTGCGTGGATTGCACGGCTGCTCCCCTGTCACGCGGGAGCGGCTTGTCGCGGTTCAGATGCAAGGTCAAGGCGGGGATGGCTTCCATCCGCCCAATTGCTCAATACTCTCTGGTTCGAGATGCATGGGTCGTATCGGTTGACAAAAAGTAACGCTGACAACGCGCCCACCCCGCTCAAGAAGGTCGAATCGTTTCAATCACTGACAACTTTCGTGTCTCGTACAAGCAAGCAGAGATGGGAAATGAAGCAAATGATGGGATTAGAGCACTGCATCTCTGGCTAGGCTACTTAGCGCTTGGTGCAAGGATTCTGGGTTTACCAATCCTGGACAGGCCAGGCAAGTCAAATGCAAATGTCATGCACTTCACCTATTAGGGAGCTTCACGGAGGATATTATACATGCTTGCAAACAAGCAAGGCGACTGCCCCGGATTTTTTGCTTTATGATGGAGAACAACTTCTTAATCACCGCTTTATGACCACTTTATGCAACAACCACAGGGTCCCAATGTTAAAGGATGATACCATAACGCCCGTAGATATCTGCCCTTCAGGCTTCATAGTTATAACAGAGGTATCCTCCAACCGGGTTCATCACGTCGGCCACAGTGACATCTGGCATTATATTGAATGTGGTCAGGGTGTAATTGAGCGTTGTCTGTGGCCAGCCTGATGCAGGCTCAACATTGGCCGACTCATTGATCGCAGGGCCACCCATGTCCCATAGGCGGTTTGCGGGATCATGCATCTGCCACCGGTACCACAGACGGTCGATATAGCCATGGTGCAGATAGAACAACGGGTCGCCTGGGGAGGTCTTCACATCTTCCATCTAGTTTCCTATGCGTCAGTTCATCGAACCCATGCTCTTGACGATGGGAACAGCAAGCACTCACCACTCCGCCAACCGCCCAGTGGCCTCCTCGGTGAGGCGTGGCGGCAATGCAGGCAAAATATTCGTCATAGGAGTCGAATGTATTGCAGTGGGCGACTGCCGCACCCGTAGTATTCATTATCGCCTCGAAATTTCCCCAGCTGCGGTTCATGCAGAACACCGTGTTTTGATTCTGGGGACCAATATGTTCCGTATAGTATGCGAAGGCCCCATCGGTCACACATCCATCAGGTTCCGTGCCATTGCCACCAAACGCATCTGCATCCCACATCTCCGACCGGAACATGTTCCCGGAATCTGTGTCGTATGCCTCATTCCACCATCTGCAATGTAGTCAGCCTCCTTTCGTTCTGTGCCAACGAGGGGTTCGCAACCTACGCCATTGGACCGGTATACCCACACTGCTCCTTCAGCAATGTCTCATAAGTATGCAGGAAATACCGGTGCCAGGGCAAGAATTGGCCCTATTCCATCAGACTCGGCTTTGACAATGTTTCTCGCGAGACTTACCACACTATGGATAATGTCACCCACTGGGGTGTTGGTAAGGGCGCGGTGCAAGGCCTGTAGATCGCTGAAGCGGTTCGTGGTCGCCTCTAGCCCCGTTTGTGCAGGAAGATCCATCAAGCAGTTCACGCCCTGGAGATAGCTTTGCTGTTCGACCTTGGTCATATTCCGCCATTCCTTTCGAATGGTCATCTTCTCTGGCGTACACCCCCCTGAAAACAGCCCTGGATCAAGGGTAGTCGCCGCATCAGAGGTTGGGGTTGCGCTGGTAGAAACCAGCCTAATGGCGGGCAAAAGCCAAAGGGCGGAAAGCATCATATTCAACGTGTTGGGTAGCAAGATTGTAGCCCACTGGCGGGTCAATATTATGAGCGACGGCCAGTAAAGGAGGCACGACGACTTTTTTGTGGAGGACGATCCACTCGGTTTTTGCCCCAAGCAGAAACTAGCCAAGTGGAAACGAGAAATTTTATGTCTGGACTTCAATGTCTTATCGCAAATAGTTCGATCAATCCTCATTCTTCGCTCATGCTGAATTCGGCCACCTTTGCCTATCGATATCCCGAAATAGCCGAATAACCCACAGATCAGACAGCCATGTTCAGCTTCCAAGGTTGCGATCCTAAGATTCCAAGCGTCCACCAACCGATTCACTAGCTGGGCCACGGCTTAGCCATGCTGGAGCAGTGTTTATTTGTGGACAGATCTGGTCTCCCTGTTTGGTATGTGAGGAGCATTCCAAAGACAAATGGCCCAACCACAGCGGGCACGTAAACTCAATGCCTTCCGCAGTCAACAACATACAATTTTCACAAAATAAGGCTGGAAACTTGTTTGCCGCCCCGTCGCCAAATATGTGGCTGGACATTCCGCCCTGCAACCCTGTTATTTCTCATTCGCGAGGGCTGATTGCCAAATTTAGTAGATCCATGCAATCCAGAGTTGTTGACAGCGAGATTGGCAGGTCAAGAAGGGCGTTAATTCCAGCATCTGTTCTCCAGCCCATCATCTGACTCTCCAATAACTTTGTACTTTTTATTCCACTTCCTCTCCATATTGCCGCCTTATCTAACAACGAGCTTGAGTCAGTCACGAACCAGAGCAGTCTTTGACGGGCGAGCTTCACCCGGTACGAAGGGAATGCAGCCCAGACCTCCACAGGAACGGCACGGCATGCGATTATTTCTAGGACGGGATTCTGCCAGCCTTGCCAAACGAAAGCGCATCCGGCTGTCCGACGAAGAGGTTTCCTCACCAAGATGTACGGCGATGATGGAGTAACGCAGCATCCCTTGTCGCATGCCTTTACAACGTCTGTAGTACAGGTGAGTGGGATTAAGGCCTTCGTGTTCCACTCCTCAACTAATGTGGACTAGGGCAACTAATTGATAGACGAATCCCAGTCAGGGCTTTCCCGACATGGAGCATGCCGTCATGCACATTGCCCATCACGTATGCCTGGTGGCTTGAGTTTGCGAGTGACCTAGCCAATGTTCACAGCAAGGCTTCTTTGGGCCAAGATCCAAGACTTTTACAAACCACGCCCTGGGATGTATTCCCAGCCAGGTACGGCACACGCGCATCGCCTGCTATGTTCAAGTCCGCCAGCCAAGCACCCGTGCTTAAGCATTTCAGGCGTACAGACAGCGACCAGCGCATTGAGGGCTCACCGGTCTATGTTATCATTGTTCGTTTGACTACACCCAATGTTGAACCGTTTCAATTTCACTACAATCGCATGCCATCAAATAACCACGGTCGATTGTAAGCTCATCTGGCTCTGTGGAGTGGGGGGTCCGAACATAGTGAATGCTTCCAGGGTCTGACGCCAAATGCCCGTGTCCCAGTCGTTCTGCATCAGCGTTTCAAGGTATACAGCCGGTTCCGGCTGCACGGGTAATTGACTTGATGTCCAGTGGGGTTGCGACTCGAAAACTATGGAAGGGGGCGGGCCCTGCCATGAGACGGGGGGTCGAGGAGGGCCATAAGCCTCGCTCGGATGTTGCACCACATGACTAATACTGCACTGGCGCTGCGCCTCACTTTTGCTTTTCTCTAGCCATGCCACCATGCTAATCACTCGGCAATTCGACCAAATATCATCACCAAGAGAGAGCGAAGCAATCTTTCGCATGGTGGCCAGGACGTCCTCGTGAACCCGCCGACTGTCTATTTCTGGTGTCGGGTGGTTGTAGTTCCCGAATAGCAAGCTCACTTTGGCAAGAACCAGCATCACGTACCAAAGGGTATAATATGAGGAGGCCGGCAGATGCACAGCCACGTCTGGTGGTACCTGGAGATATGTGGCAAGAACCCGGTGAGCTGAGGCCGTAAGATGCTGCAGCCGATTGATCTCCCGAAGTCGAAAGATATCTCTGCGGCGCTGTACTGCTTGCCCCAAAGTCAAAGTGGTGAGTGCAGTGAGCTCCAGACGAAGGGCCCCTTGTGATTAGATGGTTAGCTTTCCGAAATAGGGGCAGAAGCAGGTTCCTTGAAGCGCCAGCAACTCACAATTGTCACACGAGGCGAGACGTGATAGTTGGTCCTCGGTCTGCCTCTCTTGTCGTTCGATGGAATCTACGATTTGCTCCCATGACGCATCCCGAGGGTGGTAGGAGCAGAGGCATACGTCTTCGTCGAAGACACATTGCGTACGTCGCAAGAAATTGTTGGAGAGAATATATTCCCCTAGGAGGACGTCGCTAGGGTATTCCGGCTTCCGAGCAAGGTCCTCCACACACTGCGTTATCCATTTGGTGTGTCTCATCGTCACCTGCCGGCGAAACAGTGTCGACCTTTAGTGTGAACGTTAGTTGCACCTCTGAATGCCAAGCGCTGAAAGAAAGGTCTTCCTAATGTAACAGGCGACACTCACGTGCAACACAGATGATAGCAGCCGAGCAGAGCCCTCTGCTCTGTGGGGTTGGAATGATGGCGTTGGTTGTCTGCAGGCTCTGGAGGAATAGGCTGCATGCGGATGTTCTCGTCCTTGTCTATCCCCAGATCGACGACAACCATGTGGGCCATTTCAAGTAGCATGTACTTGTGGATGTGCGGGGTCCGCCAGTGGTAATGAAACCATGCGCAGTGGACAAGAAGCCCTAGCAGTAGATCGAGGTTGCGTTCACTCTTGGCGATCAAACGGGTGGCTGCCGTTTCCCGGACAAGGGCCTCCAGTTTGTGTTGCAGGAGCGGTTTGTGTTCCATACACACGGTGACGATGCACAGCAGGAGGAAAGGTGAGCGCTGGCGGAGTACCTCGATCTCCATGTCGGCGGACACGATCACGAAGGGGAATTGGGCCATTTTCTGGGTACGAAACTTGTCCATGAGCTCATCGGCCTCCCGTAGGGTGACCAACCCGCCTAGCACGGGTTCCCCCGATGCCTCATCGCTGGGTCGGGAGCTTTCCCGGCGGTGGTGGGGTCGCGGCGAGTCTGGTGGGTGCGTAGACGGAGTTGCACTGGAGAGACTGCCGTGGTGAGAGAATTCACCTTGCTGGGTACAGTTAGAGCGAGCCTTATTGAGGCCTCATCCGCAAGATGGAGGGAGAGGAATTGCATACCTTCTGGCCCAGTTGCGCTGCCAAGTTATCAATCTGCTCCTGAAGGGCATCAATGCGGGTCTTCCTGTGATGGCGGAGGGGGGGGAGATCAATCAGCCAATGGTCGGTCGCCGGGGATATATGCAGTATAGTAGTAGTAAGTAGTAGTCTTCTATGTAGTATGTGTAATCACGAGGCCGGGAATGTGGCTCAGGATGAATGCAGGCTAATTGGGAGGATTGTAGAAGCAGAAAAAGCAACAATGTCGGATGACAGGTGGAAGGGAATGCTAAAGCAACAAAAGTGCATTAAACAGTACCATAGATAGACAATAGCTATGTTATGAAGTAAGTAAGTACGTACTCACCTGGGACGGTTGACATGGGGGGACTCAGGCAGCGAGCATGGCTGGCCCAACCGGGTGCAGCGTACGCACGTGCCCGTGGGGGGAACGGGCACGCAGCGGACTTTCAATCGAACGCATCGGACGCAGGCATGGCGTCGCGGTGGCTGCTTGCGATTCATTTGCTCCGCAGCAATGTGGGTTCGTCACCGTTAGAGCCAGGCACAAAGCAAGCACGTTTGGGGGGGGCGGCGTTGGACGTGGCAGAAAGGGAGAGGGGGGGGAAGGAAGGAAACCAGAAAGTGGGAAGATGCAGGGGGGGATTGTGTCTAGCTTGCTCGTGTCGAGTGACAGACCAGAAAACTAGTACTAAGTTAGTGCTGACGGGATTGATCATTCCTAAGAAAAAGTCCCCTTCTCCCGAGTCACATGAGACGGGCCCGCGCTTCCCTACAATTCCTCTGTGCTTCCCCCGTCACCATCTACAGTTAAGTTAGTACTTAGTCTCTCTCCATAGTACTCTCCGTTCACTTCTTTCTCACTGTTACTTTTCATCCTCTCCTTCAACCTCCTTCCCTCTTACCATTGTTCTAGATAGATATTCTTCTTCACCTTCTTTCTTCCAATTGCATTTCACCCCCTTACTTCTTCCACGACATTAGTACCTCTTTACGTTGCAGGGTCCCCGCCAATGGCAACCAATCCCAATGCTGCTCTAAGCGGGAGGCTGCACTAGGGATGCGGCATCGGTGCGACCGAGTCGGAGTCGGAGCAGGAATCAGCCGGACAGACTATTGAGCACTAGTAACAACGGTCCATCTCGTCTGATAACGATAATTGCTGTTATCCCCTCTCGCTCTACCTCATCAATTTTAGTTATCCTCTAGTTTCCATGGCTTGCGCGAATGAAACTGTTCAACCAACAATGAGCTCTTCAGGTCTGGCTTTCCGGGGAACCAGACGAACTGGTGGATCGCCGATCGCTGTCACGCTCCACTCTTCAACACCATGGCTCCAACTATCAATATAACAGACGATTGTTCGGGTGATATGCTGTAGCGTACATTATTTACTTGTATATCACCAGCCATTCAGATCTTCTTCTCTGACAATTGTTTCACATTACGGATACATACTGATAGCACGACTAAATGTTGAAGTCACTTCCGGATGCTGCTGGGTCCGGTCGGCTTCTGTGTGCGAAGAGCGTCGTGGATCATCAGAATATGAGATTAAACCTGCATCTAGATTCACGACCACAATGGCCATCCTTGCGATGTCGTTCTACCCATCTGTGCGGTTGATTCAGGTCACTAGGCACTGATCCATGGGTCCGTGAGGACGATCCCAGATTGTCCCTTTGTGATAGGGTTTGTACCCCGCAGCAGAGTGCACTGTCCAGGGCCATATGTGGGGAGAACACAGCCTGATTCCGTGGGTACACAAACAGTACTCAACCCTTGCTTGCTCCAGGCTTGGTTTCGGGCCTTCCCTAGCATCAACGGGCCTTTCCGTCCGCATTCCCAACAACGTGTATTGGAGCGATCCAGCTCATCACAGTGTAGCCTCTTGAGTAACCTTCAAATTGTCCACTCGGGTCAGCCCTTGAGCTATGATTGCCATAACAACGGTAGTTTTACGATCTAGCGGACACGAAACTTTAAATACATCCTTTGCCACTCCACGGTACGCACGGTGAGAGACATGTAACACCATTGAAAAGAGGAAAAGAAAAGAGGGAGGGGGGAAATCACAAGTAACAGAACGAGATGAATGAATGCGTAAATAAGTAAATGGAAAGTCGAATTCCGTTCCTCTTCCCAGAGCTACGGCCTGATCATCCAAATGAAGTCATCCAGTTGATTTATAAACCACAATCTCACTACTGTTGGGATTTCCCCTGCTCTGGATAATGTCTATGAGTGGTGTGCAACCAGAAGAGACATGATGCACTACCTATAGAACACCAGGCAGTACTGAGGGCACTTGCTGATCGTATGACGCATCGACATCCTGAGACACAGGCGTTGTTGTCAGTTAGGCCAAACGTCGTATGTTTCATCATTTTCACTGCTAATCGTCGGCCTACCATAGTCCACCCTCATCGAAGGCCACTGAGGCCAGCCAGTCCTGCTCCCACATACTGGTAAACAGAGACCCTAGGACGCCCCAAAACCTTGCCATCGTTTCAAACATTACAGAATGGCGCGGCTCATGATCAAAAAGCGATCCCAAGACCGCAGATTTTGTCTGGGGTACGATAAAAAAACAGAAGGTTCTGTTAACGGAAACATTTCCCGCGGAAACGGGGTCCATGCGTGCCAGTCATAAGGCTCTCAAGTCGGTCAGGGGAACTACATTAGGCAGCATCATCAATAAGTATTCCGTGTAGTATGGGACGTCCGGAGAACAAAGGCTCCATCAATGGTTGCACCAGTAACCTTGGGTTGGAGTCCGCTCATCATGCCATAGCGGGCATATACCAACCGAAGATTTCCCGGACGAAAAAAATAAGGCCTTTTGCTGACGACGCCTGCAGAGCTACCAGACAGTAGCACTGCGGGTCAAGCCACAGCAACGTCGGCGCGGAGGTAAGATGAAACAGTGGTGGCTTTACCACCGCGCATGCGCTCCGTTAATCGTAGGAGGCTAGATACCGCAACGCGGCTGGTCTCCTGGCGGAGTGGAATCTCATGCAGGGGCTAGACCCAGTGGACCTAGATCTCAGATCAGGAGGCCAGGATGCCGTCACCGCCGGTTATGCGGGGGAGATCAAGTACGCGATGGGAGCATACACGCAGTAAGGCAGAGGAGGCTATCCACTCCGGATATATGCTTATTCCGTGTACTGTCACGTGCACTTGTCCCCGATCGTGAGATGATTCTAAATACAGTTAGCGTGGCTCGTGGTCTCACGCAGGACCATTTTGGAGGCGTCCGTGACATTGTCTAAATTACAGACCACTGGTAAACTTAGAGACTGAATTAGTAGCGAAGTTCCGAATGCAAACATTACATGCTCTGCCTTAAATGAGGCAACTGGGAGGGACCCATCTATCACACGCAATGGCTATGGAAGCCATGGCATACTGCAGGCACGCTGCGAATAGCTTCGCGTCCACGCAGCTTCACTGATGATGTACATGCGACATTTGCTTGCTGTGCTTTGGTACCTTTAGATATGCGGAGATCTTTATGGTGGGTGCGTAACACGCAGTAGCTGGCTAGGGGAATCTGGGTAGAATCCTTCTTGTGCACAATAACCAGAACCGGCCGATCGGCCAGTCTTTCTCGTTTGTCCCTGAGGTGACATGTGGTGGTCATCACCAGTACATCGATAGTGTCACTTCACCCCAGCACCAGTTATTATCCATATCCTGCATGGTAAAGCTTCTGGGGGCCTCGTGTGGCGTCGCCGCTATTCCGTCTCATCGAACGGCCAGTCGGTAATCGCAGTTCTTGTGGAGTGTAAGGTTCGAAGGGTAAACGAGCAGTCGAAGGAAGATGTTATTCCTGAAGTAGCAATTCAAAGGCTTTAGTTATCGGACTTTCTAGGCAGAGTAACTGTCAGTGGTGGCTAGTATCAACCTAAGGATGAGTTTCAGGGGATGTCACTTAGTATGAATTGCAGTTCTCCGGGTGGAAATATAGTGGGTGATTCGGGCATATCCAATAGTGACAACTCTTGTATCGAAGTCTCCGCGCATTGAGGAAAGTGAGAGGTGTATAAAAGCTCTTCCCTGTGAATATGTTGCGGCTTAGTGGCTCCGCCCGCGCGGGAATCTGAAGTGGCGCGGATCGGCGAGGAGATCTACACAATAGAACTTCGTCCACTAGACAAGAGCGATCATGCTCTTGCTGGAAAAAAGCATTTCCTTGTAAGACATGATTCAGAAGAACGGAAGAACACTTGAACAAAGCATGATCGTCTGTTTACACGGTTTACACGGGATGATCTCCCGCTCTGAGACGCGATCTGCATCTGTCCCGAGTGATCTGCCGTGTTGGTTGTGGAAGGTTGTCGGAAAGCCATCATCTGATATAAGATAGTTATCTTTTGGTCATGGTATTGAGTGCAAGTAATCTTTATATTATATAAAGTTAGAAGATTTAGTCCCAGAATAGTTGTGCTACTAATTGCATGGTCTGCTGCGTTCAATTGTTTTTGGTTGATATTTGTAGCTGTTCGTGCTACCCGCACCAATATATATTTCTTCCTGTCTCTGACACTCATCATTCTATTACCGATTTTCATACCACCAAATTGTTACTTGACTGCGATGAGGACAATCAAAATCAAATAACAAAAACAGTCTTGATGATGATGGTGAATATATGGTAGTTTGATACTAGTGTTGTTCGGTGTTGAACGTAGGCTCTCTATGGCTTGCGAGATTGCTAGTTGCCCAAGAGAATCAAATATTGGTTGCCTAGAATATGAAGAATTTCGTGGCATATACAATGTTATTGGCACACTCAATCTGATGTTTGCCCTTCTAAGTGTTGGTGTACATTCAGGATCCGACAAATCAGGTCGTCACGCCGGAAATTGTCAAGCTGTCAAGCAAAAGAATTCGAGATCCTCAACGAAATTCGGAACAGTTTCAAAAAATCAAGAGACCTTTATTTCTACGGAATCATTAAGAGTATCCCCCTTCAACCTGAAGGTCGTGAAGTGTGACCAGGTGCGTGTCTTGTCAACCTCCCCATAACGAGCTGCTACGACTTCTAAGTTCAGAACTCGACTACTTCACCTACAAATAATGCCAAAACCATCCGTACTATGGAAACACCATGTCACAGTATCCCCAAAAGTAATCATTGTTTTGCCTGCTGCAAACTGTGGGATCCTGAGAAACTCGTACGATAGCAGGAAGGTCAGCCGAGGGATGACTAGCCCCCAGCAACAGTACTGGCTTTTGGCAAATTAGACAGATTGCACCATGCCATATCTCATATTCCCAACAGCCGTCTCAGAACCGCAAACCCCGAAGGGATGAGGCTGCTGACGTAGAATAAGGTAAGACAGCTAATGAGAGGGATAATTGCTCCAATGATCCGATGAGCCCCTGAGGAAGAGAGAGAAGGAAAGAGATAGAAAAATGTTGGGAGTGAATCACGACCCATCGGATCCAGTAGAAAGAAATTACCTGAATGCCCATATCATGATTCAATCAATCTTTGGAGAATCACGCAAGATGCTGTCCATGACCATTGGAAGGCGAAGGATGTTAGTGGGGGAGACATTAATTAACCACGCTGGCGGGGGTTAAACCGAACTAGCAATAAGCATAGATTAAAGATTAAGGAGGTAAAATTCCGGGTGTGGCCGTCGGATCCGGATATCCAGGCAGAGAGGCAATCCCGATGTGGGCATGTCTATGCCGAGTGGTGGGTGGTTGTTGACGTTTTGTTTGGCTGGCGACCCGGCCCGGTCAGCAGTCGAGATTCTTCATCAGCGATTTCTCAGCGACAGGTCAATATCGATGTCAATTTCGTAAATTGAATCCAATCAAGCTAGAATTAAAACCAGAATTAACAGGATGCCGGACAAGACCCGATGGAAACTCCGAGCAAACCGAGCGAAGCACAGCAAAAACCGGGCGGGGAATGTCCGATTGGGGGAAAAAAGATAAAAGGAAAAGTCATGCGGGAAAAGCAATGATCTGCCGTCTTGGCGGCCTTGGCACCCCAAGTCCCGCTCTGCGGGCCAATCACCATCGCACCTACCCTGAATGCCGCGTGTTAGTGCAAGGGCTTAGGGCTACTCGGAGGAGCCCGTCGCAGCAGTGGAGGGGATCCCAAGGTGGGAAACACCAAGAGAGGGACGTCGAACATCACGATCATCCGGAACATAGCTACACTGAGTATAGTACCATCACACCAGCCGGTTCAGACATCGAACACCCTCTCAACACTCTACCGTTTCTCCAACGTCCGGGCGGACGGGTCCCCATGTGTCTCTCAGACCGCGCCCGTATCAGATTGAACCTCCTCCGAAGTCGAAACGGAAGAATACGAGGCTGAAAGAAGACAACCCGCTATTTAGTCGGTAGACTGCTCAATGAGCCGCGTCATGCTGTCCCGGACTCCCGGTCCAATCTCAACAGAAGAGGTCCGTCCCCTGTCGCTCCCCCCACGATGAACTAGTAGTCTAATCGCTACAAAGTGCATCAGGGGAGCCAGCCATGGGAACAAAGCTCGATGCAATCTGACTTAATCAGGCTCCACATCGAGCTGGGCGTGAAACTGATGGACACTCCGCCATCTACTCGAAACCATCTCTAATTAAGCACTCACGGCTCCACTTCTTCTCTGGGCTTCCTCCGTGCCGCTCGGACAGCTCACTGGATGCTCCCAGTGGAGTCGTTTCACCGGATCCCCTCAACGCTGACGATCGCATTCCCAAGGCATCCACCAGCTCTCTCAAGCAGACCAGGGCAGTGAGGTGATCGGCGGTGGCCTCACAACATTACTCTCGCCGGGACCCAGATGTTTATTCTCCCTCCCTGTCGACCTGATGGCCCACACCACATCCACCGTCATAACGCCGATATTGGTCGAGATTGCGCTGGAGTGGCAGAGGGAGTCTTCGGCATACCCACCGGCTCCGTAAACCTCCATCAGGAGAAGCGTTCCAAACTTCCATGAGCCATGGCTTCGAGGACCACCAGCGCTCTATATAAAGACGAGCCCGTCGACCGTCTCGGATCCTTTCCTCTCTGGCTCAACACACACAACTTTGTCATTCTTTCTCTTGTTTCTCTTTTGTTTCTAATTGTAACCTTTGTCACTCTTTTTTAAACCAACTTGCAAAACTTCCAGGATGAAGTACGCTGCTGCTCTCACGGCTATTGCCGCCCTCGCTGCCCGCGCCGCTGCTGTCGGTGTCTCCGGCACTCCCGTGGGTTTCGCCTCCTCCGCCACTGGTGGTGGTGATGCTACCCCCGTCTACCCTACCACCACCGATGAGCTGGTCTCTTACCTCGGTGATGACGAGGCCCGTGTCATTGTCCTGTCCAAGACGTGAGTTTTGAATCCAAAGCAGAGAACGAATCGATTCCCGGCTGACCAGTGTCCGAATTTGCCAGTTTCGACTTCACTGACACTGAGGGCACTACCACGACCACCGGTTGCGCTCCCTGGGGTACTGCCTCCGGCTGCCAGCTGGCCATCAACAAGGACGACTGGTGCACCAACTACGAGCCCGATGCTCCCACCACCACCGTCACCTAGTAAGTTGCCTTCTGAGGTAACCTCGAGTATCAGGGAAGAGAAAATGCTGACAAGAGGATAGCAACACTGCTGGTGAACTCGGTATCACCGTCAACTCCAACAAGTCCCTGATCGGTGAGGGTACCAGCGGTGTCATCAAGGGCCGTGGTCTCCGCATGGTCAGCGGTGTCTCCAACATCATCATCCAGTATGCATCGTCCAGGACTACATACATTACTCCCATCGCAAACTAACCATGGAATCCCCACAGGAACATTGCTGTCACCGATATCAACCCCGAGTACGTCTGGGGTGGTGACGCCATCACCCTCGACGAGGCTGACTTGGTCTGGATTGACCACGTTACCGTAAGTCGTCATCCAGGATCATGATTTCCATCCCTTCACCACTAACGAATGCTTTAGACTGCCCGCATTGGTCGCCAGCACTACGTCCTCGGTACCGACGCCGACAGCCGTGTCTCCATCACCAACAACTACATCAACGGCGAGTCTGACTACTCTGCTACTTGCGACGGCCACCACTACTGGAACGTGTACCTTGACGGCTCTAGCGACAAGGTCACCTTCAGTGGCAACTACCTGTACAAGACCTCCGGCCGTGCCCCCAAGGTCCAGGACAACACCTACCTCCACATCTACAACAACTACTGGGAGAACAACTCGGGCCACGCTTTCGAGATCGGCTCCGGTGGCTACGTCCTCGCCGAGGGTAACTACTTCTCCAACGTCGACACTGTCCTTGAGACCGACACCTTCGAGGGTGCTCTCTTCTCCTCTGACAGCGCCTCCTCCACCTGCGAGTCCTACATTGGCCGCTCTTGCGTTGCCAACGTCAACGGCGGTGACCTCACCGGCACCTCCACCACCGTCCTCTCCAACCTCAGCGGCGACACCCTCCCCTCTGCTGATGCTGCCAGCACCAGCCCTGCCTCCAGCGCTGGTCAGGGTAACCTGTAAGCGGTCTCGCTCCGTCGGGCTCTTACTGCAGATCGCTTTGGTGATGTTGTCGAGTTTGATGATTCAGACAAGACGAGTTGAGTTTTCTGCTGTTGTACAGCGGAAAAGTGTGTTCGCTTAGATTCTATCTTAGCCTAATCAATAATTCTAAGATGGACTTGATCCATAGTAATACTCCATTCAATTATGATTTAGTAGATTTTGATGCAAAATTCCGATCCTAACTTAGTATCATGACTGCTTTTAGATGTTTGACGCCGAAGGCCCGTAAATATTCTGCCTCAGGCAACAAAATGCCGAGCCTGCAATGGTGCCTGAAGTCGATGTGTTGCTGCCCAAGGCAGAGATGATAACCATGCATGATTGTAGGTCGGTAAATCGGAGAATGAGTGAGGCACCAATATGTTGTTGCCATTGTAATAATCGAGCCTCGCACCATGAAACGAGCAACTAGAGGTTTGGGTCGCGGCTGGATACTATAATGTACCGTAGATAGAATGGCCGACCAAGGTGATGGAATTCCTTTATGTCTTCTTCTACTCCACCTATCATAGCCTTTTCTTTGGAGTTTGATTAGCGTCGTCAGCCGGAACTGTAATGATTTGCCAGACAACCTTTTCTCGCACTTCAGATAGCTATCCTGTCAAGCGGGGATTTTCTCTTTTCTGTAGATACGGTCAGCCTAGATTGCAATAGTACTCTTTGCCTAACGCATAAGCCTTACGAAATCTCGGCTTTTTTCTGCTGCTTGCTATCACCGTGCATCAAGCGAGCGGGGCTGTGTGGCGGTATAGCATTGCCACGATTGTTGTTTTTGCTTCTACCAGCTCACACGACGTCGCGAGGGGAAAATGACTGATGGACACATTCTTTGTGTTGAGATGGAGGCAGCGGGCTTGATGAACAACTTCCCTTGTTTGGTTATACGTGGCATTTGTGACTATGCGGACTCACACAAAAATAATGCATGGCAACCTTATGCTGCCGCTACAGCTGCTGCTTATGCAAAAGAGTTGCTTTCCTTGATTCCAAGTCTGCAAGAACCTCGGAGAAATTATAACCAAGTGGCTTTGCCTACGCAGAGACAGCAAGCTATCACAATTCGAACCCGCAACGTTGGGAATCTCATCAACGGACCAGTCACCGGTGATGTGATAGGAGGAACCAAATTCTCTGACGACGAGGTTTACCTAACCGGGAAGAGAGGGAGAAGGTTATATGACTAATGATCGTCTGTGCATTTTTCCAGAATATCGCTGCTGAGGGTCTGTCACTACATGTCAGACATCCACGGCCCATCTTCCTCAAGAAATTTGCCTGCACTAGGATATATTACAGGTTTTTAATTCTCAATTGGGTCGTACGGTTCCGATATTGCGACGTAGATGTGGAAAGGGCCAATCATGATTGGATCGTGGGCTTAACACCATAGATAATGTCAGAAACGCCTCCTCATTTAGCAAGGGTACGTACAGGTTCAAATAAATGCATTTTGCCTGGACTTACATTGCATTGCCCAAAGAACGTGATTTCCTGCTTACTGGTATGCTTGAGATGTCAAAAACAAAGTCACAGTCATGTCGGACACCCTCCGTTGAATATTCCCGGTGGCTCAAAAGAATGATCTTCGTGACTGTGGTTACCCCTCGTGACTGAAGGTCCTGTAACAGCCCAGAAAATTCATGGGCCCACCTGAATTCCTGCCTTTGCACACCCAAAGCCTCTAAGTCAATGACGATAAATATTTGTTCAATTCCGAGTAAGGCACGGCCCAGCAGACCAAACCAGTCGTGCGCAGTACGCGCTTCTCGAATCATGGCCCTTGTCAGTGATGCGCTACGCTCGTCCATTGATGTATGGTTCAGCTGCATGACTTGAAACACAAGCTGCTTGGTGGCCTCGATTTTATCAAACTCTTGGAAATCACCACCATTAGGCTGAAGTAACCAGACTAGATGGACCTTTTGTTCGATAAGCATTGTGATCACATCAGCAGCAACGTCCCTCAGCAGCTGACGTCTGGAATAGTTCCCTTTCAGGCATATTAGACCAGATGAGGAATTCTCGAGCCAACGAAGAATTTTTGAAGAGACCGGAAGGCTCTGCGATTTCAGAATCCCCTTTCTTTGTCGAAGGTTTCTCATTGAAGCGTAGAAACGAAGCGTTATGTTGGGGTCAGGAAGAGGAGATGCCGGGATAAGCGATATTATATCATCAAACCGGATTTCACGTCTGTTAAGCCTTGTATCAAGGACACCTGTATAACGCAGTGTCTGGAACTCTGCATCAGTTGTAAGTCACTTGAGTGCCTGTAAAGGAGTCTGATCATCCCACGAACCTTCCAGGGCAATCTTGGTTTCACGTAAGCCTGACATGGTAGGTTGTTGAGGGTTGCTTTGCAGGTCTGCTAGTATCATTCTAGACACCAGGTCGCAAATCCTCCGAAAATTTTGTGAGATAGTGCCGTCCGATTCAATCAGACCCAGTTGTTCAATGGTCGCGCTATCTACCGCTGTGTTGCATATTTGAATGATAACCTGATTGCCGATCCAGGGCATTAGTCCAGGAGGAAGAGGGGGAATATTCTCCACGAAGAGCCGTCTGGGAGACTGTACCTTGTTGCCCAAGACATGATCTCCCCCAAATTTGTCTCTTCCCACTTGGTCGCCATTAACATCGCCATTAACCAGATTTTGAACATCATGTGCATCAATAGCCACAGTCACAGGCATTATCTGACATTGCAGTCTCACAGACATGCAGAAGTTAAGATCAGATTCCGTGAAAATGAAATGTAAGATGTCAGGCTGGAAGCAATCCTAGAATGTGATAAACTTACGTCCATTTGCAGAATAGTAAGCAAGACAGAAAAAAACACAAAGATGAAGCGTAAGCCTTCGGGTCAGCCTTGGAGCGTGCGGTCTCTGACCGGGATAGGCCTGCAAATCTAAAGCTTTGAGTTCTGGGATAACGCGAAAGTCGGTGTGCTTCCTGCAGGGGTGTGACGAGGCTATGAGGCTACTGATGCCCAACTTGGACACGTCAGCTGCCACATACATATTAATCTGTTCACGCTGCTATAGTTGTCTTTCTGTGTCAGGTGACCCAAATCTGTTGCAACTAGAGGTCAGTCGCGGGCCGTGTGCTATCTCACATCTTATGTCTTCTTCACATCTACGCCAAAATATCGTTTTATAGTCCTGTATAAGATCCTCTAGCGCCAGTCCAAGAGCAGTCAGAAAAGTTGAAGAGGCTGGCTCTCATGCATACCTCTCCTCGGGCCGCTCATTCAACGTCCAATTCACCTGCCGGGCAGTTGAGATTGAATAATTTACCGGGTTCATCTCGCACCCCACCGAGTCGCCTAGCACAATTGAGCCATGCGTCAAGGAATTCCTTCTTTGCTCACCCTTCTCATGCTGGACGCCTTGAAATCACCTCTGCCTCACCACAAGAAATATCAAGCGAGATCCAAGCTGTGGAACAGCAAGAAGAGATAGATCTGAGTGAGACAGAGGATACCGAACCGTCAGAGCACAGCTACAAGGGGCAAAATATAGTAATAGAGAACGGAAGAATTTACCTAGAGAGCGAGGAGGTAGGCAATAATGAAGTGAAAGAACCAAATAGGGGGAAGAGAAACGCGGTAAGAACCAAAAACCCTCAGAAGAGAATATGAATCTCACAAGAGAGACAGGGATCACCAGGGCCCCTGCACCCACACCTAGAGACGGGAAAAGGCCCGGAAAGTCTTGCCGAGCAAGTAAGCAAAAAGCTCAGAAGATTTGAATATCTCAAACACGCCACAATATCCGAAGATCAGACTGATACAAGTGATAACAACAAGAAGAAGTTATCGGTTCTTCAAGGCAATTTTAAGAATGGTCACATAGTGCAAGCAAATTCCAGCGCAGAGCCCCAAAAGAGAATAGATTTGCAGTCAATCCACAATGAACAGAACTACCAAATGGGATTAATGCTGGTCGAGGAGGAGAACAGAAAAAGGATTATGCGCCTCCAACGCGAGGCAAGTGAGCAAGAGGAGATCATGCATTCCAAGCTCGGAAATGTTGGTCAGCATATCGAAGAACAGGACCAATCTCCAGACAACTACGATACTGGAACAAGGCTATCAAATACAGCTCGTGGTAACCCCTCGAACTACCATCATGGTACAATGAGTAAGGGTGAAGGGAGTGAAATGCCTCCGGTCTCCCAGAAATACTCCCAGCTTTTCGACTATGCAAAGACGCTGGAGCAGGAAATCTTATTTTTAAAAACGTTGATTGACCCCGATTCTGTGTACCAAGGGCGTCCTTTTTTCCAGGTCTTGCATCGGATGAGGGGAGGCGGCAAGATTTTCTTTAGCCCACCAACATGGAAGCAAGGTGTTGTTGACGGCGAGTTGCGGTACACTCTCCAGGAGCCCTCTCTTTCAATGAAAGCAGATGAATACCTGAAGAGAAGTACGAATTTGGCCTTCGTCATCTACAAGACCTATGACGACAAGGTCGGCAATGATAGTCATCTGCATTGCAATAACCACGACGTCACACTTTCCGCGCCCGACCCTGACACAGAAACAGTATCCTTCGTATCATGGAAGATGGTACGGGCCATGGAGAGATTTCTGCATATACAGCCGGGCTACAGAAGGCTTTTCCCGGACCCGATCTCGAGAGCAGAGATAGAAGCCCCTTATCTCTTCTGGTATTGTTACCGATCCTCTTTTGAAGCCGTCCAGAACTCTCTTTCAACTGCTGATAAGCGCCTGGTACAACTGTTTGAGGAGTGGGCTACACCAAATTACCAGGAAGAATACGCGAGAGTAGAAGACCAGATGCGCAGGGGAGTCATCTCGCGCCTATCCTTGAAATATCTCGTGAAACCAGGCACCATTCTTGTATCTAACAATAAGGGACACCCTCAAGCCTACATGGCTACAACATGGGCGATGCAAAACGCCGATAATGACAAAACATGGCATGTGTCAGGTTGGGCTTATGAGTTTGACGGGGTATTCTATCGCCGAAACCATACCTTGAAAGTCGAAATAAACAACGAAGATCCCACTGAAGAGGTTCATTTACATAGTTTGAATGTTACACCATTGGAATATGCCAGCTGCGAAGTGAGGCAAAAACTGAAAGAAAGAGGTACTACCTACTGGCAGTGTCGGAAGCGAAAATTCATTTCTTATACTGGGAGTACCGAGGAGGATTCACTCAGCAATGCAAGTAGATCAAACCATTTCATTTCCGATGACCTTCTAATATCCTTCTCAGAACAGTGAAAGATTTATGATCGACTTCCCCACTTATCTGCAGCTCCATCCACCTGAAGGACAGAATCCGAAGATCCTGCGGGAGCCAGGCGAAGAGATTCCTCCTGAACGAATGGACATCGATGAACCACCATCTTCCCCGGAAATATTCCTATTCCCGTCGACTGTGGTTGGATATAATCTCCGCCGGAAGAAATGGGGTAAAGTGCCACATGTTTAGCGTTGTCGTTGAGATGCTAATTTGCTCGTTATAGTAAGCCTAGAGGTAGATCGAATACGTGAGGTCGAATGGAACAAAGCTGCCTTTGACAGCTTGGTGATAAATCGAAACGCCAAAGAGCTTGTTCAAGCTTTGGTCACCAACCGGTTGGTGGCCGAAAAGGGAACAGACCCGATCGAGGACAAAGGTAACGGACTGACGATTTTACTACATGGGGGCCCAGGTACTGGCAAGACGTTTACAGCTGAAAGTGTGGCCGAGTTTGCCGAGAAGCCCCTGTATAGGGTGACCTGTGGAGATATCGGCACGCTTCCCGAAGACGTTGAACAGTATCTCGATTCAGCCCTCCACTTGGGTAAAATATGGGACTGTGTTGTTCTGTTGGACGAAGCAGACGTCTTTCTAGAGCAGCGCTCACTGTCGGATCTACAGCGAAACGCACTTGTCAGTGTCTTTCTACGCCTGCTCGAATATTACGATGGGATCCTGATCCTAACAAGCAATCGTGTTGGGACCTTCGATGAGGCCTTCAAGTCTCGCATCCAACTGTCGTTGAATTACCCGCCCCTCACGCTTCCGCAACGCAAAAAAATCTGGCTAAACCTGATCAACCGTCTCAGAAAACTCCAACAGCCGAACATTGACTTTGAGGATGTTGAGTGCTACGTCAGTGAGCTGGCAGAGAAGGATATGAATGGCCGACAAATCCGAAACGCCATCACCACTGCTCGACAACTGGCCAAGTTCAAAGGCAGAGATATGTCATACGAGGATCTCAAGCATGTGATCGGCGTGGCTAGCGAATTCGATGAGTACCTGTTTGAGGTGAAGCAGAAGTTTACGGATGATGTGATTGCGAGGGAGTCGGGTATTAGATAGGACCTGTACGGAGTATCTCCCTCTTCTATATGGAGCATTTTTCGCATCAATGCACACATCACATTGTAAGGTGTATTTCAGTGACCAGAGCACGAATGATTCGTACTCAAGTACATATCCATTATGACCTATCATTTATTGCATCTCTCCTTTATTCCATTTCCATCCAAGGGAATCGTACCTTTCACTGAAGGTGGGCAAATCTTGCGCTATATCATCGACAGAGATGAACCCTTTTCCGATAGTTTGTATTGTTAAAAGTGCTGTAACACCGATAGCAATGTGGCATTGGCGCCTGCTGCTAAAACTCAAATTAAGTGCGGTATGGATTGAAATGAATATACGACGGACAGCATTACACCGACCTGGACAAATTTGCTGTAGATCTAGCTATTCACAATTTCTTATGCCTTCCCTACAAATAGACTGAATGAAGTTGGAGATCGCAGTACATACACTACGTCGACCGCTGTTGTGGGGCCCATATATCCTTCTGCTTAAGGAATTCGAGGAGTTGGTCCACCCCCTGCTGGTTCTTGCTGCCAACGGAGGCATCCCCAGCCGCCCTGGCGGGACCTGGGTCATTGAGCGTTTCGACGCGTCGGGTTGAGTTTCGAACAACTTCTAGGATTGTTCCACCCTCAAGCTCCTTTTCTTCCATGCATCGTAGCATGGCTGAGGCGACCTCTTCGGGCGTTGCCCATCCATCCTTCTCCTGGTCGATAAGCATCAACTTCTCCTGATTCTCGACCCACAATGGCGTACGTATGAGACCAGGGGCCACTGCGTTGACGCGGACGCCGATTGCTTGTTCAAGGGGGGCCAGACATCGCACAAATCCGGTAATGGCGGCCTTTGAAGCGCCATACATGGGACACACAACATTCGGCAGTTGGGCTGCCACAGAGGAGATGTGAATAACGCGGCGGGGATTCTGCGGGGAGACAGGAGTCACGTTGGGGCTCGTCGGATGCAACCAGTGCGACAAGGCCAGTTGGGTCGTTCGGATCGGATGCGTGACGTTGATATCCAGTAGAGCGTACCGGTCGCTGTCGTCCTTGTCTTTGCTGATCGCGGAACCGGGTGGCTGCCAGAAATTAGACCACGGGGGCTCGTAGACCCCAGCCCCAGGACAGAGGATATGGAATTCTTCGAACAAGGACAAGGTCAAGTCGAACATGAGATTCAGGTCTGCCCAAGAGGTGACGTCTGTGCGAATGAAAACTGCTCGCGGGGAGGAATCGACGGCCTCATACTTGGCAATGAGTTGCTCGGCTTCTGGTCGCAATGCGATGTCGGCCACCACCACGTTGCAATTTCGGGATAGTAGAAGAGATGCAAATGACAGATTGATCCCTATCATCATCAGAAGACTGTCAAGCGAAGGGAAGGAAGGGAGACTAACCCGAGCCAGCGCCCGTGACAATGGCCGTCTTCCCATCCACCGAAAAGGGCGCAATATCTTCCGTCGAGGCCGTCATTATTGTGGTTACAAGTGTGACAGCACAAAAGTTCCCGAGCTGCTAAACTACCCCTCTGCCCAGTCGAAGCTGGAGTCTAAATAGCTGTTTCCTGAGTGCCGATGGGAGCGGGGAGGGTGATGCGAGGCGAGTTGCCAGCGTGCGGGGAACGAGCAAATCACATATGCTGGCGAACATCGGGCTTGATCCGACCATCCCGGGCCAGATTCCGTGGTCACTCAAGCAGTGAGTAGAAGTAGTGAATAGCCGTGAGCAAGACGTGAGGGTCAAGCAGTCAAGCAGACAGTACCGATTGGGTGGACCAGTCAAGGAACCACGGACCGGCGGCTGTCATGGAGGAGAATCCGACCGGTCGCGATCCACCGATCTGTCCAGAAAGGATCTCATGACGGCTGGGTGAGAAGCTTGATGATATTAGAATGCAGACGATCGACCATTATGAGGCGTGGGTCAAGGGAATGGATGGATTGCATGGGTGAATGTGGAATGCAGACAGCATCTTTTCCCCCCGGCGAGGATGGAGAAGTGGAGCCTTGGCAAGGGGGCAGTGCTTTTTGCTTAAGAGACTCAGCCACACTCAGTCATGCATTTTTTGACCCCTTCATAAAAGCGAGGGGAGACATCCCCATCTTGTATCTTGAAGTAGTCCTCCTTCAATCTCGCATATATGAAATCATACTCAGGAGACCCGGAGTGGTCCAATGCACGTCAACGTGAATCATCTCATGTAGTAAGTAGCCAGTAAATACTCAAAATGCTGTTATGTGTCTGTGGAGATTCACCGATCCAGTCCCAAACTCCTTCCCAATGATCATCGTTATCATCATGTACTCATTAATTCAAGATAGCAGACCATGGAGAAAAGAACTGCCATGAGACTCCCAACGCCTGGCTGATTGCCCATCCCTACTGGGTATGACGCATGTGTATTCCCGTCGTGCGATCCGCCGCCAACACTCGATACACGCGCAGCAGATCTTCCATCGACGCCTGCGTGTCCGGGTGCGTTTTCCCCAAAACCTTCTCCCGACCACGCACCGCTTGCTCCGCCAGCGCCTCGGCTTCATCCCAGCGGCCCTGTGACTGGTAGATGGCCCCCAGGTTGGCCATGGTCGTCAATGTGTGGGGATGGAGCGGTCCGAGGTTCTTCTGCATCAGACGCAGCACCTGTGCGGTCAATGCTTCGGCGCTCCCTGTCTTGCCTTGACCCTGGTAGGTCAAGGCGAGATCCGCCATGGCAGTCAGGGTTAATGGATTCTGCTCACCCAGGCGTGACTTCATCACAGCCACCGCTCGTGCCCCGAGACTGGCAGCCTCTTCCATGCGATCCTGGCCCCGGTAGGTGGACGCCAAGTTGATCATCGACATCAGGGTCTGCGGATGCTGCTCCCCTAGCTCGATCTTGCTTATCTCTACGACCTGCGTCTCCAGATGTTCTGCGTCCTCCAATCGCCCCTGGTCCCGGTACATCGTTGCAAGGTTCGCCATGGATGTCAGCGTCAACGGGTGGTGGGTTCCGAGTCGCTTGATCCGGATCTCCATCACTTCCGACTCCAACTTCAAGGCTTCCTCCAATCGACCCTGCTCTCGATACGTGGCTGCCAGGTTCGACTTCCACATCAAGGTGGACCCATGGTGCTCACCCATTGCACGTGTACATTGTTCCACTACCCTCTTCTCCAGTCGTTCCGCATCATCATATCGCCCCATGTGAGTGTACGTGTTGGCCAGGTTGCCCATGGACGTGAGGGTAGATTGGTTGTCCTGGCCGAATCTTCGCGTCTTGATCTGCAGCAGACTAAGTTCGAGCGCCTCGGATTGTCGCCAAAGCCCCTCCCTCCGATATGCGGTAGCCAAGTTGGACATGGAGGCCATCGTGTGGGAGTGATCCTCTCCCAGGACCTTGCGACGGGCCTCTGTGACCTGGCGACCCAGATCAATCGCTTCCCTCCAACGGCCCTGGCCACAGTACCCCGATACCAAGTTGTGGACCGCGGCCATGGTGATGGGATCGTTGGGACCTAGCTGCGCCTGTCGGGCATCGACCACAATCGTCCCGACATCTACGGCCGAATTCCACTGACCCTGCTCAAGGAAGGCGAGGACCAGCGCCTCGAAGCGCTTCAGCGCGACGCCCGAGTCTCCCCGGTTCTCACTGGAGACCTGCTCCACCACTGTCTCTAGCTGAGTAGCTGCATCAGCATGTCCTTGCTTCCGATACCGTTTCGACAGAGCCCTGAACGCCTTCAGATATGAAGGAGAGAGCGAAACATCCATCGATGTACGGAGAGCGGACTTCCCGCGGATCCCCCAAAACCTTGACAGGGGCAGAAATAACAAAGCGTCGGAGATGCGGAGGGATAGTTCTTGTCGATCGCCGGGCGAATTGGGTGTGGAAAGGTGGAAAGGAAGAACTTCAAAACCGAGGGGCTCCGATAAATTAATAATCCGAGATGTGAGGAGATAACGGCCAACAATCGTGTTACGAGAGGAGAGGGGAAGAGGGGAGGTTTTGGCAGTCGCGAAGATGCTCGGACAAAAGACGCGGATGGACGAAAGGGGGACGGTGATAAGATGAGGCGCATCAAGAGCCGCTCACGGGAGATGACTGATGGGGAGAGACTTGGAGGAAACAAGATGAAGGAGACGGACAGTATGGCGACGAGTGGAGAAGGAGATGCAGGATGGAGAGTCCCAAGTCAGAGCATGACCAGATTCATTTGCTGCCGCCAAGCCGCTAGGGCGCTGGAAAGGCTGGAGGATCCCATCGTCTTTCTCCGAGTCAGTTCTTTCGTGCGTGTCGGGGGGCCGTTGCGTTCCCATCACTTGCCCCGAGGTTTCCGGTTATCAGCCAGTCTCAATCCCTGATTGGTACGCCCTGCAACTGGCCCCGTTGGAAGCAACTTGAAGTGGACTGGCAATCAAAAACAGTGGAGATTGCACCAGTTGGACGCGATGGATGGGAAGGCCTTCTTTTCCCTTTTCAGCCCTGTCGGGCCAGAAATAGTAAAACCACGACAAATGACAGCCGCGATTACCATACCGTTTCGAACACCTCCCATACCGTCTGATACGGTATTGTCTCATTCGGTTCAGCTTCAGGTTCTGATGCTGATCCGGATTCCGCTCATCTCAGCCTCTCCTCTTCTCTGCCCGCTCCCTCTCTCTCTCTGTCTTTGACTCTTCCCTTCCTTTGCCTACCGCTCTCACGGGGCCTCGTCATCACGTCCCTGCTCTACAACATCACTTTCCTTCCCCCCTATTACCCACGTCATCCTCCCCGTCACTGTCGGACTGAAGCCATGATCGTCGGGGTTTAAAATTGGTCAACTCTCGTCGACGGAAGCCCGCCTGCCTCTTCGCGCCGTCAGCTGTCACCCTCTTTGCTCTTCGTCCCTGGTGGTCTCGACCCCCCTCCTCGTCCCACCTGTCACCATGTCTCTGCCAGAGTTGAACGACTCCCCCTTGCCGAAAGACTCCCACCAGTACGATCCGGTCATGCAATCGGAGCCGGAGCCGGACTCGCCCGCCGTTTCCTCCTCCCCCAACCGCCCTCGTACCCTCCGGCAAAGGATATCTGCCGCCGTCGCCAAGTCTGGCTCCAAACCGCTGCTATGCTTTCTGCCTCTAGGCCTTGTGGCAGACGTGTTGCATTGGAACCCCGTGTTGGTGTCCATCTACAATTTCCTCGCCGTCATTCCCCTCTCCGTTGTGGTTTCAGACTGCTCCGATGAGTTGTCCGACTCCCTAGGGCAGCTCATGGGGGGTTTGATCAATGCTACCTTTGGCAACTGTGTCGAGCTGTCGGTGAGTCCCACGATCTGTTCTGAACATCAAGCGTCGGTTTTAATCTCATGGCTGTAACTCTCCCAGACCGGCATCTTGGCCCTCACGCGTGGCGAAATATATTTTGCGCAATCTGTCATGATTGGGAGCATTCTGTCCGATCTACTGCTTATCCTCGGTTGCTGTCTCGTCGCCGCCTCGTACAATACCTACATCCTCCATTTCAATAAACCCGTCACCGGCGCGCTCGCTTCGTTGATGGTGGTCACCTCAGTCGGACTGATTTTGCCCTCCGTCCTCTATTCCACATTTCCTTTCGACCTTGGGGACCAGATCGTAGCGTTTTCACGTGGCACCTCTGCCGTTCTACTTGCGCTATATGGTGGATATCTTTATTTTCAGCTGGGGACCCATAGTCACCTCTTTCTCCAAGGGGAGACTGAGAGCAACTCCTCGCGGGAGTCACAGCGCAGCATGAACTGGCTCACAACCACTCTGATCCTATCCGCGTTAGCCATAGTTGTCTGCACGAAGAACATCATGGACAGCATCCCCGCAACCGCTGCAACCCTAAACATTTCGAAGACGTTCATTGCGACCATTCTCATCCCCATAATCAGCAACAGTTGTGAAGGGGCAGTGGTCATCACTGCCTGTGGTGGTGGCGGCGATGTGAACTTCGCCATCAGTATGATTGTCAGCAGTATCCTACAGATCGGATTGTTTGCCATCCCTTTCCTAGTCATGCTGGGTTGGGTCATGGGTACGCCGATGACCCTGTATTTCGAAACCTTCCACACCGTGGTTCTATTCTTCTCCGTGCTGCTGGTCAATTGCATCCTGCAGGATGGGAAATATACCTATATTCACGGAAGTATGCTGGTTGCGATGTAAGTCATCTCCCTGGGACTCTTAATTGGTTTACATCTAATGATTGTGATGACAGGTATGCGATTTTGACGCTTGCTTTTTACGTTCGGTAGGCAGTAGCCTTAATGTTTTGATTTCATCCTCTGCGGTCTTTGGAATCTGCGTTATTGCTGGGAATGCGGGTTTTCGGGCATATGCGCCAGATTTATAGTATATACACACATCTACATAAACCACGTTGATAATGCATAGGACTCAACATCATGTGTTTACGACCGCGACATCCTTGATGGTGCTCACGCTGGGACACACATAAAAGGCCACTCCAGTAATGACGTACCTGTGTTATTTGTTAGTAGTCTCGTAAAACTGACAAGGGCCAACGTATAGTTATCAGTCTGGGATGTACTCACGTTCCGCACAGCATGAGGCCATCAAAGTAGTTGGCCCGGCCTTCGTGAATCACGTGGCTCATAACCATAGCGGCGAGGAACAACATGGTCGCTTCGAAATTATCCATCTGCAAAGTCACCGGTTGGCCCAGGGACCACCCCATGAGAACCAGAGTTGGCGTGACCAACAGGGTGAGACGCAGAACGCTATTCAAGATGTTTCGGACGGCGACCTCCACATGGCCCTGGCGCGAGATGATCACGATGGTCAGGTACTTGGTCACGTTCCCCACCAGAGGCACCCAAACCAGAATGGGGAAGCTGGTGCCCGTTCCCCGCTCTAGCGCAGCATTGACGCTGTTCACAATGTGTACAACACAGCCCGTCAAGCACGCCACGCCAACCAGGAGAGCAACCCCCGCCGATCGGGGCGTGAACATGACCAGTTCATGAACAGTCGGCATTGGGTTCTCATCCGCCCCGTTTTCACTGCTAGCATCGTTCCAGTGCGACTCAGCTGCCCCCTCGGCAATGCGAAATAATGCAGCATGGGACTTGAGTTGAAAGAGGAGAAAGACACCGAATAGACCCAGTAAGATGAGAGCAATCCCATACGAGACCATCTGTACCTCATGGCTGGTCACTACGGCGCTGATGGAGAGGGTATCCAACGATGGAAACGTGACCATCACGCCGGGAAGTACCAAAGAAATGCATACCATCATCATCAACGACGACATGATGCTAGTCAATGTGCGATCGAAGTGTAGATGTTCCTTGTCGTAGCCAGAGATCAAGAAACAGCTACCAAGCACCTATATTTCAATAGTCAACTAACGTGATCCAAGCGGCCTAACAACAAGATTAATCGCCTACCAGAAGAGAATAACACAGGATACTTCCAACCACAACTGAGTGGAAGATACGCCCTTGACCCATTTGCGCAGACACAAGCCCAACCATCAATTCGACCGAGTTACCCAGGGTCGACTTCAGGAGCTCGTGAAAGAACGGGCCCAGCGTATGGGACAGCTCGGTGATAGCAATGGTGATGATGGCCATGAGCGGAACCAAGGCGACCAGATTCACCCAGAAGACCAATTGCCTGGGCCATCCCAGAAAGCCTGAGAGGAGTCCCAGGAGCACAAATCCAGCGAGTGCTTTCAAGACAGGGTGGCTACCGATTCTCATAATGACCATGTGGAAAGGATTGGTGCGCCCGTGGAGGGGCGCGGTCGGCGAAGATGCGCGCTCACTGGGAGGCGGCGTAGGGGGATCCGATTCTGCCGATATGCCAGAGGGGCCCTCCATGGTTGAAGAATAATGGTGGCGGTGCCTCACAGTAGGCATTTCCAAGAAAGATGTTCCTCACGGGTTGAGATAGATCAAGAGGCTTTTGCTTCTTCTGAGCAACAGGCGGCGCTTCAGAGGCTCTTTTTTGGTTCAGCTGATCGGATGGATCTGAAAGTTAGAAGCTTACCCAGCTTACGGGACCTGGCTGTATCCGCGGTAAGGAGTTACGGTACCGTTCCCCCGGAGCCCGAACCAAGCGCTTCCTGGGCAAGCGGCCCCCTCAGCCTTACAGGGCTGGGTGGCATTTTCCCATTGGCTGGCACCCCCACCTCCCCGTCTGACCGAGGGGTTTGGCGCCTAGGCACCTCCATTCTGGCCCAATGGGCGCTGGGAACCTCCGCCTGGCCCCACCCATCTGCCCGCCCAGTGCGCTCTTTTTGTGTAAACAACCGTATCGGTCACACCTGACACTGTTCGAACCGTACCTGACGGTATCCGCCAAACGGCCCCGCGCGTTTTAAGACTTTGGGGAGAAGCTGGAAGAAGATCAATCCGAGCGAACCTTCTACCTTCTGACAGATGCTCAGCTTCTCGATGGAACTTTCCTCGGTCACCATTCCATGATGGCCTTCTTTAAAAATGCCCAGGAGACGGGCTCACCTTCTCTTCTCGCCAGCGTCTGGCATACTGTTGAGGTGACGTTTCTTTCCAGCTACACCAATGTGCTCTTAATATTTGTATTTCTGGGGATACTGTCCGGCTCCCAAGAATGGAATCCCTCCGCCGTGTTTGTCCTGAATTTCCTGGCCATCTTCCCGCTGGCCTCGTTGTTGTCCTTTGCGACCGAGGAATTGGCTAAAAGCGTCGGCCAGACGGTGGGAGGTTTGATCAATGCGTCTTTTGGCAATGCCATCGAAATGATCGTAAGATAGATTCCTAATTCATCGTTTGTGGTTCATGCTAAATATAGTATTTAGGTTGGAATCACAGCCGTGAGTCAAGGAGAGATCCATATGGTTCAATCTTCGATGGTTGGCTCAATCCTGTCTGGCACTCTGCTGGTATGCCATGCATTACCCTATACTCCTGCAGCGGTTTCTAACCATCATCATCCAGGTTCTGGGCTGCTGCTTCTTCGCCAGCGGCTATGATAAAGAGACAGTTCACTTTAATGTGGATGTGACGGGGATCATGTCGTCTTTGATGATAGTGTCATCCTCCGCGCTCATTATCCCGTCAACCTTGTACTCCACGGCCCTTTACGCTGCTCCTGGTGGAAACGAGTATATTCTCCATCTGTCGCATATCACTGCTGCCTTCTTACTGCTCTTCTATTTTGTCTATCTTTACTTCCAACTCAGCAGCCACTCTCACCTCTTCAGTAGCACCGAGGACGAGGAAGAAGAGGAGGAGCGCCAGCTAGGACCCCTCGCAGCTAGTCTCATCCTGATTGCCGCTACGCTGGGAGTGACTGTCTGCTCCGACTACTTGGTAGAAGGGGTAGACGGCTTCGTTGAAGCTTATGGGGTAAGCAGGGCATTCTTGGGCCTGATTGTTGTGCCGATTGTGGGCAACGCCGGTGAGTTTGCAACTACCGTCAAAGCAGCAAAGGAAGGGAAGGTGGATCTGGCCATTGGTGTGATTGTGGGCAGCACGCTTCAAATTGCATTATTCGTCACGCCGTTCTTGGTATTGTATGGATGGGCTCTGGGTCAACCGATGTCCTTGCGTTTCAACTCGTTTGAAACCGCCTGTTTCTCGCTGGCGGTGGTGGTGATGAATTGCCTAATTCGGGAGGGTCGGTCGAATTATTTTGCAGGTGTCTTGTTATGTGGAACGTGAGTCTCCCTGTGCTTCTCTTCCCAAAGCAAGACTGCTGTCTAACCTCTGCTCAGGTACTTGATTATTGCGATCGCCTTTTATGTCCACCCAGACATCGTCGTTCCTGGAGAGTAAACTCCCTGACATCAGGTATGGTATCGGGTGGCCCGTCTACACAGGGATATGACACGTCAGCGGACGATCTATCAATATTTATGTTATAGAGTTGTTATACCAATACACCGTCTCTTAACGCGATCATTATTCGACATGTTGAATACTTCTCTTGCCTTTAGGAAGGAAATCCGACGGGCAAGGCATGCTGCCGAGTAATTTAGGCAGAAATTACAGGCCAGCCAAGCGGGGAGGCCGAAGATTACCGGCGGGGGTTACGCGGCTGCCAGTTTGCCCGTATCATCAAAACCAGCCAATACGAGTGACTGACGACTGTCTTGCTCCGCCCCAAAATAAGAAAATCAAGCGGCATTAGTTGGATGGATCTTACTCTCTCTCCATCTCCTAACTCCTTCGTCTCCCCTGATTCCATCTCCTTAATCTTCACTTTGCTCAGCGGAGGCGATTTAGCTCGACGTTTTCCTGACCATTTTGTACCTATCACTTGCCTGTGTCGTGTAATCTCTTCGTTCCCTTCCGGTCGGATCTGTCCGCAATGACCCCAGTAACAACCGTCTGCTTGGTCTTATTCAAACGTCCAAACTCCCATGGTAGCATGAGCTCCCAGCCACGGTCATGAAGGAGGCAGGTAAATCCATGATCACAAACCCCATATCCACTTGTGGCCCACCCCAGACCGGAGCCAAATATAGAGCCAATCGGTGACTAACATGACCTCAGAGCCTGAGCGAGAAGCCTGTCGTCGCCCACGGACCACTGGTTCGGGGCGAGCCCAGCGCATTTGAGTTCTCGGCTGAACAGTTGAGCGAGCTCATCGAATCACGAAGCCTGGATACCTTCTACGCTTTTGGTGGCCTCCGCGGATTAGAAAGAGGTTTACGAACCGATCGACATACCGGATTAAGCGTCGACGAGTCCAGCGTCAGGGTCCACGAGCCATCGGCCACTGCCTCGTCCGTCGACAAAACATCCCACCGACCTCATCAACGTCATATTCACTTCCACCATCACCATAGCACCGAACAATTCGCAGATCGACGCGCTGTCTTCGGAAATAACCGCCTCCCCGTTCCCAAGTCACCCACGGTTTTGCAGTTGATATGGGCGGCCTACAATGACCACGTCCTCTTCCTCCTGACAGGAGCAGCGATCATTTCGCTAGCCTTAGGTTTATACCAGACATTCGGGACCAAGCACTCAAGCTCAAACCCTCCAGTTGAATGGGTAGAGGGGGTGGCCATCATCGTTGCCATTATCGTCATCGTCCTGGTGGGCGCAGGCAACGATTTCCAGAAAGAGCTGCAGTTCCAAAAGTTGAACAAGAAGAAGCAGGATCGCCTTGTGAGGGTGGTCCGCTCCGGTCGGCCACAGGAGGTAGCTATTGACGAATTAGTGGTTGGGGATGTTGTGCACATGGAGCCAGGGGATGTCATACCGGCCGATGGGATCCTGATTCGCGGCCACCATGTTCGATGCGATGAATCAGCTGCCACCGGTGAATCGGATTTGCTGCTGAAGCAGTCCGGTGATGAGGTCGCAACAGCGATCGCTGATTGCCGAGATACCAAATACCTTGACCCGTTCGTGATCTCGGGGTCAAAGGTCGCGGAAGGCCTCGGCTCGTTCCTGGTAATAGCAACCGGCAATCATTCGAGTTACGGCAAGATCCTCCTAAGTCTTGAAGAAGACCCTGGCTTTACTCCACTGCAGTCGCGTCTCAATGTACTAGCGAAATACATTGCCAAATTTGGCGGCATTGCCGGCCTGGTGCTGTTCGTCATCCTGTTCATCAAGTTCCTTGTTGGTCTGCGCCACTCGACGGCGTCCGGGACTGAAAAGGGCCAGGATTTCTTGGAAGTCTTCATAATTGCTCTGACAATAGTTGTCATTGCTGTCCCTGAAGGTCTCCCTTTGACCGTGACGCTTTCTCTTGCCTTTGCAACCACGAGGATGTTGAAGGACAACAACTTAGTGCGACAGTTGCGCGCCTGTGAGATCATGGGCAATGCTACCGACATTTGCTCGGACAAGACGGGGACCCTGACCCAAAATGAGATGACAGTGGTCGCAGGAATGATTGGCACAGAAGAGTTCTCGGATCTAGAACCACTGACGGACGTCCCTTCGCGTGATGTTCCGACTACTGCTGAGTTGAGATCTCGCCTTCACGATTACGTGAAATCAGAAATCACTAGTGCGATTGCTTATAACACCACGGCGTTTGAGTCGATAGCGGACGGAAACGTCGTCTTTGTTGGATCCAAAACCGAGACTGCTTTGCTGTATTTCGCTCGAAACAACATAGGCTTGGGCCCATTAGAAGTGATACGATCGGGCTATGAAGTGGTGGAGCTCATACCTTTCGATGCTACGCGCAAGTTCATGATCACCGTGGTATGCGTGGATGAGTTTTGTGGGTATGCGTCGTATAGGGCGTATATAAAAGGAGCGCCTGAGGTGTTAATGGGCTTCTGTAGCAGCACGCTGGAGGAGCCCACAAAGTGGAATTCCGTTACAGCCTTGACCGAAACTAACAAGACAGCTATACGCCAGAAGGTAGATACCTACGCAAAGTGCTCGCTACGAACTGTAGGGTTGTTCTACCGAGATTTCGACAGGTGGCCCCCGAACCGGGCTGGAGAAATACAGTCCGACACACTTGACCTCGAAGATATACTTAGCAATCTGACTTTGATTGGAATTGTGGGTATCCGCGATCCTCTGCGGACAGGGGCCCATGATGCCGTTGACACCTGCCGTCGGGCAGGCGTGACGGTGCGTATGGTCACTGGAGATAATCTGTTAACAGCCCGCTCTATTGCCGAGGAATGCGCGATTGTCACCAACGACGAGGACATTGTTATGGAAGGAGAGGCATTCAGGCGCCTGACAGAGGAGGAGCAACTAGAGATAGCGCCCCGACTCAAAGTTTTAGCGCGGTCTCAACCCGAAGATAAGCGTACGCTTGTGCGACGACTGAAGCAGACTGGGGCAACGGTTGCCGTCACTGGAGATGGGACTAACGACGCTCCTGCACTCAAGGCAGCCGATGTTGGATTTTCCATGGGAATATCGGGGACAGAGATCGCGCGCGAGGCTTCAGCAATTGTGTTAATGGATGATAACTTTGGCTCAATCGTGAAGGCGATCATGTGGGGTAGAGCAGTCAGCGATGCGGTTCAAAAGTTCTTGCAGGTAAGACGTCCGACTGAATCATACTCTAGTCTGCGGAGCGCCATCTAACACCATATTCTAGTTCCAAATTACCATCACCTTCACCTCAGTCGGACTGGCCTTTGTCACTTCCGTGGCCAGCTCAAGCGAAACATCGGTGCTGACAGCCGTGCAACTGATGTGGGTGAATTTGATCCAAGATACCCTGGCAGCACTTGCGCTTGCTACCGATCCACCGTCTCCCAGAGTATTGGACCGAACACCCGACAAGAGATCAGCTCCACTGATAACGGTGCCAATGTGGAAGATGATAATCGGGCAGTCAGTCTATCAGCTAGCCGTGACATTGGTGCTCCACTTCGCCGGCAATAGCATATTCTCGTACACTACCGCGCACGAGCACTCCCAGTTGCAAACAGCTGTCTTCAACACATATGTCTGGATGCAGATCTTCAATTTATACAAGTAAGCTCCTAGTCCTCCACACATACTGGTTGAAGTGCTAACAATCTCAGCACCCGTGCCCTCGGCAACAACATCAACGTCTTCGAAGGCATCCACCGCAACTGGCTCTTCATCGGTGTCAACGTCATCATGATCGGTGGACAAATGATCATCATGTTCGTAGGCGGACGCGCATTCTCCATCACTCGCCTCACTGGTGTGCAATGGGCCTACTCTGTCGTCTTGGGAGTCTTATCTCTTCTCGTTGGTGTTATAGTGCGTTTCATCCCGGATAGCCTCGTGGAGCGTTTATTTGTGGGTATCGGGTATATTATGGGGCCGTTATGGAGGTTATTGAGGGTGAAAATAGAGTAAAGGGATCGGCTATATTCAATGTGTATTGATGTGCTTGTATATATTGGGTCTCGTTTTCGTTTGTTGTCGGTACTGGGTAAGTTTGGAAGGGATGGGGTCATACTTCACTTCTCTGATTAAACTTTTTGCGGACTTTTCTTGATTCGCTTGGTATTTCTCTTTTATGACTTCGATGCTGGCCTATAGTGTAGAGAGTATCATGGCCGCCCGCGATTCGTAAGCCCATTGAAACCATTTGCAGCAAGTATTGGTGACAGTTCCACGGTGTGTAGAAATATATTTGTGGGCGTAACATTCTGCATTTCCCATCCACAGTGTATACTACTAATACCACTACTGCTGGTAATGTATATGCTAGTAGTATTTTAGTATGTCACGAATATCGGCCGCAAGGAAGAAGATCGAAAAGTACTAAAGCTGGCGTGGTTATTAGGCTACATTGTATAAAACGGACTATGATCTCACAACCAACACCGCCTATTCTCTAAATAAATATATATACTTATATATATATATGGAATAGAACACGTGACTAACATACGATTAGTATGCACACCATTCGAAAAGACGTAGACTAGAACAGTAGTGTATGTATCAATATATATTCGTGCCCTATATCCATTTTCGAACCTTAAACAATACCAGTTCACATAAATCGTAACACCTCTAACAGGTGATTAATTTCGACGAAGACGTCTGATCAACAAATGTCTCCGCCCCCGGCTCCAGATTGGCAAACAACTTATCAAAAATCTCTTTTCCTCCTTTATCATGCACAAGTCCAATCCAGATGAAAGAAGAGAGAATGGCCCGCATCTCCTCCCACGAGCGAACTCGACAGCTCCCCAGGTAATACAACAGCCAGTGCCGGAAATTCTGCCTGACGGCAGGTAAAAACACCACAAGACCACCGACGGTTAACAGCCAGATCCAGAGTTGCGGGGACACATCATCTCGCTTGGCTAAACCATTGAGACAGCGCTGGTACGAGGCAGCCAGGTGGACGTACGGAGTGGGGTCGCTGCGGAACTGCAGGAAGATGTCGAATCCGTAGCTGAGTAAAGCTAGACGAATCGCCTCGTCACGGGACCCGGGATCAAAGCTCATGTGTAACAGAGGGTACATGACGGAGGCCATTGTTTTCATGAAATCGGTCTCGGGGATCATGCCGTTCGTCTTGGTGGTCAGGTTGACTTGGGCACAGAATCCCTGCATAATATGCCAGATCCGAGCGAGACCGGGGTCAAGCTCCCGGACGAACGACGGGTCGGGACGAGAGCGCGCCGTGAAGCAGAGCTCAGACGGGACGAAGATGTCGAGATCACGGTTCTCGAAAAACGCGGGTTTGTCTCCACTGTGGATCGCTAGTCCCACATCGCATCTGATCACAGGGTTAGGTTGCAAGCAACTATGTAGTCTAATACGAAAGGGTAATATAATAACCGGCAAGGAAAGTAGGAGGAAAGTAACGGACAGGGGAAAGGACCCACCGGATAAGATCAATGACCAGTTTGTTATTGGATGTGAACGCCCCCAAGCCCCCGCGCAGACGGACCATCTTGCGGAGACCCTGGGTGTGATGTTGTACGGCAGCATAATCACTCACGATATGCGCGTGCAGGATGAGAATGATGACGACCATTACGGTTGCATTGGACACGCGAACCTGCTCGTCTTCGAGCCGGTTGCGTAACAGGCGGATGGCTTTCCCCAGATGAGGGGACTGGGCCGCATCGGGACCCTTGTAGATCCCAAAGTATGATTGGGTAGTGATGACCATGGCGTTGAGATAGGCCGCGTCTAGTGACAGCATGTCAAGAATCCAGGATCGACTAGACTTGTTGAATACGATGCATACGGCAAGGGGGTAGAACTCCATCTTTGCCCGGTCGGTGACTATGGAGGTTTACTCTTTTAGTGGGCCCCATCGAATCACCGGCAGGTGGGAATCAGGGACGCGGCACCTACAGCGAAGAATAGTGGCTAGGGCTGCTGGGCTGGTGGTGTCATCAGCCAGCCGGATGAGGGACATGTCGTTGCCGACTCTGCGGGGAAGATCTAACGGCAAGCGGGTGGCTGGCACTTGTGCCGCAGGCGATGTGGATGATGAACCCGCCCCATCGGCAGGAGGAGCCGAAGTATCGTCTGTGCTCGTGTCCGCCGGTGTCGATGGATCGGCTTCTGCTTGGCGATAGCGGGATTTGCCACGGTTTTTGCCAATCATGACATGGCTGCGAATGAGTTTGCGGGTACGGGGATCGACCTTCTTGGTGCCGGTGGAGACGATGAAGGGCATGTCCGCCATGGCAACTATAGTACGAAAGAGGTAAGAGAAGCATTCATTGGGCTACAGAAGAAGCGAGGAAAACTTGGTATGGAGACGACGCACATACCAGACTGCTTGGAGGGCGACATAGTGGCGATCGAGCCCCAGACTAGGGACAGATGGCGTCCTGCGCACTGTCCCAGACCAGTGGGATAGATCTCACGAGGATGTCGGGCAGGTGCTTGGACGAAGCTACACGAATGGGATGAACGAGTATTTCAGATTGCTGGCTGAAAAGGGCAAGCAATCCGGGGGCACTCGGGAGAGTCAGGAGATATAAGAGACGGACTGTCGGAGGGAGCTGCAGTTGCTGCTCGCACGTCCTTCCTTTCGCTGGTTGGCTCGGATGGTCTCCGCTGTCACCTGTTGTCCGTGCTATAGTCTAATTGGTGGATATGCTACAGGTGGGTCTGACATTGTTGCCTCTATTGAGCTTAGCGTGGGGAGCATGTGATGCACCTGGGGCAATTAACTGAATCGGGAAATGTCACTTATTTCACCGCTATCTGGCTATCTACAACAGACCATGGTGAACAGCAAGAAGTGGTCAGATTCCTATCGCATTCTAATATTGTAAACGTTGCCACACCCCCTCAAATACACGGTTTTTGGTCCCTTCACCCTGCCGGACTCACACTCATTGAGCCCGTTAATTCCCTGCATCCCCACGCGAGAACTATCCCTTCAACTTCTTGCGTGGATGGTATGCCTCTGCTTCTCGTGCAAGATGATCAAAGCCCTTATCAATTAACTCGTAGCTGCGCCGGAGCAACTCTTCGCCTTTGATTGGCAGAGGGGCGACAGTATCCCCGCAGGGAAGGCTATAGATCCACCGCACAAACAGTTCGTAGTTCTCGCGACAATTCTCGGTGAAATCGACAAACTTGCTTTTCGAGATGTGGAGATATTTTCCGTCATGATAAGCCTGGAGAATTCGGGCCTGGGAGCGGAAGATAGAAACAACCATGACCTGTGAAACAAGCATAGCGTTAGAGCAGGCATTTATAGCAGTGAATGACCAATCGCTGATTGACTGGTGTCGAGGTGACTTGGACTTCATGCCAATAGGCAACACTCACCGGGAATGTGCGGTGCTTGACATAATTGAATCGATTCAGCCGCCATCGCATGAACCCGACTATGGGCAGGACTTCACTTCGGCGCAGGGGTTCTTCGGGATCGGCGTAGTGGTACATCTGAAAGCTGCAGTGGGGAATGTCCAGCGAATCCGCTTCCATTTCCGCAACAGTCTGCCATGAATACGGCACATCTGGCGTATGCTCGCCCTAGCAGTACGGGGGTTTGCGCGGTAGCATCTACCCAGCAGGTGGGCAAGTGATATTAGCTGACACAATCTTCATCATCACTACAGGTCTGAGGGTTTGTACTTACTGCCGATGGACCCAGGTTTGGTGCTGGCCACTACGAAACCATGCGCCATAGACCCTGCCCGAAACACTCTGAAGCGTATAGTGCACCCGGCGGGGCTCGTCGCTATGTCCCTCATGCCATTTCGAAAAGTGCACCTTGTCCCAGTCAATCTCCGGTAACTTTGATTTTGGTAGTGGCTGGTAAAAAGCCTGGTGGCCATTGGAACATTCTCCTTCCAGATCATGCTCGGATAGCTTGATTCCTAGTGTATCCAAATCATGTTCTGTCAGCACCGAGTGCTTCAGCACCTTTGTGGCTGTGAAGATGTGGCTCAGGTGGCGGGATACAACATTGGTCTGGGCTACTCGCAGTTTAGCATCTTCACGACTATTCTCGATAAATGATTCGAAGGATCGCTTCACTCCCATGTTGTGATTGTCAGAAAGCAACAGGGGCTGATTTCACGTGTAGGAGCCGACGAGTGTAAGAAAGGCAACGTAAAGTGTTCAAGATAGACGGGTGAAGTTGGTATTGAAACGTGTTTGTACCCCTCCCACGTTGGAAATCTCCGGGTAGGTCGTGGAATCCTCGAAACGACAGCGTAAAGTAAAGAAGAAGAAGATCACGCCCAGGGAGGTAGTGCGGAGGAGCAGCCGCAGGTCATTATAGTGATGGCTTTTTGTAGAGATAACCGGTGGAAGTGACTCTCGCACATAGGACCCACCCAATTGTATGGGCCTTCTAGTGGTCCAGTTAATATAGAAGGTATTAGATGCTGTTCCTTCCTGGCAAGCAAATCGGTGCATTCACCTTCACGTAGACACATTGGATAAAGACCGCCTCACCATTCAATATGATGAGTGAGTTCACCAACCATGATTCCCAGGACAAGAGGATTCGCATCACAGCCAAACAGTCACTGTCCTGTCCGCTTCAATGCACCATTGATGTTCTATATTCAATCATCACCGCTAGTAGCTATATAAGATCCTGCCATCGCCATGGACTGAGACATCCAACCTGCAGTTCCTCTTTGATGCCTGAGCGTGGAGATTATTCTTCGTGGAACCACTAAGCTCTTGTCGGGGATTCTCTTTGCGAGCGGAAGAATACTCGATTTCTTGGAACTTCCAGGCTATTGAGATGTCTATTCCTCCATTGCCTGTAAGAATTCTGGATAAAGATGATTGGAATGTCTGGGCTCAGGAGCACCAGGTAAATGGAGTAAGTATCTATGAGTTAGCAGATTACGACTCAGCTTCGAGAATTAGTGATGCACAATATCTCTCCCTAAGGGCATTGTGGACATTTCAGCGCAATACAGAGTCTGACCCACAGAAATGGGGCATACAAGGTGTGGAGGCAGCTCGAGAGAAGCTGGAAAAGCTCAAGGACTGGAAAAGCTTTCTTGAGGCGGTGCCATTGGAGGTTTCCCCGAACAAAATCCTTCCCATCGAGCGTGACCTGGGTGACTTCAAGCTCATATGGTACTATGGGCAACTCATTCGCTGGGTGCCGAGCGCGCCAGATACTGAAGGGAATATCAATTTTACTCCCTGGTCTGACCGACTGAGGGAGCGAAAGGCCAATTCGGGCAGCGAGGCCTTCTCCCAGCAAACACATACACAGCCTTATCCAAGTCACCCGATGGAGTGCTTGAAGATGCTCGGAGGTCAAGAAGAGGAGCAAGTGGAGGAAGCATGTGAACGACCGTCAAGCAGCCGGAGCCAAACCCAGGAGTCTTCTGGGACTCCATGCATCGATCTGGACCCAGAGACACCCAGTGACAATTCGCAGCTAGATCCAAACTATGAGGAGCGCAGAGAATTTCCACAGGTTTCTGACGAGATCCTGGTCAATGCATATCTACTCGGTCTCGCAGGTGTGATAACCTTCTCCGTCGAAGGGGTCGCAGCCCATTGGACACCAGAACGGAAGGTGTACAAATTTTGCGATGAGAAAGGCTTAAAGTTATATGAAGCCCGAACAGATGGTCACCTCTCCCTCGCAAGCAACGGAGAGACAAAGGCCATTATAGAGGTCAAGCCCGTGGTGCGGGCCGAGTCATCGCGAGTCATGATGCAGGAAACAGCACAGATGGCTGCATGGATTCACACGGACAGAGATATAGTTAACGATGGTATTTTGGAGGAACAAATGTGAGACACTCTGACATTCAGTTCTCGAGACGTTCTTCGCCCCAGAGGCAGGTACAATGTTAGACCAGCAGCTAAGTATACATACCATAGGTTCCGCCGATTGCTGTGGGCGATGAATCGGCATGAACTATACATCATCGTTGCTGAGTAAAACGCGGACTACGTCGACTACTTGACTAATCCAGGACGCGCAACTGTAGGCGAAACGTTCCTGACAATGAACCAATTTGGTCCGTGGGACATTAGAAGCTCCAGTCAGATTGCGGAGTTTGCTGCCATACTGTTGGCAGTGACTTTACAGTTCAGTAAGGGTCTGCATCTCACCTGAACCCACCAGTGAAGGTTCTTCATTTTGCACTGTTTGGTTGTCCGAGTATGTTGTGTTTCTGAACATGTGGCTACTTTTGGAAGTGGGAACCCTGTCGGCTGTCATATCGCATAATTCATCAGAGATGTAATCCACAGTAGGTACCTCTACTGCCGGCTATTTACATATTGATCGCGGTATACCTACATCTTTCTACATCATATGTTCAATGGATCTAGAGTTTACTGTATCTATATGGGGAGAGCACAAAACTTACAATTGAGAACCTGCCTTAGTATGCAATCGCAACCGACGCAGCCAGGAAGGCAAGTCAAGGACCAGCTGCACGCAATCAGGCACCAGAAGCGGAACCGTACCGGGCCCTTTAGCAAACTAGATGTCCACCAATTGATCAAACTACCATCTCGAACTGAGCTGCGAATCACCTCCACCCAGCCGATGCTGCAAACCGAACCAAATCCACGATGTGCGGGGTAAGATGTGGCCCGCTGCGGGTTCCGAAAAGTCCCAAAAGGATAGCCGCCTCTACCATCCCTGCCACGCTATAACCTTAAATGCCTGCCGCTCGCTCACTGTACTTGGGTTCAGCCACAGTTTCACCCTCCTAACCTTTGTTTTACGCACATCCAGAACATTATGGACATCATCTGGCGAGATTCGGCTGAACCAGCCGTGTACGAAGAGGCTCGCGTAGGTCGTGTGTTCAATCATCGTCGTCCCCAACGCTTTCCTTTGGCAGTTGTCAAGGCTACCAGCACGAGCGACATTATTAAAGCTGTGAAGCTAGCCGCCGAAAAGAAGTGTCGCGTTGCTATACGCTCGGGAGGGCATTCATGGGCAGCATGGAGTGTCCGTGATGAATCCATCCTCATTGACCTGGGGAACTACAAGCACCTGGAAGTGGATGCGGAAAATCGCATCGCAAAAGCCACTCCTAGTATGACAGGGAAAGAGCTCAATGGCACCCTGATCAAGGAATATGGTTTGATGTTTCCAGGAGGTCACTGTCCCGATGTCGGCCTGGGTGGGTTCTTGCTACAAGGCGGAATGGGATGGAACTGTCGGGTCAGTTACTATGCTCCCACCATACATTTCGGCTGGCTAATGGGTAACTCCGACAGAACTGGGGTTGGGCGTGTGAACGAGTTCAAGCAGTAGATGTAGTGACAGCCACAGGCGAGCTGCTGCACTGCAACGCTACCCAGAACCGCGAGCTCTACTGGGCTGCTAGAGGGGCTGGTCCAGGGTTCCCCGGTGTGGTAACGCAGTATCATTTGGAGCTGATCCCATACCCCAAGGACGGATTCCGCTCGTCTGGCTACGTCTACCCTATCCGACACTATCGACAAGTCTTTGACTGGCTCCTGTCTATCACCCCTGGCTTCGACGAGGACACTGAAATTGCCGCCGTGGCCGCGTACCCCGAGGGCATTGATGAGCACTGCTTCTTCGTGCTATTTGTCGCCATGAAATCAACACCTGAAGAAGCCGAAAAGGCTTTACTGCCAGCGCAGATTACAAGGCCAGCCGGCGCGATCCAGGAGTGGTTCTGCCAGGTGGATAGCCTGGAAAATCAGTACTCTAAGCAAGCCAAAGCTAATCCAGAGAGACACCGGTACTGCGCCGAGAATGCCTACATCCGGAATGACGCCGACGTCCCCGCCGTGCTGGAGGAGGCATTTACGACACTGCCCCACAAGAAGGCCTTTGCCCTCTGGTACGCCATGTACCCCTGTAGCCGTCGGAAGCTGCCCGACATGGCCTTGAGCATGCAGTCGGACCATTACTTTGCACTCTACACTGTGTGGGAGGAGGAGCAGGACGATGACAGATGTCAAGCGTGGGTGGCTGATGTTATGAAGAGAGTCCAGCGACATGGGGTCGGGTCTTATCTGGGAGATGCGGACTTTCAGGTGCGAAAAACGAGGTACTGGGCGGATGACAATGCTCGACGCTTGATGGACATCCGTCGCAAATGGGATCCTCAGGGGCGTATCTGTGGGTATCTGGACCAGGGTGATCAATCTGGAACGAGAGGGCTGGATAATGCCAAGGAGATCAAGTTGTGATTGGTTGTTTGCTAGCCGGATAAATATTTACGAGAACTGTCTCGTGGTCTGGAACACTTGGTTTCAGTGATTGGCGCTCGAGGAATTGAGATCCTGTATATGAAACGAACAGCCTTACATGTACCTATACTCCCTAATGAGTCGATTATCTCCTGCGACGTAGTCTCAAGCAATAATGCTGAAGCAGACCGGGCTGTGGAGACATGGCGTTAGAGTCTCGCTCCGTGGAATATCCAACTTGCCAGGCGTAGAAAGCTCACCAGTCTACGAGCTCATGGATGACCCATTCAGCCCCTTCCTAATCCTACATCAATCAATGTAATAGTGAGATAGCTAATCAGTTAGAGTCTGCTTTCCCTCCATCTACCGTGTTCTGTCTCTCACGTGGAATACTGTAAGCGTCAACCACGTTAAACGCAGCTGTTGGCGACTTCTACCATTCATACCTCTCCTCCATCATCGATATCCAAGAAACCAAATGTCCCCGGGTTTCTCAAGGCAGTCCGGTCAGTCCACATCGGGTTGTGGAGAGCAAAAGCGAGAAGTTGCGGGAGTCGGGAGAGACACTCGGATAGCGGGGCAGTGATGAATCTCCAAGCGCCGGGAAGCTGAGCCGAACCGATCATATATGGCACTCGGCAGGAACACAGTTGCAACAGATTATATCCCACTCATCATGTCTCCTGTTCATCGGCTCGACCAAATCAGCAAACACATCTCGCCCAAGATGGTAGAGCAAACTCTTTCCAATAAGGTCGCTATCGTCAGCGGCTCGTCGTCGGGGATTGGTGCCGCCATTGTGCGGGAACTCTCTGCTCGTGGAGCGAGCACAGTTGTCAATTATCCATTCCCTGGTTTAAAAGCTGAAGCAGATGCCCTGGTGGCTTCTTTGCCATCGCCCTCGGTCGCTGTCGAAGCAGATATGGGCTCAGTGTCTGCTCCACAAGCGCTGGTCGATGCTGCTGTATCGAACTGGGGTCGAGTCGATATCGTGGTCAATTGTGTCGCACTAGCAGTGAACAAGCCGTTCGAAGAGCAGACTCTCGATGATTGGGACAGGCTGGTCAATATCAATGGACGCGGGACGTTCTTATTGACTCAGGCCAGCTTGAAGCACCTCACTAAGAACACAGGGAGAATTGTCAATATTGTGAGCATTTCGGCACGGGGGCCGCCGCCCAATCAAACCATCTATGCGGGTACCAAGGGGATGGTTGATTCATTTACTAAGTGCTGGTATGTCTCAGTCTTCTTTATGATATGAAGGGATCAGTTCCTGATTCAGGCAGGGCCAAGGAGCTTCCACCCAAGTATGGCTGTACCGTCAACGCGGTCAGTCCGGGCCCGACCAAGACTGAAGGCTTCGCAGCAGCAGGCGAGGAGCAGATGAAGATCCTGCAGCCCATCATCGATCAGACACCGGTTGCTCCTCGTATGGCTGAGCCGGATGAGATTGCGTATGCCGTAGGGTTTCTTTGCGAAGAGAGGTCGAGGTGGATTAATGGGGCACATATTGTTGCATCTGGGGGACTTTTTATTGATTAGCTTATGCGATGAGCACTTGAGAGATGTAAACAGTTACCTGATGCAGCCTCCCTTGGATGAGCAGGGCAGTGCCTCTGTCTTGCTTCTAGTGCTTTGGTTAACAAGTATTGCAGTAACTAGCACCTGTATAAGCATACCTATGACTCTATATGTCATCCAACTAATCGTTTTCGGGCGACCAAAATCCAAGAGATGAATCCATAATCGTTAGTGTACGGGCGTCCTTGAATATGATCACGCCTGCCACGTCCGCGCTGTGAACGTTCGAGATGCTTCGCACTGGCCCCAGCCAGGCCACCATGATCTGTCATAACAGCATGCAACAAACATGCAGAGTCACAAATATACAAATTTACAAATGTCTGAAGTAATGTGCATTGTGCATTCCAGGGCAATGAGGCACGTGGAAGCGAGCGCCAAAGAGGAAACTCACATTCACGCGCAGTCGCTTAACCCCGAGTGTTGACCTTAGCGCGTTTAGTATATCCTCATGCTTACTTTGTTGACGCGAGATCTGTCATTGATACTTTCTTCACCTCCAGTCTCTTCACCATCTACATACTTTTCACTCGTTCATCGTTCAAGCGTCAGCGTTCAAGCGTCAAGTCTCTTCGTCGTTCAGCAAAAATGCCTACCAACTTCAACGTTGATAGAGCGATGGCGGTGATCCGCAACGAGCATAGAAAGCTCCTCACTCTCACCTTCACCAACCACTTCATCTATTCGGGCCAGTTCCTCCCCAAGCGTGGTAAGCCATTGTCTCCTGTATCTAGAGCTCAAAGCAATGCGATACTAACCCACCAGATGCCGCCCACCCACCTCGTATGTCGTTCCCTCGCCTCAAGAGCAATGGAACCTACATGATTGTGTGCCTCGATCTCGACGCCCCATACCCCTCGTGCCGCATCCTCGGCCCCAAGTGCCTCTGGATCCAGTCCGGTCTGGAGCCGATCGTGAGCGAAAGTGGTCACTTCTTCCTCAGAGTGGCAGCCCCTTTCATCGCCAACTACGTTGGACCTAATCCCCTTCCTGGAAGTTCACCGCACCGCATTCTTTTCATTCTCTATGAACAGCCTGCTGGATTCGAAGTCACTCGATCCTCTCCCACTGGTGGCAAGAAGATGGGAGTCTGGTCTCGCATGCGTTTCGATCTTGACGGCTGGGCTAGAGAGATTGGTCTTGGCCCTGTGGTCGGAGCTAATTATTTCGTCAGCAAGTGACTGTTGACTGTTTTCTGTGATTGCGTCGTTCGTATCTGAGCTGTTTTATTTGCAGCATCAGACAAACTGATGGCTTTATTGTGGTGGATGAGTGAAATCTAGCGGTCCGCATGTATATTTTAGCATATGGTTGTGGTGTTGCGGCGTTTACTTTGAAGTTGCTTGCTTGACTTGCACATAAGATGGTAGTTGGGTTGTGGTGAAGTGGAGAAATCGGACCTGTATGTATATCTTACGATGTGATAATGATGCTCAGCATCTGTCAGACAGACTGTTGTGAACAACAAATAAAGTAATGTCTAATTAACAACGGCTCTGATCACCAGTATTTCAGCTTTAAATGACAACATAGACAGACTACCAGTTCGAAATCACATCCACTGCAGTACAGAGAACCATACTCAATAAATCTAAGAAGAAATCACTTCGCAATCTCATCCACCCACTCCTTCGAACTCACAACGCGCCCCTGACGCGTAAAAACCTTCTCCATTAGAACCCGATGCACCTCGGGATCCCGATCCATACACACATCTTCCAGAACAGTCACATTGTAATCTAGATCCGCGGCCGCGCGAACAGTCGACAGAACAGCTCCACTAGTAATAAGTCCTCCTACCACCATCTCTGTAATACCCTTCGACCGCAGTATAAGATCCAGCTCAGTGCCAGTAAAGGCCGAGACACGATGTTTGGTAACAATAGGCTCTTCCTCGCGGCGTGACAGAGCGGGATGAACCTGGGTCGACTCATCGTGGGTGAGGAAAGCCCCCATTTCCTTGGCTCTACCCACATTAGGATTTCGGGGATGGCATTCTGGATAGCCAGGACGGAAGGCCGTTACCACATGGATGATGTTGATTTGGCTGTTGCGGGCAGCTTGTGCGACGGATGATAGAGTTTGGAGGTATTGGGTGGTGTTCTCGAGACGGTTGACGACGCCGTTCTGCACGTCGAGGAGGAGGAGGGCTAGTCTTTTGGTGGCCATGGTGGTAGACTTGCTTGACTTATTTGCACGAGAAGAGTGATTTGATGATTCTCTGAATTTCATGGTTACCAGTTCCAGGGTGTACTTGGATATTTTATGCTTGCTGGGGATACCCGGTAACGGGCTGGATAGCTGGGAGTCTATTCTGTGATTGGACGAGAGGCCCGTTTCCGGGATAGAAAGCCGGTACCGGGATCTAGTTCTTGAGCTTTCACAATAACAGACCGTAGCATTATTCTTTTTTTGCTCCGTTCTCCTTACTTTTCCTACGTTTGATGGTATTCTGCTTGTAGACTTGAGTCTAAAAAGAGCCTATACAAAGAAATCAAGTGTTCAATATGAACGGCAATCCATCCTCTTCATCAGCTACAGAGACAAACGCCGCCGATCTAGAAAAAGAGCCGAACCAAGATGCACCACCTAGGCTGGAGGTATTTTCAGTCTTCACAGTCAACCAGAAGAGAGCCATGGTGGCGACCGGCTCAATGGCGAGCTTTTTCTCGCCTTTGTCTTCAAGCATCTACTTCCCTGCCATGGACACGATCGCAACAGCGCTGAATGTCTCCACATCCAAGATTGATTTGACTGTCACGACCTACCTCGTGAGTCTAGAGTTCCTTTTACAGGGTCAATAATTGATGATGTACTTTTATTTCCAGATAATGCAAGGCATAGCTCCCATGTTGATCGCCGGATTCTCGGACACAGCCGGTAGACGTCCCGCCTACATAATCTGCTTCACCGTCTATGTCGCCGCCAACCTGGGCCTCGGCATCCAAAACGACTACGGTTCGCTACTCGGTCTGCGATGCCTCCAGAGTGCAGGAAGCAGCGGCACCGTGGCCCTGGCCAACGGCCTCGTCGGAGACCTAGTAACATCAGCGGAACGCGGTACATACATCGCCTTCGCTTCGCTTGGGAGCATGCTCGGCCCCTCTCTGTCGCCCATCATCGGCGGACTCCTCAGCCAATATCTCAACTGGCACTGGATATTTTGGTTCCTTCTCATCTTCTCGGGTGCCTTCTTCCTCCCTCTATTACTCTTCCTCCCGGAGACCTGCCGCAAAGTCGTAGCCGACGGATCTGTCCCACCTCCCACACTAAACAAGAACATAAGCGACACCCTCCGGCACCGCAACCGAAAGACCAAAGGTCTCGAAGTGGAGGAAAGCAAACTCGCCGAAGTGCGCAAGAACTACGCCTTTCGGTGCCCATCACCAATGTCCACACTGAAGGTTACCGCCGACCTAGAAACCGGCGTCATTCTCCTGGCCACAGGGCTAAACTTCGCATGCTTCTACGCCGTAATGACCGGAGCGACCACCTCATTCCACGACATCTACCACCTCAACGACATCGATACAGGCCTAATGTATATCCCCATCGGGGCCGGCGGCATCGTATCAGCATTCACCACGGGCCGTCTAATGGACTGGAACTACCGACGCCATGCCGCGCAGGCCGGACTACCTGTTATCCGGAACGTGCGACAGGACCTCACGAACTTTAATATCGAAAAGGTAAGGCTGCAAGTCGGCCTACCGATGTACTACGCATGCATAGCGTCCATGATCGCCTACGGCTGGGTCCTCGGCCACAAGGTCAATCTGGCTGCGCCGGTAATCCTACTGTTCATCTGTGGATGGAGCCTCAATGCTACATCGCAGGTCTTGAATGCAATTCTTGTTGATCTGTGGCCTGGTCGGTCAGCTGCTGCGACGGCAGCGAGTAATTTGTTTCGCTGTGAGTTGGGAGCTGCAGCTTCGGCGGCGATTACGCCCATGAGTGAGGCCATGGGGCAGGGGTGGGCGTATACGACACTGGGGTTGATTGCGGTGGTTGTGTCGCCGAGTTTGTGGGTGGTTATGGAGAGGGGGATTAAGTGGAGGCAGCGGAGGTTGAGGAGGGAGCGGGAACGGGCAGCCAGAAATCAGTAGCGGGAGGTTGATGTAGAAGAAATGGAACGAGTAGTGTCACGAAATGTAGGATGTATTTTGAGATATGGCATAGTTGGGCTAGAATGCATGTCAGGAGTACGGACAAAAGCGTATGTATACTTCTATATTGTGCATTCATCGTGATATGTGGTTCTGTTATTTACAGTAGATCTACGTAGGCAGTTGCATGTTTGAAACTACATTAATGACTCTGATAGGATAGGAGCTTACTACATGATATCATTATCGTTTCATGGATCAGTTTGAGGGATGGGAGAAACCAGGTTCTCCTCTCAAAGATGTTTTCATTTAGGTTAAAAAAAAAAAAAAAAAAAAAAAAAAAAAAAAAAAACCGCCCAAAGACAAACAGGTGGAAGCAGAGGCAGCGGTGTAAGAAAAATAAAAAGAGTGACAGGGGAATCAAGAGACGGGAAAGTAAACAAGTTGAGGCCGAAAGATCAAGGAGATAGGAAATATGGATGTAAGGAAAGAGTTTATACATGAGGCCTTTGGGTGGTACATGGAAAGTATTGGAAGACAGGGGAACTGGTAGGGTCAGAGGACACTGGAAAGAGACATTAAAGATATGGGCAGGGGCATGAGGGGATAATATAATAACGTGATAAAGAGGCGGGAGAAGGTTAAGTGAACGGAAAGAGGGTTGTGGAGAATGCAGGAGAGAATGTAGACAGTCGAGGGGGGGAAAAAATACCTGGTAGGTAATAGGAAACACGGCGACTTGGGGTATTTGGGGATTATAAACATGAGAGAATGAGGAATGGTGATAAGACTGAAAATACTATGGTCTGTTGGAGAAAAAAAAGGACCTTTGAAAAATGGTATAGTAGGGAAAAAAGCTGCATGGGAGATGAAAAGAATGAATCGATGGTCTCAGGGGAAATGTGGATATGAAGAGGGGAATAAACGATGGGGTAATAAAGAAAAATCGAATTTACGAGAATAAATCCGCCTCGAGCAGCTGACTAAATCGTATACTAAGAATCAACCCATCTTGATAATTCTAATTGGCGATTCCCGAATTCCTACGCCACAAACTTCCTCTGACGCCAGATATATAATTGTAATGGTCAGAATTGGAGGAGACAAATGTGGCTGCAAGAAATTAGAAAGTCAAAACAGAATTGTCATTGGAATGGCATGCTAGCCAGGATATGACCGTCGTGTCGAGGAGAGGTGCAATGTGTTGGACTGAGCAGCAGACAAGATCATGAACAAGCATGGGGCCGTGCAGTAAATATTCTAATCCTGAAACTTCCATATCTCCTGCCACAAGCTTCCTCTGACGCCAGATATATAAATTTAGTGGTCAGAATTGGAGTAGACAAATGTAGCTGTAGAGAGAAAGGAACGTGTAGGGAAATATTATCATTAGGATGACATGCTAAAGTCAGTTCATGACCGTCGGCTTGAGGCTAGAAGTGTAAGGTATGGCGTTAGACTTGACCTTTGAAGCATAAGCTGGTTTACCCGGATGATCCACTCGAGTCTAGATTATATGTAGACAGTGAGTCTCAATCGATTCAAATGGGCGATTGTATTCAGGTCGTATATAGACAAAACTGCATAGACACGACAACAAAAACCCCCGTGAACTGAGACATCGATCATCTAGTCACAACAACAATAGGATACAATATATGCCATAAAACCTGCCTTACAGAAACATAGATATGCATGATGTTGGAAATAGAAAAGGGGGGCGCTACCGCCGTACCAGCCAGGCCCTCCTTCACAGCAGTCTTCCCTAAAAGGTAAGGCTTGCTCCCCATGAGGTAGGACTTGTGGTTTTACTGCAGACAGAAATCCCCACGGCCTCCCATTTTCACTAGTCTCCTCCACAGGCATAAGCTTAACACCTCAGACAGGAATAACCTCAAAAATGACGGCGGTAGACTTTTTGCCTGCTTGAAAACCAAGCCTTACCCTTGGGGAACGGGGCTTACCTTCTGTGGTAGGCAGAGGGTAAGCGGAGGATGAGCAAAGACCGGCTGGTCTGGCGGTAGCGTCCCCAAAACAACGGAAAAACAAGTGAGACACAAGAACTGCATAAAAGTACCAGAGCATTTCCATGCTGCCCGCTACACTATTCAGATGCACTCTGTGAAACCTCCATCGTTAGAGCCATATCAATGTAAATAATGGACTTATTAACTAACTGATGAGGTGTTTAGAAGCGCACAACTTTCTGTGTAGCTGCATCATGGTCAGCCAAGCACCGTTGAGCAGTGTGATGAAGGAAAGTGCAAGGAGAGGGGACATGAGGTCCTATTTATGCTTGGAGAAGGTGGCAAATCTATGACTGGCAGGCTCCTCAGCAATTGTGTTGACGGGGGGTTCCTAAATATGTGATGAATTCTCTGTATGGCTCTAGACACAGTTTATGCACCGCAACTTCACCGGGAAATAGCTTCTACCAGTCGCCTCTATAAGGTTAGCGTAAATATCAAACGTTCCATGAAAAGATGGAATTCCCCAGTTATTTATTGGGAGGTTGCAGCGTTGGTATTGCCCTGGGATGAGTCATCCCTCATAACTAATGTCACGAACATCCATGAAACAATAAGAGAGGACAGGGAGTTGCCGCTTAAACCCTCGCATAGACTGTGGCTAGCCGAACTGGCCCGATAATCATGATAAGAGAGCAGCTAACGTATGGCATTTTAAGTGGCAGTTGCATTATGTTGAACATTGCACTTATAGTACACTAAAAACTTTGCGGTTGTGGTGTGGTGTCCTCGGATGTGGGCGATACCGGGACATGCAGGTACTTCAATCGGGACCTCAGTTTATTGAATGTACACTTTACCTCCTGCCATTATGATCCATATATTACGTGTTCTGGGGAAATCAATTGAAATACTGTCTCAGAACCCCAAATTATTAATTAGTAAAACTCCCTCGTCAAAAGGACTAACAGACTCAAGATTACTTTGGAAAGTATCACGAAGTATTATTAGAATCATCAGTATCATTCTCTAAGATATCCTTCTAGCTAGCACTGATTCGAAGCTCTTACCGGGTCACCAATAGCCAGTGATCACAGTTGTTATCCTCCAATAGAGATTGGATGAGGATCCATCTTTTGATTATTGCCTTACGCGATCATCCGGATTCCCCTCTTGCTGATGAGGCTATTACCGTAGTATCTCAATCAACGGAACCTTCAGAGTATGCCATTACGTATGACCCATAGTTGGGGTTTGATTGGTCCCGTCTAGCTTCATTTCGTTGCTCCTTCCTCGGGCAATCTAGCCTACATGGATACTGCTACAATTACACTGTGTTCGGTATTTTCCATTCGACGCGCGTGCTTCTGTATATGATACCAATTGTTTTCGCTTCATCTGGCGCCATGTACTCATACATTTAGACATGGGTTATCAGCCTACCGCAGAAGCCTTTCCAATATACTCAGAATTAGAGAATGATGTCTTGCTGTATAGTAGCGAAGATATGTTATAGTGTAATTCCTGCTTTGAGGGTCTCAGTTAAATGCTACTGCCCCAATCTGAGTTAGTTGCTCAACCTGCGGCGCTTCAGATGCTTTCGTTTCCTTCTCCTTGTCGAGGGGATTTGGAGGAAAGATATCCGCATATTCTCCAGGGGTCACTCTAGCCCAATGCTGGAAATTCATAGCCAGATCATCCACTCTCAATTTGAGTTCATCAATCATAACCCTGCACAAAGACCAGCGCCACTTGACATAGTCGTTCAGAATCATCTGCTCGGCGTGCACAGGGCTAAACTCAAATGCACTGTCCACTATCTGGTAGTTAGTAAACCGAACAAGGATCCCATCCAGAGATAGTTATAAGGGATTAACTCACCAATGTACACCAACACTTCCAGTTGACTGCACAGGTCAACCAACAGTTGATCAATAGCTGTCTGATGGCGCCAGGCTCTCGGCTCAGCCACGACATGGTAGAAGTCAATTTGTCCAAGGAAGTGCATTGAATCATCGAAATCAGTGAGTCCGCTCTGGATGTCGCACAGTCTGTCCAGTGATTCGATCTTGATGAGCTTCCCGAATAATACTGAGGCGCATATATCCCTCTCACTGATGTGCATGAGCATAAGGTCCTGCTCGTCTTGGGCCTGCTGGTGGAAAGCTGCAAGTTCTGGCTCCCATTCGTAATATGTATCCCACTCTTCGTGGTTGTACCCGTTGGTAGCTTCCATGATGACTTTCCAGGATTTGCGAGGTGCTTGCTCACGTACGGTCTAGTGAGTAAGGAGGTGATGTGATGAAAGTCACTTGCGAAATGAGAAGCGATTTACGAGACATTTATACCTCGTGTCAGGGCAGCTCACAAAAGTGACGTGAGTGTCAATTTTATGTAGGCCGTCGGAAGATGTCGGTTCATTTGTAGAAGGTGAAATAAGGTTGAGAGTATTGCAAACGATAGGAAGTCTCGTACAGGAAAATACCATTATTTTGATCCGATGAATAAATCTTCTTCGTCCTGAGCGAAGATGCTCCAATATACCTTAAAGGCGAGAGAATGGCTTTCGGACACATCGACGTTAAGAAAGGGCTATCAGCTAACTCTCGCGCTTCTTTCTTTCTATCCCGACTTTTCCTCTTTACTTTCCTTTTTTACCTTCTTTTCTATATACTTCCTTTGTATTTATGTATCTGCATTTCTATTCTGGTTTTTTGTTTTTAATCTAACATATATATCTACTTATTCTTTTGGGGTTAGCCGAGCCGTAGAGGAGGGAATAAAGCAAAAGCGGAACAGAGTGTCTGTATCCTTCGTCAACACCAGTCGAACTAATGCAATTCTAGGTGGTGAGAAAAACATTTTTTTATTTATTGCAGTTTACATGGATCTAGAGCACTCTATTGTAAGTTCAATGCTACTAATGCTGATGAACGAACACTCGTAGCATAAGTCTGTCGGTTTGGTTACAAAATCACATTCTGCCACCAGCTGTGCAGAGATGATATGCACCTTGTCCGATAATAATCTCCAGTCCTTTGCGCAGACTATGTCCAAACACAATAATGAGAAAAAGAAGGAGAGGAGAAGAGAAGGAAAGAGAAAGAAGGGGGAAAAAGCAAATATCCACGAAAAACCAGTTGGAAAGTCCGCGTCTCCGGCCGATGAGCCGAGTTAATCCGAGCAGGCCAATTGAAGCTAGAATAATAGTGTAGATCAAACATTTCGAAGAGCGGATTATACCACCCACTCAAACTTCGTACAGTGTGGCGTAGCTAAATTGCGTATGAAGACAGTGATTGGTGGACTCGTGCGTTTCCTTTGGGGTCAGAATGTGACACAACAGCAACAGAGTGTATGTCATTGGATGAACCGCCGCAAGTGGTACTACTAGTGGGTTAGATAAAGCAAATATCTTCTGCGGGCACGCATGCAGAAAGTTCCATTTTGGGTTGGATTTGTGGCTAGCCGCTCATATTATAAATGTTAAGCAAGCAATCCCTTTCCGGCGTTTGGAGACCATCCCAGCATTGACATTATTTTACCCCTCGCCAGACACCGTTACCATGTCTTTGCCCGTCAGAAAAACAAACGCCAAAATCCAACAAGTCATAAAAGACTTGAAGGAGATCACCGCCCACCCTATCGATGCCTCCAAGGTTCATATTGAGAATCCCATTGGATGTGTGCAAGTGCCAGTCGGATTGGCCGGACCCTTGCGCGTGTGGGAGACCAGCGCTGCTGGCGAGGAGTGTGAAGAAGTCTATGCACCGCTGGCTACTACCGAAGCAGCTCTAGTTGCGAGTTGCTGTCGCGGCTGCAAGGCGTTCAACCGGAGTGGGGGCATCCACATTGTTGCTCTTTACGATGCCATGGCCAAGCAAGGAATCCCATCCATTCATCCTTCCCACCTATCAAGGTGAGCTCCTTAAGCATCTGAAACTAACTGGGGAGTAGATGTCCCGCGTTCATATTCGACACGCCGGCCGACGCGTTGGCGTTCGCTCAGCAAGTTCCGGCCTTTCACAGCGAATTTAAACGGCTTGCTGAATCCACTAGTCGCCGCATTCAGTTTTTATCCGTAACTCCGACCGTACTGGGATCTGCAACCCATCTGCGTTTTAACTACAGATGTGGCGATGCGGCCGGCCAGAATATGGCCACCATAGCAACCCATCGAGCCTGCCACGGGCTGCTGTTGGACACTCCCCTCAGGGAGGAGCTGAAAATCCGCAATTTCCAATTCGAAGGGGGCATGTCCGCGGAAAAGAGAGCCAGCTGGTCACATACAAAGGAACCACACGGCGTCGAATCCCTGGCATGGGGGGTAGTCACCAACGAGGTAGCCGAAGAACTGCTGGGATGCTCAACCGAAACCATCTACCAGGGTTTAAGTCGTGCGCAAACTGCGGCTGTGCGACAAGGGGGGTACGGCTTTTCGGGAAACCCGATGAACATTGTGACGGCTATCTTCATCGCCACCGGGCAGGACGTTGCCAGCATCGCTGAGTCGTGTTGGGCTCAGCTGACGCCTGAATATAACTACGAGACGAAAGTTCTGACTCTGTCACTGTATATTCCGTCACTTCCGGTGGGAGTAGTTGGTGGAGGCACCCACCTGGGTCCTCAGCGTGAGGCTCTTGACATCATGAAGTGCAGTGGACCTGGGAAGAAACGTCGACTTGCTGCACTAATGACGGCGTTCGCCCTGGCGTTAGACCTTAGCACTGTAGCAGCGATGGCTAATGATACGTTTTCGCAGGCTCATTCACGGCTTCGCAGAAAGCCGGTGGCCGGTACCAAAGCAAAGCTTTAGATGCGGACCCGTATGACCGGGAAAGCATTATGTCCAAACGGGAGCGAGTAGGTATTTTTAGATCATGATATATCCCGTTCTCCTTGCATTTTCAATATTTCTTAGTCTTATTACGCCATCCCTCGCAGCAGGACTTGCTCTTGGCCTAGCCAATGTAAGTAGAGCACCACTGAAAGTAGCACCAACTAATTCCAGACGTTCCAATGCTCACAGAGAATTTGTCTTTCATAGCTAGTTCAAACTTTGCATGGAATGTCTAACGCAGTCTTCGCACCATTCTCATCTTTGACGGCCACGGGTAGCACGGTCACCGCCTCAACCCCGTCCATTCGATCAGGATCGAATTCGTCCCAGTACTCCTTGGGCTCCTTCCACCCCCTTGTCTTTTCCATTTTGGCGGGAGGCCACGCCAGGCATGCGAGATAATACACCCCGAATGCAATAAGAAGGCCGACAGGGTACGCGACAAAGTAAAACCGCTGTATTCCCAAAGGTGCCTTGACGCCCATCTCGTGCAAAAAGCCATAGAAGTTCGGCGCAACTGCTACAAGATAGGCACCGAATCCGCGTAAATTGAATCCGTGAAAGAAATAGTACACGCCATCGGTGCGCGATGTATATAAAGCCGGAATGTCGAGCCATCCTGTTCGAATCAGGTAGTAGTCGCATATCAGAACCCCAGCGATAGCAGAGAGAAATATTTGATAGGAAGAGAGAAAGTTGATGAAGACGGCCGCTGTGGCAAGGAGGTACCATGGACAGATAGCGTAGGAGAGAACTAGATGATATTAGTGACTGCAAGACTTGACTTAATGGGTCGATACTCACTAGCACAAATGAAGAAGCCACGCTTAACGGTTATGTAGCGAGGCAGTAAAGCTGCAATGTCATTCCCAGCACTGCATAAAAGCAATAATCAGTCAAAGATACTGTATCAGAGCTCCAGGATACTTACGGAATCGAGTTCTCGAAAATAGCGGAAAAGACAGTTGAGTACACAAATGCCAATGAAATGAACGCACAAGCAGCCCGGTTTCCCGGCGTGTATCTTTCTCCCTCCATCAGTTTGTCCAAAAAGGTCAAGGGATTCCATATCAGCTGCTTTCCTTAGTATATGGCCTATATGCAGAGGCATTAGAATAATGGCACGTACCTCCCCAAATATACTTCTGCTACACCCAGCAATAATATTACCGATGACGGCCACTAGTAACCCAGAGAGCGGAAAGCTGATGAGCTGTGCTAGGATTACGTCGTTAGGCTTTCTTGCGTATCGCTGAAGGTCCGCGGCATTGGAAATGAAGGTCCCGCAGCTGGCCAGTCCCAGGAACAGAAACTTGCATATAAGCCAGCTCTTGGCCCTTCCATGGATGGCCGAAGGTTCGTGCAGGGCGGGAGGGTTACCTCCAGCCTGGCGTACTACCCAGGCTAACATTGCGAAAGCACCGCCATAATAGACGACTACTTTGATGTAGATTAGCTTCTTCATCTTCGGCACAGGAACCACGAGGAATGCGCAGTTGATAAGCCTATCACCTATTAGCGTCCCACCGCTCTCGAGTGGACTCGGCACTTACCAGTAAACGAGAAAGCATATCATCTGGGCAGAGGACAAGGCTGACTTTGGCCCCATCTTATCGGGGATGCGAGCAATTGATGGGAAGATCGCATGGAGAAAAACACTGGGTCAATGTCAGTCATGTGCATTGGAAAAAATCGCAATACTTACTATAGACACTGAGCTCCTTGCGTAACATTGACGCCGTTCCAGACTATACTCATTGCCGCTCGATTAAAAGTTGGCCAGAAGGCTCCCCAAGGACCAAAGCTAGATCGACACAAGACTGGGAATGGGATTCGGTACACAGCACCAGCACGCCCATTGAGTGCCATCAGGCACCCTGCGAGGAACTGGCCTGCAAACGAGCAGGCAATGGCCTCCCACATAGTCAATCCCATGGATACGCCCGTGCTTGAAGCGTACAAGTTGCTCACATTGGCAGTGGCAGAGAACCAGAAGAAGAAGTACGTTAGACGCGTCCACTTCCGGTCTCTAGTTGGTGTTGGTCGGATCGAATCATTATCAAGAACTCCCACAGGTCGGATGTTACCATTCTGGTCCACACTTTTCACAAGCAAGCGCTCATGGATCCCTTCCAACATAGAACTCATGTTGACGACACTAAGATCTGCGGTTTGATGAAGATCGATGCTGGCCGTCGGCCGCATTTAATCACTTGTCCACGTGGGCCGATAAGAAGCGCCATGATTCTGTAGCGGTCAGACACCTTATCTCTTGGCTGGACCTAAAACGGCTTGAATGGGTTCCTTTATCATCTGGGCAAACCTGGGCTCTCCTTGTGCCGGCGATTTTTTAGCTCGGGCCAATGAGGCGGTTGGGTCTGTATCGCGATGCTTATTAATGATTCGGCCTCCACCGTCATCCCCGCCCAGCAGATTGCGGGGATTGCCGCGGAAGCACACCATCGGCGATATATAATCCCTGTTAAGCAGCACCAAGGAGGCACAGTGGACAAATAGCCTTACAAGGCCAGACTAAAACAAGGGAAAGCGACCGCGCAGATGACCACTACTATGACTGCCATGGCTAGGCCCCAATATACCCATGTCGAGCTGTTGACGCTCAACGGACCGGAATACCGCAGGGTATCAACTGCCCCTCCCCGCCCCCCGAGCGACGATGAGATTCCTGTTATCGACCTTGTTGGTATTGATGGCGATCTGGATTCACGCACTGTAATCGCTGGAAAGATCCGTGCTGCTGCCCAGAATACGGGTTTCTTCTACATTAAGAATCACGGGATTTCAGAGGACCTGATCGCCAGCGCTCTCACGCAAGCCAAAGCCTTTTTCCATCAGCCAGAGGAGGAGAAAGAAAAGGTATCCAACTTCAAGCTGCTGCATATGGATGGATACCACGCGGTCGGAACTACGCAGCTGAACAAATCTGAAACAAAGGGTCAGCCTCCCAGCAAGTAGGGCGTGACGGTCATTAACTTTCAGTGACAGATCGGAAAGAGACCTTTTCCCTTCGGTACAATGCCCGCAATGACCCGTCTACAGGACCAGACACCCCGGAAGATCGTATCTGGGATGACTCGCCCCTCTGGGCTGGGACCGCGCATCTCCCAACCTTTCGCGAAATCACCATTTCTTTCTGGCAAGCACGATTGGCCTTGGCAAGAAAATTGGTGCGTATTTTTGCTCTGGCCTTGGACCTTTCCGAGGACTATTTCGATAGCGTCGTCACCCATCCCGGCGCCGACGGCCTTTACATCCACTACCCCGGTATTCCGGAACCTGAACTCAAGGGAGACAGCATAGACGTCGGCATCGGCTCACATACAGACATCCAATGCTTCACACTACTCTGGCAGGACATGTCGGGAGGTCTGCAAGTTTTGTCATCCTCTGACGAATGGTTGGACGCTCGTCCCATCCCGGGCACACTCGTCGTCAATATTGGAGATTTCCTGCAGCGCCTATCCAACAACCGGTTCAGATCCACTGTGCACAGAGTATATAATCGGAAGAGCGCTTCGCGCTATTCGATGCCGTTTTTCTTCGGGTTCAATCCCGAGACGGTGTGCCAGGTTGTACCGTCCTGTGTCGATGAGGAGCATCCAGCTCTTTACGAGCCAATCTCATGTGGAAAGGTAGGCTCTTCGGATTGAATGATCGCTTGGGATAAATATATGCTAACGGGAATAGTGGCACCGCGATCGACTGGCTCTTGCTCAAGGAAAGCTAGCTACTGCATGAGAATCGAGTGTTAGCACATGTTTCTTTTTATAGATGGAGAAAATCGGCTATCTACTCCCTTCAGATGTCAAACCCACTGTAGCTATTGCGGTTCATCTTGGGTGCCTCACTTTGCCTATAGCTTCCCTGTAGTAGCTGGCACCATTGCTGCCATACATTGATTTTCCAGGGACATTCTGAAGAAGGCAAGCCTAATGACACGTTCGTTAAGGTCAGTACTGGCTACCAAAACAATATCATACCTGTTGTAGCACTTTCATGTTAGTTGAAAGTAGTGGGAGAAGGGTGGGGAAGTAAGATGCGTAGCCTTGGGGAGACTAGGCCTGTATTTGCTGGCCTGGCTCCGACATGTGACTTGGATCCATTCAGCTTAAAAACTTCTTCTCGCAGCATTTGTCATTGTGGGTTTCCTTGCTTATCGTCTACAGCCTTGACAGGTATCATGCATTCCGACGCGTCTTTCTGCTTGGTGGCCATCAAGGTTGTTCGGACAGACAACCGACCACGGATGTATTGTCATGCTGCATCTGGTAGCTATAACCATGGACGTGCAATATGAGATTGACTGCTAATCGTAATAGTAATGGTGATATGAGACACGCATGCGATGCAAACCACTCTCCTGCATAATTCAACAACCGCCACCACACACTCCTAACCGCTAAGAAACGCTTACTTTCCGCCCTCGAAAATTATCTTCTGTGATCGCATATGGTTGAAATCGTCGTATCTACTATTTATTAGCATCTTTCCATATAGCATCAGAAACATGAGCTTACGCTGTGACAGCAGTCGAGAGTGGTCGCACGTCAGTCACCATGAAACTAGACACATCGTCAGTAAAATATATCCATCCCGCATCCGACCACCGAACTTACTCGAGAGTATCCTGCTTCTGAACCAACAGCTTCAGTGCATCCTCAAAAGTGCCTATGCATATCAGCATCCTATCACACACCCAAAGAAGGATTCACTCACTCCGGACCGGACACCGCCCCATCTCAATCTGGAGGTTCTTGCTGAAAGCCTGAAAGCCCGTCCACGGAATCTCGCCATTATGCACTCCCACACTCGAAATCCGTCCCCAAGGCCGTAACATCTCAAACGCCATAGCCAAGGCACTACTATGTCCCACCACCTCAATCGCCACATCAGCTCCTCTCCCCTCGGTCAACTCCTTCACCCTCTCCCTTAGCCCATCTGCCTGCGTCTGGAAATTCCACGGCTCAGCACCCAGCCGTCCCGCCAAGTCCAATCGATCCGGGACACTATCGATCGCAATAAGATGCTTCGGCCGATACTCCAGTGCACTGATCAAAGCACAGATCCCTACCGGCCCACACCCAAACAGGATCACTGTACTCTCCTGCACTGTGGCGTCATTCATACCCTTAAATGCATTGTTAGCGGCATAATACCCAGTCGGAAATATATCCGCCATCAGGACAAGTTTCTTCTCATCAATGTCCTTCGGTGCAGCGACCAGCGTCGAGTCTGCCAACGGGACACGGACGTAATCCGCCTGTCCGCCGTCAAGGATAGGACAGCCGTAGAGTAGGCATTTAGCACAGCGAGACGAACAGCCCCGCACGCAGTAGAAGCATTCCCCGCAGCTCACGGTAAATGGTGAGACGATTAGGTCGCCCGTATGGAAATTGTGGACTTCTGAGCCAGTTTCGACAATTTCTCCGGTGAATTCGTGACCCATGATGAAACCGGTCGTGGACGGCTGGTGACCGCGGAAGACGTGGAGTTCACTATATATACCAGAGTGTTAGTAGAGATTCTGAATGTTTTACGCATTTTGGATACTCGCCTCCCACATAGTGCCGTGTAGCGTACTTTGACGATCACGTCGGTGGGATCCTGGATCTGAGGAATGGGACGCTCCTCGAGAGCAACCTCGAAAAGTCCTTTGAAGACAACGGCCTGCATACTTGCAAAGACCGTGTTGGATCTGAGCGATGGAGCGATAATTGAAGGCGTTCGACCATTGTTATAACGGCGGTGCCATTCCTCGCTTTCCGTATGCCCGAGCGTCGGTGACAGGGATGAGTCGGAAGGATGAGGACATCTTGCAGATCCTGGGAAAGTCGAACTTGTTTGAGTATTTCATCTCCTAGTGATAGTGATGACTGGGATCCTTGGCGATACTGCAAAGTTTGTCGCTTTGCTCATAGGAGCGCTTAGTATCTTGGGAAGGGGAAGGAATATATTTCCATCAGGTAAGTTAGTTCTCATGTATCCACAAGAGTATTGATACTCATATAACTTTAGATCAGGAACACTGGACCACCAATCCTCTTTCATCGTCCTCCTCGTATAAAGAGATTCTGCCACCGAAAACCTCAGCTGTTGGCACTACTAGTCATGGCTGGGACAGGGTGCGATCCGGAGCAGGCGAGGGTGGGGGTTCCAAACCATCGTCGGGGTACGTACACTAAAAGGCCCCGAAAATAGGCCGAAAGTGGTTTTGCGTAATGCTCATGTTTAGTCTGGAGATAGAGTCTTTGAGGGGGTGTTCGTCGGAGATTTCGGGGATTCGGTGACTTACGCGAAGCGAGTGCAGAGGGTCCTTTCCTCCGGCATGGAAGCGCTACGGGAAAAGACTACCCATCCGTGTGCACCGATTTCGACATGAAATATGTGTGGATTCTTCAGTAGATCACGTACTAATGGTCTATCCAGATAAGACTCATATATATACACACCAGCGCAAAGGTATAAATATAATCCGCCAAGCATAAAACGCCACCCGGCTGTGAAGACAATTCAAAATAAAAGCATGGGGAATCAAAGAAAATGCCAATACCAACTATTCAGACGCTTTGAACCACTTTTGTTTAGGTTTCGCCGACGAGATCTTCGTCTCGAACGTTTGCCCAAGCTGGTCCACCGTAAATGGCGAAGTGAACCCGGTTGCCGTGCCAGCATAACTTGGACCGAGCCGCTGGCTACTACCCGCCGTGGACGGAGGATCGTACGAGCTTATTGAGTCACTGGCAGTTCGTACCCGCGATAAATCGAAACTGGCGCTGCGATCTCGTAGACTGGGGACGGACCCTTTGGAGGAAGTGGGTCTCGATTGGCTTAGACCAGGGACTAAGCATCGGGGATGAAGCTGCCTCTCATTCGCCATGGAAGATGTTTCGCTGTTTGTGGTGGAATCCGGTATAGAACAAGTGTCGGCATTGGATCGAGACTCTGCAATAGATCCCGTCTCGGCGGTCGACCCACCACCACTGTCTGGCCTGGTCTCGGGTATTGACCGCACATCCGGGTTGGATTGAATGTCCGCGTAAGATCGGGAGTCGGGGATAGATCGGGAATCGGTGCTAGATCGGGTATCTGCGGTGGACCTGGTGTCTGAAACACAAGAGTCGGGATTCGATCCAGTGTCGGTGTGTGGCGGCGGTCCGCCCGTGGGCGGCGCTTCAACTGGGTTCGGAGAATGATGGTCAAACTCTTGGCCTTCGCGAATATAACACCTCGAAATCAAGTCGTTTTGGATGGTCATGATTTTGTTAAGCGCTCTGATCAGAGCGAATTTGAACGGATACGACATCTCTGGATGTCCGGATATGGTCTCGTATGCGAGCTCCTTGACGTACCCCAGGCACGTGTTCATATGCATGTACTCGATCTTCAGTGGGTGCATCAAGATTTTACCTGTGTGCATCTTTCTGAATCCCCAACATGGAATCAGTACATTTGCCCGACTTTGTTCACGAGGGTCTGCATGAGGAGATCAGCTCAGTAGACTTACCCAACCTTATCCAGGTACTCCCAATATTCGAGACGGCTGGGGTCGGAAAATAATCGGGTCAAATACCACTTCCAGAAGATCTTCCTCCGCTGCACGTGCGGACCGTCCAGAGTGAAGTATTCGTCGACTTGGGCTTCGGATTCCGTGCTTCGAACCCGCAAGGCGCGGGCTGTTATGTCGAAGTCGAGCATTTTCGCGTATAGACGGTGAGTGAGAACCGGTAAGGCCGCCTTGAGAAACTTGGCACCTTTGTTGAAGACGATAATATCATCTGGCCAGCGATCAGTACTCTGGCTCGTCCCTTAGCAGACTAGATCATACCGTCTGTGAAGTCCAGGAACAACCGCAGAAAGTCCATCCGTTTACTGAAATCGGTGTATAATTCCTTCCGCGTTACCTGCTTGATGCCATCCTGTACAGGAGACAGTGAAGCCATGACGTATCAGACTAGCAGGGAAGATGATCTATGCGTAGGGTGCAAGTTTGGTAGGGCAATGGTACAGTGAACGTCAGCAAGGGGGAAAACTAGCTTGCGCGCTCTAGATTTGAATAGTGACGAAGAAGCAAAATGTGTCTCCGGTCAGCCCTCCCCCAGAGTCCTTATATTTAGCCGGCCCAATGACCCCTGGCAGGATTTTGGGCCAGCATGCGGTTTCCGATTGCGCCAAACCGATGGAGAAGCGGACTGCGGCTGACGTGCCATGCGATTGGCACAGCTGCTTGACATTCCGAAACTGTGCCGTCATCCAACGCTTGAGGGCTGTTGACAGGGTGGTCCACTACTTTACCCGCATACGTGGAACTCCGCGGCAGAGTTTTGCAAGGTGTGATGCGACTAGGCAAGGATGCTGAAGGCTGACTGCCAGCGGCGATTATGGAAGCGATTGATTGGGGGGTGGGAAGGGGGGACCAATGGTGGGCTGTGTATGGAGACAATAAGTTCACGTATATTAAGTCAACGAATTGCGTCCCCACCAAGGTGATTCCGCGACAATGGCCCAGACTCCAGTGTTCAGCTGCGCCGTCGCGATCCCTGGGCGTCCAAGGGCATCAGAGGGGCCCGTTTGGAGGGAGTGGATCCGCTAACGAGCCCATCGCGTAGGATCCAATATGTCGGAGATGTCGGAAGTTCCATCCCAGTCATGATTCGCCGTTCGCATCCAGTTGTGATCGTGCCGGTCTGTGCTGGTCCCCTCGAGGGAACGAACCGTCCGTCAGCTTCTTGGCATCAGGATCGGCTCTATGATGTTGTCAGGATGGCGACCATCTGGGCAGTTCAGCTGACGCAGAGGTGTTCCTTCCGTAGCCGGCGTTGTCGGCTCCCTTCAATTGACACATCCGATGTACATGATGCAGTTTGTCGATCACCCCTGGCTAGAACAGTCGCAAGCAGGGTGGTGACAAGTTGGGTATGTTATAGCAGCAGGGATGGGCGGAGATATCCCTCACTCTTTCCTCACTGAACGTGAATCATGCCACCTTTTGCATTGCCCTTTTGGGCCTCGTTCATTTGGGATCTCGTGGGCCCCGTGATCGCACTGTTCCCGACTGGGACACGCCTCGGCGTGACCGACCAACGGCACATGACTAATCGCTCCGCTGTGGATCTCGGCTACCCGCCAATCAGCAGAGCCCTTTTCGGATCTCCAGCTGAGAGTCGCTTTTCCACATTTCATTTGGCACGGGATATCCGATGTGAAACAAGGAATCGAGCAGACAAGCAATTCATGATTCAGCTCCCAGTCCCCAGTGGAAAACCGGTGGAGGAGGGTATATAATCAGATCGGGGCACTAAACGCGATTCGACGTGAGAAACTCGGGTTTGGCACCTCTCATGCAGGTCCCTCGCGGAGCAGATGGTGTACCCCTCCAGCCAAATTTACAGGCGGGTCGCTGACAGGCACCCTGGTATTCCATCTAACCGTCCTAAGGCATAGAAGAGATGGACTAACGCACCTAATAAGACATGCTTTTCAGCCAGGGATATCCCGGACTCATTGGGCGCACGACTGACAACCACCACGACCATGCTAATGCACCTGTCCCCGATGGCAGGCCCAACTGCACCGGCTGGATTGGCGGTCCTTCACTCTGATCACATCGGCCCTTGGCTGGCACTTAAGAAGAGAGAGATATAGCTCAGCTCAGTCGGGGATCTCTCAGCATTTCCGGTGGTGATTCGGTCCCTGAGCAAGGACCAATTGGCTCCCCAAGCTTGTCCGCAATCCGGCCGAACCCAATCCCCGGTCGGTGCAGGGGTAGGAGTAGCAGTGAGAGTTGCCTACTCTGTCGTGTTCCACGATGAATGACACATTGAGAGCTGTCCGCGTCACGTTCACACTCTTTCCCCTTCTATTCACAAGCATCGACTCTTGAGAGTGTCATGATGTTGATCTTTCTCCTCTTAAGGCCTTGAGGACACGTGACCGACCTCGGGATGAGGCTTGACCGAGGCTGACTGCCAAATGCGGGGATGGCCAACCCAGCTCGGATATACCGCTTATACCTCCTTGCGCAACAGCCCCTTGTATCTCACATACCATTGACTTTATTCGAATCCATAGAAGTTGTTTCTTCAAATCAATACCAAGACAACATCAAAATGTCGCAGCTGTCTTCTAATCCAATCCCATTTTCGGAGCCGCCATATCTCTGCGGGCTTCCTTCGCCCTACTACTCGCCGGGCCATCGTCGCTTTCAGAAAGCGTGTCGCGAATTTTTCTGGGAGCATTTACACAGCCATGCGGCAGAGTATGAGAAGGCCGGACAGGTTCCCGAGCATGTCTTCCACACTTTTTGCAAGCATAACATGCTTCTCCCGAACATCGGTGCGCCCTTGCCGGTGGAATGGCTGAAGCGCTTGGGAATTGCCGACATCCTGGGAGTCAAGGTGGAGGACTGGGACTATATGTACACGGGAATTTATTTTGACGAGGTAGGTATCCCTGGTGAACGACAGGGCACAACTGACAGCTTCAGATGGCACGATCCGGTATGGCTGGGCCGGGTTCATCCCTGAACGCCGGATTCAACTTTGCGATTCCGCCTGTCCTGAAGTATGGCAGCCGGGAGCTGCAGGAACGCTTTCTCCCGGATCTTTTGACTGGTCGCAAACGCTGCTGTATCGCTATCACGGAGCCAGAGGCAGGCAGCGATGTTGCTAACATCACCACGACAGCGACCAAGACACCAGACGGAAAGTATTACCTGGTCAATGGCGCGAAGAAGTGGATCACCAACGGGATCTGGTCCGATTTTGCGACCATGGCCGTTCGCACCGGTGGTCCGGGAGCGTCTGGCCTTTCTCTTCTGCTCGTGCCATTGAAGGGGCACCCCGGCGTCACGATGCGCCCGCTCAAGGTCACCGGCCCGATCACTAGTGGAACCACCTACATTGAATTGGACGACGTCAAGGTGCCTGTGGAGAATTTGGTCGGCCGAGAGGGGGACGGCATGCGAATGATCATGACGAACTTCAACCACGAACGCCTTTCGATCGCGGTCGGCGTCACGCGACAGGCTCGTGTGGCCCTGTCCACCGCCTTCCAATACTGCCTGAAACGAGAGGCCTTTGGCAAAACACTCATGGACCAACCCGTTGTTCGAAACCGCCTCGCTAGGGCGGGCGCTGAGTTGGAAACGCTGGGGGCCTTCGTTGAGCAGCTCCTCTACCAACTGTGTCATCTTTCCAAGGAAGAGGGGGATCGCAGGCTGGGTGGGATCACTGCCCTCGCCAAGGCCAAGGCGGGAATGGTGCTGAACGAGTGTGCACAGTGTGCGGTTATCCTATTTGGTGGATCCGGGTTGACGCAAAGCGGACAGGGCGAGCTGGTCGAGTCGATTCTCCGCGAGGTGCCAGCTGCCCGGATTCCGGGTGGTAGTGAGGATGTTTTGCTTGACCTGGCCGTGCGACAGTTGGTGAAGGTCTATCAAACGGGGCAGAGGGAGTTGAAGCAGTCGAAGTTGTAGTTGGATTGGATGAACCTGGTGATCAAAGGTGTGATCAAAGGTGTACACTAGTCAGTGACATTTCAGATGTGAATAGCACTTGTCGCGCATAACCTTACAGTCATCCATTCCACGTACTGCGGGATCTTATCAGGGGCTCAGTTATCTTCTGATCTTGATTTGCCGAACCGGTTGCACGGGACTCCACTGAGCTGCACTACAAGTGCAAATCCCAGTGCTATCGCTGGGGCTGCGTGTCCGACCGGCAGTTGTATCAGCTATGCAGATTAACCTTCTGATAACCGGCAACTGCAGCACGCGTACTAATGGCAGCCACGCCGCTTCCCTGACTCGTCACACCCCTCACTTATCATCGGCCGATCCGACTTCTTATCAGCACCAAGAATGGAAGCCGCTTCAAATAACGGTCTCTTGCCGAAACCTCGACAGGCCATTCAACACGCACAATGGGTCTGAAGCAGCGGCTACAAGTGAAACATGGAGACCTGGTCTCGGGGGTCGACTCCAATGCAGATCTGGACCCTATTCCACGGAATTCGCCCCGGCGGACCTGGGGGTGGGTCAGTTTGACTGGATTTTGGATTTCTGAAGCTTTCTCCATCAGCATGTATCAGGGTAAGTCTCCTCTGCACAGAATTGAATTCATCTAATCAGTTAGTCACGTCTACGTCGGTGTCGAAAGGGCTGAACGCGGGTCTGGCGATCGCGGCAGTGGTCATCGGCCACATGCTCGTGTACATCCCAGTGGTGCTTGATGGGTTGGTTCCCAGACCATCACAGCAGACGATCATAGAGAACTGTCTAACCGAAACAGATACGTGGGTTCAATTTATGGCATCAACTTTCCTATCCTCACCCGTGCCAGCTACGGCATGCGAGGGAGTTATTTTGCCGTCCTGAGTAAGCCTTCCTCAATTTGTCGACCGAATGTGACTGATCAGAACAAGTCCGCGGGCTCGTCGCCATAATCTGGTTCGGCACTCAGACGTACCAAACCGGAGAATGCATCTCGTCGATGATAAGTGCCATCTGGCCATCGTTCGAGCACCTACCCAACCACCTTCCCAGTTCGGGGCCTATAACATCCGCTCAGCTGCTCTGCTTCTTCCTGGCCATTATCGTCCAACTCCCACTTTTATACCTGAACATTCCTCAGCTCCGCTACCTCTTTCTCGTCAAGATGGTTATTATGCCCATCTTCGGCCTCACTTTGTTCATCTGGGCTGTGGCGACAGCTCACGGCTTCGGTCCTGTCTTCTCCAAACCCAGCCAGATCACCGACGGGACCCCGGTGGCCGTGGTCTTTCTGCAATGTGTGACCAGCGCCATCGGGCCAAAAGCCACTCTTGCTCTGAATATGCCTGACTTTACGCGCTACGCGCACTCGCCTCGGCAAATTATCTGGACGCAGGCGTTGGGTTTGATCGTGCTCGTTTCTCTTTGTGGTGTCCTCGGTGCAACAGTCACCTCCGCCAGCGAGATCATCTATGGGGTGCAGACATGGAACCCGCTCCAGGTGGCTGCATTATGGAATAACCGTGCCGCGCAGTTCTTTGCTGCGCTGTGCTGGTCGCTGGCAGCCATAGGGACGAATCTATCTGCGAATAGTGTATCTTTCTCGAATGATCTAACGCTTTGGTTTCCTCGGTACATCAACGCAAGACGGGGTGCGTATGTATGCGCGGTGCTCAGCATTCTGAGCTGCCCATGGTACATCCAGAATGAGTATGGATTCATTCCCATTTAAACCGCAAATACTAATTTTTATGCCAGCGCCGCATCCTTTTCCTCCTTCCTAGGCGGTTATTCTCTCTTCCTGGGGTCTCTGGCCGGCATCATTATAGTGGACTACTGGATCATCCGGAAACGACAGCTGCGCGTTCACTCACTCTACGACCCCCGGGGTACGCACTTTTTCAGGCGGGGTTTCAACCTGCGCGCATTCGCAGCATTTATCTGCGGGATTGCACCGAATCTGCCTGGTTTGGCGAATGCATGTGGACAGAGTGGCGTACCGGTCGGCGCAGTGTATCTGTATTCGCTCAGTTGGCTAGTGAGTATTCTTGTGTCAGGTGGAGTGTACTGGCTGCTTTGCAAAGTATGGCCGGTAGCAGTGGATGACGACGAGGGAGGTATCTGGGAGGCAGTAGAGGTTACTACCAAGGAAGTCGAGAATTCCACCCAATGAATAGAATATCACACTAGATAGATTATCATTCCAATGCAGCTACTTAACTACCAACAGAACGGATTGCTATCAAAGATACTCCTGCCCCCTCGCCAACCTGGCCACCCTCGAACTCGCATACGCACCCTTCTTCGCCGTCTTCACTCCCATCCTCACCAACCCAACAAGATGCTGCACCCCGGCTACAACCCCATCAACAACCTGTACCTCCCCATCACCTCCCACAGACTTCTCAACAGCCCCCTTCAACTTCATCATCCCCGCACACCCAAGAACAATAACATCCGCACCAGCAATATTCACCAACCTCGTCGCAGCAGAACACATCGCCCCAACCACATCCTGCCCACCATTCCCCTTACCGTCAGCACCATCCAACTCCAAAACCCCCATCCCACAAGCCTCCACCCCCGCACAGAACCCATCCAACCCAAACTTCCTCACCGCATCGCGATGAATAACCTTCGACCTCTCGGACGTAACCACCACGCCGAACCTCCCTCCCACAGTTCTCGCAGCCATCAACCCGGCCTCCATGATCCCAATCACCGGGGCAGATAATTCTTCCCGCAGGGCATAAACAAGCGGATGGTCACTGAAACATGCCACCAGGAAAGCATCATACTGATCTGCTATGGGCAGGATAGCCCTTGCGGCGGCAGCAGCTGAAAGAACAGCATCCAGGGAGCCCTCGATTGCTGATGGCGCTGGGACTGGAGCAGTAAATGGGACAACTTCGACGTCCGGAGGGAGGGTGGGTTTCACCATCGAGATGCACGTATCTGTCATTGAGGGCGTAGAGTTGGGGTTAATCAGCAGGACCCTTATCTTCCCCTTCTTCTCCGATTGTGCCTTCATCTCTGGAACAGTCCTATCCTCGATCGTAGACAAAGGGGGCTCCACCACCCCCGTCTGCCCCGTAATCCTCCCATAATGCTCGACCCTGCGATGTCTCCCGAAATCAAACGTACGGGTCTTTCCCGCGCGACAAAGTCCCAAATCACAGTCCGCAATGATAAGCTCATCCCCCTTCGTCTTCGCCTCAGCAATGATCCTCCCCTCAGGGTCAACGATACCCGACCCCGCGATGAGGGGATATTCCCCGTCATCGAGTCCACAGCGTGCAGCACTAACAGAGAAACACGCATTCGTATAACTATGACACTGCATGACCAATTTATGATGAAACAGGGACAACTCCTCCGCCTCCTGGGGACTCATGTCCGCCGACTGACCCCAGAACTGCGGAGCGAAACCATTGGTATTATATCCGCAGGCGACGATCTCCACGCCTTGCAGGCCGTATTCGCGCCACGATTCTGCCCAGCGGCGGTCATTGCAGATCATCATCCCCAGGATTGGATCTACATCCTTTTCACCTTCTTGGTGGTGAGATAGTGATGGGGAGAGGAGTCCAGGCACGCGAAACGCCTGAAATCCCAAATCTCCCGGTTTGAAATACCGCTTCTCGAGCTGATTCACGGCCTTCGGATCCGGAAGGGGTTCCACGTCACCGGGGAGATGGACCTTGCGGTATTTAGATAGGATGGACCCCGTCGCGGCGTGATAGTAAACGCAGCTGTTGAAGTGGTCGCCTGTGTCGGTAGCTTCCGCGAAGCCGACAATGATATCCACTGCTAGGTCGTGAGCCGTATCGAAGAGAGCTTTTGTGCGCGGCGCAGTGAGGATATCGCCGTGCTCGAACCAGTCTTCCAGCTCGGCTTCATCGAGAATCAGATACCGAGGGAAGAAAGTCGTGAAGGCGATTTCGGGGAAGAGGACGAGTTTTGCACCTTGGGTAGCGGCGTCTTTGAGGAGGGCGATCATTCGATTTAGGGTTTCTTCGCGCGAGGACCATTTGTTGGTCGTGCCCATTTGGGCGGCGGCGAGGCGGACGGTTCGAGGCATTGTGTGGTGTAGTGGTATCCTGGTGAGGGGGGCAGGAGTTGAGGGGTAAGTTGGGGATGCTGTATCCTCGGTATCTGGTAAATAGTAACTGCAGATATACTTCTTGGGTTGTCCGGATATATTTCCGCGTGGTCGTTGTCGAGCTGACCTGATTAGGCAGGTCGGGGTAGACCCTATCGCTATCTAAGAGTCGATCTTATCGTCGGCCGATCCGAAGTTGACCATTACTAGTGCTCATAGAAAGCAGGTGATAACGATAGTGATTTATTATTATCGTGAGTCTCTCTATGGTGTTCACAAAGCTGGAACAGCAGAATACAACACTCATCGCAATGAAAGCTACCCCAGGAATCGACTTGATTATCATCAACGCTACAGTGTTACGTGCCATACTACTCCGTACCATACAGATAGATTATCCTCACAGCAGCAGGCTACCGCCTCCGATGTAGTCCCCAATCAAGATATCGCCATCTCCGACGGCAAGATCGTCCTTCTGGGACAGAATCTCCCGGCACTCTTCCCTAGTGCAGCAACGCTCGATGCAGAAGGCGCATACGTGACGCCAGGTGGTGTAGACAGCCATGTGCATCTGCAGCAGGACAACTCTCCGACCGGTGATACCTGGGAGTCAGGGACTCGCTCGGCCATCGCAGGAGGGACAACCACGGTTCTAGCCTTTGCCAGTCAGAAACGCACCGATGAGTCTCTCTTTCCTGTCGTTGAGGAGTATCACCGAAGGGCCGGCGGCCAGGCTTACTGCGACTACGGCTTCCATCTCATCCTGACCAACCCAACTCCAACCGTCCTCGATAAGGAGCTCCCAGTGCTAGTCAGCAGTGGCATCAGCTCTGTAAAGCTGTACATGACATATCAGCCGATGCGGCTGGGAGATGGCGAGATTCTGGATGTCATGGAGTCCACCCGCCGGCTGGGGATGACGACGATGGTGCACGCCGAGAATCATGAGATGATCCAGTGGATGACGGAGAAATTAGAGGCGCGCCGCCGTACTGAGCCATATGGTCATGCTCTGGCGCGTCCTAATATTGCAGAAGACGAGGCGACATATCGTGTTATTTCTCTGTCTGAGCTGGCTGATGTTCCCATCTTGATCGTGCACATGTCGTCCAAGCTGGCTGCGGCACATGTGCGAGCGGCCCAGACACGGCTGCTGCCGGTCCACGCGGAAACCTGCCCACACTATCTGTTCTTCACGAGCGAGCGCCTAAAAGGAGAAAACTTTGAAGGAGCCAAATGTGTATGCTCGCCAGCGTTGCGCGAGGATCCGATGGACCTGGAGGCGATGTGGGCGGGACTAGCGAATTCGACCTTCACGACAGTCTCAAGCGACCACGCACCATCCAAGTAAGTCGCCCGCTGCTGTTCTGTTCACTGCTGACGAGGTAGATTTGACCATCCTCTCGGCAAGAAGAAGGGCACATCCAGCTTCACTCAGATCCCCAATGGCTTGCCCGGGTTGGAAACTCGACTACCCACGATGTTCTGCGGCGGTGTGCTCACCGGTCGCATCTCGATCCAGAAGTTCGTCGAACTGACGAGCTCAAACCCAGCCAAGCTGTACGGACTTGGGAGCACCAAGGGGACAATCCAGCCCGGTTTCGACGCGGATCTGACGATCTGGTACCCCACGCCAGAGCAAGCTGCCTCTCACGGCACGTCGGTCATGACACCGTTCCAGCTGTCCAACGACATGCTGCACCATGACATCGACTACACGCCGTTTGAGGGAATGGAGTTCACCAACTGGCCTCGGTACACGATCCTCCGCGGACAGACCGTGTGGAACCGCGACGCTGGGGGCATCACCGGCAGCAAGGGAGACGGAGCTTTCCTGAAGAGAGGGCCGAGCACATTGAGCAAGCCGCGGAATGTGTTTGTCAATGAGTTTAATCCGTACTCTAGTTAGTAGTAAAAGACACAGCAAGGAAACCAACATGATTCATGAAGACAAATGATCGATTGGCATGATAATGACCAAAATAATATAGACAGTAGTATAAAAAGAATTCACCCAAGTGCGGTCGATCCAGGTATAATCCCAATCACAGCGCCTTGCACATAAGAAAATCAAAGGAAAGCCATCATCACGATACTAACAACCACAACAACAACATTCGGCGGCTTCGAGGCAGCACTCGCACCATTCCTCGCAGAGGAAGCAGCAGCACATTGTGATGAGACAGGTGGTCAGGCAACCACGGTCTTTGGAGGGTTCTTGTTGGGGAGGCGCATATTGCATGGGCTGGGGAGGTGGGTACTGGCCACCAGGAGGAGGGTAGCTATGAAACAGAGCGTTAGTGTTGGAGCTCGGACAGAATGATCCATACTGTTCAGAGGGTACGTACTATCCCTGGGGAGGCGGTTGCTGCTGGTAGGACATGGCTCTGGCTCTATTTTGTTCTAGAGTCTGATGGGAGAAGGTATTGTATGGGGTCACACAAAGGTGGCCAGTGGACCAGCGGGGAGCTCAGGAGTTATATAGCCGGAATCCACGGAACCCGCTCAGGGCGCCAGACAGGCAGACGCATTGCTGGCTCAATTCAGTCAGCCCTGCGGACAGACACCAGTCGAGCTGGCGGATCTTGGCCCTGCAAATTTTGCTGGGATGCGATCCACCGCCGAGGGTGCGATTGGACGTGCGGTCAGATGAAAGTGAATCAGCCATCGAGAAGGAGCATGGAAGATCCCCGTGCCGAGCCCAAAGTATTGGCTTGGGAGGAAGACAACATTGGCGCTAAGAATAGATACATATTGAACCAGGTCAGGTAACACAACACCATGGGAACTGCCAGTTCGGGCGGGTGCATCCGCAACCTACCACAACAGCAACAGCAACAACAACAACAACAACAACAACAACAACCACCACGATAATACTTAAGTGATGGTGGCGCCAAGCACACCCTGCCCCGTCGGGCGGGAAAGTGGATCACCAGTCAGGTCGGACTTCCCTGCCATTTCACTGATTCTCACTCATTCAGGAGAACCGAGCCAAGCCGCCAAGAGCTCCGGCAGGGATGATGGGGAGACGCTGACTGGCCATTCCTCCAGCGTGAAATTGCGCTCTCCCCAAAGCTGTAGCGCCAAGGCCTGGAAGCGCCCCTTAAGGCTGGCGGGACCCACCCAAGCTTCCCCCGTCACCCAATCACCCCGCACCACCATCATCCCCCCCGGGTCTTGGAACCCTCCTCGGCTGTGGAAGAACGCTGTTGCCTACGCCATCATCGTGGCTGGTGTGAATGCATGTGAGGCTGGTTATGCATGACAATGATTTATTTATGTCCATATCTGCTGCAAGGGGGGAAACAGATTCCACGTTCGTTCTACGACTCTCAATTTATATACTATGGCTTGTTAAGTCCACAACATTGATCATATCTCCTACTCTCCTCGATCAACATCCAAGAAGATAACGTAGTGAACCTCTGTTTTATTCAGAGCCTCATAGTAGCCCGAGAAGGGTTGATAAGACCCATTGCAGGTGCAGTTTCAGTATGGTATCAGATATTTGTAGACAATTAGTATACATGTTGAAACATTTACCAAGTAGACCAAAAGAGAAATCTCTCTATTGGTTACTGGTTTGCTCAGGTTTCATTTGTTCTGACAATACATAATCACCGATTAATCAGAAGTAGTGCTGTCTATCAAATACAATGTACGTAATATTGTAAACAAAACAATATTACTTATTGCAGTTACTTGATAGTATGGAACGCTTCATCGAACATTCATAGTCTTCTTGATATATTTATGAACCTAATCTAGGATGATTATTAGATCTCTTCTACTCTTCCTACAATCCAGACACTTGGGAATATTCCCGGTGGAATCTCAATCCAACAGTGCTTGCATAAAGCTCACATGTGAAATCGTATTGATCGATCTCGTAGTCTCTTTGTCAACCTCATAATTCTTCATATATATATCATGTATGATATCTTATGCAACATTTCTAATTTATAATGAAGAGAATAGCTCACGGATTTACAACCCCACCAACGTATCAATCCAAAATATCGCATGCTGTCCCTCCCCCTTGACATTCAAATCATCATCGCCATTCCGAAACACCGCATCCGGTGCCCCCTCAAACCACAGATGATATCCTGGTCCATCATCGGGATAGATATTATCTCCTCGCGGCGTGATGATATACCTGCCTTCCTCCTTTGGCCACTCCTCGAACCAGAGATCGGTGCCCTCGTCATCAAGTCCAATCCAACTAGCGATACACGGGTAGTCAGCATATGGTAAAGATTTGGAAAGATTGGGTACTACATACTGCCCCTTCAGCGCCAAATACTTGCCCGTCTCGGTCTCCTTGAACCGGAATCCATTGTCACCTTGCTCAACGTAGAACCGGTCACCCTGTAGTGCCTCCGTGGCATTCGCGTATAGTGCGCCGGAGGAATCGTAATGCTCGACGTTCTTGCGAGAATCGTTCAGGAGCTGGTCGTAGCCGGTGATGTTACCCTTGTCGTCACGCTGGAAGGGCAGACTGCGTCGGAAACTGCGAAGGTTGACGGTTCTGCCCGGGGCGAATTTAGGGTGGTGAGTGCGATAAGTGCGGCCCATTGTGATTTTGTATGTGCGGGTAAATCAGAGTATACTGGTTGCAGTGGTGGTATTTTGCTAGTTGCTGTCTGGTAGAATAACTCAACCTCCTGGATGGAAGGCCGACGTGGTTTATATGCTTATCCTGAGGATCTTTTGTACTTGATCGTCAGCGAGATTGATATCATCATGATTATGAACATGTGTTCATCTGCAATGAATGTGATGAACTGTCTGTGGGCCTGATCTTGTTAAGTTCGTGATGGCGACCCGATCACTTCCGGAAATAGTAACTTGTGAAGACATCACCAAGCTGGGTGGAGACTTTGTGCATACCTAGCGCATTTCACGAGATGATCTATATCCACCTCTTGTTTATTCTGACGATATTGTTTTCTAATAGTATGTCATGCTGATGCTACACGCCGATATCAGGAGGGCATTGCCTTAACCTAGGACTTTCTTGTTAAGAACTATGAATATCGCAGAAGGGAGTACCAGCACTGTCCCTACAAAACAACCCCCGGGGTAGTTTCTGGTTAGATCATGAAGCCGGATGACCACGTAGAAATGACGCCTGGTAGTCATCTGGCTGCCAGATCTAGAATTATCTCTGCGCTGTAGTGACCGGCGATCATGTGTCGATGCATACGTCTTCATATCAATTAGTATATCACTACCTATTTAGTAGCTAATCAAGAAGCTCAACGAGATGATTGCTCGGTATTACCGCCTCCAGCAAATTGACTCGCATGATGGTTGAGCCCAACAGAACTACTCTCCCTTCATTTGCTACATTCTGCTCAGCACATTAGCTGAAGAACAAGAGGGATACTAAAGGGAGTAGCCTCAGTCAATCACCATTTTCTCGAATTTTTGAAATGTTAAAAGAATGGCAGTGGTGGTGAACACTGGACCGCTTGACATTTCGATACGTCACTATGATGAGCATCCACTTAGGTTAGTGGAGCCCCACCGACCCAAGAGTAGTAAGGTTTTATCGATCTTTGATCATATCCATGTTGATCTTCAGTAATTATTACTAAGACCCTATTGCGTGTATAAAACATAAATCTTCATGAGGTTTCTAGAAAACATGACTTTTTAAATATTATAGGCCGGATTTTATGTCAGTTACATATTCAGTCACCAATACCGGATCAGGCAGTTTTAAGGCTACCAGGCAACGACCCCATACAACAATCAACTACAAGACAACAACGTATCAGAAAAAATGAAATAGAAAGTAATACAAAAGACATGAGATGCAGAAGACAAGAAATTCATTTTCGGATGCGTGCTGCTTTAATACCTTGAGTAGGTCACTCAATCTTAAAAGCAGGTTAACGTGCCATGTCTATCTTTCTTTCATCTTTGTAATATGTAACATACTTCCATATGATATCCTGTACTTCCCAGACTGTAATGATTTGTGGGTCTATCAGACCCAATGAAGATTACTGTGACGAGCATATGATGTTCAGACAAATTCTGCCAAGTTATTCGCGGTTGCAGCGCAGACTCTGCAGCAACAGCGAACCTATAGGATAATACTTTAGTAGCAGATGCTGACATGATGTTTACCCAAATATTCTCGTAAGAGCGCGAGGGTATGGACTCAGTAATACCTGCGGTTAAATCTATGACTGCCATTCCAAATTTCATACAGCACCTGTAGTAGCGAGAGCAGAACCATGGGCTTGAACTGGATTTATGCATATGAACGGCTGCCACATTTCTCTCCATGTTCATGGCCCTTAAGGAGTCCAACCAGATCTTGGCTATGATAGCGTGGGCACTCAGGTTTCTGGCAGGCTCCCTACTTCATTGCTCTTGCTGGGGAGTCTTTTCAGCCGTTTGTAGGCAACGGACAATTACATGCGGTGCAACTATCGAGGCTCGCTCCGAGCCCTTGTGCGATGGCGATGAAAGCTCACCACGTGGGCGGGAAACCTCAGTCCCACAGATGATGTATGTGGGTGGTAAAGATGACCCATGCCCGGCCACATTTCAGACTGTCGAGTATGCTGCTTATATCATCGCACGCATTCTCGCTTTGAGGAAATGCAATGGCGAGGATTTGTATATGAGGCCGGAGATATCTATGTTATATGAGGTCGTTGAACTAGGCTACTGACAATATCCTTCCTTCTGCGCCAGATGGTAAGTCACATCTGTGATGGTATTTCTTCCACATAAGCCCCTTTCTTCGACTCTCTCATGATCAGCTGCTCAATAATCCACTGATACGGTTTACTCGAGCTTCTGCTTTCAAATAACCTAATTTAAATTCGACTACTGCGAAGAACAGCAGTTCATAAGAAACCATGGTTGGTCTTGTCGCGCTAATCAGCTCGGCATCGCGTAGTGGAGCCCTGCCGGATGACGTGTCAACCAACCAACTACCAAGTAACTAATGCACAGGCGCTTATCAAAGGGTCTGCGGGGTTGGTTAGTTCGCCAACCATTCAAAAGGTGATCTTAACATTTTCAACAATTCTGCACCGGGGTATCCCAATCACAACCATACCTTGACGCCGTCTCGACGTATTCCTAAAGTTGTATTAAACATGCTATCCTGCTCGGAGGGCGACGCGATGTCCACGGTCGACAGCCCCTTGCTAGGGCACAGGCCTCAGCACCAGCCTCAAGCGGATGTTGAGCATCCACTGTACCACGGTAAACGACGGGAGGCTTCCGGCTCCAATATTATCAAGGTTCTAGCTGTCTTCTGGACGTTCTTGATCATGGGAGCGGTCGATGCAGCATATGGGGTAAGGAACTGTAGAGAAGAACAGACCTGCCAGTATTGAAACTAACCCTCGACCAGCCTTTGATTCCGTACGTAAGTGCAATCTCACCATCCTGTTGTAGATAGGCTGTTGAGTAGAAAGCTTGAAAAATACTACAACATCTCCCACGCCACCGTTTCGCTTTTATTCCTATCACCCGTTTGTGGCTACACGCTTGCCGCACTGCTGAACAGCGAAATCCACGTTCGGGTGGGCCGTCGTGGCATCGCTTTCATTTCAGCGATCTGCCACTTTCTAACGTTTAGCATCGTTGCCCTGCATCCTCGATACCCTATTGTTGTGGTATCTTTTGCGCTGTCTGGGTTCGGAACCGGGCTAGCAGACTCGGGATGGAACGCTTGGATAAGCAGCCTGCCTCGCTCGAACGAACTACTGGGGATGCTGCATGGCTTGTATGGACTGGGAGCTGTGCTAAGCCCGTTGATTGTGTCTGGACTGGTAACTAGGGCTAAAGTTCCATGGTTTTACTTTTACACTATCATGGTACCGCTTCTCTGATGTCCATGCCCCCTCAGTTGCTCATGTATGATCTAGGCTGCGTGCGCTACTCTTGAAGTAGTTGTCTGCACAATCGCCTTTTGGGGGGATAGACCGATTACCCGAGAGGAGGGGGATGATCACCATCAGAGTGAACATGGTAGCCTGAAACATGCTCTTTTCCAGCAGCCATATGCTCGGGTGACTTGGATCTGTGCACTCTTCCTGCTTATTTACGTTGGGATTGAAGTCGCTTTGGGTGGATGGACGGTGGTTTTCATGATGCAGGTACGCCACGGTAGCCCATTTGCCAGCGGCATGGCTGTTACGGGATTTTGGCTGGGCATCACCTGTGGCCGCATATTTCTCGGATTCGTTACACCGCTGATAGGCGAAGAACCGGCAGTTACAGTATGTCATTCCCCCCCTTTCAGATTGTTCCTTACTTTGACCCCTTCTTCGCAATGGTTAATTCCCCCTTAACAAACCGATGCTCAATATCCGCAGATATATTCTGTGCTGGCGATAATCTCTGGCTTCATCTACTGGCTCGTTCCGAATTTCAACGTCTCCGCAGTTGCAGTATCGCTACAAGGCTTCTTCCTGGGTCCTCTGTTCCCGGTCCTCATCGCAGTGGCCACCAAGTTGCTTCCGCAATCCTTGCACGTGAGCTCTATTGGATTTGCCTCGGCCATTGGAGGGGCTGGAGCTGCATTGATGCCATCTGCAATCGGTGCAGTTGCAGAAGCGAAAGGAGTCCAGATTCTGCAGCCCTTCATTCTGGGGCTTTCAGGTGTGGCGCTGGTGTTGTGGATGTCTTTGTGGTGGATTTCGAAAGAGAATTCAAGGACGTCGAGTTAAAAAATCCAGCCAGTCCGATAGAGAAGCGCTCTGCTATCGCACATGATCGAGCAACTTCCGAGGCGATGCCGAGAAGCAATAACACCAAGTGGATTGTGCACAGAAACAGTGACCACTCATTCACTGTTGACATGACTGAGGTCTCTGGGTATCTATTATCTGTTCGATAGAACCGGTCGTGAAGAAAATAGAAAAAGAAAAAAAGGAAAATCACATACAACAGAAGGGATTCGCTGGTGGTCACCCACCCAACTACTAACCTCCCGGCGTGTGGCTTGAGTACGGCTGAGCGGACGGGAAGCCCTATTTTCCACACCCTGTGGTCGTATGTGCTTGATAACAAGAAAGCAAGATCTATATGCAGTCACTTTCAGGGTTGATGAGGTAGATGTCATGAGAACCCGAACCCCTTCATTCGCGGTTTCGCAGACTCCACATCAGGCTCGGTGCTCGATCCCGATCAACAACCATCAACGCATGCCCGTCTTTCACGGAAGGTTCTCGCTCAGAAATAGTTCGTAGATCGAAATTATCAATTATAGAGCGACCAATTAGGATCATGTGTAAAACGAATCTACTATAAACCGCTAGAGCCATTCTCTGGTTGGTTCCGGGAAGCTTCGGGCATGTGACTTGGGAGCAACGCCTTCCCGCCAGGAATCCCCGCTTCCGCTAATTATCCCCATATTCTTCCCCTCACCAAGTTTCTTCTCTGTCCATTGATCCAATGGTCTGCGACATTTCGGCTCTTTCATAATGGGCAGTGTCTCATGCCCCCTTCACGATGAATACCCCACCTCCTCGTCGACCTGGTCGCCAGAAACGACCGCGAGTTCCTGATGCGCTCCGCAAGAGAGCCGCCCGCGCGTATGCTTTCCCCTCCCAACCAAGCTACAAAAACAGCCATTGACACTTGTTGAATCGTTAGATGCCTGCCTTGTCGCCAACACAAGGAAAAATGTACTTTCACCGTCACACTCTGTTGCACCCGCGTTTCCTCCACGTCCTTCGACTGATCAAGGGCTCGCTTTAGGCCATGGTGGCGGCCCGCCCTGCGCTCGCTGCCAGCAACACAACCGCACCTGTCACTTCGAAGATGCTCGACCAAAGCCGTCGGCTATGCTTGCAGCGCCGTCACAACGTGAAATTCAAATGGAACGCATTATACGTCACTTCCTGGGCGATGACATCTCGCTCGACCCTGCTCGGCTAGAGGAGACTGCCGACTTGCTGGAAAACGGCCGGTATCGCGGGACTCTTCCAGAGACGCGAGGAAAGGGGGATGAGGACCAGACATCGGAGAGCTATTCGCTGGAGCCATTGTCAACCAACACCATGCGTATGTCTAGGGAAATGTTCAAAAAGTGCAACTGTTAACTGGCCTTGCACCAGACTATTCAGGTGAACTGTCACATTGGAATTTCTCCAAGATGATCCGTCGACGTCTACAGAGCTTGGGTACTCCTAAAGGACAGAATGATGCATGCGCTCCTTTTCTTGCTTTCAGCCATTGCACCGCTGACGGATCGATTAGGGGTTAAATCCCTCGGATGGATTCTTTCGCGCTACCGGCCTCCAGTCGGCCAGTTCGTGTGTCGCCTCCGCTATAGAATACTTCCCACCTCGTCCTGTTGCTGAATTCCTCACCAACACATTTCTCGAGTATGCACAGACAAACTACTTCTATTTCCCCGAAATTGTCTTTCGGGAAAAGATGGACTACTATTACTCTGTCGACCGACCACTGGTGATCGATGATGCGGGTTGGATCTGCACACTGTTGATGACCTTTGCCATTGGCACTCAATTTGCATATATGCAAACTTCCTCGACTGAGAAGCCTCCTTTTTCGGAAGACATTCCTGATGATCGCATTGGAATGGATCTATATCGGTTCTCGTGTCGCTTGATCCCTGACCTCATCACCACCGCCTCGCTTGAGACTGTGCAGGCCTTTTTATTATTGGGCGTGTATACGTTGCCAATTGATACCGCGGGGTTGGCCTATACGTACTACGGCCTGGCAATTAAAATGGCCATCCAAAATGGAATGCACCGAAAGCATATTTCACCAACGATTCCACAAGTGATAGTGGAATGGCGGAACCGTTTGTGGTGGACAGCGTACTCCCTTGAAAGGTGAGACACTAGCCTACGTCGTGTGAACTGGGCTAATAGTGGCCAAGCCGCATCAGCATTCTTCATGGACGTCCTGTATCTGTTTCTCCCTCAGAAACAGACGCCGATATGCCCGCCGACCTGGCTGAGCTACGCCCGCCAAGCGGTATCTCGAATTTACCAAATGTTACGGCAGCCATCCTCTTGACCAAAAAGCTTGAGAAAGTGGCACAGGTCATCCTCCGACTGCGACGATGTCCACGTAGTCATCAAGACACCTATCTTCACCAATTATACAACCTGAGGGCGGACCTGAGCAAGTGGTGGGATTCACTTCCAAATACGGTGCACTGCCGCGACCTAGACCCTGCCGGGCCCTTATTTCGATGCAATGTGCATCTTGAACTACATTACGCTACTGCATTAATATACATGGGCCGACCTTTTATCTTCCTACAAAAGGCTGTGGGTAGTGTTGGGTACGGATCAGAAACGGAGGGTAGTCGCGCAGAGTCAATCGAGAAGTTCTCCCGAAACTGCACACAAGCAGCCATAAGAATCATTGACCTCTGTCAGCTGCTGCATGACTCGGTCGGACTTGCACGCGTGTCATACACAGAGTTCAGCTCTTGCCGTACCGCTCTGCTGGCTTTGATTGCGCAGCTCCTGACCGGGTCGTCGGAACCGATAGGTGGCGCTCTAACGCGAGGCATGGGCCTGATCCGCCAGATCTGTGTAGGACTGGAGTCGGCTCGGTCGGAGGTTGCAGTAATCGAAGCGCTTGAGCGTGCTCGACAGCAGCTGGATCACGGCGAACGAAGCCCCTTGGAAGAAGCGCCTGAGACAGGTTATGATCAATTCCAAAAATGGGCCAAGCTGTGGCGCCTGGGTCCTCTGAGCTCCGAAGCTTTTCCCTCTCCGGGAGGGGTTGAGTCCCCGAATAATCCAGGGAGTATTCCTTCATTCGACGGGTTTTTCTCATCGTTCCCCCAGGAGCTTGATGCCTTTGCGGCGATTCCTGGCTCCGAGGATACTGCAGCGCCACCCAGCATATGGCCAGTATCGGATGCATTCCTCTCAATTCCTGACAACACGGGCGCTGAATGGGGGCTTGGTGGGCCTTTATGAAGGTCGAATGAGTGCCAGGTTGTATATTACCATATTACTATCTTGAATGGGCATTTATCATACGGCCCCTACCACTACGGATGTTGGAAAGTAACAGCTTCTATTAGTAGCAGTCAGATATCGTAAACCCGCCACGGTGCGAGCCAAGGCGCTATGTTATAAATCGTATGATTCTTCGGTACATGAGGCCCCTTAAACGCTCAAGAGTATTCAGGTTCAGGGAACAGCTGTGTAGCCGGTGCTGTGTCGAATAGAGAGAGGATTAAATTCCTGCCCGGGTACCGGTACCCGAGTAGTCCGGATTCCTGGTTGACTATGAATTAACCCTAGTCAACTGAACTTCCGCAGTGCTCGTATCCGGCGTGTTCACGAGAGAAGGCTGAGAGTTTCTGCTGAAATTTGTACATTAACTTATCAGTCGGTCCTGGTACAGTGGAAAATCTTTCTCCGGTGTGTGGAAATCAGCAGCAGCATGCAGAAAACTTGTGCGCATCTTCGGGATCGGTATCCGAACCCAACTGCGCGGGAAAGACTCCGATTCCGGGACCCAGCAAGTCCGGCATGAGGGCCCGAAGCACTGAGAGACCTCGCTTGGAGGTATAAGTGCAAGCAGTTCGGGGGAATTTGATCCACTAAGATCAATTGATACTCTTGTATATTCTTGGATTCTGCCATTACATTCAATCATGAAGTGGCTTACCGCAAGACCCTGTGCTCCCAAACTCACCATTACAATAAATAATCCTAAGCCGATTTACACAACATGGGACCGACTCGAGGGCACAATGACGGTGACTACGCACGATGAGACTGAATTCAACAATATTAAGATCACATTTGAAGGTATACTTTTCATTCAATCCCTCAACTATTGTCCCAATAGCATCTAATATTATTCCTAGGTTCATCACGAGTGGCCTTACCGCGGCCAATTACTGAACTCCGTGAACCTACAGCCTCCCACACATTCCTAAAGCTCCAACAACCTATTGAATCACCTATCTCGACAAATTTTACTCCTGGAAGACATCACACATTTCCATTCTGCTTCGTGATCCCAGAGGACCTACCCCTCGGTTCCTGCATACACGAAAAGAGCAATGACCATGCCGATCATCGGCATGTTAAGCTTCCGCCAACACTGCGATTCGCCAATTTGTCTCAGGAACTTTGTCGGGTCGCATACTTCATTCGTGCTACGGTTTCCCATTATTTTCCTGATGAGAAGAGCGATAGATCTACTACTTCTACAAGGGAAATACGGTTTGTCCCGGCCCATCAGTGGAACAGCCTCCCGAGCAGCCTTCAGAACTTCATATCATTACAACACAACACGAAACAGCAAGCGAAGAGCAAAACGCTACTTCCTTCGGGAAAACTGCATGTTTCAGGCTCTTCAGCAAAGCTTCTGCAGAAGCACTGCCTTGAGAGCTCCCCGGGAAACTCCTTCGACACTTATATTTCCATACCGCTTCGCTTCGAAGCTGTGGGAGAAGCGAAGCCTCCACAGTTAAGGAAAATACATTTTACGCTCAAGGCTTCAACATTCCTGGATACAAAGCCTAATACCAAGTTTTTCAAGCCCCATGAGACACAGTACCGACAAGCACATGTTGAGCACATAGCGATGCGTTCAGAGGATATCTCATCAACACAATGGGTTAGGCATGAGCCCACCGACCGCACCACAGAGGACAAGAGTGAGCACCATCTATATTACACGACGTCCTTGATCGCCCCGATACGCATACAGAAAAGCGCACATCTCATACAGTCATTCTCTACGTGTCTCCTCTCGCGAGCCTACTTCCTCGACGTACGTATAACGTACTCTCTGCCTGGGACAGTAGGGGCTCGTCAGACATTGAAAGCTACGCTGCCTGTCGATGTCGCTGAGCCTTACGATGTATTCGATAGCAAACCTGCGCTGCCGCTATGGGACACACTAGACGAGCTACACTCATTCAACTGGGATCCCGACCCGCCACCGTACTATGGTCATGAATTCTCGAAGCATGACAATCCCATGAAGAAGGGTCACGGAAATGCTTTGTCCCAGTATCAGGTGACTTCTTGAGCAAGAAGCTGGAGAGACCCCGGATATTGCTTATAAAACCAACCATGGAAGATCGCTATGGCTCTAGTCCCAAATCAACCAAATTATATATACTGCTATATAGGTCTACTCTGGAAGGGAGGCAGAATGGTCCACCAACCTGCTTTGTACATCTATCTGCTTGTCACTACTCCAGACAGTCAATAAAGATGCTGCTGCAGACGTTTCTGCCAGGTTAATGAAGAAACAAAAGTTAATGCCACTACCAATCCTGTTGAACCATTCATAATCCATGATTCACAATTGCCACTTTATTAACCATCTTGTAGAGAATTCCCATACGAATTCAAGGATGCTTCGCAATTCGCTAGATCGGGAATGCTTTCTGCTATATTCACGTCTTCTACTCTTGATTATATAAATCCCATGTTCTCCCTCCCTTCTTCCTTCTTCTCTCCTCCATCTTCCCCAATCTTCTTTCCACTCCTTTATGGGCCTCTCCCACAGCCACTATGAAGCAGCCCTCTAGAGCAAAACAGCAATATGCCGTACAAATAGTACTCAAATAGTGCACATCAAGATATCTCTAATCAATAATAACCACCGCCTCCCATATAGGGCCAATACCTACTATTTCGGACCATCGTTGCAGGCCGATTCATCGTATTAGCCTCCAGATTAAATATTGTACTTGCCTACAAGCCAACCAGAATGAGAGCATTAATCGCTCTATTCCCAGTTACTGCCAATCATGGCATTATGCCCAGGGGCCAAATCCCAAATGCGCAAATCTCGATGACGATGGTAGCCATATATATCTAAAACTGGAATAGTCAGCGACACCAGTATGGCACAAACCAAGCAATAGCCCAATGCGCCAATCTGATATTTATCCATCCAACGGCAAATAAAAGAAATAGTCGGTTCCAGAAGGTAGTAACCTTTAGTGTCAGGGGCGATCTGCCTTGACACTCGGAGTAATGCGAAGGCTAGCTCACATAGCGTTCACTCCACGTCTTGAAACTTTTCTTCGGCGAGTCCGCAGGGGGAAGGACTTAGCAACTGAAATCGCTAAGTACAGTACCTGGAATGACAAGGGATTCGGCTTATATTTCCAAAATTCTTAATTATAATACTGATTGCTTGACCCCTTCCACGAGAGCAGGAATAGCCTATTATCTCGTCCATAGCTGCGTGAAACTACGTTTTCTTGCTGGGGTCCTTGAGCAAGATAATGTCTTTAAAGCATTAAAAGTAAAGGAAAGCACCCCCGAGGTTCATTGTCTTTACAGAATGGCCAATGACCTTGTGGTTGATCGAGATGTTTCTGAACGCGTTGTCCGTCCCGGTTCTCAAATTAAGGCCATTAATTACGGCAGAAGATCACGCCCGTGTCATTTCGGATATTACATCTCCAGGTACTAATATGGCCAGGCTACTGACAATCGAACCATCAGACCGAATGCTCGCGGGCCATAGTAATCGGGCCCGGGAGGACTTGAACGCGATCGTACAAGCATTGGGAGGGCCAATCGCACGGGGCAGAATCGCCCACAAAAAGCTTGGATACTCACACAGAAACGATCGATCAACATGTTTACTGAAGCGAGGAATATGGTCAAGGCACTTCCACAAATTGCAGCTGACCTACACAGCGAACTGAAGGAAATCTCGGATGAGAATAATAGGAGAATCAGTAGCACACAAGCTATCAAAAAGCCTGGGGCAAGAGAAACTGGACATGAACGCGGCAAATCTTGACATATTTCTCGAGAATATGAGTACTCGAGACACTGGAAGCAATAAAAAGCGACGGAAGGGGGCGGGAGACAGTGAGAGACAAGCCAAATGACATGTATCTCGAATCTAGGAACATGTTCTTCCGTCCATACTGCTTACAGGACATTGTACACTGGTGTTCTTATTTTCAAGGGGTACAAGGTCAAAGACCGCATCAGGGGATACCATAACTAGCCTTCGGACGAGTTGGCACCTTGCTGCTACCAGAATCGGTTTGCTGTGTGAAAAGACAGTGCATTGGAAGAAGGACTGATGACTCCCTAATGCGTCCGGGCAGCGGCCGATTTGGGGTAATTTCGACACCGCAAAGCTATCACCATCTCACCAAGACTGTCATAGATGATCAATAGCTGAAAGAACTCACCTAAGGAGCTGGATAATGAATACCTCCTTACTCCTCGTCCCCATGGTATGGAGCTTATTCAAAATATCCATAACAAGGCTACACCGCACAGGGTACTTCGCCTGTTGTCACTAATATAGTAATACTCCTTGAAGAGTCTTCACCGCCGGATAGCACAAACATATAACAACCATGCTCTTTGTAGAGCACATCTCCAAGGAATTAGTCAGAAAGTTTACCAGGACGCATTGAGAAAGAATAACTAAACGGATATTTCAAATACTCTCCAAGAGAGCGATAACTTCGTCCACATGGGTCACCCTAGTTGATTAACAAGAAGACCTTCAGCACTAGTGTTGAAGATGGTCAAACATGTTGCAACACCGGCAGTCTGTTCTACAGCATGAACAAGGTACACCGCGATCACAAAACCGTTCACTTCAGCGAAAATAGATAACGCAGGCCATATAGGTCTAATCACTTAATTCAGTATCTATGATATTGCCCATCAACACCATATACTTCAGGTTGAACGATCATTCAAGGTAGTTCTCGGTTTCTGCTGCCGAATGGATGGCCGACAGTTGTCATAGTCTTGATCCCGAAGAAATGAGCAAAATGCTTATGGAGGCTCTAGAATGCCTTAGAACCAACTAGCTAACAGCACATAGTATTATAATGCTATGAAAGGGGCAATGGGGCATTATTACCAAGGGTAGTGATTGTATCGAAACTGCCCATATATGGATGCCATTCTCACTGGGTCGAAACCTGGGGTTCCGAAATACCAACTTTTCTAGAAAGTAGTAGGGATGATCTGTCCTTTGAACAAAGTTAGAACATGGGAGGAACTAACTCTAGGACCCGATCGTACGGAGATCCTTAAAAACCCTATGTCTCTTGCTTCCACCATCCGTGAGATGTGGAAAACGGCAAACTGGCCTTAAGATGCTCCAGATATCCGAAGATAAAAGAGCGCTGGCTGTGAGGTTCTACTGGTATTAAAACTGAAGCTATGGTGTCAAGGTTCTTTAAACACCTCCATTAAATTCAGTCAAGTCAGACTCATCAACCAATAATACCAGGCTTATTAACTGCGAAATACTGGAATTAATTAGATCTAGAAATATCCTGACATGGATAATAGATATATCTTACAGTTGACTGCGTCCTTCCATCGAGCTATTGAGTGTGCAATGGATATTGATCCGGCTGATTGCTTTGGCAGGAGCAGCTGATGATAAAGATGAGAAGTCTTTACCCGGGGGATTGTTTAATCTTGGAAGATCCAATTCTAGGCGGAAGCAGAGGAAAGGGGACTGATGGTGGATAATGAAAAGTACGAAGTGGAAGGTACTAACGAGGGTTAAGTAGCGGAGGAACCAGCGTTGTCTGCCTTTGAATTATCGCCCACGGGCGAAAATAGACATTCCTATACAGACAACACAAGAAGCATCGAGAGAGTATTCCAAGGGGGATATTCCCTAGAGTTGGAGAGTCGAGATATGAATGTTCAATGAGATGGGTTTTAATAGTCACAGGAATGATAAGAGGAACACCCGTCTGTACAGGTATATCGAATGATCAGAGGAGTTAGATTGTCTTGCGCTGCAGCTTGTCTACTTGATATTAATACTGACTAAATGGTGGACATTTTCACTTCTACGGCTGTCTTCTTGAACGGAAGTTAGTTTGATCTACTTAGAGGTCATGGTTGGTAAGTAAATAGGAAGAAACCATATTCAACCATTACAAGCCACGCATGAGATTTAATTTCTAAAGATAGACAAGATAATAATTTCCTGAGCCAGATAACCCGAGGCCACACTGGTTCGCATTTCCCACTTGCTGGATATATAAAAGAAATGGAGATCACTGAACATTCATTGTAAACGGAATGCCCGGGATAATAGAAACATCTGACTATGGTAGCAAAGATCTCTCTCCGTAGGGATAGCCAAATAGCCTAATTCATGAATAGCCAGAAGCTAGATGGGAGGCCATCTGCTTGTCGTAACCATCAGATGAGTAACATATTCAGCCACCGTAACGGCTGGACTTACAGCTGCACCAACTACCAAGTAAGGCACTCTATGTAATATTTCGGACTATTCCATGTTCCGGTAGATAAAGCAGGGTACAGCGTAGAATAAAGCTCAGTAAGTCAGATAGCGTTGGACACTTCGGGTATATCCCCACTCGGGTAACTGTACCCACAGTATCCGGGTGGCGTAGCAGAGCGGGACGAAAAAAAAGAAAAACAAAGATTGGACTCGCCGGGAATCGAACCCGGGACCTCTCCAATGCGAATGGAGCGTCATACCCCTAAACCACAAGCCCAACTTGATGGTAAGCTGCTTGGTCTTTTGCTCTATGACATTTGCTTTGCCAAGGTAGCCTGTCTTGCCTTTTCCGGTAACCTGGGCCCAGTGCTTACTAGATAAACTCCCATCACTTTGCGAATTTCCACCAAAAAGTAATGCTAGGAAAGTTTTGATCCGCGTTGACATGCCTTAGCGTGCGAATACGTTTCTGCCTACTGTTGCAATGAAAGTGTAAGTTAATGATTGTGGACCACTAGTATTAGTTTATCCTGCCAGTCGGAAGGTTCCGACCTGCTGGAGATGCACACGGATTCTGTCTACTTAGTAACGTATCTAGTACTAACGCTCTGAACCAATATCCAGCGGGAACCAGGTAGCCTACTAGTACGTACCTATCCTAACAAAAGGGTGGTTTTTGCTTGTCATTGAAATAGTAGCAAGTTCTTTGTTCACTCCAATGGTATATATATATATCACACCGATTGGTCACTCATATTCTCTTATTAACTAGGTTAAATACCAAATGGAGATATGTTCAGAACTTGACAGCCGCATACATCACTGCCCCGTTCGAGAGTATAGGAGAAATAAAAAGGCATCATCTTGATACTGCCGCTATATATCCTTCAGAGGCCCGCAAACCTGTCTGAAACCCATCAATTCCTCCATCCTTCTAAAGCCCCAGGCGGACGCACGTATTGGACTCTTAGTACAGAGGAAGTTTGTAGGCGTCGAAATCGTAGATCCAAGTGTCGTACGAGGCCTGGTCGAAAACACAGTCCATGGTAGTCCCGTTGTTGGACCAGAGTGGGCGAAGGGGCCATCCACAGATCTGCTGGTGCTCGCCTTCATTCTCTCCCTGGAGAACTGTGGCGTTCAGCGTCACAGGAACCACACCGTTCTCCACCCAGTCGATCATGACGGCTAGGTTCGTTTGCGGGAAAGGTCCGTTCGGTTGTTCGCTGTTTGTGCCGCAATGGGCCATGCCGGGGACTAGGTACAGTCGGTAGAACTCGCCCAAGGCGGCAGCACTTGTGTGAAGAGACTCGTTGGGGAACATAATCTTGCGCACAGCCTCGTAATAGTGGACAGACGAGGCAGTGGGCACACTGGGGTCCTGCTCGCCGTGGAAGTGTAGAATCTTGCCACCGGATTGCTGGAGGACGCTGAGATCGGGATTGTGAGTCATCAGGGTGTCCTCGTACATCGTCCATCCCATTTGCATCCAGTCGCGGATGGTGTCATAAGTAACATTGTCGAGCGTAGTCAGCGAGTTCACGTCCTGCAGGTTCACAAACTTCGCCACAAACTCGCCCCCGTTACCGTCAATACTGAGGCCCCAGGTGCCGGTTTCTGAGTCGTAGGTGGTTTCAGCATCGTCAAAGTCTGCACCTGGTTGGAAGTACAAGTAGGCCTGACGGCCCTGGGTGTCCTTCAAGCCGGCAAGGAGTGTCTAAACCAATTCGACGGCTTCTTTGGTGACGGTACCATTCTGCGCGGGGGTCGAGCTCATCGACTGCCGTTTACTAAACCCGAGACCAAGACTGCTGCCTCCGGAGCTGGCTGCGCAGTAGTAGGGAGCGCCGATCAAAGAGGTGTAGTTGAAATGCAGCTTGCACAGGTCGGAGCGGGCGACAACTCCGTCTGCGCGGCCATCTAGCGGATCGCAAGCAGCGATGGTGGCGTTCACAATTAGCTCCAACTCGCAGGGAGGCGGGTAGTAATTCATGGTCTGTTCAACGACGTTGGGCACCAGGTGGTTGATTTGCTGATGGGCGAAGCGGAAAGCCGGCGCACCGACGATAATTCCGTCGTAATCATAGCCATACCGCTGGGCCTGCGACCAGCCCTCACGGCCGCCCTCAGAGCATGATTGATAGTAGGTATAGACCTTGTCATTTCCGGTGTTATACACATTGCGGGTGAGTTGACGGCCGATTTCCATCATCTCATGGATACCTTGGTAGCCGAACATGAAGGTGTTTTGCCAGCCGACAGTGCCATTGGCGAGAAGGAAGACATCGTCAAAGGATTGACCATTGAACCCACCGTCGGTAAGGCCGGCGACCGCTCCATACATGAGACCACCGGGCAAGGACCCAGTGGTTCCGGAACCCTCGTTGATCTCGTATGCCTCGCCGCCGGTGGTAAGGAACCGATTCTTGAAATCAGCTGGGGCGGGCAGCCAGTAAGTGAGGGCCACTCGGTCATTCCGACCGATGTGGGTGTAGTTGAAGGTGACATCGCAGTAGCTGATGGTAGCAGCCGGATAGAAATTGGAGCTGCTGATGGACACATTTGAATGGATGGTAGTCGAGACGGAGCTGGGAATCATGGAAATGCCCTGAAAAGTGCCATCTGCAGGCAATGCAGCCTTGATATAGGCGTCGTTGCAAATATCAGAGAGGCTCACGGCATGAGCAGCCCCTACTGCCGCAGCTAAGGGGACAAGACTTCTCATATTGAAGAAGATAGAATGAAAGACCGATAAATTTGGAATGAATGAAGAAGAATGGATTGGGTTTTGGAAAGGTTGACTGGACAGCTGCCGATGGTTTTCGCTTTTATGCTGCGAATTTAAAGATGGTTAGAAATTTGGACGCATATGCATGGATACAATTAATTGCCAAACGCGTAGGTGATGACACATGCAGTCGCAGATTGATCGGTCGAGCCATCTCGCATAATAAGAAGAATCACGCTGTGGGATGCTTCACGGACTTAGTTGCCAGGGACTTCCGGAATTATTGCCATTAAGCTTCCCGGGCCGCGAGCAACAGACCCACTGAGTTTCGAATCCCCGGAGGTCGGAGGGCTAGATTGAGTTCATGACCGATCCTTGGGACTGTGCGTAGACCTCCTGACTGGATGACCAAATGAAGTCTGCAAATTACATTGGCAGATAATGCGGTGATTGAGCACCTGAAAAGAAATAGGATATCTTGCAATACTAGTGGGCTGGAAGGGTCCGAGGTCCACTGATAACACTAACGATATTTACGCTTATTATTATTCATAGTAACTAGCGCCGCGTAAGCTCCGGCCCTTCCATACATCTCCGTACTCTGCCCTGGCCCAAGGTCAATCTCCGTTCCTGCAGCAAATACAGGGCAGCGGGGCGGGATCGACCGTCTCATCCAAGGTTTGAATGCTCTTCTCAGCCTTAGGCACTGAAAGTCCGGCTCAAATTTATTTTCCTGGTAAATTGCACACGTCAGCATGAGCTGCCGGGTGATAGCTCCGTGAAGAAGGCTTCAACGGCTCAGAACCCAGGGCAAGCCAGCGGCAGAAAGGAGCAGTCGAAAGGACTAGCTCTGTGATCAAGGTGGACGTGGATTCATCATAACATTACTTCAAACTAGACAAAGCAACTATTAGCTTCAGCAACGAGGCTAGTGAAGGAGAACCTTCAAGGCAACCCCCTTGTCAGTCCGTCTGCACCAAGCAGCCTGATAAGACCCAGCATAACCCTCAATGCCTCCTTCCGTCGACGGCGATTGCAAAGATTGTAAAATTCCGAATGATATAAATCGAGGTTCTGGGGTGGGCGTTCGCCATGTAAGAGAGCGTCTAAGTAATCCCGATGTGGATCTGCCATAGTAAGCTGGAAATTCGTGCTATCCATAAAGATAACAAAGGCTCTACGAGACTGATTCCGTTGGTGTGCCCCCGCCTTCTGCAGCAATAACTGTGCTACTTGGTCCCTGAATTTGTAATCACCATCTTTAGCAACCTGTGAATAAGTTCAGTTTATATCGCACGCTTAGGAAGGACCGAGACAGACTGAAAACACTGCCAGCGGAGATTGTGGCATAGAAGACTCGAGCAGCCCCCCTTGACACTCGAGGCCACCCCGCATACCTGCCACTTCAAACGATATGGTTTGGATACATGAGACCTGTCTGGATTGTCTTAGTTTCACCATGTGGGGGCGAGCATAATCTGTTACTTACATAGGCTTGTCCAGATGCACGCGGCGCAAAATGATCTCAACGAAGCTCAGCACAGCTTGCCTGGACGCATCAAAGAAAACATCGGAATTGAGCATCTCGCAAAGATGTTTGAAAACTGGTAAGAAGATGTTGCGTCTGTATCGGACTCGTGCTGTGCCACGAAGATTCTTTAACTCGTTTTCTGTTGGTTCGGCGAACTCCGTGACGAGCGATTCAAATTCTGCGATGTGTGAGCAACTCCAAGACAGAGACGTGAGCGAAGCGCGTAGAGTCCAACCTTCATCTCCATCCTTAGGAATGTGATCAACTCCAATGATTTCGTCGAGACTGGCGTTAAAATGCCGTTCGATTCTCAAGGTCTCAAGATGGTTCGAGGTCCAATTATCAGGAGAGTGGAATAATAGGGGGAATGGAGGCATGTTGGAGAGCGTGCTGATAATACTAGGAAAATGATACAATTGATGCAGGGCGTGGATGATCTCCAATGTGATATTGAGCAGTTCTTTCTCGATGGGCTGTATCTGTCAGTGTCCTACTATTGGAAGGTGCAAACAGGAGAGGGCACCTTTATGTGATGCACTCCCATATTCGGGAATGAGGGTGGTGAATACTTGGTGCAGGTGCAGAACCGGCATTTGGAGTGAAGGAAGTAAGTAGATAGCGTATACAAAGTATAGTACATAACACAAGTGAATAAGCGTGTTGTGATTGAAGTTATGCCCTCAGGCAGCAATGTCGGACTCCATTTCCGGTTAGTGCTGATTCAGATCGGGATGCTGCGCATCTCGCACTTCATCGAAGCTGGACAGGACACAAATCCCCGATCACCATGAAGACGACTAGAAAGAGCACCCCAAAGACCCGCACGGGATGTACTACCTGCAAGTAAGTAGAGTAAGTAGACAGGCTTTGCATCAGGCATGTGTCTAACCCATCAGAACCCGCCGCATCAAATGCGACGAAACAAAACCGCATTGTCTGCGGTGCACGCGCTCAAATCGCACATGTGGGGGATACACATCGCTTGCATCCGCCCATGTTGTGGATAAAATTAAAGAATATAGCATCCCGTTTAAAGTTCCTGGCGGTAGATTTGATCGCCAGCTCCTCCATTTCTACTGTATCGAAGCCGCAGCGAGTCTTTCGAGCTTTTCCGACGCGGACTTCTGGAATCGACTCATCTTGCAGAGATGCCACCATCAGCCAGTGATTCGCAACGCACTTGTCACGCTCAGCGCTATTTATCGAGACTATAAGTCTAAAGAGAACTCTGGGTTGGAGTCCGACCGTACATCGCCGCAGCATCTGCAACTAATCGCCAGATCTCACAAGCAGCTAAGGATACATCTCTGTTCACCAGACGCGTCAACTGAAGTTGCTTTGATCTGCAGCATGATCTTTTACGCTTTTGAGGCTCTTCTAGGCAATGCCGTACAGGCGATCCGACATCTCGATCAGGGGCTGATCCTGCTGGAACGTTGTCAGGCTACTGCGCCCGTGCACCGCGCCACGGATGACATTTTTCCGCGTTTAACAGCCTTGTTCGCTAGCCTGGACATTCAGGCAAGCACATACACTAATAGCCGGCAGCCTATATTGTCACTTACTTCGCCATTGGAAAGGTCCGGGCTTGTCCCGGTCATCCCAGAAGGTTTCACCTCTGCAGATGCACACATGTTACTCATCAAGTTGCAGAACTGGATGTTCCACCATCTTGCCTCATCCCACCCATATAAGATTAAAGGCCTACACCTTCTACCAGCAGATATCCTTATCGAGCGACACCGGCTATATGACCAATTGACGAAATATATAGAAACTGTGAGCGCGTGTTCGACCTATAGTTCTCGCCCAAGCACGGCAAATCGTCTACTCCTTCGACTCCAAGCGCGGATCTTCCGCACTATCCTGGCCGAGGATATTCCATCTCTGCAGGATAAAGATCGTGAGCCACTTCGAGAATGCTTACAGGATATATCGGCCATTTTGGAAACTATGTCCACGTATTCCTCTTCACAAGATACTACTTCTGCGCAGAGATCATTCACATTAAGTACCCAGCTTGTCGCAGCGCTCTACTATATCTGTATGAAAAGCAATCATCCCAGCACAGTGGAGGCTGCCCTGTCATTCCTGCGACACGAGAAGCTGCCGAGCCGCGATGGGGTCTGGGACGCACGGACGGTAGAAGCTGTGGTGCATGGCATCCGACATTCCAGCAAGCTGCCTGAATGGCGAATAGGCAAAGATGAAGCTGCAAAATATCGCCTCGAGTACGCCAATGCGGATGTTGTCAACGCAGCTAGTGATGGGGGCGTGTATGAGATACGGGAAATACTGCGACGTAATGAGCAGTAGATCAGGTGTGGCGACTCCTCTAGCTTGGTGTCTAGGTCTTAATGACCCCCACGAGAGCTGTTGAACACAGGTGAGCTGGCCGCTCTTGGGTCCTCAGCTTCCGGGAGCGGTTCTAACCGGCTCGTGTCCGATAGACGACTTCCATGGCGCGATAGCGGGATGATGTCAACACATCAAGGCAATCCGGCTAATTCGCGTGCAGGGATCGGGTATTGGGTGGCCAGTCACACTTGTCGCCGTCGCGTCGCCTCACTTTTGAGTTACGCCATGGATAGATGACAGCCAGTCATGGCTGCCCTCTAAACCTAGATCGACACGGCTTTGTGGATGATGGCATGTTGTCCTCCCCGGCCTACAGTTAAAAGTGCAGTCCTCGGCATGTGCCATCCCCATCAAACGTGGGGGTGACTTTGCGGGGATCAATTGCGGGGGATGGCCGCTACCCCATGTTTTAGTGTGGATTCGTTAGTCTCGAGCTTGAAGCTTAAAAGGCATGCGGGTTGGCCGACCGGAAAGCGTGGGGGTGCCGGGTTGACGGCGGGTTATTATGTCGAAGAGCTGCCCTTGTTTCATCCTACTCCGAACACTTCTAACCAACAATCACAACATCTTCCTGACATGGAGCCTGACAAACCAGCCGCGATCCACGATGAGGGCACGGACGTGGCCAAGCCAACTACTATTGATGGTCTTCCGCATACGCCAGTCCTAGTGACAGAGGAAGATAGCAAGCGGATCGCCCGCAAAACAGATCGAACCATTCTGGTGATATTGATCTGGGTGTATTTCCTACAGATTCTCGACAAGTCAGTATTGGGCTTTGGCGCAACCTATGGCCTAGAGGAGGACACCCACCTCACCGGCAACCAATACTCCCTGATCGGTTCAATCGCCCCAATCGCACAGCTTGCATGGCAGCCCTTCTCCTCCTGGCTTATTGTGACCATCCCGCCTCGCATCCTGATGCCCACATTAGTGCTTGGATGGGGCATCGCGCAGACCTGCATGGCAGCATGCAGCAACTTCGGCGGGCTAATGGCCACCCGCTTCTTTCTGGGCCTGTTCGAAGCCGGCTGCCTACCACTCTTCAGTCTCCTTACAAGCCAGTGGTATCGTCGTGCTGAGCAACCCATCCGAGTAGCCGCCTGGTACGGCACGAACGGCGTAGCGACCATCATAGCAGCGGTGCTATCATTCGGCCTAGGACACATTAAATCCGGGGTAATGAAAGAGTGGCAAATGTGAGCCCCCATCTTACCCAACGTACAATTATCCTGCAAACTAACCTCAACAGCATCTTCCTCGTCGTCGGTCTCATCACCATCATCTCCAGCCCATTCGTCTACTGGAGGCTCGACAACGACATCCCGTCAGCACGCTTTCTCACCGAAGAAGAAAAGCTCCAAGCGATGGAACGTCTGCGAGCGAACCAAACGGGCGCTGGATCACGCGAATTCAAAATCAGCCACGTCTACGAAGCATTCCTTGAGCCCAAAACCTACCTCTGGGCCAGCATGGCCCTCCTCCTCAACATCGGCGCCTCTGTGTCAAACGTCTTCGGCCCCTTGATCCTTCAAGGCCTCGGCTACGACACATACACCACCACATTGCTGAACATGCCTTTCGGTGCCGTACAAGTCATCGTCATCCTGCTGGCCAGCTACCTGGCGCAGAAGGCCCGTCTGAAGGGCATCATCCTCGCGGCGCTAATGCTCCCCGTCGTCGCGGGTCTGGCTATCCTGTATGCTGTTCCACGGAACAGCTCCACCAACGGCGCCCTCATGGCCGGATACTATCTCATTGCCTTCTTGTTCGGCGGGAACCCGCTAATCGTCAGCTGGATTGTCGCTAACACAGCCGGCACGACGAAGAAATCAGCCAACATGTCATTATACAATGCTGCCGTGTCGGCAGGGAATATCATCGGCCCTCTTTTATTCAACGAGAAAGACGCGCCGGCATACAGACCCGGATTGCGGGCATGCGTAGGGATCTTCGTGGCGTTGATCGCAGTGTTCCTGCTACAGTGGGCGGATCTGTGGGTATTGAACAAGATGCAAGAGAAGCGGCGCGTAAGGAACGGCAAGCCCGCAAAGGTAGTGGATGTATCGATGCAGAGCGACCGGATGATGGCGATTGAGCAGACATTGGAGGCAAACGGCGAGGAAGGACATGTCGGGGCCAACGGGCTGTTGGATCTGACGGACGGGAAGAATGAGGATTTCGTTTACGTCTACTAAATTGATCTTCCATCGTGACCCTCTGAATTCAATTCTAAATTACATACATACATACATTACCATCCCATCCCATCTCATACAAGATTAATATTCTTAACATCCCCGACACTCCTTAACCCACAACCCGATCCCTTCATACTCCCCCTCCCCCGCATCGCCATCATCCCCACTAAGCCAATAAATCTTCCTTATCTGCCCCTCACTCGGCTCAACACCCCACGCCTCTTCCCCATCAAGAAGCAGATAATTGTCCTCGTCCACCCCGAACCCAGTCACACTTGCCCCGGCGGGAGCAGCGCCACCAGGCTTCGTCAGGGCAATCGGCGCTGTCTCGTCCTCCTTGACGTAGAGGTGTTGTATGGGCGTGGAGGTGTCGTATTGCTTGTGCCCGGTTATCATGGTGTTGTTGGCGCCGCCTTTCACTATCGCGGATATATCTGGTTAGTGGGGGTGGTGAGGGAAAAGGGGTTTATGGGGGAGGAACGTACGGATGAGAATAGGGTAGTGTTCGATGTCGCCGGTTCCGATGTATAAGTGTGCTATTAGAAGTGAATTAGTATTTGGTATATAGTATGATGATGAGTAATCGTAGTGGTGGGATACATACTTCCATCAGTAACGACAGTCCAGCCTCCGTCAGCGACGAGGGTATATGTAGATGGTATGGAGGCGGAGACGGTGGCGATAAGGGAGGAGAGAGCGGTGGCGAGGGAGAGGAATATCATTTTGATTGTGAATAAATTGAGAATAATGGACTATGTAGGGTAATGAGTCGAATTTTAGGTAAGTAGTAGGAATATGAATAATGAGGGGGTGGTAGGGTGAAGGATATTTATATGCAGGTGTATCTATTGTAGAGGGGAGAGGGGGGGGGAAATGGAGCTATTTTAAGATCAATTTGGGGCCCTGCCGATCAGCAGTGGCGAGTTGATTTGGATTTGGGGATGCATTGGATGCAGGATTCACTACATTCAGTCACTTGCAGTGCATTTGACTTGATCATGGTAAGGAATAGGGGTTATATGTAATTGACATTGGCTATATCCAGTTGGCGAAGAACGCATTATCTGACGGAGACAGTCGATGTATATTTCAGACTGCTTGATATACATGACCCATTATAGATAAAATCGCGGCCAGACTCAATTTTACTCTGTAGAACAATCGAGGACTCGAGACGATCCCTGGTCCGGCTGATCGGTTGGCCGGGTAGCAAAGCCAACATCTAAGCGAACTGAATCTTGCGGGGAACCGAACTTTTAGTTCCGATGCATGTTTCACCAGCCCGCAGCCAATGGCGCAAGGGTACGTCTACCAGACATAGCCTTGCTTGAATTAGAACTTGGAGCTGCATGGTGATGGAATGTGGCATTCAATGTCTGGGCTCAAAATTCAACAATCAAGTTTGGTTCTTGTCGGCTCACCGCTGTGTACATGGGTATTTCACTTTAAAGTAGATTGACCATTCATGTTGAAATAAGCCACAGCGGGTTACACTTGTGGGCTGCTCCATGCATGTTGCTTGGAAAGAAGCCTTAAGGATATGTCGAAGGACGTAGGCCTATTGTAGGCTTGCTGCTCATTTCTAGATTGTCTACAGATTGCTTCACATTGCGGTGCACTGAAGTGACATGTGAAAGAATAGATGTATTCCGCGACTCAAAGGATTCGCCTTGTCCAGAAAAGGTAATTGATAGTGAAGCTGGGGCATTATTTTATTTTGGATGCCTTGGCTCTTCACCTGCTAGCTCAATATGTGAAGTCGCAACATCTGACAGGAGCAGTGTGTCAACATAATGATTGACTCCCATCGCGCAATTTGTTGATATTATCACCAAAAGCAATCCTGACAGCCGGTGTATGCCAGATCATTTTCCGTTGAGTACAAAAACGAGTTCATTGCCTTGACGCCATGATCCACATCGAACCTGGCTGCTCCACCAAGGAGAGCAGACTCCCCTTCGAAATCGAAGAATGGGTGGAGATGGCCATTGGCATGTTTGTCATCCTGCTCCGACTCTACGCTCGAACCAGAGCAGTAGGCGTCAGAAAATGGCAAGGAGATGATTACCTCGGTATTGTGGCGCTTGTTCTCTGGGTAGTAAGTGCAATGTTCGCTGGTAATGGCAACCATGTGAAGGCTGACATGAGGGTTCTATCTAGACGGAAGTCTTCATGTTCAAGTTTGTGTGTAAGCTCATCTTCCCCGGAGAATGGACTCTGGCTGACAGGTTATAACCCTATAGTCCGCTTCGGCGCTAATGCTAGGCTCAGTGACGAGCAGAGAGCATCGATGGAGGAGTGGGAAATACGTGAGCGAGAGTTTGGAGCGAAATGCCTTCTCGTCAGCTGGGTGGTCTACGTGAACCTGATCTGGGTATTGAAGGCTTGCATGTTGTTTTTCTATAACCGTTTGACGTATGTGGCCTTATCCACCTATTAATTGATGATATCGCACTGACTCTAGGTAGAATTGGCCTTGTTCAGCAAAGGTTCGTCAAGGTCGCGGCAGGTTTGTGTTTGTGTACCTACGTTGCCGCTATCCTAACTATTTTGCTGCACTGTAACCCCGTCAGCAAAATGTGGCAGATCTACCCGAATCCAGGCAGTAAGTTGACAGAGCAGAGATGGTCCTGGGTTCGGCTAACGGGCCTTAGAGGCGTGTACGCAAGGCTCGGCGAACTACATTGCCATTCTGGTGACTAATATCTTGTGAGTCGCGATGCACGCCGCGACTCGACGGCTGCTAACGAAGGATGGTGTCGTCATCTAGGACGGACGTTGTGGTGCTCTCGATCCCTCTGCCGTTACTGATCCAAGTGCAACTCCCTTGGCGCCGGTATGTCCACATCAGACACAGTTGTGAGCGTTCAGGTCACTCAAATTCCCAAGGAAACTGGTGATCGGGCTGCTGCTTTTCGGGGGCGTATTTGTGATGGTTGCCGCAGTGTTCCGTTGCGTCCTTTCGCTATGGCACATTGAATCTGTTAATACCAGCAACCTCTGGGCAACACGCGAGACGGTACGTTCTCTCCAAGCCTCTCATATGACTGTTCTGACCACACGATAGGTCATTGCCATCATCACTGTCAATATTCCGTGTATCTGGCCACTACTTCGGAGGTCATCCTCGTCGCGAGAAGCATCGACTGGGGCCAGTGGAACCGGCCGGTACAAATTGGGACCGTTAGCGGGGACGGGAACAGCGAACCGGAGACCAGCCGGGCCCGAGTCTATCTTGGAAGACAGCCAATCTCAGTTCGTCAGTGATGTTCGGGGAGGGACAGACCGAGTGGGAGAGGAGACCGGGCGAGGCATCGATGGCATTCAAGTGACGACTGTTTATGAGGTGAAACATGACCCGTATGGAGTCAAGGATCGAGGATGAAGGGAGAAATGCAGACTCGAGTCAGTTATCTCAACACGTGATGTGGCACGCGCAAATGCAATTTCGTCCCAGACGGGAAGGCGGTTGCCCTGCCTGAAACAGTCTAGTGCCGGAGCTGATTTTTCTCTTCTCTTCAGTTTTCTCCGCCTTCGTATTTCCGTCCGCATTTTGCCCCTCATTTTCTGTCCTTCTTTTGATTTTCCAATTGCAACTGTCTGGATATATTCTCCAGGAAGTGAACGTGTTTATTGTAATATGTGGTATGTCTAATGTCTAATGTCAATGAAGTACTAGATACTTTGTATATCTTCCTGTCCGTCGCTAACCGGGCTGAGTCCACTCAAGGTGTAACCCCGCCGGCTAGAAGGCCACTAGAATCCACTTACTGGCCGCTTGCAACCCGTGATCACCCCGTGATTGGCCCGTGATTAGGTAACGCCATGGCAAAGCAGTGGAGAATTTTCGCCAGCGGCAACTGACGTTATGGAACGAACTGCCCCGATCTGGGAAAAATTCGGTCCAGACAACCAGACGAGAAAATCTTGCCGTTCCCCCCAAGATGGCCACATGGAAAAGGTTTGTCATGTCTGTCTCTGTTTCTGTTTTTTCTCTTCCCCAGAACTCAATCCCTCAATCCGGTCATCATTGACGTTGACTGACACATCGACTCCTTCCCAGCTGTCGTGCGCCGAGGCTGTCTTCTCCGCTGCCTCACGCTCTCGTCTTCTCGCCTTCCTGATCTCCTCTCCCACCTTTCCCCACCTCAGCTGAACACCTGTCGGTTATGGAGGACAACAAGGTCGCTTCCCAAGGGAAGCTGCCAATTGACAGTGCCGTCACCGAGGAGAATGGCTCCCAATCCCCCTCCGATCGCTCCCTCACTCCCTCCGGCCTGCGCGAGCGCCGGCGCAATGGCCTCACCAAGGATGTCGAAAGCGACAATGAGGAGGAAGAAACTAAGCTGAAGCGCAACCTGAAGAACCGTCACCTGCAGATGATCGCCATCGGTGAGTGAAAGACGCTTCAATCGGACATTTGATACTGCTATGAACTCGTCACTAACCCCCCCCGAAGGTGGCACCATTGGTACAGGTCTCTTCATCAGCAGCGGAACGGCCCTTGCGGAAGCTGGCCCGGCGGGTTCCCTCATCGCATACGCCTTCGTTGGTTCTATCGTCTACTCGGTCATGTGTTCGTTGGGTGAGATGGCCACCTACATCCCCATCCCCGGTGCCTTCACCTCCTACGCCGCGCGTCTCGTCGACCCGAGCTTGGGTTTCGCCATGGGCTGGATCTACTGGTTCAACTGGGCCTCCACCTACGCCGTCGAATTGACCGCGTCCGGTATGATCATCCAGTACTGGAACGATCAGCTGTCCATTGCTATCTTCATCGGTGTCTTCTGGGTCGTCATCTCTGCCGTCAACTTCCTCCCCGTCGGCTTCTACGGCGAGCTGGAGTTCTGGTTCTCTATCACGAAGGTCTTGACCGTTCTGGGCTTCATGATCTTCGCCATCTGCATTGATGCTGGTGTAGGCAAGCAGGGCTACATTGGCTTCAAGTACTGGCATGACCCGGGTGCTTTTGCTCCCTACCTGATCACCTCCAATGAATCCGTTGGCAAGTTCGTCGGCTTCTGGGCTGTGCTCATCCAAGCTGGTTTCTCCTACCAGGGTACCGAGCTGGTCGGTGTCGCCGCTGGTGAGACTGAGAACCCCCAGAAGACTGTCCCCTCGGCTATTCGCAAGACTTTCATCCGTATCCTGGTCTTCTTTGTCCTGACTATCTTCTTCATCGGCTTGTTGGTTCCCTACACCAACCCCGACCTGGCCAGCGGAGCTGAGAACGCCTCCGCCTCCCCCATGGTCATTGCGGCCAACTTGGCCGGTGTCAAGGTTCTTCCTAGCTTGATCAACGCTGTTCTTCTCACTGTCGTCTTGTCCGCCGCCAACTCCAATGTCTACAGTGGCAGTCGTGTCCTGCTTGGCCTGGCCCAGGAAGGTTTCGCGCCCTCAGTCTTCGGATGGGTCACTCGCCGTGGTGTCCCCTACGTCAGTGTGGCTTTCACCGCTCTCTTCGGACTGCTGGGATTCATGAACGTCTCGGAATCGGGTACCACCGTCTTCAACTGGCTGGTCAACATCTCCAGTGTGGCTGGATTCATTTGCTGGACTTCCATCAACGCCAGTCATATTGCCTTCATGAAGGCAATGAAAGCGCGCGGTCTCTCTCGTGACACTCTCCCCTACAAGGCCATCTGGCAGCCCTGGTTGGCCTGGTACGGTCTGTTCTTCAACATCCTGATCATCTTCACTCAGGGTTTCACCGCTTGGATCCCCACTTTCAACGTGTCGGACTTTTGGGTAGCCTACATCTGCCCCGTTTTGTTTGTGATTCTGTACGTCGGCCACAAGGCCTGGTACCGCACGCGCTTTGTGCGCCCCATCGAGGCGGATCTGGACACCGGACGTCCGCCGTACACTACCTGGGAATCGAGCAATCCCAAGGACGGATGGGTGCGCAGGATCTGGGATAGCATCATGGGATAGATGTGGATAGAAGAGATGATGAATTTATAGTAGACGAATTGGAGAGTTGGTTTTGTCGCATAGAGCGGAGTTTGGCGTGCATTTTTGTAATATAGTTACTTATATAGTTATGTGGTGGCTGATAACAGCTACCAAGCCATGTTTAGATGCAATCTACGTTTAGTGTAATTAGAAATTATACAATCTATATTAACATGGAAATATTCCCTTCCAGTAATTTCGTCGGTAACAGAAGGATCTTAGCTCCGGTTACCACATGGAGCCATAACTAACACGAAGGTCGCTACTTATATACTATAATCTATGCACACTCAATACCATTACTAAACTAGTCAAGAGCAAATCTTACCCCACCTCCCTAATTGAAGATGACATCACCTAGTATATACTAATTAAAGACTTGCCAATTAGTCTCAGCTAGTTGTAAGTAGTATTGACCCGCAAAAACAAAGAGAAAGAAAAAGAAAAAGACAAACGAAAAACATCCTACTATATATATCCCTCCTCATACTAGTGAATCCGACAGACCGCCCCAACGATTACTCTCTTGTTTAATCCTATGATAGTTCCTGCATAGTAGTAGTAGTTCCCACAATCACATTCTATAGGAGCACTCATAGCCAATCAATTCCCCCATTCACAGAAGTCCCAGAGGAGTCAGTCATTCAGTAGTAGTAATTCTTACAAAGTCGTACTGCTAGTGAGGACTGTATTGGAAGGTGGTAGTAGGAGCTAAGCATGATCATAATTAACAAGTTATTTCATTGAAAGCAGCTTCATGATACAAATATACTCTTAACTGTGCGTGTCCCTGCCTCCCAAAGCATAGTATTCCCATAAGTGGTCGTAATCATGAGTCTTTCCGTGTCAATTAATAGTAGAATGATATATATTCCCGCCTCTTGCCAATACTTCTGTCACCATCAGCAGTGAATTGCATGCGGACACTCACATAAAGTGCCATGCATCTGCAGACAATTACTGAAAGTCCTGATCTACCCCGTTTTCCGCATACACTTGCAGACTATACTTAGCAAACGCACTCCTCATTCGCATCTGCTCTCCATAACGACTGAGGAGTGGCGGCACGATACAGAATATCGTTGCTAGCACGGCCAGAATAGAAACAGCCACGTTGGCACCCAGTGCGTCGAACATCTTACTCCCGAACAGTGGAAATGCAGCCGACAGCAGGGATCGGATGATGGAGAGGGCAGCAAATCCGCTCGCAGCGTAGCTTAGATAGCTGTCTGCCATATATGCCGTCACCACAATCTCCAATTCGTTCAATGCATATCCGATGAAGAAAAGCGCCACCACGGAAACAAACCAGTTGACGTTGGTCACCTGGGGAGGAATTGTCCAGGCGAACCACCACAGCGCGATCGCAAGTACAGGTGCTCCGATGTAGATCCCCGTCAGCTTGTGTTCTGGCTTGAGGACACCACATTTCTTCTGGCGTCGTCGGATTATGCGGTAGTCCACGATGCGAGTCAAAGCGTTAGGGATGACCCCGAGACCGAGGGCGAGGAACGGCAGGGAGGCTTCTACGGTGCTGAAGCCAAATTGCTCGTAAACCGGAGGAAGGGCTTCCGTGAAGAGGTAGACTAAGGCTACGCATACTCCGAAGATCATTGTCACAATGAAGACGATAGGCTCGGTTAGGAAGAGACGGAGAGGCCGCAAGAGGCCGAGGTGGAGGAAGGTGCGCAGGTCCGGCATGTAATCCGGGTTTTGCGCCTTGAATGTATCGTTCCCGGTCAGCTTACGCAGAGTTTGAACTTCCCGCATAAGGATGAGGGATGGTCGAGATTCTTTGATGCATAGAAGCAGCGCTGCGAGAAAGGCGGAGACAATAGCGCCGACATAAAACACCCATCTCCTATACAGTTATTAGCAATCGCAGGGCAAGAGGCTTAGAAGTCCCACCATCCAAAGCGAACAGAAATATACGAGCTTATAATGGGTCCGGCGCTAACACCCATACAAGCCATGGACACGTAGACTAACATGACGAAGATCCTATCATGCGTGTTGAACATGTCTTCGATACTCCCAGTGATCACAACGGTAGGGATGGCGGACAGGAAGCCGGTAATGAAACGGCCGACGACCAGGGAGGGAATTGATGGGACCGCCGCGATGATGAGGCAGAACACGCTGTATAAGGATGCGCTAAAAATATAGAGCTTCTTTCGACCGAAGGATTCCGAGTAAGGGGGAAACACAATCCCTCCGAGACCTTGTCCTAAGAGATAACTATACAAATTAGTGTCTATTTCTCCGCGATAGAAAGGTGTTGGCAGCGCACGTTGAGACATATAGAAACAATGTCAATGTCTTGGACGTCCCGAACTCAACCTGTGCGGCCGTAGCCGTCGTGGCCTGTCAAATGTGAGACACTGCGCATGTTGTGCGGAAAGCACTACTCACTCCTGAGGTACTGAGACATGTCCTGGACAGTTGATGTCAGCAAAATATCGGAGAAGTCCCAAGACAACCTCACGTGAAGAATTCCAAAAGCGAGATCACAACGATATCGTAGGACTTGCGCACTGGGTGCCAGTTCCGCGGATGTTTGGGATTTGTTCGAGCCCAGCGCAAGTGACACCCGTCTGGGGTCAATTCCAGCCCATGCTCGGCAGCAAGGACGCTAAGATCAGAAAGCTCTTCAATGCCGAATTCACCCATTGTGAGAATATCAACCGTTCACGATGGATGTCTCAGTCCATCGGTTGGTTTTAAAGACCAGGTGGTTGTGGATCAATCAAGGGATGCATACCTCATGTTGTGGTTGTGGAGATGATCAGTAGAACACGCGGATCACCTCCCCACTCGTTTGCCCCTTATTTGGACTAAAGAAGCTGTGTGTGGGCCAGTGCGATGGATGGGAAATAAGACTCAAAGACGACCAAGCAACGGAGCGTGCCTGCTAATGCGCCTAGCCGTTGTTAAGAGCCAGGAAATGACCCGAGCATGTAGTACACACTGGGGTTGTATGCTGCGGAAGCATCTTTGCGTTACGTGTCACGCATCATCTTCATCACAAAATGGACACGGATCGTCCAGAGGCTTATCGTCTACTGGCTGTGTCAAGAAGCTCGGGGGCGTTGGAAGATCTTCTTCATATGGGCATGTTGACGGGTAGTCGGCATACAGACTTCGTGAAAGGGGCCTCTGGACTTGTTTCTGCTCATAAGGCTAGCGACTCTTGGTCCAGGGTGGCATGATATCACTTCCCACATTCTGGAATGTAGCACCGTAACGAGCACGCAATTGGCTATAGGATAACGAGCCCACAAAATACGCGCAACAGGCAGCGTCAGGCTCGTGAGGGGGTTGTATGTTCCACGCAACAGCTGTCGATCCGCGCATATCTGAAGATTTCTTGATATTCGTTCTCCGCAGCTCTCATCATGGTAGAGGAACCCATGATGACGGCATTGGGCTGGTGGCCATTGTGTCTCCATCATTATCACTGACCGATAAGCACGGGCCCTCTATTCTGGACCCTTTGTCGTAAGCAGAACATGCTGTTTGACTGCTTAGTATATCCTTAAACGGACTGGTTCCTATTTGTTGCAAGTTTCAGGACGCTCCACAACCATTAGCGCCCTAACGTTGTTAGTGTTGACGATCAGGCCCGGGGAATTTGGCTGTACCGTTCTCCGGGCGGACTTACATATGGATGCAATGAGAACAAACAATGGGTCTGAGAAAGCCAGAGCGAACACGCTGCAGTGACGAGCAAGGACCGTGCCTCACGTGGACGGCAGGTCCTGAGGCCACGAGCACCTGGTCTGCTGCTATTCGGATGTGCATTTCCACCAGACGCGAGCAAATTGGAGGCCAAAAAAGAGGTCATGTTGGTCCGGAGGCGCATACCTGTGGCTGGACCAAGCTATTATTAGCTGCTCGAGTTTTACTGGTTGGCGCTATCGTTCAGCGCCAAATCGTTGGCGTGGAATGAATGCCTGGTAGAGAATAGTGCGGCGCCTAGCGACATCGGCGATACCAGGGCGGCCAACCAACCTCGAAGACAGATGTTGTATGCATGGGAAACTGAAAGCTGAGCTGCAAGGCTGTGGGCAACAATGGTATCATTGGACGCGCTCAATGTTGTCTGTTCCATGGGCGTCCACGGAGTGTGCCTTGTCTGCGCCAAGTGCTCGCTGCCCATAATATAAAGCAGTGAATGGACATCATCATTTCATCATCGTTCCGAACTTCTGGCTTTCCCCCAAGCCAATTCATCCACCTCTACAGGTCGCACATCCACCATTACTTCCATATTATTCATAATCCACCAACAGTGACCAATAGCTCCTCACCATCATTTACTTCTGCACGGACAATGTCCATCATCAAGTCGATCCTGGAATGCCTCTGGGGACCATCACCCGACGTCTACCAGACCGATGCGCGCACTTCCGCTGTTGCGTCAGACATTGTCAATATCCTCCTGACCGGTGAAACCCCCGAGGCCATTCGGAAAGGAGTGAAAGAACAAGTCGATGCCAACGGGTGGAGCGATTCCATCGCCCAAGCTATCCTCCATGGCCTCAACGACGCTATCAAAGCCGGAGCGGAAATGGCCGGCCCTGCTGCCGATGCTCTGAACAAAGCCAATGCAGCTGCAGTGGATTTTGCCAAAGAGCACCCGGTTTTTACGACCCTGCTTGCTTTAGGGGTGCTGGCGGCATTAGCACCGTGGGTGCTCGAAGTCTTGGGATTCGGGGAGTTGGGACCAATTGCTGGGTCTTTCGCAGCGAGATGGCAAGCAGCATATGCTGGCTATGTGCCTCGAGGTGCACTATTTACGTACTTCCAACGGTTGGGGATGAAGTGGCATTGGGTGGGTTAAGGGTCTATTCGCTAAGCGTCGTCGTGCTGATCAAGGACTGTCAGGTGGCACAAATGATAAGTATGATGGCATTATGGGGTTTGGGGACAGGAAGAGTCAAGTCCAAACTGTAGCTAGTGTCAATGGAGGCGAAGTGTATTGCAAATCATGAGGCATTTCAGATGTCGCGCCACGTATCAGAGTTGCTCTGATTATCGCAGCAGACCGCTAGATGGGAACCAAGGCATCTGCCGATGCTTTGATACAGACTCCACCAGCGGGCGGAATTATCTTCCAGACAAGCCAGCATGAAGAGGGGATAGTGTTCACAGAGGATTTATGCTGTAGATGAATAACATAAAAGATGTCGAGGATTCCGACCGAGCCGAATGCCCAACCAGATGGCGCTGTCAGACGTCAAAGGGCGCGGCGATGACCACAAAGCTTATCTCAGACCACCAATGGTTCACCAGGTACACCCGGCCCCATTTTGTGCTTGTGCTCGTGATGGTGCTGTATCGTCTTTCGGGGTTTGCTTAGTGCAGATGTTATGCAGACAAGCGGGAGCACAACTCAAACTGGCATAGGGATCTGCAAGCGAGGGTGGGAATGCCTAGCGTGGGCTCGGTTACCAGGCTTCATCTTCAGCTGGGGATCAAACTCCTCTCAATTAGCCTGCAAAACGACCGAGAATCTCGAGAAGATCCAGAAGTAAACTGAAACTATACTATGACCGATACACACCAACTGACAATACAAGAGCCGCACGCAGCCTCGGTCCGGCCAGTGATCGGGTTGCCGAACTCACAGCCGAAGCCTCCACCGAGTGGAGCCATGCCGTATCAGTGGATCCTAGACAAGCATTGGGATTTGCCCATGAGCTCAGGTCGAATCATTCTTCACCCGGCCTGTCCCTTGGATGCCTGCAGTAGATGAATCAGGGTAGCCCTGCATAGTGTGATCGTGTCATAGCGCCGTCGGGTACCAGGCCCTAAGAAAATTCCTCAAAACACGCCATTACAGCCCCCAGCAAGCCAATCACTCTTATAACCACGCCACTCCACCTGCCGTGATTTGTCTCACTTCATTATGCTTCAACCTCCACTCAGATCTTTCACGAGGATCTCATCCACACCATGGCTAAGATCCCTCACTGGCGTCTGATTGTCGACCAGAGTGTCGTCACTCAGGAGATCATCGACTATCCCTATGCCGGCTCAGGGACCGAATCCGATCCATTCATCGTAGAATGGATTCCCAATGACCCGCGTAATCCCATGCATTTTAACAAGAACATGAAATGGGTCTACACCATCATTGCCGCGTTCGCGACCTTTGGTGTTTCCATGGCCTCGTCGGCCTATGCAGGCAGTATCGACCAAGTGATTGAGCACTTTAACATCGGCACGGAGGTAGCCACCCTGGGTGTTTCACTGTTCGTGCTTGGATTTGCTATTGGACCCCTCGTCTGGGCACCGCTGAGTGAACTCATTGGACGCCAACTCGTTTTCTTCGTCTCCTACATGGGCCTGGCTGTATTCAGTGCTGGTGCAACAGGCTCGAAAAACCCATGGACAATCATCATTCTACGGTTCTTTGCTGGCTCATTCGGATCCAGTCCTTTAACCAACGCCGGTGGGCTAATTGCTGACGTCTTCCCCGCTGAACAGCGAGGATTGGCCATGAGTGTCTTCGCGGGTAGTCCCTTCCTCGGACCGACCCTTGGCCCCGTCATCGGCGGTTTCCTGGGCCAAAGCGCAGGTTGGCAATGGGTGGAAGGCTTCTTAGCAGCCTTTACTGGCTTTATCTGGATCGTTCAGTTTCTCCTTGTTCCCGAAACATACGCCCCAGTCCTCCTCCGCAAGCGCGCCGACCGTCTCAGCAAGCTCACCGGCAAGACATATATCAGCAAACTCGACGTGGAGCGTGGCCGTGTCTCCGTGACCAGCGCCTTCGGAGCGGCACTCCTGCGCCCATGGATCCTCCTTTTCGCCGAGCCCATCGTCTTCCTTCTCTCGCTATACATGGCCATCGTCTACGGCACGCTGTACATGCTCTTCGACGCCTTCCCGATCGTTTACCAACAACTGCGCGGCTGGAACGAAGGAGTAGGCAGTCTGCCCTTCTTGGGAGTCATGGTTGGAATGATGTCAGCTGTGGGATACAATATGTGGGACAACAAGCGGTATAAGAGGGTGCACGAGAAACACCGTGGGTTCGCACCGCCTGAGGCCCGCCTCCCTCCCTCTATGATTGGGAGTATCACTATTCCGATTGGTCTGTTCTGGTTCGCCTGGACGAACGGTCTCAACGTCCACTGGATCGTCAGTATCATTGCGTCTGCTCCGTTCGGATTCGGTATGGTCCTTGTTTTCTTGAACATCATGTCATACCTGATTGATGCGTACACGATCTATGCTGCCTCGGTTTTGGCCGCCAATTCCATCATTCGAAGCTGCTTCGGTGCAGGCTTCCCTCTCTTCACAACATACATGTACCAGAATCTAGGTATTCATTGGGCATCTTCCATCCCGGCTTTCTTATCGGTCGCCTGCTTGCCTTTCCCGTTCATCTTCTATAAGTATGGTGCCGCTATTCGACGCAAGTGCAAGTATGCTGGGGAAGCGGACGCATTCATGAAGAAACTCGCTGAGAAGTCTTTGAACCCGGAGAAGAGCCAGGAGGTTGTGGAGGAAGAGGCTGAAGCCGTTGCCGATGGCGTGGATGAGACCCGAGTCGATCGAGAGTTGGACCTTGAGCGCGCCGAGTCGGTGGCTACGGCATCGGTGTCCAGTGATGACCGTGAAGGTCGGAAGTATGAGGCGAACCCGTACGATATCGATCGGGTCAACACGAGAAACTCGGCGATCACGCAGAGATCGAGGTCGCGGTCGGTCAAGTCGAAGCGGAAGAAGTTCCTCGGTTTCTAAAGGGGTCAGGTGATTGCTGCAGTGCGGGTGAAGAGTGTTGAGTCTATCTTAATTGAGTGGAGAAGGGAATATTTACTTTAGAGATACCAATTTGTTTATTTAATTGTGATAGTTTGCCATTCTTTATAACTATGAATGATGATAAGATAACTAATCGAGTATTTCATACTGACCCTGAGCCAAATCCAGTCCTCAGCCAATATCATATTCAAAAGCCCATGCAAAATATAGTCCATTCTAGTCATTACATTCATACTAACTCATCCCTCGTATGCCGTCTAAAAGTCAGCAGGCTCAGGAAGTTTATCGGGGGTATCATCCCGATAGGTAGTGGTGATCAAGCCCCCGAAACTTGGCGACCAGGCGACTCTCGGCGTTAACACGGGCAAGTCCCACAGTTCTGAAAGATACTTCAAGATCGAAGTATGGGTGAAATCGTTTGGCTGATTTGTGGGACGGTTTTGTACGACACCCTTGCCAACCCAGGGAGACATCAGCAGCGTAGGGACGCGGATTCCCAGCCGGTCGAACTTGAACTCAATCTTGCTTCCGTCCAGAGCCCACTCTTTATGAGTGCGATGGTCACCTGGGGGCACGTTCTCGGGAGGGGAAACGTGGTCTGCAAAACCGCCGTGCTCATCAAAGGTCAAGATGAAGAGGGTCTCGTTCCACTGCGGCGAGGACCGAAGCGCCTCGTAAATACTCTTGATGAACCCTTCACCCATGTTGATGGGTGACGGAGGATGGAATGACATGTACTTGCAGCATTCGGGGTTGATCCAGGTGAATTGGGGAAGGGTGCCTGCCTTGGCGTCGCGGTAGAACTCGTCGATGGGCTTTATATGTGTCTCAGACTTGCCGGTCCTGAGAGTCCACTTGTAGAAGAGGGCATCCGGAAGGAATCCAGTGGTATTAGAGTAATTGATCCAGCTGATGTTAGCGTTCGACAGCTGCTCAAAAATAGACACCTGAGGCAGAGCCGAGGTCAAGAAGCCGATGTCGTTCATTCCATGGCCATAGCTAGTTCCAGACGTTAAGTAGGCGCGGTTGGGGTTGGTCGGACCTGGAACTGCAGCAAACCAGGCATCAAAGAGCACGAAGTTCTCAGCCATAGCATTGAGGACAGGGACATGGTCCGGGGTGTAGTAGTTGATGACTTCGGCAGCGCGGGAGAGATCGCGGTCGATGCCGTACGAGCGGACCTGTTCGGTCACAAATCCTTGCATAGAAGCAGCACTCATATTATCGGGATGGTAGGTGCTATAGACCTGCATGGAACCCCCCGCGATGGAATGGTCGGGATCATCGGGGGCAACATTCTTGGCGGTGGGTTTGGCACAGACTTGGTGCGATTTATGGTCTTCTATGTCAGAAGGGTTGCAATATTTTCTGTTCACGAGGCCGTCAATTGTAGAGTTGTAGGTCAGGCCTCCCGCGTAGGTGTCAAACGAGAGATTCTCTTGGACCAGAACGACCACGTTTTTGATAGGAGCGTGTGGAGCCGACGGCTTCCCGGAGGAGCCATGAGGGAGGCCAGAGATTCCTATGCCCAGAAAGAGAAGGGCCAGGACCAGCAGGACACTCATAATCAGGAGAATGGCGGTGATGAAGATTGACTTGGCCCAGGTTGACACCCATCGTGATGCTGCCTGTCGGGACCTACCCTTTATGTCATCGTCCACTTCATACTGTACGACCTCACCATCGGGACCCAGAAGGGGACGACGCTCCTCGGGAGGCGGCGTCCCACATGCGTGTTGGAACGATTTGACATCCATGGTGACGGTACAGGGGACGAAGTTGCACGATCGTACCACTGTGGCGGAGGGATGGAGGGACAACCTCGAGGCTTGCAGATGAAGAAGGGGAACCTTGAAAAGGTCGGGGGATATCCAGGCGGGGCCCAGCAGGGCCGATTGGCGGCCACCAATCTCTCGATCTCATGCCGGCAGCAACGCGAGCCATTGGTTGTTGCGGAGCGTAACACGGTCCAGTCCCGCAACACTAGCCATTCTAGGAGGACCCGCGCGCTTCTCGGCAAGCCGGAGAGCATGTGCGGGGTTGGACTTGTGACCATAGCTGAATAGTCTCGAGTGAGATCACACCCTCCATTCTTCAGGCTGATGGTATTGACTCCCCATATTCTCGTGGGATCACGCGATACGACAGAGACATCCTCGAAGTACCACTGAAACTTCCGCTCTTCCGGAGAGTCCTGCATCTCATAGTCAGGCACATCCAGCCACACCGCCTGGATGTGCCCCAGCTACGGACCACCTTCCCATTGATACAGCTGGCATCGTAGGATTCACGCTCTGGAGTATATACTGCCAGCTACCCTTCAGGTTACATCAGGTATATCCCGGTCCCAGACGGTTGGTCTAATCACGGCTGCTGATCCATTGTCCGACCGAGCAGTATTCGAACAACAACGTCGTCCGGATGACGCCGACAGAAACGGGCCCCCTCACGACTATATGCTGACAACTTGCAACATTGAATGGAACATCATTCCCCAAACCGTCGTCCGAATAGTGCCCTCTGTGGTACTAGGAATGCATCCAGTATGGTGTTGCTGGCATGCATCCATATTGGGGTGAGTCTTGGGTTCAGGCTGTGGGAACAGTTTTTCCAAGAGAAATCACATGCGTCCATCATGAGACACAACTGTCTGAAGGAATGCAATTCTCGTGTCACACTTCCTTCTGCTTGAAGGCCTATCGTGCTTGAGTGGATAAGCCTGGCTGCTGCGGTAGCATGGTCTCAGTTCAACAGAGTTCATGAACTAAAGCAGGTACCTAACCTGGTGGGTAGCGATATGCTGATTTCCCAGACACCAGCGCACTTGCTGGCCATATTATTCCGTGCGGACAATGAACATCTCAGTTCCCAAGTCGGAGACATTGTTTGCCTGGTCTTAGGATGAAGTTCTTGCTCTGTTGCTATAGGAGCGAAGGGATCGTACAAGACCGTACAGGCTGCATCTGGAGGAAGCCCGGAGAGCTATTTCCTCCTGCCCCGACAAGTACGTGATATATTGGAAGAGATCTGAAAAGACAGACTCGTAGAAAAATATTTCTGGTCGAGGCACACCGCACGTGACTGATGTATGTCATTGGATGGCCTCATTTCCGTTTCCGGCGAATTCAGGCCACTCGCGCATTCGGCCCTTCCAAGATGTAGATTATTTGACAGGGTCACAATATTCTAACGACTATGCTTGTAATTCTGTGGTTAGAGAAGCTCTTTGCCAGTCAATGTTAGGGTAGTCTGTATATATTGAAACGACGCTGATGTTGGACTGCAAGGGAGCCCCAGAGTTTGTTGCACCCTCGGGGTAGCGATTGGCCAACGTCGTAGAAGGTGAAGAGGCTACAACTTAGCGCTGAGTTGGACCTACACCCCATGATCGCTGCCTCCCGGTAACTGATACGAATTATCGAACAGATCTTTTAAATCAATGCCAAGCAACTGCAAGTCCCCGAAATAGTAAGTCGGATCGTCGATATAAGGTAGAAAAAGCGTTTCACTCCGATCAAGAGAAGCCGGGCTCCAAGGTTGCATGACCCCCGGAGCATTCGTGGCGACAGGTTCCGGCTCCTGCGGGAGCACCGCTGGCACAGCCAGCTCGGTCTGGTCCGCAGTCAGGGTACTGGTCCTGGGTTCTGGCGCGGACGGAGAGGGTTCTGCGCGGTCCTGAGACACAAATGGAATGCTATTCTCATTGTTGTCTCTGGATATGGACTTGGGTTTGCGGGTCTCCGAAACGTATTGACGAGCAAGATGGGCAAACTCGGCAATGAGAGAACCCGGAAGGGCACCGTTGCTGGCATATTCCAACCTACTAAAGTGTCCACCGGCGATGTCAAGGAGAGCGAGGCTGAGGCCAGTTTCTGGGTGGTTGGCGTTGTGGACCACCAGGTCGAATAAGATCATCAGAGACGATAGTGGCAGGACCGCGAGTATCCTAATGCACAGCAAGACCGCGTAGGTCGTTACTTAGTTGTTGTTATCAAGGCCGGGAATATAGTATAGAGGCTTACCAGACTGGTGTGGAAGGCGCTACCTCGATGTGCACGGTGAGTTCGAGGACACTTCGAGCAGTCCGCATCAGGTCTCGCTTCATAATCTCTTGCTGTGAAGACCCCAAACGGACGGCTCCGTAATGCAGAACAGTCCACGACAGTGTAAGAAGAGCGTTGAGGTAGAGGAAGTGGGTAATCAAAGCGACTTGGACTGCCAGGGGCTCTTGCAAAGAACGAGTTTTGAATTTTTCGCCTGGCCGGAACCGCGGCGGAATGTTCGCGCGCCAGGCTTCCAATTCTATACGTAGGCTCTCAACTACAGAATTGTAGGTAGATAACGGTTGACTAACAGAGCTGATTGTGAAAAGAGATTGGTGGATCTTGGAGACCAGACGAGCATATTTGACGAAGTTGAAGAACCAGTCATAGTCATGAAAAGTGGACTCTGTCATATCCGGGATAGCACAGCTTATGTTGGCGTCGTCCACTACCTAAACCATTGAACCCTGATTTAGAAGAAGACGTTGGTGAGTATGGTCATACACAACTCACCGAAGTTTTACCAGTCGCAAAGCAGGACGTCTTCTCCATGTAATAGAGCACCCAGAACGTGCGACGGCATGGTCCTTCCTGTGCACTATTCGAACGATGATATCCCAAACCTTGTGCCATAACGGCGGCCTCAGTCAGCATTAAGGGTTCGAAATTGAACGCGGAGACTGTCGATGAGAATACAGCCTGAATGATGTCAGTTTTGAATGAGTGTGTTCGATGACAGGCTAGATACCATGGCGAGAAGTGCCTAGCGTAATGAAACAGCGTTAGTTATATATTGTGAGGGGAATGGGTGAAACACACTTGAACTGCAGTCAATGAGCCTCTACCAAAGAGGAGATCCTGGAAACAGGACAACGACCGTTCGAAATATGACCACGCTTCCCCTACACCAGTATCATAGCTTCCTCCCTCGTTGTTTTGGCACCCGATCGCCAATATTGCATAGAATAGTGCTGCCCAAACTTTATCTGTACCTAGTGATTGGACCAGTTCCTGCGACGTTGCTCGCGCACGGAAAGTATTTGGACAAAGAAATGGATAGATCGGATGTACCGTGTCAAAGTACGCTGCAAGAGGGTTATACTTGTCAGCAAGAGAATAGGGGCGGGCAGTCAAGGCGCAGGTACCAGAAATATGTCCATAAATAATGTCACGACTGGGGACTTCTTCAATCTTTCCCGTGCCCAGATGTCGTTGTATATATGACTGAGGGATTGCACAGGTATTCTTGACCTTTGTTGCAACCACTGCGCGTATTTCATCTAGTAACTGATCGAGCCGATTGTGACCCAACCGCTGACTGATGGCGCGAACCCGTCGCTCAGGGAAGAAGGAGATGTTGGGATTCGGGCCAAAGATAGTGGTCAGCTGCGTGGTCATCGTAAGTTACGAGCACGCTTAGCATCCAAGGAGAGCCAAACGATACCTGATCTGGATGACTGGCACCCCCATGTATGCGTGAGGCTTGGCGATTTGCAAGTAAAGAGTCGATATACAGTCCCGGCTGCTGATAGCCCACATTTTCGGAGCCTAGCTGTGGGCCAGGAAAGTCACGAACGGACTGTTGGTATGTCGGGGACAGTGGTATGAATACTGGCGTGGTAGATCAGCTTCCGTCTCAGTCCGAAGTTAGAGTTCTGTTAGTACCTGATGTGTCATACTTGCGCTTCCTTGGTCGCTTGACTGGAGTAAAGGAGCAGGGACGGTGCTGGGACTATAACAATTAGCATTCCGAAAGACGAGACATGAAGGCCTGATATACCAGGCAGAAGTCGCAGGCATCCGTGCTGCCCGAGATTTCTGGCGTGAAAACGAGATTAGTCAGACGCGGAGACTGGCTTCTCTTCCGACCGACTGGAATCTTGACTCACTACATCGCGTTTTCCTGGCTCTGCACGTATCGCATGCCTTATGCAGGGGCTCGGAGCCTTGTGTGACTGCCGACATGATCTCTTTACTTGGTGGTTGCGGATGTTCCGTGAAGAAAAGAGCTGGGAAGGGGATGAAATTGGAGCTTGAGGAAAAGCCCAGGAGTCATTCGCCGCCGAGAGCTCCGATTTGAATGCTGGATGGACGCCGATGCCCTCCGATTCCCCACTAATTTCGGCGCCGAACTAACAATAGCTGTCATGTCGCTTCTTCAGCGCCCACGAAGCATCGCAAATACAGGATCTAAAAGGGAATGTCTCTCATATTACATCATGGCGAGCGAAAATGTCTTTGAAAAGGGGCTTGCTCGCTCTCGAGCTATCTGTTCTACGCCGACATGCAAAACATATATAACGAAAGAGATGTCGTATCATATCGCGGTTAATCTTTGTTGATTGAATTTACCGTCGCTTTTGAATTATACAGTTCCAATTCTTATACGTTCCTCACTGGTGATTCCGTCACTGCTAGAGTGCCTAACATATGCCCCCCACGAGTCTTTGCTCAACTCGGCTTGCATACTACCTCTCCATCGATCAGCCTTCAAGCGACAGAAAGGATCCCTGAAAATATATACCAAAGATCGATAAGAAGGAAGACGCCAGTATGACTGCGCCAGACAATTCCGGTACCAAACCGGATATACTCAATGCAGAGGCGTACCAAGGAGACATATCGACTGAGGATCAGCGCAAGATTATGAAACTTGCCAGACGGCTCACAGCAGAATCGACGCGGTCTCGGCATGATGGTATGCCACCCAACCCTTTCACGACAAGCTGTGATCCGAGCTTGGATCCCAATTCTCCGAAGTTCAATGCGAGACACTGGGCAAGAACCGTACTGCACTGGTCCTCGCAAGATCCTGATCGGTTCCCACAGCGTACAGCGGGTGTGTCATTCCGAAGCCTCGGTGTCCATGGTTATGGGCGCTCAACTGCATATCAGAAGGATTTTTTGAATGCTATTATGCAGGTGGGTGATATAGTTAGCGGCTTGATTAACAGCAGGAATCGTAAGCTCCAGATTCTGAAAGATCATGATGGGCTCTTGCGCAGTGGAGAAATGCTCCTCGTTCTAGGGAGGCCTGGCAGGTGAGTCTCCAAATTTCTTGTCTACGTTTCTTTAGGGTAACATGATATGTACTTAGTGGTGTATCAACCCTGCTGAAGACAATTGCTGGTCAGACTAAAGGGCTGTCCTTGGATGACTCGACGGAATTCAACTACCAAGGTAGGGAATCTGGCCAGGGAAGACAAATACCGACAGATAGCTGATACTATACCCCATTTTCACGCATCTATAGGTATTCCATGGGACTTGATGCATCGAAAGTTTCGTGGGGACGTAACGTATCAAGCAGAAACGGACGTCCATTTCCCACATCTGACAGTTGGGCAGACCCTTCAGTATGCGGCCTTGGCAAGAACACCTCACAACCGACTACCTGGAGTTTCTCGCGAGACCTATGCAACTCACCTGCGTGATGTGGTTATGGCTATCTTTGGAATTTCCCATACGGTCAACACCAAGGTTGGCGACGACTTTATCCGCGGCGTCAGTGGCGGAGAGAGAAAGCGTGTCAGCATTGCGGAGTTGGCTCTCACACAAAGTTGTATTCAGTGCTGGGATAACAGTACTCGTGGCTTGGATAGTGCCACGGCTCTCGAATTTGTTCGGACTGTCAGACTTTCTGTCGATGTGGCGGGTACAGCAGCTGTTGTGGCATTATATCAGGCATCGCAACAGGCATATGACGTACGCATTTCTTCCCTTTTCTCTTGTGTCTTCTAACCAACTTACGTTGTTAGGTTTTTGATAAAGTTGCATTGTTATACGAGGGCCGGCAAATATACTTCGGTCCAATTGACCAAGCGAAGTCGTACTTCACAGAGCTGGGGTACGAATGTCCTGAACGGCAAACCACGGCAGACTTTCTCACGTCGCTCACGAATCCTGTCGAGAGAGTAGTCCGGTCGGGGTTCGAGAGCCGTGTTCCCCGGACCCCGGGAGAGTTTGCAAAATGTTGGGAACAGAGTGTCTTGAGAGCTAGGCTTTTAGGAGAAATATCAGACTTTGAAAGAGAGCATCCAATCGGGGGACCTATGTTGCAGAAATTTGAAAACTCCCGGAATGCTGAAAGATCTCCTTTGATGTAAGCTGGTCTGTGTGCACTGAATGAAGATGTTACTGACCCAGTATTCAGGACGAGCAACTCTCCCTACACGATCTCTGTCTTGCAACAGATAGCTTTGTGTATGCGACGGGGCTACCGCAGAATTCTTGGAGATCCTTCCTTTTTCATCGTGACGGTTCTTGGCAATTTCATCCTCTCTCTTATACTTGGCAGTGTCTTCTATCATCTGTCGGACACAAGCGCTAGCTTTACTGATCGATGTATTCTACTGTTTTTTGCTCTGCTTTTTAACGCACTCAACAGTGCTTTAGAGGTGAGTCTTCTGGCCCTTCATAAGCAACATGATGCTGACAGTGCAGATATTGGCACTGTACGCCCAGAGACCGATTGTCGAGAAGCATGCGTCTTACGCCTTTTACCATCCGATGTCGGAAGCTATGGCTTCCATGATATGCGATCTACCATGCAAAATTCTCTCTACGCTGGCCTTCAACTTACCGCTATACTACATGTCGAACCTGCGGCGAGACTCGGGTCATGTGGTAATATATCTACTATTCGCATTCTTGTCGACTTTGACAATGTCCATGATCTTCCGTACCATCGCTCAATTGACCCGTACAGTTGCGCAGGCTCTCACTCCCATTGCGCTGGGTGTTGTTGGGCTAATTGTATACACCGGTTTTGTGCTGCCCACCCGGAACATGCAAGTCTGGCTGCGTTGGCTCAACTACATCAACCCGATCGCGTACTCCTATGAAACCCTTGTGGCGAACGAATTTCATCACCGTGGATTTGTTTGTGCCAGCTTTGTTCCGTCTGGTCCGGGATATGAGAGTATTTCAGATACAGAAAGAACTTGCTCTGTGGCAGGCGCTACTTCTGCCTCGAGCGTGGTCAGTGGAGACGCATATGTAGAGGCAAATTATGGGTACTACTATTCTCATACGTGGAGGTTCGTGACCCCCGATGTCCAAGCAAAGTAGCTCGCTGGCTGACAGAAGGTTAGAAATTTCGGCATTCTTGTTGCTTTCATTTTGTTTTTCATGACTACATATCTCCTCATCGCTGAGTTTGTCAAGTTCAGTTACTCCAAAGGCGAAGTGTTGGTATTCCAGCGCAAGCATAGGGTAGCCCATATTGGCGGCGAACCTGCCAATGACGAAGAGAGCACCGTTGAAAAAGAGACAGCGGCAAGCCATAACTGCGTCGACAGTAATGAAGGGGTCGAAGAGGACCAGTCTCTCAAGTTCCGCTTTGAATCTAACACCTTGCACTGGAGAGATGTTTGTTACGATGTTCCGATCAAGGGTGAAATGCGCCGAATTGCAGACCACATTGATGGCTGGGTAACCCCAGGCACTCTTACTGCGTTGATGGTGAGTGTAATATAGCCTCCGTCAATCTAGCAATACAACTAATTTCTCGGAAAAGGGCGCTTCAGGGGCCGGGAAAACAACACTCCTAGATCTTCTAGCAAGTAGAGTGAAAACAGGCGTTGTTTCCGGCAATATCTGTGTCAACGGAACCCCGCGGGATGCATCTTTTCAGCGCAGGGTAGGCTACGTTCAACAGCAAGATGTCCATCTGGAAACCAGCACTATTCGAGAAGCCCTTCAGTTCAGCGCTCTCCTCCGCCAGCCCGCCTCTACTTCTAGGGCTGAAAAGCTCCAATACGTTGAGGAGGTGATTGATTTGCTTGAGATGAGGTCGTATGCTGATGCTGTCGTTGGTGTTCCTGGAGAGGGTCTCAACGTGGAACAGAGGAAAAGACTGACGATTGGTGTTGAACTTGCTGCAAAGCCTGATTTGCTACTGTTTCTCGATGAGCCAACGTCAGGATTGGACAGCCAGACGGCATGGTCTATATCCTTGCTGCTACGGAAGTTGTCCAACCATGGACAAGCCATATTGTGCACAATACATCAGCCCTCGGCCATTCTCTTCCAGCAATTTGACCGGCTCCTTCTCCTAGCTAAAGGCGGCCGTACCGTCTACTTTGGGCCGATCGGACCTAACTCTAAGACTCTGATCGGCTACTTTGAGCAGCATGGTGCAAGGCCCTGCGCAGATGAGGAGAATCCGGCTGAATGGATGCTGGAGGTCATCGGTGCTGCCCCAGGGAGTAGCTCAGTGCGTGACTGGCCGGTCACATGGAAAGAGAGCCGTGAATTCCAAGAAACGCGAAAAGAGCTTGGACGGCTTGAGCAGTCTGGCTCTCCTAGTCTGAAAGATGAGAGCACCCCAGTCCAGCAATATGCAGCCCCATTCTACATCCAGCTAGGTCTTTGTACAAAGCGGGTTTTCGAACAGTACTGGCGCTCTCCGTCATACATCTATGCTAAGCTGATCCTTTGCTTCGGAGCGGTACGTTCACACAAACGACCTCATTTGTCGACTTCATTTTCTGACACACTGTGTAGGCCCTGTTCATTGGTCTTTCGTTTCTCAACACGAAGGTTACGGTCCTTGGTCTCCAGCATCAGACCTTTGCTATATTCATGCTTCTTGTTATTTTTGCATTTCTTGCCTACCAGACTATGCCTAATTTTATCAAGCAGCGCAGTCTGTACGAAGTCCGTGAACGGCCAGCCAAAACATACGCTTGGTCTGCTTTTATGTTGGCCAACATCGTTGTTGACATCCCCTGGAACTCGCTTGCGGCGGTTCTGATCTTTCTCCCATTCTACTATATCATCGGGATGTATCATAACGCCGAGGAGACACATACTGTGAATGAAAGAAGCGCGCTCATGTTTCTCCTGGTTTGGTCTTTCATGATGCACTGTGGTACGTTCACGATCATGGTGGTTGCGAGCGTGGCAACTGCTGAGGTCGGGGCCACTCTAGCTCTGCTCCTCTTCTCAATGAGCTTGATATTCTGCGGGTAGGTCCAATTCCCTTGAACAGGTAATATTGTCCTCTCCCATCTAATAGTACCGTTACAGCGTCATGGCCAGCCCCGCTAGCCTCCCCGGATTCTGGATCTTCATGTATCGAGTATCCCCGATGACCTATCTCGTTAGCGGTATGCTTTCCGCGGGTCTAGCCAATACTGCAGTCCACTGCTCCGACTTGGAATTGGTTGTTGTTCAGCCTCCAGCCAATGAGACTTGTGCCAATTACCTCGCCGATTACATGGAAATCGCTGGAGGTGCCGTTTACAATCCCCAGGCAACCGCCGATTGTGAATACTGCCAGATGACCAACTCGAATGTGTATCTTGCATCGCTCTCCACATCGTATGCTGAGCGTTGGCGCAACTTCGGGCTTATGTGGGCATACATCGCGTTCAACATTTTTGCCGCATTGTTTCTGTATTGGTTTGTGCGAGTCCGAAGCGGTTCAGCCTCCTCAGTTTTTCGCCGGTTTGCCAAGACATTTTCTCGTTCTTCGCAGAGGACTTGAGTTATCATTTGGGATCGAGAGATCTCCATGATAAGTCAATTTGGGGGTTTATAGTACGTTCATCTTGGTTGATGTGTTTTGTTTTGTTGCCCTCGTGCGTGAGAATATATTCTGTGTCCCCCGTTGTGTTTTCTTCGCTTCCGTCACACGCCCCACAGTTGGGCAGACATTTCACATTTCCTGTCTACTAATTAATTTCTTGTTGTCGCGGATTTGTGATTCGTCAAGCTTTTGTACTGTTAACATTATTTACCGAATTGAGTTAATATCAATAGTAAATCAAGAGCTTCTCTTATTTTCACGAGCAGAAACTCCCCGCTATTTACCTACGGACATCCCGATTGGCGGAGTGATAAACCGCGGCCGAGGATAAGCAACCAGCCACTATCTTTGTGTTGCACTTCCTTCCTCAGCCTAATTTGCATCAAATAACTCTGGCAATTGCTGTACACAACTCTCCTAGCCCCACTACTGTAACATTGGAGTTTGAAATGTCTGTATCCAACGATCCTACTACAAAGCTCTACGATGCGGTGATCGTGGGAGCCGGACTTAGCGGCCTTCAAGCCGCGCATTCCATCCAGGCAGCAGGATTCAGCGTGTGTATCCTGGAAGCTACGGACCGAGTGGGTGGGAAGACGTTGACCGTAAAATCCAGCGAGAAGGGATACAATGATCTAGGAGCGGCTTGGGTGAATGATACGAACCAGACGGAGATTTTCAAACTTCATCAGCAGTATGGACTGGATGGGGTGGTTCAGTATACTTGTGGAGATGATATCCTCGAGTCAGGCGAGGGGGTGATCCGCAAAATACCGTATGGATTGCCATTGGTAGGTGGATTTTGAGCTTGATTGAGCTGCTGGCGGCTGATGACATTTAGACTGGGCTTCCGAAGAAATTGTTGGATATTCTCCGTATTGAGTCCTCACGGTTAGACTTGGACGATCCTACGAGTTTTCCAGGGGCCACAGAAGTGGATAATCTGACGTTCAGGGACTTTTGCGTCGAGAAGACTGGATCGGAGGATGTTATTCACATTACAGATGCTATTTCAACGGCGCTGCTTGGATTGAATAGTAACGAACTCAGTGCTTTGTATATGCTCTGCTACTTCAAAAGTGGGAGTGGGATCGACAATCTGCTGTCAGATGAGAGAGACGGAGCACAGTATCTGCGGACAAGACAAGGTAAAGCAACGATCGTCAAGCCTCTTTAGCATTAATGTGCTAACGGCGCAGGAACCCAAACCATCGCCCGGAAGATGGCAGATGAGCTCAGCCAATCGGACATTTTTCTGGGCATGCCCGTCACTTCAATCAATCAGACTGACGCTGATGCTCACTGCGTGGTCCAGACACTTGACGGAAGTTCTTTTCGCTGTCGACGCGTTATCGTGTCTATCCCTACCACCTTATACCGGAGCGTCTCCTTCCACCCCCCACTTCCACATGCAAAACAGGTATTAAGTGACCATACGATCATGGGATACTACAGTAAAGTGATCTTCATCTTCAAAGAACCATGGTGGCGCGACGCTGGACTTACCGGAATCGTCGACTGTGCGGGTGGCCCCATAACCTTTACACGGGACACGAGTGTACCCACCGATGACCAATGGTCTATCACATGCTTCATGGTGGGCAGTCGCGGACGAGCGTGGTCTAAGCTGTCAAAAGATGATCGATACAGCCAAGTGTGGGAGCAGTTTCGCCGATGTTTTGAAGAGTTCGTGGAAAACATCCCCGAGCCAGTAAATACCCTGGAGATGGAATGGAGTAAAGAGCCTTATTTCCTTGGAGCACCTTGTCCGGCTATGATACCCGGCTTACTGACTACTGCCGGGAGTGATCTAGCTGCACCGCATGGCAAAGTGCATTTTATCGGAACAGAAACGTCCACAGTGTGGCGTGGGTACATGGAGGGGGCTATTAGAGCCGGGCAGCGAGGAGGAGCCGAGGTTGTGACGGCACTGCAGGAAGACTAGTTGTCTTGGCTAGGCACACATATCCCGAAGTGTCTCTGATAAACCTTGGATCCAGCAGCGTTCCGATGAGAACCGGATCTCACAGTGGGTCAGCCACGGAGATGTCCGTGTGCTTTTCTCGGGGAATATTCGTTAGATCTACACCAGTGGGATAAAGTCAGTACCATTAAGCAACAAAGTGACGTTTACACGTGGCTAGCAGCGAAAAATTGTAGCCATGTACCTGAATGAACCGTGGACGGAGGAGTTCGTGAGTGGCTGGCTGCAGAATCCCATTGTCCCCACCAGCTCCTCCGTGATGCCCTAAATTTGGGCCGCTCCCGTGTGCCCCGTTCACCCCCTACCAATCCCGATGCATGATTTGTGGATAGTCGACGATCGACGATCGGTAAACCAGAAAAAAAAAAGCAAACACTCTATAGTTGCATTCGAATTCCAATTTCATCCCTGCCAGGGGGTAGGCCTTCCCCTAGACTCCGCAATTCGGGTTTTGCAGCTAGGCCCACAATCCAGTGCAGCTGAGAAGGAATGCAGGCCCACAGTTTAGACCGTATAGCTGAAGACAATGGATGTGATCGCCGATTTTACCTTTGGTTCATGTGATGGAGAACGTTGGGCAGAAAAAACCTTCCAATTCAACAACATAAGTATGATCGACGTGCCCTGTGTAATAATGTCAAGCATCTGCCCATCATTATCTCTACAATGCGCCTCCTCAAATCTCTACTCGTGGCTGCATCTGCCATAACCAGCTGCAATGCTCTCCCGGGGGCTCTTCACAAAAGAGGTACCAATGCCCATTCCATACAACTTCCATTCCTCAGCCCCACTGACCAATACTCCCAGACATCACCACCCAACAGCTCGACACCTTCACCTTCTGGGTGCAATATGCGGCAGCCTCCTACTGCGAACCCAACTATGCCGGCAAGGCAGGCCACAAAATAACCTGCTGGGCACAGAACTGCCCTGCAGTCGAAGCCTCCGACGCAACCATCATCACGGACTTCTCCAAGTACGCCCCTCCCCTCCCCTCCCATCAAGACAACCCTAACCAACCCCGCAGCACCACCCCCACCGACACATCAGGCTACCTAGCAGTCGACCACACGCACCGCGCCATCATCCTCGCCTTCCGCGGCAGCTACTCCATCCGCAGCTGGCTGGCGGACTTCACCTTCGTCTACACCGACCCGAACCTCTGTAGTGGGTGTGAAGCCGAACTCGGCTTCTGGAGTTCGTGGACAAACGTCCGCAAAACCATCACGCCGACACTGAACAACACCGTATCCCAATACCCGGACTATGAACTCGTTATTGTCGGCCACTCACTCGGCGCCGCCATCGCGACCCTCGCAGCAGCAGATATTCGCGAGACCGACGGGCTCAACGCAACGTTATACGCATACGCATCGCCCCGCGTAGCGAACCCCAAGCTGGCTGAGTTTATTACGAATCAGAATAAGGGGGCGAATTATCGATTTGCGCATACAGATGATCCGGTGCCCAGGGTACCGTTGGAGGTCATGGGGTATAAGCATATTAGTCCTGAGTATTGGATTAGCTCGGGGAATAACCAGAGTGTGAGTACGCAGGACGTGGTGGTGTTTCAGGATGGCGATGATAAGAGGGGGGATGTTGGGTTTCCGAATTTGTTGGACTTCGAGGCCCATCTTTGGTATTTTGAAGCCTGGGAGGTCGATGCGTGTAAGGGGGAGGGGTTGCCTTGGAAAAGGTCCAATTAATAAATGGTTGAGAGGTGAGGATTTGTGGAGTGGTGGTGGTGTTTAGGGGTTGTATGAAGTTGGATTTAAGGTGACGTATATACTTAATAGTGTGGATATAGTTTTCGATATGTAATTATTTAATGATAGTGAATATTTGTCAGGATAAAGTTCGAGATCTGCTTCAATGGGAGGTGTCACATTTGCGATGTTGCTCGTGCATTCGTCAGGTTAGCTACAATTTGTTAATAGGAGTGAAATTGAGGCTTTAGAGATATGCGATCGGCGTTTGGGATGTCCCCAACCCAGATGAGCGGGTTGTATGTACAACAATCACTCATAAGCAAGTAGTCACATTTGCACGATCGTAAATGTCCACCAGGAATTACACTTGGACTATATATCAAGTCCGACAGTGAGCGCAAAGCATAAGGACCCTGCTTATAGTCCATATAGGTATGCTCATATACAGAACATACCCACGCTACGACTCCTCGGGTGAGGAGTTGCCGGGTTCAATGTTAAAATTGACTTCGGATGGGAGGATTGCATTTTACTGTGGTTTTGGACATCGATTATGATTCTGGACGTGCATTGGAGGATAATATTTAAGTTTATGACGGATAGAATGGCGAGATAGGGCTGCTTCTGACCAGCTGGCAGAGAAATGAAAACTATGGTCAATGGGTTACTATTTTGCATAGACGTCAAGAATTGACATAACTGAACATGCTCAATTACACTTAATAGTAGTGTTCTACACAAGTATGTATACGACCATACACATATCTGCTTAAGGCCTCCTACCGAAACTCCGTTGTAACCCTCTCGCACCACTCCACAAACCTCCCCATCTCCCCCGATCCTCCCTCCCTCATCGCCCCCAGCAAATCCTCCCTCGGACCAGGATGCCACCTCCCAAATGGAATCACATACCTGCCCCCATCATCCACGGTAATCCCTTCCTCAAACCCCGCCCAAAGGAGGGTACTTACACCAACCTCCGGAGTATAGAATACCGGTTTACTAACCCACACACTCAATCTCGGCGCATTATCATAAATGGGGGTATCAATGTTCCCCGGATTCTGAGTAATGCTGACTACACCATTTGACGCAAAGGTAGAGGCAAAATGCGCCGCCAGAAACCAGTTACCGGTTTTGCTGATGGCATAGTTGGTGTTAGGGTCTGATTTTGGATCCGGGGAAGAAGTGAGGGCCGAGGACGGAACACCGCCCGTCGGAGCGAGGAACTCGACAACCATGCTGGAGGTGAAGATGACACGGACGGAGTTGGGTGGTGTAGATGGGCTTTGGGCCGTGGAAGTCAAAATAGGAGAGAGGAGGGAGGTCAGGAGGTAGGGAGCTGCGCAGTTGATGCCGATGTGGGGTTCGTAGCCTTGGGCTGTGACCTGGGTTGGGGGGAGACATGCCACGGCGGCGTTGTTGAGGAGGAGGTCTAGTCTGTTTGAGCGGGCGAGGAATGCATTTACGAAGATAGGGATAGTGCGAAGGTCGGCGAGGTCAATGGGAAGGTAGATGAGTTCGCCTGGCTGAGTTGTGGGATTGGGGGAAGTGGTGGCGGTGATGGTGTTTATGACATTGTGGGCCTTGGTTTCGTTGCGGGCGGCGATGTAAACGGTTGCTCCAGCATGGTAGAGGATGCGAGCCAATTCTAGCCCCAGACCGGAGGTGGCACCGGTGATGATCACGACGCGGCCAGTTTGGGGAGGCAGACTGTCTGCCGTGAGGGTGGGTTTGGCAGGGAATAGTTGAGGCCAGATGCGTTTGAATATCTGCATGGTGGTGGCACAGTGGGAGGTGATAATTGGGAGAAAATATTCCTTTTTCGAAAGAACGAAGCGGGATAGTCAGGCTTTTAAACATCTATTTAAAGCTAGCAGGGCCTACTAAATGCTCGGTTGCGCTGCGGTGGAGATGGCGTGGCATATACTGGTCTAGTCGATGTCGCTAACCGTTAAGCTACATGAACGGCGTGGGTGCTAAAACGCAAGGCTGCGACAAGGACCGTGCACATTAATAAGTTCTTAATCAAATTGAGCGGAAGGCAACTAGTGCTTGACATGGCGGCATGCAGCTTGGTGCATAAACCGAATACTTGCATGGAAATTTTAAGTGAGGTTATGGCTATTAAAGAGCAGTAGATACATTCATTTTCGTCATCAGATTGCGTTAAGTAGGAAGGAAAACTTGGACATTACTCCTTGGCCTTCTGCGCTGCTTCGTAACTTTGCATCAAGCACCAATATCCCGGGATATGGTCGCGCCAGATAGCTCCAAAACCCTCAATGTCGCGCCGCCAATCGCGGTGAAGTTCCCCTGCAACCGCCGCCCAATTCAGCAGCTGGCAGCCTGCTGCCGCCATGCGCTTGTGTGCTGCCTCGCGCGTATGCTCTGCAAATGTGCCCGAGGCGTCGGTCACTACGAACACCTCGTAGCCTTGCTCTATGAGGCTTAGAGCGGGGAAGGCCACGCAGATCTCAGTCAAGACACCACTGTTGTGGTTAGCGATTGCGTAAAGGTTGAAGGTACGTATAGGTATGTGGGTGGAGGTGGGTCAATGTAATAAGTAGTGGACTCACCTGATCACAATCTGCTTGCGACCAGTCTTCTTGACTTCATTAGCAAAGTCCTCATTATCCATTGCATTGATCTGTCCCGGGCGGCGGATCAGGGGTGCATCCGGGAGGTAGTCGGTGATTTCCTTTACGATGGGTCCATTGGGACCAGTATCGAAAGAGGTGGTCAACACCGCTGGAGACTTATAATACTGGGCAACTTTGGCAAGAGCCATTACGTTTTTCTGGAACTCGTGCTGTTGGAAGTCACGGACGAGCTGGATGAGTCCGGCCTGGAAGACGTTCAGAATTGTTACAATGAGACCTAGAGGGAGAAATTACCTGGTGGTCCACAAAGAGGAAGATGCATTTGTCAATGTCGAGGCGGTTGTACTTGGGCGGCATGTTTGCTGTCAATTGGATTTCCTAAACCACAAACAGAAGAACAGAGGAAGCTGAAGTAATTCTGATGGTGGCTAGAACAATAGCGCAACATCTTGCGACGGACAATCTCGGCCTATAAATGTTGAACGCGAGAGCTAGTGGGAAAGGTAAACGCCTCTCCGACGTCACCACCCATCATCGATATCCTGTGTAACATACAGACTTTGTCTAGAAGAAGCATGGACCAAATTCCAGATCGGTGTTTCCGATTAGCTCATCATTTCTCAGCATTAGAAGTCCGGGGAGAAAGACAACCCCAGATGGAGCTGAGCTTGGCACGACCATGATCAGGCTAATCAGAGGAAGCTGTCGGTTCCTGCCGACTAGGTAATACACTAAGATTGAAGCTTTTAACTTTGTCAAATTTTTTTGTTGGAGATCGGAAACTGATCGAGATCGCTCAGCCCGACTCGGGGGAGGCGGCGCATCGTTCGGCAACTGCAGATCGACCAGGAATATTGGGGCAGCTGATCGCCACCCACTTCGTCTTATCCAACCTGCTCTGAGGCTGAAGCATCCAGTGCGGGCTTATTCAGAGTTACGAGATCGGGAAGGCTGTGGGCGGGTGGGCGAACCATGGATCTTTGTTAACCCCAGGCTGGTGATGTAATTGACCAAGCTAATTTCTTCCAATATATTCACAGCAGCAGGAACACCGTGGATGGAGTCTACTAGCTCATGAAGTATGAGATCTTCAATTGAGAATGGCAGGCCTACTATTTCGTCCCCAGAATGACATTGATCCCAGCGTCAACGTCCAACAGCTATCTTGCAAGCCACATGTGCAGCCGTTCGTCGGCCGCATTGGAGGCAATCAAGGCATTGTCCTCGATCGCGCCGATCCAGATAATGCTGAATATTTGCGTAAAGTGCCAGATGCTGCTCCATTGATGAGTGCGCGAGATGCCTTTAATGTGCGCGGGTTCACCGATCTCGATCTGTGGCGTTTCGCGGTGGTGGAATGCGTTGGTAACACCCTCCCGGGTAGACATCCAAACTATGGGAGATGATAATAATTGTTCGTGATGAACTCAGGAACCATGATGCTAGCATTCATTACTGCCTGGGCGGCAGCTACTCCTGCGAATATGGCTCCCCCGACTCCCTCCACACCAGCAGGGATTTTCGCTACAACAGCCTTCCTGGGTCCCCTTGTCGGCGCCGTTACCAATTGGTTGCTCCTTACCCTCTTCATATTTTCCTTCTCGTCTGTCAGTGGTAGTCATCTTAACCCTACCATAACGCTAGCAACCTTTTTTGCGCGCCTTATTTCCTTGCCACGTATGGTTCTCTACCTCTGCGGGCAAATCCTCGGCGGTGCCCTGGCTGGGTGGATGTTACAGTCGGCGTTCGGATCCGGGCAATATTCTGTCGGTGGATGCGTTGTTGATACTGCCCTAGTTCCAGTCCGAGAAGCATTCGTGCTGGAGTTCATCTGCAGCTTGACATTGATCTTCCTGTCGTTTGGTGTTGGGTTAGACCCTAGACAGGTTAGAGTGTATGGGGCTGCGTTGTCCCCATGGTTAGTAGGAATGGTTTTGGGGGCCGTGAGTTTGGGATCGGCGTATACGCGAGAGGGATATGGAGGTGCATGTGTGCTTTTCTTCTACACACTCACTTCTAAGTGCAGTGTGCGGTCAGAGTGTCCTGAAGCTAATTCTCGTTTTCAGCGCTGAATCCGGCGAGGTGCTTCGGCGTATATGTGGGGTCATCTTTTCCGGGATACCATTGGATTCACTGGGTGAGTGATGTTAAGACGAAGTTGCCGTTTTACAAGTATATTGAGTACTCATGCAGGTTGCACCTATTGCTGCTGCCATCGGACACGGACTGGTCTACTATCTGGTGCCGCCATGGAAGGCATGATAAGACATCAGTTTACTGCTGACGCTACGAAAGCGCTACTCATCTGCAGTGAGTCCGTACATCACCTAAAGGTTGGAGCCCGGCTCGCTGACTTGAGCTTGCCAGAAAAATCCTTCCGATAGTGCTAGCACTTGGATTAAGTGCTTCCACGCACCCTTTGATGGGCGGCAAGTATGTCGCCAAATAAGCTAACTAGCTCCATCTGAGCAGGTAGCCAACACTGCGTACATCATGGATCGTCAGTCATCCAGCATTGACATTCCTGAATCTTCTGCTCGTTAAGTTGATGGTTGTTGTGAGTTATGCAACGATCTGATACAATACTAGCTGGCTTGCAAAACTTGTTCATTCAGTGTCCGGGAAATCCTTTCCGCCAGTCCTAAAACAATTGATAGGCTCGATGAATATGGCCTCCTCTACCCACACTAGTACTCTGAAAGGTAGTTGGCGCATCCATGACTCACTGGCTGCTTGTAGATGGACATATCCTATTAACGATCTGTGCGCGATCCGCGAATGGAGGACCCGACTATTCATCATGACGAGGAAACGATGTGCAAGAAGTAGAGGCAGCTTTCCTGCTTAAAGTCCTTGGATACGCTGAAGCAGGGGACGGCCGTATCAATAGTTGTCCCAGGAAAAAAGGAACACCGGCGAATGAGATACACCTGCAGTAAGAGTCTGATATGCGGAAACAAGCAAAGCAACTAGAAACCCACCAGCAGCGATCAAGTTGATATAGCCTGCGTAAAGTTAATCGTCAAAGCATCCAGTCACAGAGCCAGTATCAAGAAGAATCGAATTCCCCGAACACAACTGCACCAGTGTAGAATGGCAGACCTATCTTGATACTATGTAGCAACCGGTTCTGCCACCCCTGCCCAAAGGCGGTCAAAAAACGAACAGAATGCTGACTGGTTTTTTCGGAGGTGTACAAAAATGTATCCGTCTATATCCGTCCATATCCGTACTTTTTCTTGCGAGGTCGAGGGAGTTCTGCCGCTTTTGGCGGTCGACAGAGCGGTCGGGTTGGGCAGTAAATACACCATCGGAGGTTTTATTGGGGAAGATACACCAAGTACTAGTCCTCCGTACTAGCGATGCGGATCAACGGAGTGGGATGATCGACCCCGAAACAAGCGCCCACCAGCGAGACGGTAGGAATAAGGCACGAATGCCAATGGCTACATCTAGGCACAACATGAATAGCTGCTAGTTTATTGGCATCCTGGGTACCGCATAAGCGACTCGCTCATCCATCACATGCCCGGTAGTTACTCCGGCCATCTCCGTCGAGCTCATCGTCCGCCTATCATCATAGCACTCCCTCAAACTCCCTACTCTTCTAGGCGCAGGGCACAATTCTTAAAAAAACATAACGCTACTTCAAGTGCTTGTACCCATTGCTGTTACAGCGTTACTGGCGAGATCAGGTTTATATACTTAACTAGAGGATCCTCCTGGACGGATAGCTAATGAAGCTCAGGCAATTCATGAGTTGATGAGGCGCAGGTGAGTATATAGTCCTCTCGTAATTGAAACTAAAACAATCTTGACTGAACACCTTCAGGTATCCAGCCCGTAAATCCATAAAGCCGACCATAGATGGCAATCAAAGAGAGGCCTTCACGTTTGCAGTTTCGGCTGTAGGGGAGTGCCGATAAGCCGGTGGAAGAAATCCTTCCAAGGCCGCTTTGATCTGGAGCGCGAGGGTACGCGAGTACCACCGGTGCTGCTGCGTGTAACCTCCCATGATCCAGATGTTCTCAATATTCAAATGTCGCTTCCACATGCCACGAATTTCTCCCTCCTCATCAAGTCCCCAGGTCGCATCCAAGCGCGAGGCAATGTCTCGAGGTCCGAGAATTTGTTTTGCGCTTCTGTGAGATTCAACTTCATCCACTGACTCAATCCTACTTGCATCTCCACCAAGGATCTCGGTGGCCGTTGTTACAACGTTGGAATCGGAGAAACCAGTACACCAGACGATAGCATCTGCATCCACACAACTGCCATCCGAGAACCGAAGACCTGTCCGTGTGTAGGCAACGGGCTCTACACCCGCTTTTACATTGACCTTCCTCTCCTCGATCAACTTCGTACCACCGACATCGACATAATGTCCACCCGCACGCTCGAGGAGGTTATGCATTAATGCACAATCTGGGTTCCGGCTGTCAAGGACAGGGAAGCCAGCTGCCTCAAGTGCAGCATATCGCCCTGGCTCGTTCGAGGCGAACATTGCGAACACCCCACGGGCCAACTGTCCGTCCACCACTGTTGGCAGTGATAGGAACAGCTTATCAGCCGCATCAACACCATAATTATACGCACCCAGACTGTTTTTATCGCAGACATACTCGAGTGGCACAATGTAAGTTGGGGATCTAACGACCATGGTCGCATCGAGGCCGGCCTTGTGGCAGTCGACCAGCACATCAAATGCTGTGTTTGCAGAGCCAATGACCATGACAGACTTGTTCAGTTAGTACCGCACGGGGTTTCTTGGAGATTTTGATATAGGACGTACCTTTGCTCCTTGTTCCCGAAGTAGCTTGGCATTCTTGTACTCGGCCGAGTGAACGCTGATGCCCTTGTACAGTTGAGACTCTGCGATCTGTGGCATGTTAGGCTTTTGAGACCCAATGCCTGTTGCTATAACAAGATGCTTTGACGTAGCCTTGCGCTGGCCGTCTGGTGACTGGAAAGTAACATGCCACTGCTTGGCCACGTCATCATACTCTGTCGACAGAACCTTGGCGGAATGGATAGTATTCAGGTTGAATGACTCAACATATCGGCGGACCTGCGAGGCCAGGTCCTGGCGCGTAAGGAGGTGAGGGCTCTGAAGCTCTTTGTCATAGCCTGTTTGGGTCGGTCAACTCCACCTCTGACCCGAACAATGGCATCAGGAGCAGGATATGGAATGACTAACACATGTAAGGAAGTTCACAGAATGCTGTGGGAATGTGAAACTGCATGCAGTCATAGCGTAGTGCCCAATTGTCACCAGGACACGGGTTGCGGTCGACCATAACGCTGTCAACACCCAGAGTCTTCAGACGTGCGGAGAGAGCAACAGCGCTGGTGATTTAATTTCAGTGACCCATCGAAAGCGGATAGGAACGGTGTCTTACGCATTTCCCGCACCGATGATAAAGACATCTGTTTCGAAATTTGGTGGTGCATCCAGTTTCCTTTTGGGGATCTGTAGTAGGCTTTCATCCTCTGGTTGTACGTCCAATCTCTCGAGTATAGTGCTCAATATCCAGATCTTCCAGGCGATCCTTTGACCATCGGTTACAACAGGCAGTAGCATCATCTTACCCCGGCAGAGACCAGAGGGCGATTGTGTCTTGAAAATGAGAGGACAATCAATAAATTGCTAAATAGCGAATCATGCGGTCAGTGCTTGTCGCAAAGAAGTGAACCATATAGGCTCGTACCAGAACGGGTGTAGCCGGAAGAAATACGGCAGCTCCGTCAATCTCAACACCACCGGAAACGTTCCTCAGGTTTGCTGTCTCCAACAAACTTGCAGCAATGGTACGAGGGGTGCTGATTGTGCGCAGATGCCATGTCAGAGCCAATTGATCCTTCCAGTATGCTTGGTCTGCATAGAAACAACTTTCCAGGGCGTTTACATCGCCATTGGCCAATGCATTATTGAAAACTTGTAACACACCACGGGCTTGGGTTGTTGCTTCATCACCAACCATTGACAAAGGATCGATCAATCCAAGGGGCAGAGTCGGGAGAGGGTGTTGGTTCATCATGCGACGCAAGTCCGCACGCCGCGGGTACTCATCCCGAACGGGAGGCTGCGCTGTACTGTCTGGGCCGATGATGTTATTAGTACTTGAGCGCCAATGATTTGATATCTGATCCTCTAACACTCACTGAAATTCATGACTTCGTTCGGGGTGGTAGGAATCGAAACGGTCACACAAGTCCGATTACCCCGCAGGGGAACAAGAGCATTTATGGAACGACATGCTGTAAGGAGGGTGGAGACGGGCTCAACGGCATGGGAGCGTAACTAGAACGGAACAAGATGAATACTGGCGCAGCCACACTCCTCGCGGCAGATTATCGGTACTATCATGGTTAAGCGAATTCAAACCCATGAATAGTTTGAAGCTATAAGACAGGCGGCCGAGGCAAGTACAGCCGCCACTCATTCCGCCTAACGAAGGCAGGGGATCCGACAAGGTTTGTCTCCGGAGGGCTTGCGCAGTTGACAACAAGGTGCTGCAACCCACCTAGGAACTGTCAACCAAAGAATTTGAGTCTCTGGTCTGGACGGCCCGTTTCCGGTATGCTAGCGCCCTGCCAACGACAGCCGGACTCTTTGTCTATGCTCTAGTCGCAGCCTGGGCGGGTCCACAGCGGCAGGTTTCCGTTGCACGGCGAGCCCATCGCTAATGCGTAAGTCCCAGAAGACCGACTCTATTGGATTAAGTGCCATGCCGTTTGGGACACTATTCCAGAAAGCGACAAGCCGTCATCCTTTCATCTCCACAGGGAGTCGTGTGCCGCAAACTTCGAGGACGTGATCACCGACAGCCCATTCACACTACTGGCCGATAAACAGCAAGAAGTAGCCCTGTTTGTACACTTGCTGAGGCCTCTGGGCTAAGGTGTTCCCTGGAGGAGGATTCTGCGTATCATGTGCCCTGTGTTTCCTTTAGTTTGTATGCAGTGTGCAGCCCGATTGCCCTAACATAAGTACCCAAGAAGTGCGCTAAACACGACGATACCGAAATAGGGCATCGCCAAAATCACTCAACCGCCCGTGCGAACATGGCGTGTTTGCGCCTTGCATTAGTAGCAGGCACCAGGTTGTGGCACTTATCTAACCCCTGAGCGATCCATAATCGCAAAATTGGGCCTATCACACTGACGATCAAACAGTTCACGCGTTGGTATATGCGCAGTGACATTTGAAGCCTCTGCACCCCACAATGATTGAGATTTCTCTCCGATTCTGCAAGGATGCCTGCTGTTGTGCCGTCGTTGACGACCTGGTTTGCGCGAGATGTCACCAGAAACACTGGCGACACTCCTCGCTGAGCCAGCTCTGGCAGCACCGTCTGGTGTTACCCCAAACTTCGATAATCCGCCAAATAGCAATACGCTGGCATGGGTGGTGACGACTTTCTGTACTGTGGTCCTCACGATTTGCTTTCTCTTACGAATATTCGCTCGGATTTGGTTGGATAAAAGGGTCGGTGTCGAAGAAGGTGAGCGGTGTCTGAACCCCAATCTATCGGTCACTGAATGAACGAGGCTAACTGCAACCCCTTGTGTCAATAGTATTGATGATTCTTGCATATGTATGATTTCACACAGCTCCTTGCACGAGCATTCAGTCAATCTAATCTTCTATATAGGGCGCTTATTGGGGTACAGCTTACGCGGGCTACGCCTTGATCTACACCCCAGGATATTACGTCCATACCTGGGACCTGCACAACAAGGATCTTATAAGGCCTCTCTACGTATGTTGATTCCTTCAAGCGAATTCACATTGAGACTGATAACTTCCATTGGCAGTTAATACTTATCTATGGCTGCTGCTACTCGGCCGTCCTACCTCTAATCAAAACTGCGATCCTGCTAGATTGGTGCAGAATATTCGTTCCCATAAACCGCATGAGAAACGTCTTCTGGTGGGGTTGTGTATCCGTTATAACTCTGCAGTGTGTATGGGGTGTGCTGTGCATCCTATTATTGAACATGCAATGCAGGCCTCATGAAGCCATCTGGAAGTTCTATCTTCCAAGCAAATGCTACTCTCTCCCCGACGTGATGCTCACCTCTGCCAGCGTCCAAGTGGCGTCCGACATAACGATGTTCTTCCTGCCTCAGAGAATTATCTGGCGTCTTCAAATGAACTGGCAAAAGAAGATCGGAATATCGATCATTTTCGGCGTCGGTATACTGTAAGTATTCCTAAATCATAGCTCAACAGTACCACCCAACTAATATCAGTCCCTGCCAGCGCCTCCGTCGCCGCATGCTTCCGCCTCTCCCACACTGTCGCCTTCGCCAACACAACCGATACTATGTATCTCATCGGCCCACTACTTTTCTGGGCCTGTGGAGAAATGACCTGTGGATTTTTCATCCTCAGTGTACCCTGCCTGTCTAAGCTCATCATTGAGTCTGGACTTCCCCGTAGCGTGAAGCAGTCACTCGGCTTTGGTTCTAAACCCAGTGAGCCTTCATACGAGGAGTCGGAGCAACCACATCGCTCAGGACGTTCTGATGCATTGCGCTCACATCCTATGAGGCCATGGCTGAAGACCACAGACACATTATGGTCTAAGATTGGAGATGAAGATCAGGATCATCCTGTTCTGAGGGATTCGGGAAAGTCGGAGTCGCAGACGAGTCTTCATAGAGCACGCGCCGATGGTCAGGATTGATCAAGCCATGATCTAGACAGATATATAAAAAGGCGTTTCGAGGAATTGAACTTTCACTTGGACTAGATAGAGAAATATTATAGAGTAACGAGGAGCACATTGGCTTTTGGCGCGGGGCAAAATGAGTCCGAAGACCACATGGCATTCCAAAGAATCCCAACAAAAACCTTCTTACATGAATTAGCTAATAGTACTACTACTCCCCATCCAAGTCTATCCAGTCTCTACTGACACTCCAGAATAACATGTCTTATAGCCTCCCGATCCGGATTCTTGTCTACCATTCCCGCAAATCAACCCACTTTTCTCAACACCTTTCTCAGAGCTCTAGCCTTAATAGTCATTCTGTCATCTATAACAGAAACCTGAAACAAAAAAACATCGTCTTCAACCAATGCGCAACACCCAGAAACGTAGTACTCAGCCAGCACGGCCCGCAGACTCCGATGCACCATGTCATCTGTACCCCCTATCGACAAGGAAGGGAGTGTCGTCCATATTTAGGATGCTAGGTCGGCGCATAATGACGCGAGCGAGTTAGAGGAGTTGCCTTTGCCCGCGGGGAAGGTTTCGCCGCGGTGGAAGATAAGTTGGGTTAGAAGTATTGGGAGAAAGTTAAGTCGGGAAAGACAGGGGTGGTTTCCTATAAGGTTGATGTATCGTTGGTAGTTGGGATATCGGAATCAGAAGAGGAAGTAGGGTAGTGTCACCACCCGATTGCTTGGAGAGCTTCGAGGAGGACGGTGTCATTGTACCCGTCGAATGGTTCTAGGTATCTATGTTTGATCGGACGGTACCTCAGAAGAGAACTAGATATTGCGGGATAATGGCCAGTCGATTACGGAGCCGGGCGACCGGCACTTGTGAGGTGCCTATTCCATCGATTGAGATCTGGCCGTGACATGCTTCGAGGAAGCGAAAGAGTGCTAGCAGGAGGGATGATTTGCCCACTCCTGTACGACCTATTGCGTCAACGCGAGTATTGAGGGCGATTGAGAAGCTTATTCGCTTCAGCACAGGGGGCAGATAGGAGGCATGGTGGACGACCAGGCCGGAGAATTCGAGTGGTTCCTCCTGTGAACATGCTTCCGGTAGACTTGGGTCCATTTTAGTGTCGCGTTCTGTTGGAGTAGTCGTCGCGAATGAGAGTATGCGCTGCATGCTGTTCATCTCCTGTTCGAGATTGACATAGCACCGGATATTGAGTGCCATTGCCATTGTTCAGTGGTGTGTCTGACTCCGCCTATATGAGGTAGCACTCCACACAGTTTCTGAATTAGAGGGCTGATGTTATGATATACAGTGTTCTGACCTGCTGCTCATTCGCGCTCAGGACTCGCGAAGTGCTCCGTGCGAGACTGGTGCCTCGGCCTTTACCCATAATAACTGCGATCAGGCTCACCCAATTACTCAATATGAGGCTTTCCAGTAGCTATAATAGCTAGTTATACTCGCCTAGTCTGCGCTGTTTTCAGTTGTCGGCTGCAAGATGTAGTCCCGTCAGCCTGAGCTTGCCTCTTCTGGAATGTAACATGAGCCTTCCCTTTCAGGATCACCTCGCGGTCACCCCATTTCGAAGGCCCGATATCACAGCGCGGACCTTACTCCGGAGAGACTTGGCAATTTGGTTTGCACAAGCTAACAACGTTATATTCAACGTGGGATATATTATCAGAGGTCCTCGTCCGCCAGTTCTAACTCTTTTCCTACGTTCCTCTGGTTGTTCAAAGCCGATATTCGCCGTGATGAGGAGGGTTCAACTTGTACTTGATACTTTAAGGGCTGGAAGGTGTGTCTCCAGGAGACATCTGCCTGAGCATCATACCCTACACCGTGGATTCGCGACCAAAGTCGCCCCAGGTATACCTTGTGTGGTGGCTCGCGAGATGCTCGACTCCCAGCGACGTTCCCATATGGGGGACATCCACCATCATCTCCAAGCCAGCGGCGCTCTCAAGATTGGTCTTCAATTTCCCGATGACGAAAGCCGATACCTGGAACGCTTGATACTTAGTCTTTGCGCTCATCACGGGCATGGACCTCCTACAACCCACAGCGCTTCCCGAGGTTGGTTCTGGGAAGTTCGCCCCAGTCCTACTGGACTAGAGACGCAATTGCCTCTCGCGCGATCAGAAACCATGCAAGGGTTTTCGTGGCACACAGACTGTACCTATGAGAGCGCACCCCCGAGATACGTTGCACTTCAGGTTCTCCGGCCTGATCGCTATGGCGGGGGTACCCTGTCTCTCATGAAAATCGCTGATCTCTCACATCACCTGTCCCCGGCTGTACTGAAAGCTCTATTCGAACCGCAGTTCAGAATCACTATTCCTCCTGAGTTTGTTAAACAGCCTGATGAACACCACATCCAAGGAAGCATTCTTGGGGTAGACCAGATTGATCAATCGCTGGTAATGAGGTTTCGAGAGGACCTGATAGAGCCAACGAACCCCAAGGCTGCGGCAGCATTACAGGAGCTGAAGGTTGCCTTGAACCAGTTGGCGAAAAGTCCTCAGTCAACGGTATACCTGACGAAGACAGACTTACCCGAACAGTCAATTATCATACTGGACAACCACAGATGGCTTCATGGGCGGGATGGCATCAAAGATCCTGCAAGGCATTTGCGTCGAGTGCGATGGAATGCAATGCCGTTCCCTTCCGTCGGTCAGGGTGACACGGCGGGCTCTATAGGAAGGGCGGCCTAAGTCTCCGATGGGAAGTTCGGAAAGATGCTTGCAGATTTTGTTCACCAGCAAGTTGTACCCCAGCTTCCGTTGTTAAAAGTCCCTACGGGAACGCACGGTCAGCTTTCGGACAGTAATGAGCTTTGAGGTGCATAGGGAACGTTTTTGAGTGCGACAGTATCCGACGTCCACTTCCAAGAGAAGGGCAAAGTGTCGACCTAGAACAGCATGCGATGCCATTCACAATGGATGACTAGTAGTATAGAATGTTTGTTCTACAATATGCTGTATCGTTAGAATTTCTATCTATTACAAAGCCGAAGGGTGAGAGATCATTTGGCCCGAGCCAGCAATTCAAGACTGGTATTCATAACCCCAGAGTCATCTCTCTGACCAGGTCCTTATCATGTAACACTAGTCTCACTATGGAAGGGCCAATGGGAACATCATGAGTATGGTTAGAATTATGAAGGCTACTGTTCGCGAACTAACCCCAGCTGATAGTAAACATAGAGACCATGTGCCTCCGCAAGGCATACATACGGGGAATATAGAGAGGATCATCACAAGGAAATTATTTGCCGACATTCCTGGCCTCAAAGTAAACCCAACATTTCACGTTATGAGAATATATGTAATCAAGTTCGACTTATGCTGTTGATCACGCACATGAGCCTACGATGCTGTTAATTATACAGTATTCACATATATGGTGTTATATGGTGGCAAGCGGACGGAGCTGTATATCTGTAAGTGAGGGTGCCACTGCCTTCAACAATATTAAAATAAGATTAGACGGATGTGCTCTTCTCTGCCCTGCTCGAACGTTTGGATCTCTAGAAAGGCATACTCGGGATCTGTCTCCGCGAGAGGCTGGAAATATCCCCAAGTGGGCTTTCCACACAGATCCATGCCTCATTACTATGCTCGGCGAGGAGGAACCTACTAAACATGATTAGCATTTCGTATTTGCTGATATAATATATCTTTCACTTACTGGCCGTTGTAGAACTCAATCCATGGCTTGGAGTCCTTCAGCCAGCCAACCATCTCCGAAGCTTCCTGCATCAGGAGACTGTCCTTCAGGTCAGCCCTCGTGGCCTTCTTGACTTCAACAATTGCTCGAATCTGCCCGTCATCCTTCTTCCACAACACATTGTCTGTCAAGGCTGTGAAAGCACACGCAGAGAACACTGACTCGAACCAAAAGCGTAATGGTGTAAACTCGAAGGCTTTGCAGGTCAATGAGAGCTGCTTTTGCCTCTGAGAAGTGCACAAAAGCGGCATTGACGATGCTTTCCTCCATTGCTCCCGCCTTGCCTTCATCCTGTTTATCATCAGAATTTGTGTATGGCGTTAAGGTGACAAAAATAAGAGGCGATTTTGGTACCGTAGAGCAGGCATCCATGAGCCTGGCCAATTGGAATAAGTCTCGCTAACCGTCCCAACTAACTCCGGGTGTTAGACGATGTAGAGATATTTTGGTGTCTCAGGAGAGTTTTGTGACCAGGATTTCAGCCACCGATCAGACGTTTTTGAGGCTGATATGTTTCTTGGAATCCTCGAATGGGCCTCTTATTTATTTTTGGCTTAGGCCAGAATAACCCTTAGAAAGTACATTCTTCCTTGCTACTGGAACCCAGTTTTTGAGGCTTTCTGACAATACTGAGATGGAAGAGCGCTCCTGACTTGACGAAACCGGGCCAGTCTTCTCTACATATGGAATAGAGAAGCTTCCAATAAGATATTCGCCACTTTCAATGACCGCCTTCTTTGCGTTAACCGTCCTCTTTCTTCGATTTCTTTATTTCTTGAAAGGATTTCAACCTTAGTGATAGCAAGAAGTGAGCTGCGTAGGGAGGGGATCATTGTCTTTGCAGCCAACTGGGGAAGGAAGTGTTGGGGTAGAGGGAAGGTAAACCTGGAGAAGGGGACCGGGTGGGTGGTTTTATACCATTTTTCGAAACGTGGGCAGATTCACATCTTGGCCGATTCCCTTCAGAGCCACACACACATTCAATAGCTAAACTGCTTTCACATACATACATGCACAGCCCATGATGCTGTCTATATTCACGAGAACGAATTCAGTGAAAGAGTATGCAGACAATAGAGATCTTTCTGCACTATAGTACCAAGGTAAGGTAGTTCTCCCGAATTCAGTTACTCTTCAAAATTAGAAGCAAACTTCATGGTATATGGAGGCTACGGAATCGTGCGTTCAACATGAGCTGCTAGGATGCTTTCTCGATTGGTACTCATAGTGTGCGGGCAGCCGCGACCGACGAGATCTGCTGCTAGTATGTATCCTGATAGTTCACTCTCGTTCTTCTAGCCCACACTTCGTGCTGACTAGATAGACAGCAACATGACCGATGATAAAAGATATAATCTGATCGCCTGTAGAACCGCCTGAACTATCCTCATTCCCGTCCTCTCTTTCTTATTCCCTTGTAAGACTACCTCTAACAGCGGGCTCAGAGCTGTGGGTATCCTTGCCTAGGAACAGGACAAGGCTTGGTCCAATCTGTGCGATCTGGTCGAACTTTCGGGACAGGTCAAAGCCGTGAGTTGATTTATCGAGTGACGAGTCATATATGCTCTCGAATGTTTGTGCCAACTTGGGCTATTCGTGACGGTCAAATGCCGGGATGAATAATGATGCTGTTCGAAGGATACTCGCCAGTGTCTTCCGACGTCGGTCCGAGTACGGGACTGCTTCTAAGCATAGGAGGCTGAGATATTGTTGCCCACAGCTCATGGAATTTCCATTCGAGATTTGACTGGTACAACATGGAGGTATCAGCACCTAGGCACATTCAAGCGGATACACACTTACCAGGGCTTTCGAAACTCGAAGCGCAGCTTCCGGGTGTAACATATCTGGCGGCTCATCGTGGGATGACTGGACCAGTGTCCTCGACAGATCTTCGGTCACTGAACTAGCTTCCTCGAAAAAGCCGTACTGAATTCCCCTATTCCAGGTCAGTTCGTGCTGTCTCAGCCTAATGAACAGAGATAGCAAAGCGCTCAAGTCCTCAGCCATCAACTGATGATTCGGCACTTTACCCCGAAGGAGACGTTCTGCCACTGGGGTCAACGTTGCAGGATCCGTAGGGTATTTCATGCTATACGGATGCGTGGTGAACAACACATCTACCACATCCTCCAACATGTGTGGGTCATTTGTAGTGAGCTTTGATCCGCTTATACGACAGATGCTGCGAAGAATCCGATGCTGGTGCAGTTCGCGGGTATAGGACCGATCAGGTCGCCAATGGTTACCGAATCCATTCTCCACGCTTCCAAGACGCTTGTCGCCTTGCAGAGCGAGTATGGCTACTGCTCGCTCAAAGGCAGAGAATTCCAGCTTTCCCTGATCAACGTCCGGACGTGGGAAGGGGTGGTAGGCATAGAAGTAGAAGGACGACCATAGAACATCGATAGCTCTGTCCGGAAAGGTAATTTCTGAGTGGGTTTTCGCAAGGTGGTTCTCAAGGCTTACCCTTGTCCAGTCTAATCAAAGTTATTAGTCCTTGAATGATTCTTTTCTTTTTTGAGTGGATTGCGACTGACATGGCTTTTCTTGAGGTGTGTCACGGATACAGGACGCGTCGAAAATAGCTTGCGGCGAGATGGCGGTTGCACGATCTCGAATTACGATGGTATTGCTCAAGCCCTGGAGAACAGACTCTAGTATGTTTAGGTCAAGATCTGTCCCAGACACCTTCTCTCTTTATTGTCCAGCTTACCTGTAGTAACATCTCGGAGATAACTGTCCACCTTCTTCCGGTGGCTTCGGGCCAGGGACCGGTCAAGGATGTTGCTCAGTATAGCAGTCATCTTGAAATTTTGATTTTTCTCATTACTACAGAGAGGGCATGTAATAATGAGATCGACGGACTGCCCTCGCGGGGGCTGGCGGAAACGTTTAAGCTGTTGCCTTGATCCGATTGGGGGCCAAGGAGTCATCTCTTGGGGGCCGAGTATTGGGCACACGAGCATGTGGTGGCGATCTATCAACTAGGCTGGCAGATCTCGTCTAGTATTTCAATGGCAACATGGGAGGGCAGATACTAAAATATAGGCACCCGATTACAAGAGATAACAATGGGACTCGCGTTATCCACGTTAAATGATTCCAAGAAGCAAGTTTTCGTGCCGTACAGGTCGAATTATATATCTACAGAGAAAGACGTTCTGAGTACACTAAATAACTTTTCAGAATGATCATATAGAAAGGAAGTACATCGACTATTTAAAGACCGAAATGGGAGCATATGCGAAACATGGAATTTCACTTCCCAATTTCGCATCGAGCACGCCCGGCAGTATGTCGATCCCCGCTGTCTTGACTCCAACCTGCTGTGGCTGAGAGGCCAGGTCCACACCAATTAAGCCTTGATCTTAGCATACAACTTCTTAACGAAGTCCCGACAGTTGTTAGTATAAGTATTATACCCCTTCTTGTTCATCTCCTTTGCAATCTCTTCGCCATACTCATCTATCTTTTCCTTCGTCACCCCTTTCTTGATCTTCCCCAGAACCTCGTATTCGGACGGCTTCTCTCGCTTGTACCAGTCCGTAGAAGCGTCTCCACACCTCTTGTTGAAGTAAATTTCCTTACCATCTTCACCACGACGAGCAATATCAAAGCAATTGGCCTCAAATTTAAGGTCGTAGCTACCGGTCTCACCCAGTTCCTCGGTAACATAGCCGGTGACCAGGAGGTAGTGATCAGGCCAGTTGTATCCGAGAATTTTCGTCAAGACGGATTCTGAAGAGGTTGAAGGGTTGCAGTCAGCTACAACAATCTCATACTATATGGAACATTACATAGAAGGTTTGACCGCATGGGGATAAGGGTAAGTGCGCACTCAGCTTAAGGGCGTAGCCATCGCCCACGACTGGGGTCGCTTTCAGAGCCTCCTCCAAGACCTTATATGTCTCGTGAGTCATAGTGGGCGTCGACGCCCGCTTGACCTCCGTCGGCGCGTCGCTGGCCGTCTTAGAAGGAACATAGGTAGGATCACCATCTTCTGAAACAGTGATGATAGGAACCGACTCGGAGAACTCAGAGACGGCAGTAGGACGATAGGTACCTGCACCGGTGATGCCCAGCAAAGCCCATCCGCCGGTGGTCTTGTTTTGATCATCCTCGGGGCAGAACTATGACATGATCAGATACAGACGGTCAGCGTTAGATACCATCGCTACGTACCCAGCACTCAGGGCCTCCCACAACCGGGACAGATATCTCCTTGCCATCAGCTGCCGTGGTAGAGATGTGGGTGTTCGCTGCGAGATCAGCTACAAAGGAGGGTGTGACTGAGACCTGCTCAGCCTGACTGATAGGTACGGCAGCGGCCGAGGTGCCGGATGCCAGGAGTAAGGTGATCCATGCGATCCCAGTTTGGGCGGGGATGGATTTGGACCACATTTTGTGAAACACTTGACTAAGAAGACAATCAAAAATAATAATAATAAGAAGCGATTGAAGTTAGTGAAGGAAAAACGAGTGACAAGCAAGAATTTGAATGAATGAATGGATGGAAGAATAAGGAATGGATGTGTGGGATGAGCATGTACTATAATGACGAGCAGAGGTGTGACCGGTATTTATACATTTTAATAGATAGTTGGAACTGTCAAAAATGTCAAATCTCAACTAATTTAAGTGTAAAGGTCAATTGAGGAAGCAAGTTGGGGGCATGGCTGAATCAGACTGATCAGGGTCGAACTAAACCAGAACTGACTGAAGGATTGGGGCCAATTTCAGCTTGTCATAGCAGGCTTTCAGCCTGACTCTGCCCTACGGAGGAGGGTCTTGCATTACCTTGCCAATTGTGGCAGGACACCGTTTCGTATATTAAAGCTTGTTCCTTCTTGGTATGCCACACTATTCATTAGTTAATCCTGCGTTGGGGGCCACTCCTGAGCAGCACCGGCAAGCTCGGACCTGTAGCCAAACATAACAAGATCATCCAAATGGCAACACGCCCAGATGCTTGATCAATCTGTGGCTCTCGCAATGTACTGACACTTTTTGTGTTTGCAAAATAAGTTATGCGTGCTTTTAGTTCTGCGTCTTCTCGCGATCCTCGGGCCAGCCAGGTACGAGAAGCCGGATGTCGATGGGAAGTTGGATGGACCCATTGGGGCCGGAAACATAGTAATCCTACCATAGCGCTGCAAAAAACAAGGGAATCTGGTACGTGATGTTCATCTAAATTGGCCAAATTCCGAGACAACCGAAGACTTTGCACCATTGGGTCAATTGACTCTGAATGATAGCGAGGAACCCACTACTGGTTTAATAGTAATATCATCCTAAATGAAGGACGCTTATACTTTTTTTCAAGTTGTGCGTCCAACAGTATTGTTGCTGTCATGACGAAATGATTGGCTTTCAGTGCCACACGCTGCGTCAATTATTTCTCATAGGTGAACACTAGTATGCGCTTACCACCGGATAGCATCTTACTAAGGGTGAATAATATGTGCCCCCTTCATATAAAAGCCTCCTGCTAGTGTATCCTATACATGCTTGTGTTATGTCTAGGAGCCACTTGTAGCATCAAGACAGATTGTGCCGTTAACTGTTGGCAAAATACCTCATATAGGCTGTGGATACACGAACAGGACGCTACTAGCTCAAGGCTGAGATGATTTGGACCCCAGTCAATTCTTGTATCACCGTTGCCGTTGTCCAGTACTTAACCAGCTCTGTGTCAAACTTGACGCAAGTGCCCAATAATATAAATCTTACAAATGCAAGGCATGCCTTACCGAGATCAAGAAGAGTATAACTTCTCAGCAGTCTTTGTTCCGGGAAAATAAACTATTTTTGAGGATTTATACACCAACAGTGAGTTGGACGATCAATTCATTGCTTTGATTTTTGTCACGAGGTACAAGCAAATCTGTGCAATGATAGAAATATTACTAGAAGCTACTATACATATACGTATACTAGGCTCAGGCTAGTCAATTTTGTGGATGTCTCTCCAATCTCTGCTCATGTCTCTTAGGTCAATTCACGATTGACCTTTGTGCAAGGACTTAGCACACAACTGATGCTTACTCGCCAGCTCAGAGTAATACGTTGCAAATCAAAGAACCAAAATATAAAGCGCCACCCCTCAGACCAGCTCATCTTAAAATTCCCTGCTCTCACCAATGCCACATACATCAAACACACCCGTTTCAGGTAGACCGCTCTTAACTAGCGCATCCTTCAAAAGACTCGGCGGTTCCATTACATCCTCCTCCGCAACAGCCCAAGTGCCCCAATGAATCCCAATAGCTTTTTTACACCTCGTATCCTTGAAAATCTCCACAGCATCATATGGATTTGAATGAACGGTGCTCAAAACATGTCGTGGTCTATACGCTCCAATCGGAATGAGCCCGAGATCGAACGGGCCACGGAACTCTCCAATCTCTTTAAATGCCGCACAGACCGGTAGATCAGCATAGTCTGCTCCCCAGTCATCAATCTCCTTAGGCACATAGGGAACAGATCGATAACCCGTATCTCCTGCGAAGTAGACCGACTTGCCGCCAGAGGAAACAGACCAGGAGCCCCATAATGTCGTTGCTTTGTCGAAGGGGGTGCGTGCGGATGTATGTTGACATGGTAGACATGATATCGTTGCTGAAGCTATGAAGTCGTCCTGGGATGGGACAGAAGGGGCATTATCATCGGTCGTATAAGCCAACTTGAGACTGACATCCTCCCACCAATCCAGCTCAATGGCGTTCTCTATGCCGCAATCCACAAACCACTTTTTAAGACCCTTGGGTACGCAGAATTTGACTGAGGGGTGATGTTTCTGGATTTCAAGAACTGTCGGGTACGACAGATGGTCATAGTGGGAGTGGCTTATCACAACCTTCACAACCTACATGTCAGCCGTCATCGGAAAGAGAGCATTGGTATTAAGTCTTACACAATCAATGATCGGAATATCAGATATGTCGCACGGAGGGGGCGTGAATCGTTTGTGTCCAATCCAAGAAAACGGCGAACAACGATCTTCAAGCACGGGATCGAAGAGAACGCGTAGGCCGGTAGGGAATTCAACGAAATAGCAGGCGTGACCTAGCCATGTTGCACGCAGCAAGTTTGGGCAGGTGGCAGCTGGGAGAAATGTTGAAGTCGTTACTGGTACGGTCGATAGAGTGGTGTCAGGCTTCTGACTGTTTCCTGAGAGAAACTTGTGTCTGCAAAGCTTTGTCAGCCGCTTAATGCTGGAGTTAACCAAGGGAAGAGTGCATACCGCATCATAGATTTGAATAATTCTGGAAAGGTGAAGTCGCGAGAACTCTCCCATGGATTCCGAAAGCCCTTGACTTCCTCGGTATGCCCTTCTCCTCTCACCCAGTGGTCCTTTTTGTTCGCACTCTCGGGCGCCGCTTTTGATGCGGACGGCGCACTGAAGGTCCAGGTATATTTTGTTTTTGACGTCATTGTTTTTGTAATTATTCTGGAGGTCTTACTGAAGCACTGTACACTTCGCATAGCCACTTCCCGAAATCCGCCCAATGGACCACCTCGAAGAAAGAGATAGCTGGATACAGGATAGGATATATGTGCAGCGGTCAGGTGGTAATGTTGTTATCATGGCGTGACTGCAGGAGCTCGCGCTTAAGCCTCCTCGGGCTGGTATCAGGCGTCCCATTTTACCGGTCAGATCCGGGCCACCAACCAATCAAAACTTAATCGGCGCGAAGCTTGATTTTCTTGGTGAATTCAGTACTAAACTAGAGTTGTTTTCCCCCCGGGCGACAACTTTGAACTCTCGGTTGATGTGGACAAACGAATATTGGCTTGCTTTCTGGTCTTCCTCATCCGCTCCTATGTCTTGCTAAAAAGATATTTAGAATGAGTAATGAATGATGCGTTCAATTCTATCAACAATGTCCTCCAACTGAACAAGAACAACGGAATAGGTGCTAGGACCAAGCGGTCTCACATCAGCGACTCCTAAGACATACTACCCCTGAAACACAAAGTCAAGCAGTCCCAAGGGCGATCCACGAGGTACATGAACCTCTTTCAGCTCAAACCGGTCATCGGCTCGCTTAATAACGTCGTTCCAGTCCTTCACCTTCCGCTCCTTGGAATTACAGCCAACAAACATCTGCATATCCATCGATGCAACCAACTTCCTTACCAGCAATGGGGTCATCGAGTCCGTTTCCTCGTCATAGTCCTCCGGCATGACAAAATCAAAAACCACCAAGTGGTTTCCTGGCTTGAGGACGTCCAGCAGGTTACGGACAATTTGCAACACATATTTGTCGGACCAATCATGCAGAACTGACTTGAGCAGAAATACATCTGCAGGGAGTACCTGCGGTTCGAAGAAGTTATGGATCTGGAACTTGACGCGCGAGGCATAGGGAGTGGAGTTAATGTTTTCGTCGAAGGCAGACTGCGCCGACGCGAGGTCCTGCACAACAAGATCAAGCTTGGGATAGTTTTCAGCAAGAATCACGCTGATATGCCCGGCTGATCCTCCAAGCTAGGTCACATTAGTATAAAGCCTCTGCTATCATCCAATCGAATAGTACGAGACGAGGAGACTTACATCAACAACAGTTGCCTCGTTCAAGTTACTCCAGTCGAGCTGCTTCAATACAGACTCGGTCATAACTCCACTTGTCATTCGAAGCCCCTGCATTGCCTCTGCAAAACGCTTGGCTCGAAAGCCTTTTGGCTGACCCGGTCGCTCAGAATTTTCGAGAAGTTGCCACAGATCTCCACCACTCTGATGACCATCATATGTCGCCAGTGCGATCGGGCAGGCTGCAACATCCTCAGGAGGCTCGGATTCCCCAACAAACCACTTCTTCAAAGCATCGACCCCAACAGTAGCAGCCGGTCTGACATCCTCCATATTGTGTTCCAGATATGCTTTTACGAACGGATTGCGCACAATGAGCGCTGATGCCGCCGTGTGCACCACGCGGTCGGAGCCCGGCGCTTCCTCAGCGAAAACAAAAATTGTGAATGCTAATCTGAGGATGCGTCGCACGATCTGCTCGGGCAAGTTGGTTGACTTCGCAATGTCGGCGTAGCTAGCTGAACCGTTCAGAGGGACGGAATCCCAGAAGTTGAAGTTGTTGAACACGTCGAAGGCGAGGAGTGAATGGTTAAGCTACTTCCCGTTAGTATCTTTGGACCTTCCTAAAGGAAAAAGGTACCAGCTGCTTTTCAAACTTACAAACATGCTCTGATAGTGCCAGAAGTCACTCGGACCGATAACGAGGTGATGGAGCGTTTCCAGGGTTTCCAACAGCTTCAGTCGAGTGCCTTGAATTTCTGGGCTTTGAGGCAAGGACACTGGAGCATCGATCGCAAATGACGGTTCTGGCTGATTCAAAGCCTCTAGCTGATGGGCGAGAGACGCTGTGAGATCAGAAACAGAAGAGCCAAGGGCCTCAATACTCTGCTTCGATGGGGCCATATTTAGCAAGTTACGGAGACGCAACGCTTGAGTGATTTGCTTCAATTCCGAATCTCAGGATGCATGATAAACAATTCCAGCTTTTATAGTGATCCCAAGATCGAATTCTCCCTTTCTTTGCAACCGGTCCACACACCAAAATAGGGAGCGATGCCCTTGACATCGCATCAGTACTGTTGGGACCCTCCAGTTGTGAACCCAAGCCACTGTCCATTTTGAGAAAGCATATCGCTGAGATTGATCCAGAAAGTTTACATCGTTTGCGATCCACTGTGTCCAAGCTACATCATATGCTAAGAAAAGGTAAGCGGCTCGTATCATCCACCCGGGCGCGTGACGCGGGCCGTGCAGGCCTGAACCCTTTAACCTTGTTATGGGACATGGTTGGAAGAACTACTGATCTGCATTCCGCATTTGGTATGTATGTCGGTGATACCTCACTTTTCCGCAGCATGACATCTTGTCCGAGGAGGTCACATAGACCACGGCCCAACAGACATGAATACAAACCATCTTAAGGTCAGGAGAGATCTATGGCAGCATAATCTTTGGCTGGCAATAATTACCCTCGCACTACAGCAGCACAACACGCTGTTGTTTAGCCCGACGGGTGTGTGTGCATCTAGAAAAGCATTCTTTCGCATCCGTATGGTGATCCATAATTGCGAAGCAGTACTATCAATACTTAGAGGTCGTTTTGCCATTTGTCTGATATTCCTACCTATCCTGTCGTTATGTAGCACTGCGCTAGTCTCCACAGTAGATCCAAAAACACAACTATAGTCTGATATACTACATAAACATCCTGACAACCAGATAACAAGCTTACTCTCATACGTACTCAGGCTTCCTGCCAACAACAGTCAATCTAGTCCAGGCATGAAACGCCCCATCATAAGTCTCCTTCAAAACCTCCGGCAATATCCCCTGCAAACGCTGACCCACTTATTGTTTGTATTCCGAACAATCACATCGTGCACCATCAAGACGCATTCATGGAGCATGTAATCCATGTATCCCCCGGGCCTTCAAGAGTATCCCTTTTAACGTCCACCGATCCAGTGCTCTCGAATAACCGCGGGAGCTCAAAAACCCAGTGAGGCACCAATCTGGGGAGAGCGGAGCGAGTAATTCGTACTAATTCCTCAACAGCGGAGGTGCTGCATTCTTCGTTGATCTGGTCGATGCGCAGGGAGTGGATGTCGACTTCTCCCCGTTGAATGTAGCCTCCGGGCTCTATGACCATGGGGAATTAGTCTCACATGTGAGGACTATGAAGGAACGGTCATACTAAAGAAGCTTGAAGAGTTTACTGAGAATGTTCTCAATCTCCTCATCCGACAACACAAACACTACATTGCGAACATTTACAATGTCGTATACACCTTCAAGCCCGTTCGGAATGTCCGTTTCCATATCCCATTGATGCAGGCCAACATTGCGAGGGAGTGGCTGTTTGGGCGGAAAGGTGGCTAATAAGGAATCAAACGCATCCAGCTGTACCGACGGAGGAAGGCGACCACTTAGATCAGTGAGAACGATTCTATGACGAAACCTTTAGTGTAAGTACCAAGACTGGAAGCCGCATAAGACGAAGGTGACCTATTCGGTTCCTGCGGCGATATCTGCGATCTTGAGATTCGGGGTTCTGCACAGGTATGTCTGGGTGCAGGAGGTATCCGAATATCTCCGTCGAGAGATAATGTTGTAGGTTGATACTGTCCCCATTATTCCCAATGTAGCCAATAAAATCAGGGGATGGTTTGCATGCCCCGGTTGTTGTCAAGATAGTCCCGAGGGAAAACATATTCTGGTGGGCGCATTGTAATAAGCAGGCGGAAAAGAACTGTACTAGTGTTGGGCAACTTGCGGAAGTGAGCGCTGTCAGCGATAACTGTACTACTTTAATATACTTTCCTATGGTGGTCTGACCGCGTATCGACGCGCGTAAGTGAAAGGCTTACGCCTCTACCCGTAGGTTTTGTGTATACAGTAGTTGTTGGATTCCGGGCAATCCCGTCTAGTCGTTCCGCACGGGGCGTCGCGGGACGCCTTAATTTTCCTTCAAGTGGCCTTGAAAAGAGCCCAGTATTCACCATTCTTCACATTTGATACTCATTTACTCAGTGAATTATACAAATACTATCTATCTCGGCTTATGTGGATTATAAATCGCTAGACAGTCGCCCGAGTCCAAGCAGCATAATACTCTCGCTCTTACCCCGCCAGATCCACACCAAATCACTCAAACCGAGAAACACTATTTCACGTGTTTAATCATCTTCCCTACGACCTGCTTTCAATCAGGATGACACCCGAACAATTCCAATCTACATGGGATAAAGTTTTTATCGGAAACCCAAACGAGGCTCGCTCATTCTGTGAAGAGGTATTCAACCCCAACTATGTGCGCCTGGAAGCTGGCAGGGACCGAACGGACTTTGAGCGCGCTGTCGAGAAAGTCACTCTCTTCCGCCAAAACTGCAAAAAGTTCAACAGTTCCTTGCCCTTCTTTGCTCAAGACAATAAGAAGATTGCTGCGCGGGTGATTTGTGATTTTAAAATGGGTGATGAACCAGAGCAAAAGCTTGAGGTCATGATCATGATTGAGCTTGATGACGAGGAGAAGTGGGTGGCTGCCTGGGAACAGTTCAGTCCGTTTTCGGGATGATTCCTGCAGTCGAGCTGAATCGGATGAATATTGTTCTTATAGGGGCGTGAACTTGAAGCAGATGCATGCTCAGTATGTTCTACAGGATTTTCAGTAATTACTAAGATTCTCATGGCGCTAATATAAGCTATTCCTTCTATAAACATAAACCCAAAATATGTTCCGGAAGCCCTTTTCAGCAATTTACTCTGTTCAATCATAGAGTAACTTCCGTTTGTCGCTTCTTGAATCATATATGAATTATTTTCTGGAGTAGAAGAAAGAGTCGTCCGAACATGTCGACTACCAGGGGGAAGCCTTATATTTCTGTCAGACTGGGTAATCACGAAACCAATGAGGCATTCCGGCTCTACGAGCAGATTCGGAACAGCAAAGAAGATGTACGCCCTTATTGGGATGCCATAGGCTTCGTCAGACTGATGAATCGTGAACTAATTTCCCCGTGAAGAGATTGGAAAGAGCGACCTGGTTTGTGAAATCCTGGCGTGCTCCGCTCAACGACGGATGCCTAATTGCGTTTATCAAGGTGACACAGAGATACCGTAGCTTTGGCTAAGTTTGGCAGTACAGTTTCTGACTCGTGTCTATTTCCAAATACCCGTGGGAACATGATTTTGGACCGTTATGCAAGGTGTCGAAAGTGATTGGCTGAAAATCTAATCATTCAAATGATTAAAAGTACTTAGTAGTAACTAACTAAGTACTAAGTAGCTTACTAAATTCAAACAGCCCGGCATGATTGGAAAGGTTTGTAATTGCAGACTTACACCACAGGGCACTGCATAGATCGGCCAAAGTAGGTATCTCGATCGGGAAAGTGGGACGTTTTTTCCTGCGTCTTCTGAGATGTTTGGCGCAAAGATGAGTGCGTATAGACCATAACATCTCTGACCGAACTGTATTCAATCACAAGCTACACCTAGCCCTCTATGTTCGAGTCAGATCCAGAGGTAGTATCAAGTGCAGCAATGCATTTCGCCACTCAGTCATTTCAGAGATCTTGCCCCAAACTTCCGTACAGAAACCGGCCTATAGTTAGGATATGGATCATTTGACCGGTATTATGGAGAAGACAACAGGAAAAGCAGCAGACTAAAGGCTGCCCATATACACACCGTGTGCAGTTGCCGGTCATTCATATGAGCCTATACTAGCGTCTGAGGTTTCGAAATGACTACATTGAAAATGGAGATGAGATCAAGCTCTTTTTGGTAGCCTTGGTAGTTGCCATTTCCACAGGAGGCTTATCAGAAGGAGTGTCTGGCTACGAAATCTGCTAAACCTACCGGGTTCTGCTTCATCCATCAAGGAGGAGCAGATAAGAGCACTGGATGCCCAGGTTGCAGGGACTATTGCAGCATTTTTCAAGCACAGTCTCGTCACGTAGGATACGGGGGCAAGTAATGGTGCCTTGATAGACTAGACTCACCTCTCATATTGTATGACGCAGGTAACGCGACATCATGAGCCCCGCGGCCCTCTCTTTTGATGCGTTTCACACTTAACCCCCCAGCGCTCTGCCTATTAGTAGAGAATAATTCTTTGTCCAAGCTCAAGGGTGGTCACATTTCTCATGGATTGATACACGCTTGCATGATGAGATGAGGCTGCGCGTGGTCAATGGCTTAGTTTATCTGGTTGGCTGGCATTACAACCGCTTATAAAGAGCATGACTTGATGATATTATCACGTGTAACTGGAAGCATATCCTTGGAGGTAATGATTTGACCGAACACGTTGTCATTAGGGATACGTAACAAATACTATAGACATGTCCACGTCCCCACCTACTAATTCCGGAGAAGCGAACAGACCAATGATGAGATCGCAGCCAAAAGCGTATCTCGCATAGTCTACTATATTCAGAAATGGTCCGTAACAAAGTTTAAAAATGTTCCGCGCGGGAGACATCCCTTGGAAGTTACGACCCTGTGAAACGACCCGTTTCGACCTATCCAAGAGAGTCGCCGAAATTCTTTTTCACCCCTTGCAGACCGATCACCTAACGATGCCAAGAGATCATTAATATTGGGAGAGGAAGCCTTATAGTGCATGTACATGATGTGATCATAATTTGTGGCCTGTAAAAATCGACTCATGAGTTGTAGACGCAGATCATACCCTACATTTCCTTCGTCCAATACACACATCTAAGAGTGATAAATGCTAAGGTAAGGGGTGCATGGGGTGTACCTACGATGAAGCCGATTTTATGGGCGAGTCAAAAACTAGGATATCCAAGTGATTGAAAACTTGCGATATGGAAGCCATGGACAGCAGCATCCGAAGCTGTAAGTAATAATGCTAAGAAAGACGCAATAGCGAACCCTGCTTGGCTATATGTGTTGCTTTGTATCATAGGCGTGCATATGGCATCATATTCCACTATAAATGACTTCTCTAGTTCCCTCCAGTGTACTGCCCATGGATGCTGTCCAGTAGGAGAATATAAGCTAGTACCTCTCAGTTGGCAAGGTTCACAGTGTGCACATCTGTTATGGACGGGTTTTACCCCTGTGTAACCAAAGCAGATAACGTAACTCACTTGGCTTCCCTAACAGCTTGCATTGGATGTTGTGTAATCCTTTACTGAGAAGATGATCCGTCCGCTACAACCAGATACCAAACTGGGAGTCCTGCATTTACCGACAGTCATCTTGAGCGTTTGCCACAAATCGCTGATAGTCTTACGTGCAGTTTTACTAGGTGTTAGCTCGTGTTTAGCATCTTTCGGCTGTAGGGGTCCCCTTACATTATCCAACAAAATCGAATTAGTGAGCTTCCGAGGCTACAACCAGCTGCATTGCTCTCAATTCGACAGTATCGCTGATCGGACACATAATCTATGACGACGCATCCCAAACCCAAACTGCTCAGTATCTTGATCACAATCGAGGTGATACATAGAGTTTGGATCGGAGGTAAGGAGAGTGGCGCTTCTGGCCAAAAGAATATCCCATAACTATAGTTCTTATAAGTGGGGGTTTACGTTCAAATGCTGGAATGAGATATTACTAGGCATTTAGAATGCGGCAACCTCAATGAATTGCATGAAGGTCGCAATTCAGAACACTACCTTGAAGCTCCTAACGCAATACAATAATGTCGCCAGCAATTTCAGGGGCTTTGGAAGTCCCAGCCTTCCAAAGGGCATATGTTTCTAAGTCACACGGAGACGGTGAGTAGGAACCGTCTGGGGAGTGCTCGGCTAAATATTTCCAGGACTTGAGTTTGCCACGATCAAAGTTCCTATATATTCTGCCGATGAGATATTGGTCAAAATCTTGTTCTCGGGCGTCTGTCATACGGACTTCCACGCGTGGAAAGGTTTGTGAAGTTATCGGCCTGGCGATGAAGTGCTAACAAACTAAAGAACACTGGCCTGTTAAGCCGAAGGACAATCTTGTTGGTGTGTTAAGCAATCAGTCTTCTCTGACGCACATTGTTCATATGACTTACCTTCTCCAAAGGCGGGCACGAGGGAGCCGGCATAGTCGTGGCGCTCGGTGAGGATGTTACAGATATATCCATCGGCGACAGAGTTGGTGTACAGGTATGGCCCCCAGATTGATATTCATCCGAAGGGGTATGCTTAGGCATTGCATTAGTGGGTGAACAGGACCTGCGGATCCTGCGAATTCTGCTCTCGTGATTCCCAACCACTATGTCCACATATCCAACTTTCGGGATATACTGTCGATGGAACCTTTCAGCAGTACTGCGTATGCAAAGCCGAGAACGCAGTTCGTATACCACCGGATATCCCTCTCGATCAGGCTGCTCCCGTATGTACAAGTGCAGAGATGCTTCATTAACTTGTTGTTTTCGCTCGAACTCACTTGTCAAGATACTGTGTGCTGGTCTAACGGTATACAAAGCACTTAAGGAGTGCAGTCTCAAGCCAGGAGAATCAGTCGGTATGGAGTCCTCTTTGTGGGCAATAGTTCAATTTTATTAACCTGTCCCAGCAATTGCAGGAGCAGGAGGGGGTCTTGGTACGTTGGCGTGCCAGTTTGCAAAAGCATGCGGATACCGCGTTCTGGCGATCTCCGCGGGCGAATCGAAAAGGAAAATGTGCATCAAGAATTTGGGCGTCGACTGCTTTGTCGACTATAAAGCTTCACCTAGCCTTATTGAAGAGGTCAAAGAAATTACCCAAGGGGGTCCAAATGCCGTCATCGTCGTCAGCTCAACAACAAAGCCGTTTGATGAAGCTATTCATGTACGCCCCACTCACAAATACAACTTCCCCGAAGGCTAATCAGAGTCAATGCAGTATGTAAGACCGAGGGGTACTATTGTCGCTGTCGGCTTGCCGCCCGGGTGTATGAACGCAGACATCTTTACGATCGTCCTTCGTAATATCACTATAAAAGGAAGCTACGTAGGGAATCGTTACGAGACAGAAGCAGCACTGGAGATTGCCTCTCGCTCAGGGATTATCGCGCCTTACAAGTTACTTGATGCCCGCGAACTGCCAAAGGTGTATGAGCGAATGGACAAGGGTATGAAATCCGTTTATCCCAAAGGATATATGCTCACTCTATATAGGAGAAATGGAAGGGAGGGCTGTTCTTCGCATTTCTGGCGATGAAGTCATATCGTCTCCTGTCAGTCTAACTCCACAATTGCAGCCGCAGTTCCGTCCAGACGAGTTCAATGTCGGAACTAGGTTGGCGTACCGGTTGGAGGAGCTGGGAGTTACGGATTGTTTTGCAGTACCTGGTAAGTCGGAGAGAGCTAGGTCAGGCGCATATACTTACTTTAATAGGCGACTTCAACCTGGGCTTACTTGACGAAATACTGAAGAATCGGTCCATACGCATGATTGGATGCTGCACTGAGTTAAACGCCGGCTATGCTGCAGACGGTTACGCTCGATCTTCGCCGGGGAAAGTCGCTGTGGTTTTCATAACTTTCATGGTGGGTGGACTTTCTTTGATTAACGCCATTGCTGGTGCCTATTCGGAAGCTTTGAGGGTAGTGGTCATATCCGGCTGTCCGCCCCAGAAAACATTCAAAGAGGAGCGATTGGTCCACCATACGTTAGGCACTAAGAACAAAGACCAAGCCTTACGAATGTTCAAAGAAGTTACGGCATTGTCGGTGCGCATAACAAGCGAACATGAACCTGCGGAGGCTCTTGATAATGCGATTCGCTGCTGTTTGGAAGCATCACGTCCAGTGTACATTGAGATTCCTACGGACATTGCCCAGGAGCCTTGCGAATCTCCTGGTTCCCTCCTGATCAATCTTTCCAGGCGATTCGAGATGAGCCACGCCCTCAACATTGTTGATGCAATCATACAATGTTGGAATGCAGTGAAGAAACCGGTTTTACTGGTTGGGGCCCATGCGCGCCAAGCTCTTCATCCTGATATGTTGGTCTCTCTCATCGATAAACTCGGTTGTCCAGTTTTAGTCCAACCTGACGCTAAGTCCCTTGTGCCTGAGGACCATCACCATTTCCTAGGCACATTTTGGTCCAGCGCAAGCGAGCAAAAATGTCACAAAACATTCAAGGCCTCTGATTTATGGATCATGGTTGGATGTCGTTGGACTGACTATCACACACTGGGCTGCCTTGACATGGAAAAAGAAACTCACCGTATCCTCGACCTTCAGGACGGATTTGTCACGACTCCTAGTGGTGAGAGCTTTGCAGGCATACCGCTCAACGAGTTGATAAACCTCATCGCTCAGTCAGATATCCACCACAAAGAAATCACGATACCCAATGGGGTCGTCCAGACTACTAAGGTCAAACGAGCTACCATAGAGACCTCAAGTCTGTCGCTCTCCAGCATCCTCAGTGGAATACAGGACGTGATAAAATCCGACAATTCCGTCATTGCTGACACTGGCGATAGCTGGTTCAATGCCCAAACGATCAAATTGCCCTGGGGAGCCGACTACCAGATGCAGATGGTGTATGGTTCGATCGGGTGGAGCCTTCCAGCGACCCTTGGTTATCAGCTTGGCCGGCCAGACCAACGAGCCATACTGATGATCGGAGACGGTAGCTTTCGCATGACATGCCAAGAATTAAGCACCATGATCAGCCTGAGACTCAACCCTATCATCTTCGTATTCAACAATCTAGGCTACGCAATAGAGGTAAGTCCAGTTAGGAAAGGGACTATAACAGCGAATGGAAGACTTACTACTTCTAGACCGCAATCCACGACGGGCCATACAACTATTACACGAATTGGAATTATGCCTCATTCGCAAATAGCCTCTGTAGCCCTTTCCATGCCGTCTACAACAACCCATATTTTGACCACAATCTCGCGGAGAATTGTTCGAATCCTCCGATGTTCTCAGCGCAGATCAAAACCACTGCGGACTTAATGATAGCCCTTAAACGTGCTGAGCGGGAGCCCAAAAAGCTTGCCTTTCTGGAGTGCTGCATCAATCCCAGCGACGTCAGTTCCTCACTTCGTCGCTTTGGCTTGGCTGTTGGCTCTGGACGCAAGGAGGGCGAGAATGGCTACACAGACAACAATTCGTGAAGCCTTTGGCTTTCCCAGAACATTGCCTCTAAGCGTTAATAAATATGTTTTGACGACGGTATTCCTCCAGGTTCTGCCATTCCTCATGCCAAGCTCAGGTTTAGTTATCATTTGACACCTACCACATGATTTTCAGGCTGGATTTGTCTCGAATAGCGGAGATTTGGAAGATAGTAAATTTGTTTACATCCAGGTGGAAATACGATAGATAGCATTCAACAAAGAAACAAAGAGTTCTCAATAAGAGGGTTTGGGTGCATCCTAGGTAGCTTTATGGTGTCTTTGATATCGTAGCCTGAAACGTCGCTCAGCAGTGAAGACTCAGATTTGGTACTATCACTTTTGACACCATGTCTCTAAATTGATGATTTGCGTACATACTAGTCTCTGCAGAATATCACATATTGCCATGGTCGAATGTTAATATTATAAACAGTAGAAAGAATAATGCTTAGTCTTCTTAATCCCCAGATATTGTTCCGGGATTTCCCCGATGTGTTAGGCAACTGGGTTTCCCCAAGAAGCCCAGTCCGGAAGATTCCCGAAGCGGACATACCCCGTGGGGTATCGAGGGCACATAACCCCAAGGCCACCGCTAGATTTAGAAATAAATTGAGAGTGAACTTTCTCCAATTGAAAGAACGCGGGACGTGAACTCGTTCCTATCAGTGATTTGGTGTCGAATTCGACGCATATATTGGTATAATTCTGAGTGACATATATGCTTGGAGTAACAATGGAACATGACTTCAAAGAGGGATGTAAGCCAGGTCCTGATGTCGCTCACCTTGAATCGATCGCCTATGCAGGCTTCTCGGACGAAGAGGCAGCAATCTTACGTGCCTATGAAGGAAACCGGGGTAAGCAAGTTATGAGAAAGGTACTCATGATGTGATGCTCTGCCAACATCCCATTCTTTCGCTGACCGTACGCAAAGATTGACCGCCATCTGATCCCCGTTCTCGCGTTGCTCTACCTCTTTTCCCACGTCGACCGCACAAGCTTGGGTAATGCAAAAATTGAAGGGATGGATAAGGACTTGAGCCTTGTAGGAAACCAGTACAATATTGCTAGCAGTCTCTTTTTTGTTCCTTACATTATCTTTGGTACGTATGGACTGCATTATACTATTGGCCACTTCGGCAGCTAATCGCCCCGACTTAGAGATACCGTCGAACGTGATGCTCAAGAAAACACGTCCAAGCTTTTGGCTTGCAGTCCAGGTCCTAACATGGGGCATTGTGATGACATGTATGGGCTCTGTTCAAGGCTTCGCAAGCCTAACCGCATGCCGCGTATTGTTGGGGATATGTGAGGTAAGCTCTCCCTCGTTCTCAACAATACATGCTTTTGACTTTTTCATAAGGCGGGATTCTTTCCTGGCGCTGTCTACCTGGTCACCCAGTGGTACCCACCAAATGTGATCCAGCAGCGTCTTGCTATTCTATATACTGCTTCGGCCATTTCTGGTGCATTCAGTGGCCTCTTGGCTTATGGGATCTCCAAAATGAATGGTATTCGCGGGATTGCCGGCTGGCGATGGATATTCATCCTGGAGGGTATTGTCCCGTCGGCATTTGGCCTGTTTCTGCCGCTTCTCCTACCAGATAGTCATGAAAAGGTCAGATGGCTCACAGCGGAAGAGAAGCGATATCTCAATCTTCGCTTCCGACAGAGCGGCAATCGGTCCACTAACGGAGAGGGAGATAAGTTCTCCTGGTCATTGCTGCTCAACACGATGCTAGACTGGAAGATTCTTCTAGGGGTCCTTATGGGCATGGTCAACGCCGCTCCTAATGCGGCATTTTCCTACACAATGCCTACAATCATCAACAAGCTGGGTTTTGAATCGCAGAATGCTCAGTTACTGACAATTCCACCTTACTTTTGTGGTGCCGTGTCAAGCTGGCTAAGTAGCCGACTTGCTGATCGGTTCGCTTGGCGATTTCCATTCATCGTCGCTCCGATGGCCTTGATGCTTGTATCATTTTTGATACTCCTGATACTATCAGCTAATGTCGACGCCTACAAAGGTCCCATGTATTTTGCTATCATTCTAGCACAAATCGGCATCTATCCATTGCTGCCAGGGATTTCGGCCTGGACAGGAAACAATCTTCCCCAGTCTTGGAAAAGGTCCATTGGTATCGCGTGGCTATTAGCTGCAGCAAATACTGCTTGTGAGTTTCCTTTCTGTTCATGGGAATATAAGCTCATGCTAACTTCATTAGGCTTTATCGGAACCAATGTCTTTCTAGATGATCAAGCTCCCCACTATGTGGTCGGATACGGTGTGTCACTTGGGATTATCGCCATGGGCATTATTGCGGCTTGTTCTCTCGAATATACATTGTGGCGCTTGAACCAGCGCAAGGCTGGTATCTCCGAAAGTGAAGTTCGTGCGACTTATACACCGGAGCAGCTGACAGCCATGGGCGAGAGTAGCCCTATCTTTAAGTACACGCTGTAGGATCCCTGATCATGTCGGAAATGTTTCATGTACTTCGTGTTCATTTTAGGGACACTGTCTACCGTTATATATTACTATCAAAGATATGTGTTTCCAGATAGCCAAGCTCAGGTGAAGTTTTATTATCATCTACGACATCAGTAATCATTCTCCTGTCGTCATTCATCTCCGTTATACAGCTTTGTAGATTAAATTATCATTCTGTATTCTTCGCCTTCTTAAAAAGTGTAGAGACCCAATATATATCTGTCTTTAAGTATGTGAAGATAGCTTTCCTACGTCATGTATCTTAGCGAACCTCCTATTTCCCTCTGTAGGGTCATCAATCACTTCATATTCTCACATTCAAGGTAGGCCTCTACGGTAGAAGGTCTTCGATCCCTAATACACGGAATTATTCTAGACTAGTTTGTATCTTCGGATGATTATCACTCCAAGATGTACGTGGATGAGGTCACGGCCACTGAAATTGTTTATCATTCTCAAACTGCGCTATGTATACTTCTTGATCCAGTTTAGCACCGACTGGCACTAATACCCGCATGACAGCTTGCTCTCCCGTATTCAAAGTTCCAAAAAGACATCAGAAAAATGCAAAAGCATTAGGAGGGCTTGAAACACCCCCAGGGGCCTATTTATCATATGCATCGTCAGACTTAATCATTAGTATAATTCCTTTGGCTCAGGCATCACTCACATTCATAGGGGCGCTAGTGAAGAAGAAAGTATATCTTTCCGCTTCACTGCAAGCTCTGCTCAACTTTTCTAAGTCGAACAACTCTCCAATAGGCATTCCCCATCCAGCAAGCAACCACTCATGAAGATGCCACCGAGCCTGTGTGCAAGGCCAAACTTCGAACGATCGCGTATCGCCCGCAACGGCGGAGACCTTCTTTTCCCAGAGAAATCTCAATAATGCTTCCGATGGCTCAAGTCCAATATTCTCAGGTTTTTGCTTCTTGTAGAGCGCATCGAGTTGAGCTCGTTTGTCTTCTCTCATATTCTCATATTGATTGATGTAGCCAAAGCGAATCAGGAGGATATCGCCTGGTCGAATGTCCTTATCTGTTAACCCTTGATATCTCAGTACCTCAATTAGTTGGTCAAACGGGACCGGATGAGGACTCATGGCATCGACAGTGTGGCCCTTTGCTTGATACCAGCTGTACCAGTCTATGAGTATGCCACGTCCAGCAATACCCCGTTCTGCAATGTCTGCAGTATAAACCGCGTCATGTCAGAAAGGCTCTTTTTGTACATGTGTGTCATGATAACGGTAGAAATAGCAGCCTTACGTTGAACTCCGTTCGGATTTGTGGATTCTCTGAACTCCTCTGCCGTTCGACCCATATAGTATAGCTACGTGCATGTCAGTCATACCATGATCAAGTTGTTGAACCTTTTTCTCCACTTACCTCCTCTTTCTGGTAAGCGTAATGTCGAAATCCATCCCACTGTGAGCTACATTGTGGGTTGAACGACCACTGTTGTTTTTCAGTCAGCGGCATACATTTGAGATTGGCAATTTCTGAGTATTTAGCATACCTCGTCATCATGGGCAATTTTCAGAGGCGCTTTGTTAATTAACTTGAGCTCCAAGTTTTTGCGCGTCAAGGTAGGATATGATGAGGCATTCAAAGCCCAACTATATATATTTTGGTCAACATACACACCCCACCCCCATCTAAGAATAGTGCCGCAGCTCACGTACTTTAAAGAAATCCGTGATCCAGTTCTAATTTCCTCCCTTGCTGCTCTCGCCACCACATCATCTGTAAGATGATTTAAACACCCAATTTGATCATCAGGACCCCAAAGCCCCCATGCGTTGCCGGCAGGGCCATCCTTCTGCAGCGGCAGTTCGTTGAACGAAGGGTATACCTGATTTTTCGGGTCCATTTCACAGTATATGTCACTACTTACGATCAGTGCTATGTATCCCAGGGGTTATTTCCTTTCTTAAGGCTAATTGACTGTGTGATATTCTATGTCGGCTCCCAATCCCCACACGGGATTTTTCCGACGAGGAGATCCTCCGATGGCGGCAAATGTCCGCCGTCCAACGAATACAGAGGTCTAGGGCACCCGTCAAAACAGGTTCTTTGGAAAATGTTCGATAGACAAAATCGGACATGTTCCATAGCTGTCCGATGGGGAGTAACTGGACATTCATAATAAAATGTACAAGGGTCCACCCTTCCGTCCCCTCAACATCTCGCCCAGGTCACACAGTGTCTTGGGAACATCGACCAGGTTCTAGCCACAGGCATTTATGAAGTGAGCTAGCAGAGTTCGAAGAGAAATAGCAGAGTTTCAGAACTTTATGTCTTGGGGCGGAATGGCCCGTGTGGAGGTCCCGAACGGACCGGTAGGATATATTTGGTTTTACAAATGTCAATGAAGACAGAAGAAGATCAACGATACAGTTCACAATGTAAAATTGGAGAACGGAAAACAGAGGGAAAGCTAATTCTAAAAATAATCTCAATCTAATATTCGTAGCAGGAATGTGAGCTACTATTGTTGTTGCTCGTGACCAAAGTAAGCTGTGTGTCCAACGCAGCTGCGGTCATTCTGGCCGCGTACGACTTGTTTCCAAGCAGTCTCAGTCCGTAATTGGCGCTGGAAGCATGGCTGCGAAGATCTGGGCAAACTGTATTGTGATATGCCCAATCATGCTGCTCATCTAACATGCGGCGTCGGCTCGGGATCCATGTAAGAAAGGCACTACATGGCTTTTCGACAGTTTGCAAGACTCATTCGTCCATGATTCTGAGGAGTCAAAGCTGGCACTTGTATGACCCATTGTTCGCGGCCAATTAGAACCATCATTTCCTGGCTATGGCCGCTTTCCAGCACTCTGAGATCTTCCCCCAGTACTGCTGTGGATGGAGCTTCATATGGCCAACATGCGGTGAGGCCTCGAACAACTCGAGGTCAACCGCCTGGTAGCCCAGGGTTTTAACTTGGGCGACATTTTCTTCGAGGTCCTCGAATCCTATAATCTCGTCTTCCTTGGAATACAAGTACAGCCGGCTGGACTCTCGAGTTGTGACTGACTCATCATTCATTACCCGATCAGCCCATACTCCAGAAGGCTCAAGTCCGCGCAGCCGCTCCAGTATGTAGTGAACCCAGAGTAAAACAAACCACAAGGCTTGCGTGACAATAAACGGCCACGGGAAGAACTTGGATGTGCCCACAGCCATAGCCCGCGACCAACGGCCGGCTTGTCTGGAGAGAGAAAGCCCACCGGGCGTTGAATCACAAATGAGAAGCTTGTGGGGGAATCTATTGTCCGCGCCATGGCGTTTTTGGTAGGCTGTAAAGGCCGCAGCCAAGAAGATCCCGCCAGTGTTTGACATAGAATGCAGGAGAACTCGCTCTTCACTTTTGCCATCTCCTGTGGCAGTAGGGAACACGGTATCAATGACTGGCATCATGTCCTGTATCCGCTCTTCAACAGGTTGGCTTAGAGCCTGTAAGGTGCTTGACAACACAACAAGAATCCGAGCGGACGGGTATAGATCATGGAAGCCATCGGCGTATTTTGAGACATGCTTCGGCATACCGTCACCCCAGCCGAAAATGATGATTGTTGTTGGCTCGACTGTCCCGGTCGTTTTGGATTTCTTTCTGCCATTGCGCAGGTACACTCGGTCTGACAAAGGAATAAACCCCGCAGACAGCATTGTTTTGTATAAGCCCTACCCGAGTGGCAGTGGTATGTTATGTGTAATGAACTTTAACCAGGAAAGAAAGAAAGACACAATATGTTTTCACAGAAATGGCCCCTGTGAATATAGAACAGAATTTTATTATAAAAAGTGCGGGCAGCTCCGCTGCACGCCTGTTGAACCTGTTGGCGTTGAAACAAAGGTACCACCATTGTAATAGCCCGTCCTTTTTGAAAAATAAACGCAAAATCGTTCTCCGAAGCCTCTAGTTCCAAGCTGTCCGCCAATGTCTGCTCTGCTGGCGGGGTCGTTGGGGATGGCTTTGATTATTTTTTCAAGTCACCGTTGGCCTAGGACCTCGGCTGCGTTGGGATTATTAATCAGACGGCTTGCTGAGGTGCGCTGTAGAGCTCGAGATGTCTTTCTTCTTCGACCTGTTCCAGTCAAGGACTGAGCTGCTTGTCGTGACTCCTTTCAGCTGAGGCATATGAGGCGACAATCCAGCTAGACTTGACACCAGGTCGCCCACGAGGCATCTACGAGAGGTTGGCTATGATCGTTCTGATTGGTCAGCAGGGGTCAGGGAGAGCTTGCATTTTAAATTACGGTATTTGACGAATACGGTGAATTACATGTTATACCACAAGAATATTGCGTATAACTAGTTATTCCCGCAGCTTGACGGCTTGCACCGGCCGCAAGCACCCTGCAAGAGTGCGCCGAATTTAGGTATATCGATCTAATTACTATTGCCAGTTAATGCCGCCATTAGACTCCTCTGCCTAAAGAATACTTCTCTACATGACTTCGAGGATTCTTTCTTGTGATCTATCTATTTTCATATATAGTTGAGTAAGCTCTTCCTCCCTAGATTTACTGATATGGCTTCTTTCTGATACTTTGGAAGCATTGGATTCGCTGACGACTCTGATTGAAGCAAACCCCCCTGTTGGGAAGATTGAATATACTGTTGAGAACTCAGCTATAGAGGCCGAAAATTTCTTATAAGATTTGATCACTCCTAGAACTTTTCTTTCTATCTACCACTCTTGAGAAACTCTTTTTCTTCTTCCCTTCGTTCCTCGATATATACATATTTCCTTTCTCGTTATTCTGATTTGCAAACATTTTCATCTACCTGGGCAAGTTTTCTGCTGAGCCGATTATATTGCTAGGCAAGTAACATTTTTAGCTCTCAGTCGATTTCTCGAGTCACACAACTATCCTATACCTATGTATCAATCCATAGCCCTCTCAGTGTCGAATCAAAATGTGCTCTTGTAAATATCATAGGTCTTATTATTGAAAGGAGTATATCGGTCCTGTCATCTTCAACACAATTATTCTCTGGCTGATTTTATTCCCAAAGTCTCTGGTCATACTAGCTCGCTTACATTTCTGTAATACGATGCTTATCATGTAATTCAAATCTATGGTAACCAGATTGGCTCGACCTGATGGTCAAATATTAAACTGTTGGCATTTTGCATACTGGGTTAGGATTGGGGTTATATCCCAAGCAAAGGATGAATGTCTGGCCAATGCGGGTGGTCGGTCAGGACACAACAGTCACTAACTCCTATTGCAGATCGTAGAATAAGCCTCCCAGCCTTCATGATATCTACGAGCTTAATATAAATATCAACCATCTCCCAACCACTGAGCGATATAAGCGAATAGAGCAATGTATGACCAGCGACAAGACATCCACTCTCTACTCATACTGTGACGCTTCCTTGTTTTATCGGGGATGTCGAAAACTGACCTACACATCCACAGACGTATCCGTTATATGGGGGCCCTCTATAAGATGGGATAACTCAATGGAATATACCGAAGCGGTTATCAGGGCCAAATAAGTTAGTTAAGTACCGATCAAGGTCTTAAGAACTATGGGAAGGGTCCGCAACCTAATCAGTGCTAGAATCACATATGACCATTTAAAGAGCCTCATAACACACTTTGTTCCATATTTGCACTAACTAAATACCGAAGGTACTGTGATTTTGAGCCCAGCCACTGTGCTGTTCGGGATCACAAGAAAATGGAACCGGAGGATAACATGTCAACAGAGGACAGACAAAGGTTACTACAGGAACGCTGGGAAATTTTTCTGCTTGAGTGGTTTCCAATTAGAGAAGGCTACGATATCTCAGTCATGAGAGACTCCGAAACCTACGGTATGCAAATTGATATCGTCACAGTAACACATGAGATTTCCCATTTGACGTTCCATATTGTTGGTGGCGAATTTGATCGTCAGCATCGTGATCCTCAACTGCATGTCTTGGAAGACAGAGTACGCCTGATTATACCACCGATCACTAGCCGCTCAGGCTTTCGAACCTATTATCCCTGGGGAGCAACTTTGGTCGACAATACAATGACGTTCTACCGAAGATATGGCAATGATAACTACCTGTCGGATGAGAGCTTCGAAGGCGGGGGGTCGTTTGATATCAGTGACCTAGATAGGCCAATGGAAATGATAGTGGGAGACTTCGAGTCAACAATGAACTCTGCCTTTCCCACTTTGGCTGATCTTATAACCGACTCTGCACCTAGCCCACATGTTAACGGTGCTAGTAACAGTGATGAAAATGGCACTGGTTCATGGCCATCCGTTGACACAATACCATTGGCCGAGTTTAACAACTGGTCAGAAGCTACACGAACAAACGGTGAATTCTACTATCATTATAATTCATCAGAAAGTTCTGAAGAAGAGTAATTTGGGAAAGATATATGTTTTCTCAAGATATTTCAGACTGGTACCATCCAGCCACAACTTTACCAATGCGTTTAGTATGACAAGTCGGAGATATCCTATGCTCTCATGATAGAAATATCTACTATTGCAGATTCCGGTAGGCTCTTAATGTCTTCGCCTCCATAGACAATTCTATCTAGTGATATGGAAAATAATCTTAGGACGTGTTCTTTGTTGGCAAGTTCCCTTACGAGATTCAGGGGGCTTGACGCATCAAATTCCTCAGCATCAATCTTCGTAGTGCCACTTTTCAGAAGGCGATATCGCGGTTCATACCCAAGGATATGCAAGTACTGGCAAAAGCCTCTTATGTTTATTGAAACTCCAGAAAGCCCAAACACTAGTAGCTTCTACAGTAAAAGTATATAAAGCCCTTATATCTCGCGCTGAATCATCTCCCTTTCTACCAGTCCCACTATCTCACAAACAGCAGCACCCTAACCAAATATGTCTTCGAGCCTTGTGCCAAACGCCCATCTACCACTGGGGCCAACGATGGATCTAGAAACAGATCCAACGGCTGGACAGGAAAGCTACTGCCGAGAGCGCGCACGAATTAAACATTGGAAACAAGGTCTACGATGGTGGTTCCCCAGCGGCGAGCGTTTTTTTATCACTGAGGAAAACGACGTTGACACCTACAACATACCAATTAATATGCTTAGGGTGTCACACTGTGATTCCCCCATGACATTTGACATCATCTTAGGTTACACAGATATAGAGGAACGAAACCCACACGTTCAGTTCCTGGCTAACCGGGTACGTCCACCAGTGAAGCCAATGGTCGATCCCAGGGATGCGAAAGTCTATCACCCCTGCGGGGCCACTGTGATAGAAGATCTCGTGGCAATCTATGAACGGATTGGCGACAATCCCTTGTCTTTCAAAGAGGCGGACAGGTTTCCACAGAGGGTATCCAAAGTTGCTGGAGAGGATTCGCCACTGGCGGACATCCTCAGAGAAATCAAAATTAGTTTCGAGAAAACTGCGGTTCGTGATGGCTACGCCGATCCAGAGACTCCTTCTTCGTCCAGCTCGGAGAGTGATGAATGGCCTATTGCTCTTGGATATGACGGCTGTGGAGATGACGTTCCTATTCGTGCCAATATTGGTGCACACAGAAGCAGCAGAAGAGTAATTGAGAGAGAGTATTCCCCAGCGACTGCAGCATACCTCGTGGATGCGTCTTCAGATGACTCTTTCAATACCCGTTCTTTCAGAGTGGAAGACCAGACGCGAGACTGAGAAGGTACGCTTATTCCATATCGTCCAAGTGGAAGCTGCGAACGTGAGCAGCAGATGGTGTGTCGGTGTTGGGATGCGTCAGTGCTGGCATTGAAACCCAGCCAGTGACTGCTAGGAGTCCAACGGTGGTTGTTATGACACACGCACGTCCTGATCACTTTACCTTTACGGTACACGTATGAATGGAATATGTATGATGGCTGCTCATGGACTATTTTGGGTCTCTGAACCGCACATGCTGTCTTCATACGATTTGAAATCGCCTTGTGTTATGTCTAATCAAAAAGAAGCTTATTCATCTTAATAGCTATGTATTGAGTCACTAGTCTGGCGTAGCGTTCCCAGGTATTGAATTAGTTTCCTGTATGCACTCATCTCAGCAATAAATAGGTTCAATCTAATCTGATCTAACACGATCCGACCTCATCTAAGTTTCTCTATATGTGACGTCGACGCGTCACCGGCGCGTCCATCTATTGGTCTGTTAGGGAAAGTGGATTTTCGCGATAGTTCCAACATCTGGGAGATTTGGAGGAGGAGATTGGATACCTATCTTTGTTAAAGTTTGGGAAGGATTGTGGCATGATGACAGCGTGAAAACCAGTGAATCATTCACTGGGAACAAGATGCGGTGATGAACGATGTGGTAGGGCTGATGTAATCTATGTTGGTCACAATTGGTCATGCGACGCATGTCACTCTTGACGGTAGACACTTTCTGTGTTAATAGATTCTCTTGCATTTGCATCCCATCCCTGGCTAATAAATGCACCCTTTCAGTTCTCAGGGGCTCTCGAAATAAAAGCCCCTTAATGCAGAATCAACTCGATGTATCTAGTTTACCAATAGCTGGAATACAAACTTCCTAACGTGTACCAAGCACAGCCTTACGCCTCTTCTCTCTAGCATATCTCCAGCTCCTTGCAATACCAGCAGTAACAGCACTCTTTATGCTTTGGGTAAAACTCGGCCATCGCACCGTCTTCCGAATTGCCTGTTCAACCTGTTGTCGCAAACCAGTATCCCCAGCAATGTTAAAGTCAAGGGTGCAGCGTGGCAAACTCTTACGTCCCCGTGAAGAGGAACTATGCGCATCCAAGGCAGTGCTATACCTCTTCCGGTATCCGAAGTATAGCTTCCCGCGAAACGCACTGGGCAAACTCCGAATGATACTTCCACGCACAGAGGGGTCCATGCACTGCTGCAGTCTACCAGGGGATCCGACACTTGAGACATTATTCAAACCACCAAGCAATGTGCTATACAGTCTTCGAAAGTCATCCAGCTGGTGTTCTATCATATTCTGCACCTTCCGCGGATCATCGCCTCCAACTGACATCCTCGGATCCCCCAGATATGATATACCCGCTATAGTTGCATAGAGGTCCTGCTCAGCAAAAGTCTCAGGAAGTAACAGTAACGCGAGTTTGATCGCAGAGGATAAATTGACCTGATTTGCTTTCTGGACAAGTGGATCATCACAGAGAGTCCTCGTAGGCTTCTGGAGCCTCCCAGCAACATAGAGAGTATCCCATGTCGTGAGGTCCTGACAAAGGGTATCCATACTGACGACACCATACTTGATAAGCACCCCGTTGATCGTAACAAACGGGTTGAAGTAGACACCCGCACCGAGTTCTTGAACGCGCGCTATTGCACGCTTCCCTAACTTGCCTAACGCTCCATAGTGATGCGGATTTTGCTGGAGATTGAGCCCGTGCCACTCCTCAGCACAGGGGACCCCGAGAATAAAGTCTATCATCTTTTGATTGCCTCCTTGCATTTGTGTAATGGCTAGTGGCGCGTTCTCATGGACGGAAGGACCTGTTGAGGTCTTGGCACTCTGCGGGAACACGCCAGAGCCGTAGGCGAAAGCGTGGGCTACTGGAGGAAACTTTCCAACAATATAATTGAGTTCCTTTTCGAATGATTCTTGTTGTGGAACGGCATGGTTTGTTGATGTGGTGAACGGGGAATTTCTGTTTCTTCTTGGTATCATTTGGCACGTGCGCGTTCGGATGCCTGTGCGGAGAACCTTCGGACGCATACTGTACATATGGAAAGCTGTTCTAATCATTGATGTTGATATTATTATATCCAATGAATCAGGATCTTGATCAGGCCTTCGTGATGGTCTAAACGCTGAAGTTTGCGGGTATTTGCTATGTTGGGGAAGAATCTGTTGAAGCGAGGGGTTATCAAAGCAGACACTAACTATTCGGGTATAGTGCCAATTAAGACCAGCAGGGGTCCGGCAGGTACTTTGGTGCCAGCCACATAAGAAGTTAGACACGCCCTTGTCTCTCCTTTCTCCTTCAGATTTCAAGTTTTCGTATCTCGATACCGACTAGGAGATTGGCCCAAGTCATGGGGTGAGTGCTACTATCCGCCCCGTGGAAACATACCCACACAATTGGCTCAAGTCCCGCCAAGTGATCTGTATAGCGTTGATCTGCATATTCTTGCGGGGAAGAGACTGGCGGTGCATGAATCACACAGAAGCTGTGTAGCAAAGTATTTGCTGATGGCGTCATCATCCGTTCCAAGCAAGCAGGCAGGAATCTTAGTATGACAAAAATACTTGGCAAGGTCCTGAATATGTTCTGGGTGCGCCCTGATGTACCATTCCTCTATTCCACCATATAATCTTCTTGTATGTTAGTTTATCAAGTTATTTTGGTATTTTATAACTTCTCCATGTCTTGCGTTCTTTTCTCTCTTGTTCGATGCTTTCTTTTCCCTCTTTTTTTCCCTATTTTCCCCGGGAAATCATCTGGACCATTTAGCGTCAAGGGATCGTCGAGGTAGGCTTCATACCACGATGCAGGCGACAAGAAGCGGCAGAGGGATGCGGAGACCCCAGAAAATCCAAACCTTATTTTTGGACAGCTATTTTACCCCGGATTTCCCAGTCTTTCTGTGGAAAGGCAGAGACAGTCACACTGGAACGATGACACGTGAATCGAACATCGTAGGCGGATCGCTTGCAGCGGCACTCCCAGTCACAGACAAGTACTGGTTTCAGCAACCGCATTTGCTACGACTGAACCTAGTCCTTCTCATACCGCTGCTCTCGTCCTCCACTTTTGGCTACGATGGTGAGGAGTGTATACAATAGTCACTTGCGTGACTCTAAAGACTAAATACATGATATTACAGGGTCGTTGATGAACGGACTGCAATCCTTGGAACAATGGCAGACATACTTCAACAATCCCACGGGCAGGCTCTTGGGAACCATAGTGGCTGCGCAGTCCATCGGCAGTGTCATCGCGCTTCCATTCCTAGGAAACCTCTGCGACTGGTATGGTCGCAAGCCGATTCTATTTACCGGACTTGTCCTCATCTGCATTGCCGCAACTATCCAATGTGCGTCGGTAAATCTGGCTATGTTCATAGTAGCCCGCATTTTGATTGGAATTGGAGGGATGTTCAGCTCCCAGCCAAGCCCGATGCTGATTGCGGAATTGGCATACCCTACACATCGTGGTAAATATACTTCGGCTTATTGAACTATGTACTACCTAGGTGCCATTCTATCCTCATGGTGCACGTTTGGCACACAATCACTATCTGGAAGCTGGTCTTGGCGCACCCCGTCCATCTTGCAAGCAGGGTATCCTGTGGTGCAGCTAGCCTTCCTCTACTGGGTTCCAGAATCCCCTCGCTGGCTGGTAGCCCAGAACCGGATCCAAGAGGCTACTGATATTCTAAAGATATACCACGCGGGCCAAAGGAATCCGGATGAAGTGCCTTCACCACTTGTTGCAGTGGAGATAGCCGAGATCACACATGCCATCGAATTCGAGAAGAGCTTCGAAGCCACGGGATGGTCCACTTTAGTAGCAACACCAGGTAATTTCGCCTATTCTCTCCCTTGTTTAGACCGGACACCGATACTAACAACAAAAACAAAGGCAACCGCAAACGAACCACGATCGCAATTTGCGTCGGCGCCTTCGCACAATGGAACGGCATAGCCGTAGTCTCGTACTACCTCTCCCTGGTCCTAGACTCCGTCGGTATTACATCCTCCTACACGCAAACCTTAATCAACGGCTTCCTCCAAGTTTTCAACTTCGCCGCTGCACTAATGGCCGCCTTCCTCGTTGATCGACTCGGTCGCCGCACGTTATTTGTCTGGAGCAGCATAGGCATGTTCATCTCCTTTATAGTATGGACAATTTGTTCGGCCCTCAACAGCGAGACCGGCTCCAAAGCCGCAGGCTACGTCGTCATAGTCTGTGTCTTCGTCGTATACTTCCACTATGATATCGCCTGGACTCCCTTACTCCTCGGGTACCCCACAGAAATCTTTCCTTACTCGCTTCGCTCGAAGGGACTAGCCGTCGAGATGATGTCCGTTTACGGATCACTTATCATTGCATCGTTCTGCAACCCGATAGGAATGGAGAACCTGGGATGGAGGTATTATATTGTGTTCTGTGTCTTCCTTATGTGGATCTTGGCCACGGTTTATTTCTATTTTCCGGAGACAAAGGGTCATACGCTGGAAGAAATTGCCGTTATTTTTGATGGGGATCGATCGGATCTGCGGCACGGTGATGATGATTGTCTCGCGGAGGGGAAGAAATGAAGGCTATCTAATATGGGTCCCGTACAACTACTAACCTCTCGGCGTGCGGCTTAAGTACAGCTGAGTGGACGAGAAGCCCTGTTCTCCAGACCCTGTGGTTGTATGTACTTGTTTTATTCTAGCATTATCATAAATCTCTCCCAGGTGTAAAACCCATAAATTAGTCCGAAAATTATTCAGCGTGTACTTTCTATTGCGTATCTAAGTTCTTTGTTATACAATAATACTAAACGATGTATTCAATGTTCAGACAGCGATCATACTATGTTAACCATAATACTTATAATTGCAAAACAAGGGGAGACACATTGGCGCAAAATTAGAGTGTCCTTTCCGGTTGCAGCCGGGACTCCAAAAAATCAAATACAACCTGATGCAGGCGAAAGAAGGCCCCTTGGTGGCAATGCGTGTCTCCGCCCTCTTCAGCCCCCAGACTAACAAGTTCACATTCACAGCTTAAATTCCTTCTCAGCAATTCCGGTTGGCCCTTTAAAAAGTGGTCATTTTCAGCGTCAACAATAAGACACGGCGTCACGATATCATGACTGATCCCTTCCAACGTATATTTGCTGGTTGCACGGCTAAGCTCTGCTGCTGAGTCCACACCAAAGGTCCATTTGCCATTACGCAAAGCCCAACGAGTCCCCGTCGAGAAGGAAGACACGAACTCAAATAGCAGATTGGGAACAGCGTCATATTTCCGCTCCACGAGCTTCTGGACGAGAAGTGGCTGCGCATTTCGAAATGCAGAACCAAAATCATACACGCCATCATCGAGCACGATCGCAGCCGCGCGATGTTCCTGCGTAGCCGCCCTAGCCACTAAGTACCCACCCATGCTCCATCCGAAGAGAACTATGCCATTAGCGTTAATTTCTGGGCGAGATATAGCATAGTTCACAACAGGCGTGAGCACCTTCTCCCAATCGTGTCGAAAGTGCATCCCTTGGCTTCGGATCGCCGCACCCTGTCCGGGACCATCGAAGGCGAGGAAGTTATACCCCCTAGCCAGAGCCGCTGCCCCAATTGCAAACCATCCCTCGCTCGCCGTTGAGTCAAACCCGCCATTGAAGATAACCGTGCGTCGTGGCTTGTCTGTCCTGTCAAATCGTACAAAATATCCTGGTAGAGATGTCTCCTCGTAAGGAATACTAATCGGCTCATAGCAAAACTCCGAAACCTCCATCGCCTTGACGAACGAACTTTCGGAGCTTTTATAGAGAGACTGTGATAATTCATCTTCGTCGACATTTTCTCGGCGGTAGAATTCCGCCGTTCGGAAGTAATTTGATGCACGAAGGTATCCATGGTAGGCACTTTCACTGTTTTTGGCTGTTTTGGAGTGGTCTGCGTTGGAAACTGCTCGCTGTGCGGCATTCCGCCACTCGCGGACCCAGTCTTCTTCATTTCCAGGCCGGATTTTGGAACATATTGCTATCACTTCCCCAAGATCTGCACCACCGTAATTGCTGTAGCCAGCGGCCCGGAGCGCTTCATAGCTGAAGGACCCGTTGGATTCGAAGAAGTGATTAATAAGCATTGCTGGTATGTAGGTCAATAAAACTATGAAAGAGACTGAGACGATGCGAGAAGGTCACTTTAACATGGAGATCCAGGAAGTGGTTCTGATGTGGAGATGCAAAGGCCATCTTGATTTGTTTGCAGTCTTCTTTTATACAGAGACAATGGTGAGCCGGGTGGTCTGACTTGAATTATTCGGGCCGAATTCATGAACTAGCCATTCTTAACCTGTGATGACAAACCAATTATGATTGACTAAATAGTAAATAACATTTACTGATCCTGACAGTTTGCCTGTCCCCTCATACCTCCAAGTAAACACCTCTTGAGAGTCGTCGCACATTGCTCACTTCACGATCCATACGGAACTTTTCTTGGGGTTTTGCCCGTTGGGCTGGATTCGGCCCGACTCAGTAATCGGGGTACGTTGCGAAAACTGGATCTGCTTGAGATGCTCCTGGCTGTAGTTTCAAGGAAAGAATTGCTGTTTATGCTATGCTTCTTACCCCTCGGCTCAACTCTATTTACAAATAGCACCTATAGCCTTACGACCGGTTGGACCTCTACAACCGCAGATTCATGGTAAAGTCCCTAAATCTTAATTGCATTTTTCTCTCCTTTTTTTTTCGTTTTCTTCTTCTTTTTGTTTCTTTTGGGCTTTTTTTTTTTTTTTTTTTTTTTTTTTTTTTTTTTTTTTTTTTTTTTTTTTTTTTTTTATCATTACTCGGGACATCTTTGAACTCGCTGTGCTTCTGGGACCTGGTCACCTACTATCAAATCATAATGATAGCTCCACAACAACAGCCCTTCGCCGCGCTTAAAATTGTCTCGAAATATAGCAACGGCTACCAAAGTATTTATATTCCCGCCAGCTTGATTCAATGTGGTACTACGGGGAAGCCAGTTGGGTCGAGAAACGACCCACTATGGGGAGGCTGATGGTTGATGAGTGCCTAGGTACATGTGATTCGGCCCGAATTTCGTTATCTTTGACGTCAGCTCCGAACCAAACAAAAAGAAGCCTCGGTATTCGTCGACCTCTTCAGATCTCTCGTTTCGAATTTCAAAATTCGGTCCGATAAGCAGCGACAGAATAGCGCCAATTACTTACTTCCAATCTACTCATGCAGACCGATTATGGACCCCTCCAAAACCCAAGAAAGAGACCAGAGACAAGCAAGCGCTGGGAGTCGCCCATCCATTACTGCATGTTTGCGATGTCGTACGCAGAAGGTGATTACAACACTAATTATTTCTGTACCCGGATATGCCTCTTTTCCTGATAATTAACTCTGCCCAGCTCAAGTGTGGCCGTCAGCGCCCCGTGTGTGCTCGATGCCAACGAGTGGACGCGACATGCTCTTATCCTTTGCCCCCGAACCGTCGGGGCCCACGCCCACGCTCACAACGCGCTCGGCTCCCAGAAAGGGCAACTGAACGCAGCCACCCGCAGGAACATATTCGCCCTCGGCGAAGACCCCTTCAGCAGCCTTACATCGATCAGCCATCGCCATTACAACAGACATCGCCTTCGAGGATTGAGCCGCTGGGCCAGACCATTCTCACCCGAGGCCAAAGCGCGACCCCGAACCCCGTTGGCTTTGATGAGGGTCTTGAAGGGATATCGCATCCTCGCAGCGACACCGCAGTGCATGACGCTTCCGTAGTGTTAGCTACAGGAACGCCCGTATTGCTCGATGTACGCGCTAAGTTGACGCGTGGGGCTTGATACTATAGCGACTCTGGGCTGATTCCCGATTTGATATCTTTATAGTCCTATCCAAATCAGCTACGCACGATGTGCTCAATCGAAAACGCAACAGACTCAGTACATACCCCAAACGGAGACCAGCCACCTCTACCTCCCACTGCCCTTGGTCTCTCTCTACTGGAACTCTACTTCACGCGCATATATAATGCACCTCTACTATTCCACAAGTCTGTTTTATTTCAACAATATCTGGAGCAAAAGCTTCATGGCGCGCTTCTTAGAGCCTTATTGGCATTGGCAACACTGTGCGTTCTCCTGTGGTCCATGCTACCACTGCTTTCTGCTGGAGAATATCCTTTGCTTAACGACTATGTCCAGTTTTCTTCAACCCTGCGATTCCGAGAATGGAAAAGACCTCATTGGAGAACATGCTGAGTTGAAAGTCCTGAGTATATATCACTCTTCTGGACTTCCATGGGCGAAAGCTGCTGAAAAGGAAGCCATTGTTGCTGCCGTAGACAGTCCGTCTCTCATGGTCATTCAAGCACTTGCGTGTCTTCAACACTATTGGTTCGGTATTGGACAGCCTTATCGGGGCAATCTTTGTCTTGGTAAGTTTCCATCCGTCACTTACCGTCAAAAACGAATAACACACACATCGCTGGCAATGTGTAATTTATGGGAAATGCAAACTTTAACAGATTTTAACAGCATTAGCCTATCGTGCCTGCCATCTTCTTGGGTATACCAATAATTCGAATGGTGTCGTTGGTCTTGATCATGACATGAGCCTTGAATCGGAGCTGGCCCGGCGATGTTTCTGGGCCTGCTGGACGTCGACATGCATCGTCATGGAGCCCGAGCCATATATCAAATCCTCCTGGCAGGAAGTCGCCATGCTGCCGCTTCCCGGGGAAATTCGATCCACACCATCAGGGTACAGAATAATGCCTGGCGAAACGATGGATGAAAAATGGAATTCTCGCGCTCTGACGCCGGCAGCAAACTCAGGATCAGTCCCAGCGAACTTGATGAAAATGGTGGGTGTCTGGTAGGTCAGGAGAACTATTTTGCTACCCTGGAGACATGGCAAACATCAGTTAATAATGACGTTACTTGGCAGGGCAAAGGTACAACTGCTGTGCAAAGACAATAAGACCGGCTCTTTACTCTCGGAAAGGTTCGAGTCTGGGCGGAAATTGTCTCAATTAGCAACCTCATTTTACGACGCTGCAGACCATTATAGGAACTCTTATTCAGTTTCTAATGACGAGGGTAACCATCACCAGACTTCAATACCCCAGGACCAAGTCTTATTGCTCGTGCACGATACTCTCTATCACCAGTGCCAAATTAGTATCCATTCAATGATCGTGCCCTTATTTTCGGGCATCGAAAATGAAAACAGCTCGGAAACAATAGACGCAGCCGACCGGAGGCAAAGCGCAACAACTGTTGCAAAGCACGCTGATCTACTATGTCGCCTATTAGAACCGTATCTCTCGGGTCAGCGTCATGTTTCATTCTTACCTCCTCTCGTCGGCTATGCGGCGTTTGTCGTGGGCATCGTTCTTCTTCTCATGGAGATTTCATGCCCAAACAGAAGAAATGGAGTGAATGTGAATGGATTCGGCGTCGAAACCAGTGGGAATGGGAATGAGGAAAAGAATGGTTATGGTCAGGGCTGCAGATTAAGCGCCGTGAAATCAATATTGCATCTAGTTGATCGTCATAGAGTTTATTGGAGGGCATTGCAACGTCCGGTGCGTCTTCTCTGGTATTTTCTCATGCCGTTGACACTCTGGATAGATCCGGCATTGTTCAAGGGGTTGACGATCGGTTTATAGTGGAAAATACTGCAGACTGCACTGCAGGGAGAATCTCAGAAGCATTCAACACAAAATCTACATCAACCGACGAATCTTCAAGATTGTACGTCAACTGAGCCAAGTATCTCTTACAACGTCCTTTATGGAGAGGAAACACCATTGGGTAACTAATGTGCATCTATTCAGGTCATCTCCCGGCACCCAGCCGTGAAAGCGAAAATCCCCAGACGTCCGCCGCAGGATACTCTCAAGTGATGGAGCCCTCAAGTGAAAATCCACGCCCCATTGCTAGTATGCTGAATAACACTGCAGAGGGCGGACCATCATCGGCAGTAGCTCAACATAGCTCTTGCTTGGCTAATAATGTTAACAACAACAATAATTCTGAAACAGCCGCAAATGAAACAGAAGCAAACGCGATTGATCCATTGATTAGTGGGATTAATGTCAATGTACCACAGGACTATGATTGGTATAACCTGTCATTTGCAGACGCTGGGTTCGAGCAATTCGCTGGTCTTGAACCTTTGGCTCTTTTTCAACACGGGTGGCGGAGGACATTTGGGTAGTTGGATTCGCGAGGGCCAGATAGTAATGCCTACATAGGAACTTGCACAATTCTTGAAGTAGCTTGGGCAATAGCCACACCCTGTGGTCGTATGTACCTATTGCATCTATGATATTCTTTGAGTAGAGCTAGAGTGTATTGCACTGGGTATGCGACGCGGTGCAGGGTACTATATTCATGTCTTGATGTAGAGAGGAGATTCTGAGAGACCAGTTTCCGGTCGGACATATTCGGAGTCTCATGTCTCCAATTACATTTCCTTTGCAGCAGGAATAAAATTAATCATAACTATTTAGCCACTTCAGGTCGAGATCAGTCTCTATAACCCCTGAGACTTCATCATCATATGATACTTGCTTCTCATGCGAATCCTCGGCCCAAAGTGATAAAACACCCATGGGAGGGGAGCAAACGCCAGGGCAAAGAATCCTAACAAGCTAGAGCCCCAGGGTACCCCCAAGCCGTCATACAGATACGGGCCAAACAGTGGGAAGACTGCTCCGAAAACCGAACGGAACACTGCATTGGCCGCAAGCGCACTTGCGCCATATGGCCCGTAACAATCCGTGAGATATGAAGTGATGGCGAGAAAGAGTAGAATGAGACTGAAGCCGAACGGTGCCCCTGATACAATGCCCACGATCCAGTGTATCGGGGGCATCGCGGTCCAACCAAACCAGAATAAGCTGGCGGGGATCAGCCAGGCCAAGATGATAATGTGGGGGAGTCGAGCTTCTGGCTCCGGGCCAAGTTTGGTGACATATGTCGCGTGAATCTTGTTCACGTATGGTGAGGCTATTGTGGCTATTGCCATACCTGTGCCCATGCCTAGAAAGGAAAGCCCGGCGATACCGGGGGTCCAGTCACGGGACTGTTCATATACGATCGGGTAGGCTGTGAAGTCCAGGTATAGGATCCCATAGATGAACGCCATATAGAGGGATAGTAGAAAAAGGATGGGCTCCGCGAATAGCATCAGCCAAGGGCGGGTTAAAGAGGTCATAAGTTGTGAGTTTAGAGAGGGACCAGTCTGGACGATGCCCTGGCGACGAGCCTTGTCTCGTAGAAGCTTGGGGGCATATGTTTCTGGCAGGAAGAGCACACACGCCGCATAAACTACGCCACTGACGATGAGGACCACCCAAAAGTTCCATCTCCAGGAGAGATACTCGGAAATGAACCCGCCAGCAACTGGCGCGAAGACGGGTCCAAGAAAGCTACCTGCGGAAAACAAAGCCAAGGGAACAGACCGTTCGCTTTGCGGCCAGAGATCTGTGATAGACCCGCCCGAGTTGGTGACCGACGGAGAACCGAAAAAGCCGGCGAAGAATCGAAAAATGATGAGCGATGAGATATTTGGTGCCAACGCACAGCCGATCTGGAAAAGAACAAATAGTCCTAGAGTAACCCGGAAAATGTGGTTGCGGCCGCTAGATCAACCCTAGACGCATGAGCCAGCAGCCACAGGACAGAGGGATTCGACAGACTGACTAGACTTCAGACAGAGGAGCGAAGATGAGGGGCCCTGATGCAAATCCCAACAGAAATGTCGTCACTCCAAGAGTGGCAACGGTGCGTGAACAGCCATATGTGGCAGTGATGAGGCTGGTTCCAGCGGTGTAAATACTCGAACAAAAGGCGATTACTCCCGTCATCACCGCCACGATCACCGTACACACCCCTAAATCATCGTTGGATGTTGATTAACTCCATGATCCCACTGTCACAGACCAAATAGGAGCATTTCTTACACTTTCTGGCTTTTGGCCATTGTCTGGGATCTTCCTTCTCATCGAGCTGGAGAAGCCCCTCACTTGCATTAGTAATGCACTGACCAGGGGTCTCGGTCGCTTCCGGATGACCCATTGATCAACTCGTGGCTAGCTGGCGCTGGCCCCAATTGAAGGATAGCGGTGGAAGAAGGAGAATTGAATACTGAGCGATTCAAGGCTACCTAAGGCCGGGGTGGCTCTTTAAGTAGAAACATGGTAGCGCATTAGGAATCCGGTGAGGCTGGTAGTCCTTCCAAGTGACTAATTGCGATAATCCTTTGGCGCCTGTAACCCAACAGGTCTTAGCATAGGGCTATTTCGAAACTAGAGCAAACCAAGCCAGGTACCCTGGTTCAAGCTGACGTGGCGCGCAAAGCTAATGATCGGAAGCTTATCTCCCCGCCGTCAGCATGCCGGAGGAAACTATTGTTGGCGCATCTCATGATATAGATGGTGTCATCCTCTCCTAGATGTCCCTGAAAAGCACCAATGACAAATACATTGTGCCTTGTAGCGACGCTCTCTTTCCTTTTTTACGCAATTCTTCGTACTCGTCGACACAGGTACGTGTTATGGGCTGATGAGGTCTAGTATCCTTTCTCTGCCACTCCCTCAACCTTCAGCTCCATTAAAGGTCTGAGTTTGTTCCTGGCATAGCCGGGCGTTGAAGTTACGTTGGCCACCCAATTTTAACTTTTGTTCCTCCGTTTCAGTGCCATTATGGACACTGGCATTGTTGGTTCAGGCATAGCCGATCTATATCTGGTCCTCTTTCTTCAATGTCTTGTCCGACGGATCAAGGCAGAATAATTGCCCACTGGTGTGACGAAAGGGTGTATATTGTATCGGGAGCAATACTCTGGTCAAATTGCGCTGGCGTGTCTCTCACCATCAACACAAGTCAGGATGGGCAAGCGGTGCTTATCCCCAACATACAAGGACACCCCTCAAAACCGGTGATCCCGAAGTTTCGTCCGATCTCAAGGTACCATTGTCACCGAATACTAGAGAATGTGCGCAAGGGAGCCTCGGGAGGACCGATCACCCCTTGGCTGAATTTGTTGCACGCAGATTCCGATGTAGGGCTTGATCGGGTCCTGCAGTATGACGTTATATCCCCCCAGCCTTGTTCCATCTTATTACTGGGTGGCTTTATACAGTGGCCGATTCCTTGAGGTTGGCGACGAGTCAATCGAACCAGTTTGAGCTCAGCTTCTAATCAAGCGAATTATTGATGATGATGCACGAATCTGAGCCATTCTGCAAAGATGAAATCCCTTTCTCATTGTAACTGCTGTACAGCTTGTAAGTACTGAAAATATACATATCGAGAAGGGCGAACCCGATGGTTGATCACTCGGACGAGAGAGTCACCTTGCGACCATCCTCGCCTTTGTACACCAGGCCGACCGTGGAGGAGATTAATGAGCGATGACGGCTTTTGCATTCCGCATGCCAGGATTACAGATAATATGAATGATGTCTATGACGATCAGGGCCCTGGTTTCGGGTTGAGATTAAACATGCAAGGGACTTGCCCTTCCTTCGACATACCTTCCGCCTTCGGAATTGATTTACTTCCCTTGCTATGCATTTGTCAACCCGACTTGATCAGCAGTATAGCAATAAGACCGTCGCACTCTCCCATCCTTTATAAGTGGGCTCTTCGGAGAATTACGGGACCCTGATCGTCATCAAGTTGAAGGTTAGTAACCAAGTCAGCATCAAAAATGGAGCCGAAGGGCACCCGCATCGCCGCAGTCAGACTCTTATCGGAAAAGCCAGCAGTATACTATAATCGAGCATCATCTAAGCCGCAGGCCCCAGTCTCTGACTATGGTCAAGCGAAGGACGCCGATATGTTGGTGCATTTGGCTGGCAGTTGCATTATTTCCCACTTTCAAGTTTCCGTTCGAAGCAGCTATTCACCTTCCTTTTCAAACGGACACTCGACAATGGACGAGTATGTGCTTCCTTCATCAGTGTGAGTAACCGAATAGCAGAATGAGGTGATTATATACCTGGAAAATTTGGATGCCTCGAAGATGACTCCGGGTCTTGCTTAAACATCATCTGAAGCATCTGACATAAACTGCCAGTAATGGAGATTACGCCAACCCCTATAAGGGTGGCTTACCACTGCTAGCCACATTGAATCAACGTCGCTGACTATGTGGAGTGGTCGTCTACACGTGATATAACCAAGTGAATTGAAAGCCTTCTTTGTCTTTACGATTCATCAAGTAGCGACGCTCTCCCGCTTTTCCCCACGGAGCAGGAGCAATTTCCCTCCAATGCTCATGACATTCCAGGATTAATTCATTCCACATATCTCTCTTTCAAAGATGCAGAGACGCTACCGGAAGAAGAGGCAGCCCAAGTCTCGCCAGGTGAGTACGAGCCTCTTAGATGGACTGATCGGAGTTACCTAGCACTCCTCAGAGCGACTTCCTCATATGCAATCCGGTAGCAGTGTAACTGACCGATTCAACCAGGGCACGCCCGAGAGCCTCCACACGGAGGAAAAGCACAGTGATTGTCGCAGCTCTCTGTCTAGTCGCGAAACAGATGGAACCTCCACTTCATCTCCCCCAAAGCCGGCACAGGCAGGCTCCGTCCCAAGCCGCCGATTTAACCCGGACGAGCTATACCCAAAACACTTCACTTTGAGCGACATCGAGGTTCCAGCACACAACATGGTCTTTCTCGCTTGCCCAGGCTCGGAAAGAAAATGCCCCCACTGCAAACGCCACACGCGTCACCTGGGCTGTATCGTGATTGCCATAGATGGAGCGTGCCGCAATAATGGCAGATACGGAGCCCGGGCGTCAACTGGGGTCTACCACGGCCACGACCATCCCTTAAACGGAAGTGCCAGTCTTTCCCCCAATCTCAAGCAAACAAGCCAGGTCGCCGAACTCGCGGCCTGCGAGAGGGCTCTGCTTGGTGCGTACGTCATGCAAAAGTGCTGGGATGGATTATCCGAAATGACAGGAGATGGAGAAGAAAGGCTTCACACCGTGGTGATCAAGTCAGACTCGGAGTATGTGGTGCGCGGAATGACCGAATGGATCTTCAAATGGAAAGCCAATGATTGGACTACCGCGAAGGGCTTGCCCGTCGCCAATCAAGAGCACTTTAAGAAGATTGATTCTCTTGTCGAATCTCTTCAAAATGAGCAGGTCCCTGTCCAGTTCTGGCAGGTTCCGAGAGATTTAACCAGGAGGCGGATAGGCTGGCAGCGTCTGCTCTGGATGATGATTGAATCACTATACTCGCCGTTGGAAATAGCTTCACTTAGTGTCGATGTGTGGGTTGACTCTGTGGATACTAGTTATTCTCTAAGCTTGTGCTGTCATATCCATAATATCTTTCAATTAGCTTATCCAACACCGTGCAGTAAGCATGCGTACGCTTTTTCGAGTACCAACCTAAGTAGGTACAAGAGACCCCACTATCCCCATTTTATCCAAATTTAAATATGAGTGATGATGGTAAATTGATACAAGCAGTACATAGAAAGATTCACATTCATCATAAACCCATGTCAACAATGCCAGCACTGACGTCGATGCAACTAACAAATTTGACTATCCGAGATTGTAGCGCATCCCCTTAGTAGACCCTTTGTCATACAACAGCACCATAATATCATCCCACTAAAGCCACGTGCTAAGGGCTCAACAAATCTTTTGGATCTACCAAGAACAGTGCCCGGAATCAATCCTCAAATCCGCCCTGGTCATAAGATTACTCTCATCCTCTAGTATACAATACCGAAGCCCGGAACTCATCGATAGTACTCAAACTAAACAGCATATTATTCCCAACTCACCGTCTGTAGATTCCTGGTTTCTGGAGCGCCTCCGCCGTAGCCGCCGAGAGAAGATGTACAATGAGATGCACTCCCTACCAGATGATGTTCCTGTAGACTATCAAACTCGTAATGTTTCTCTTGGGAAGACACATCACTTGTGAAAGGCCAGCTCCTGTGTCGTTGGCCTGTGTCTGTTCTGTAAGGATTCAGCCATCCTACTTCGTTCTGCAGACTCAAGTGTTAAGCAATGACATTTAGCATCGGCAAATGGAGATGATGGATCGTTAATCAGTGGTCCACAATAGTTGGATGTCTGGCAGACATTCATGAACCGTTCAAGAGGCGCGTTTGGGATACATCAGCGCCATCTGTTGGATAGGAACAGTCGTTGGGGCCCTTGTCGCCGCCTGGACATGCGATCTATCTGGTCGGAGAGTAGGAATCTACGTCAGAATATTTCTTGTTACTGTCGGCATTTTACTACAATCCGAAGAACCGGATTATACTGTCTTCAAACTTGGTCGCTTTATGGTCGGTAAGAGCAGCGGGTTTATGAGCAATGCAGCCCCATTGTTGTTCTATGAAACTTCTATCCAAATCAGCATCATCGCCTAAGTGAACATAGTCTTTGCCAGAACAACAATCCTTGGAAATATTGAACCATCTTGTTTGAGGGGTGCGTACGCATCAGACAGAGCAGCATCTGCTGAAAGGTACAACAGCTATCAGTATAAACGCTTGCACGTTGATGGGAACAAATCTTCTCACTTCTGTTTCCAAAGGTATACGTGTTGTAGTAAGGCACTGAATTCAACTAGCAACCATTGATCCATGGAGGGCTTTTATTGCCAAGAGGGATGGGCACTCATAGCGCTTACAACTAGCGGGGTCGAATCCACAGATATTAATCAGGGGATAAATTGGAATATCCACCCGAGCCAAAGAGGGAAAGAAACACGGGTACGAGATAAATCGTATCTAGATACTTCTGTATCTGTACATAGTAGAGAGATAAAGTGTAAATCTCTACCTAATGCATGCTCTCTACTCACCGTTGCATATGCACCCCACAATATTTTTCCGGGATAACCTCGGCCCCTATGGCACGCGACCAACAGGCACAATACACTTTTGCAACTGCATTGGCATCTTGGCAAGCATGGTCTCCATGCGTACTGCGTCCAAAGTGACCAGATAAGTTATGATGGCCAAAGATAACACGCAATCCAAGTCTACTTTTACCAACACACTATCCGGGTACGGTTCCCTAGTCCAGTAAAGTCTCCACTGCCTGAGTCAGCGCCTGGACGCTAAATTTGATTTCCTGGGTTAGCGCCAAGCAGTACATTGAGCACTGCATACTGTTCGAAGACCTGCACAACATCGGATAATTCTGGCCTTGGCAGATGCTGTTTACACGGCAATGTGAGCACTCTGTCACCGAGTCCTACGAGGTCAGAGAAATTCAACAATGTTCTTAGCGAGCCAGTCAGCACATATTGACTTGCGCAGGATGACCGAAGCTCATGACAGAGAACTGTTCGAAGGACCATTGCCTGATGTATACCGGTTCCTTCGTTAGTATGGGGCTGCCAAATCTGCCACGGGCATAGCAGATTAGATCAAATGAGCATCGATTTCGGCCATCTAAGAACGGCGCAATCGGGGAGAGTATGCGTTAGCCATCGATGAGCACCTCTGCTTTTCGCTAGCTTTCAAATGGCCTTCAGTAATAGCTAGAATTGTTAATGGCGCATCCCGGATCGCTCAGGGCGCGCATTTCTGGGGCCCACGCTTCGGCCCGCTCTGTGAGCATAAGCGCCAAGCCCGGCCGACAAAGGACAGATGGATTCCTCGGGCTTTGTAAACTGGTTAGAGCATCCTCAGTAGCCTAGAAAAGATTGTACTGGGATCCCCAGGAACAGATCGCAAATAATTGCCAGATCAGGACCAGAAGACAGCACGCATGCCACCGGTCGAACCACCTCGGGTTCTCGGGTTCGGGGCAGATTACCGAATCGACGTTAGACCCAGTCATATTTGACGGTGCAGTTCAGACATATCATACATTATAGCAGGGTGTGATTGCTGCCAGGGCCAGATTAAGCTCAGAAGCAATTAGAAGGTGCGCTGCACACGAAATGCTGTGTTGAGTTCGTGCGATGGCGTCATCTTGGCACTGCAAGTGACCATGCTAGTTGTGCTTGATTCCGGATATACCGGATTATTATCTCTTCTGCCTAACGAGCCCCTTATGCTGATTTGTTGGCTCTAAAGCACTGTTGATACTTGGTCAGATGCCGGTATGGCATCAATGCCGAAACGGAATTGACTGTTGGTGCTTGGGTCTCGTTTTTGGCTTTGTCCCCGCCTGTACCCCATGTCTGCTATCGCTAGCCTCTGAGCGGTGTCTTGATGTTGAGCACTGGAATAATATCATTCGCCAGTGTACCTGCTGCTAGCTGGGCGCCATGATAAACGAAGGATCAGATCGCGTTTGTACACTATACAAAGTAGCTTCCAAGCCAAGGAACTAATTCTCCGGATTCTCGGAGCAGCCACAAACATCATTGCGCTCCGTTGTCCGACTGTTGGCTCACTCCGCTTCCACTAGGATTGGACGTCCTTCCAGAAGGATCCGCCCATAATGAACGGCTTCCAGGCTTCACCATCGTCAATTTGGATGCTCTGCGTTCATTGGCGATAAAGTGCTGACCCTATCTGATTGGGGGCAAGCCGTCTTGCCGAGGCCTCATCACGCGTGCTGCCCCACTGTCAATCTAGGGGCCAATCATTAACGAGTGTAGACTAGCGGGTAGGCCGAATCGGTTTCACGCGCATGGCAAGGAGTCCAGGTTGTCTCAATCAATAGTCCGCCAGTGATCGTCCAGCTCTCTCCTGTTTCACCTGAGGTGGTAGTGCGCGTCCTCAAAAAAGAGCCAAGCATTGAATGTCACGCATGGAATAATGTATGCATTCTGTAATGGCGCGGTGGTCATTGATCCTGACCAACTGGGCGCTAACCAATCCGCCTTGGAAAACGGTAAACTTTACGGATACGTACTGCGGTAGATGACGAAGCGAGCGGGTCCGAGTGGCTGTCAGCGGTGGCACTTATCGCTCGTCACTCGCCAGTCGACCGTCATCACAAATCAAGCAGGCCACTCGCAGGATAGCATCCGCCACAGATCAGATTATTGCCCCGGATAAAGACACTTTTGAGTTTCCTTGCTTTCCCCAAATGTCACAGCCGAAGTGTTGTCTTGGCCTCACGCGGGCAACCTCGAGTACCAAATCCAGGCAGCGTGGCCAATTGTATCTCGGAAATAAAACAACCTTGCGCGGTTGTGCCAAGAACAACAGATTGAAAGTATCTCGCAGCGCTGGGGCTGGTGCCGCCACTCAAGCGGGGAAAAATTAATTGCCAACGACCGTCCCAAGGCCCCCAATGGTGCGAAAGGGAAGAATTCACAGACAGGATAAGTGATAACCTCTACAGTGGATCCAGCTTCAGGTCCGGATCCACGGTGGCTTGCTTGGCGGTGCTGGAGAATTCCCATCGAGGCCAATCACGGCCAACTGCGACTCGTTCGCGTCGTCGTTGGTCTCCGCCGCGAATGGATATCGGCTTCGATGGATCGCTTCGACGCCGCGTGGATGGGGCGCTTTGGTATCCGTTTCGGGGGTTGAAGCTGTTGGAGCCACCCTCTCCTGAACGACTAACCCGACCGTATGCGACATTCTTATTCTCGCCGGTGCTCCGCCTGCCTCGAGGCAAAATTCGATGATATGATGAGTGCCGACTCTCCGCCCTGCCGTCGCTCCCGAGAACACTATCTTCCCAGATAGTTCCTTTTGTTCCGCCTTACCCCAGATCCGAAACTTTGTCTCCTTTCCTCCCTCCTCCCTTGGACAGCTCTCGTCGCTCTGGCCATCCGCGATGATCCAATGTCCTCGTGGACTTCTGCCCTCTCTCGCGCCAATCGCCTGCGTTCAAGGCTCTCAGCCCTCCATGTCGTTACGGTTGGCGCCATAATCAGTCTCTCCTATCTCTTCTACACCTTCGCCGTTCCCCAGCTGAATCGACTGAGGCTTCGCGCGGATCTGAGTTGGTATGACCTGGGCCTGTACGGTTTCGGTCCGTCGAAAAGTTATGTTTCCTTCGATTATGAATCTCCCGCGGTACAGATCTCAGAATGGGAGTCGGGCTGCGACTTGCGATATACCTTTCTAGCCCCTAGGGGTGACTCGGTGGCCCAGCCGGGGCCTATGATCCTCGATTCCAAGGGGGAGCTGGTGTGGATGAAATACAACTGGGACGTGACTCAGGACTTCAAGGTCCAGCGATATCAGGACACTGACTATCTGACATACTGGGAAGGTGGTGAAACCGAAGGTCGGGGCTATGGGGCATGGTATATGGTAGGTGGTACACAACCCTGTCGTATGGTGTAGCGTGCTGATCTAGACAGCTGGATTCGACATATACCCAGCGATATGTGATTTCCCCAGTAGGGAATTATGGTGGTGATCTCCACGAATTTACCATCACCCCCGAAGGAACGGCTCTCGTTACGATATACGATCCAGTGCCGGCCGACCTCACTCCCGTTGGAGGCCCCGAACTGGGCTGGGTATATGATGGCGTCTTCCAGGAAATTGATATCTCTACGGGCGAGCTGATCTTCGAATGGCGCGCGTCAAAGCATTATCCCATTAACAGCACGTACGAGCACTTAGGCAAGTCGGGAAGAGTGCGCGGGTATGCGTTTGACTTCTACCACATCAACAGTGTGGACAAGGATGACAATGGGAACTATATTGTTTCCGCACGCCATACTCATACCGTGAGCTGCATAGACAAGGACACTGGTGAAGTCTTATGGACCCTGGGCGGCAAGTTGAATGAGTTCCACGATCTTTCAGATGGGCAGGCCACCAATTTCGCCTGGCAGCATGATGCACGGTGGCACGCCAACAATACCTTGACTCTTTTTGACAATGCATCACATTCAAACGATGATCCGGATAACGAAAGTCGTGGAGTGGTTATCGATCTTGACGTTGCCGCTCGCCAAGCGTCATTGCGCGCTGAGTACTATCATCCTCAGCAAATGCGGTCCTTGTCACAGGGAAACGTCCAAGTTCTGGACGATAGTGGCCGAGTTCTCGTCGAGTGGGGCCACAGCGCAGCTTTCAGCGAGTTTAGTGCCGACGGGCAACTGCTATGCAACACTCATTTCGGCGCCTCTGCCTTCTTTGGGTTTGGCAGAGTAGTATCTTACCGTGCCTTCAAGGGCACCTGGGTTGGTAGACCGCAGACGGTCCCCGACGCTGAAGTCTTAGGAAACCACGTGTATGTGAGCTGGAACGGCGCAACAGAGGTTGTTGCGTGGCGACTGGAAGTTTGGGACTCGGATGACTTGAATGACAATACGTTTCGTGTTGTGTCCCAATTCCAAAAAGATGGCTTCGAGACGGAGATAGAGATTCCCGAGGGTCTTGAGCTTCCTTTGTTCCGACTGGCAGCGCTGGATTCCGATGGGAATGTTCTAGGCGCCACCGAGCTGCTCCAGCGAGAGCAGGGTGGGAGCTTTGAGCAGGTCATGAACCCTCAGTACTGGGTTATTGTCATGGCCTTTGTCATCAGTGGAGTTGGTTTGTTTGTTGGTCTCTATACGTGCTGCGGCTGGGGCCGTTATTTCCGTCGGTGTCGCTCACGGTCCAGCGAGTACCAATTGGTTGCCTTCAGCGACAGCGATGGTTCCGTTTGAGGTCTTTTGCGGATCGGATGTGGCAGGCCGCTCCGTTTGTATATATCTGTCTCAACCTGTACATATGATACCCTCATTCCAAAATGTCATTGGATGCATTACTGGCTTATTGCAAATGTTCACGTGTTGATCGATGGGTGTAGGACAGAAGACCCATCTAAGAGGACATAGAATGAGACTTCTTTATCCCTATAATGATGAAGTGGATACCGCTGCGCCTGGGACACTCACAGCAGAGAATTGTCAAGGTCGGCCTTCCAAATGTTGACGGTCAGCTGCTGGCGTCTGGCGAGCGATCCATGTGGATGGCAGAACATTAGCTAAGAGGATATCCAGAGTGGGATGAAAAGCGCTAAAACGTGATGAAAATGAAGCACGCATGAGAGGGAGGAAAGTTGGTAAGTCTTATGCAGAACGAGAGTATAGATTCACCTGGCTGTCCCAGTTAGGCAACTAATCGTGCTAGTCCTGAACCGGATCAAGCTGACTCAGCCTCCCCGGTAGGCACACAGGCACCAAGGCACCAAGGCCGCCAACCCCGGTTATCCACGGGGATCGGGGCGCATTCCCCGCATGAAGCAAGATGCCTTTATTGATAAACCAAGGGGGGGGGAGGATTTCCCCGTACCTCCCTCGTCCTCCAGGCGTTCTCATTCTACTATCTGAGCCTCCGAATCCCTTCAGAGTCCTCCACGATGCCTTCACTCCGTCTTCCCAAACTACCAATACCCCGACCCTCCTACCGGGGCTACTCCACCTCCGCACCTTCCCCTTCCTCACGCCTGAACCTCCCCATCGACTACAGATCGACACCGCTCCTCCACCACACGGCCTCCAGCCTCTCAAACCACCCAGACCTCCCTAGCAATGCGACCTCCAAATCCATCAACTTATATCAAGCCATCAACTCCGCATTACGCACCGCCCTCTCCACCTCCAACAAGGTGATGCTCTTCGGCGAAGATGTCGCTTTTGGCGGCGTCTTCCGCTGCTCGATGGATCTACAAACCGAATTCGGCTCTGAACGGGTCTTCAACACGCCCCTAACAGAGCAAGGCATCGTCGGCTTTGCAATCGGTGCAGCGGCACAGGGAATGAAGCCTGTTGCGGAGATTCAGTTCGCAGACTACGTGTTCCCAGCGTTCGATCAAATCGTGAACGAGGCGGCGAAATTCCGGTTCCGGGAGGGAGCAACCGGTGTGGATATTGGGGGGATGGTGGTGCGGATGCCGTGTGGTGCGGTCGGACATGGTGCTTTGTGGGTGGCATACTATATTCCTGTTTGCTGAGTAGGGGAAGAAGATGGCTAACGCTGTGGACTACAAACTAGGTACCACTCCCAATCACCAGAAGCACTGTTCGCACATGTTCCTGGCGTACAAGTCGTCATGCCTCGCTCTCCATCCCAAGCTAAAGGCCTTCTCTTGTCCTCGATCTTCGAGTCTCAGAATCCCGTCATCTTCATGGAACCGAAAATCCTCTATCGTGCCGCGGTAGAACACGTCCCGAGCGAGTACTACACCATCCCATTGAACACGGCGGAGGTTATTAAGCCAGGGAACGACCTGACGATAGTCTCGTACGGACAGCCACTATACCTCTGCTCCGCGGCCATCGAAGCAGCCGAAAGGGCATTCGGGGCGAGTATCGAGCTGATCGATCTGCGCACGATCTACCCGTGGGACAGACCAACGGTATTGGATAGTGTGAAGAAGACGGGACGGGCGATCGTCGTCCACGAGAGCATGATCAACTACGGAGTCGGCGCCGAGGTGGCTGCTACCATACAGGATGGAGCGTTCTTGCGTCTAGAGGCACCAGTTAAGAGAGTCGCGGGGTGGAGTACGCATACCGGACTGATGTATGAGAAGTTCGTGATTCCGGATGTTGCGAGTACGTATATCTATCCCATACACGCCTGAAATATGCTAACGATACCCAGGGATATACGATGCGATCAAGCAGACTCTTGAGTATTGATTGACAGAGACATATCAGCGAAGTGAGAATAATGTACATACCAGGATCAAAGATCCAACATGTGAGTGCTGTTGCCTATAGGACTACTATAAAGCGGCATCATGATAGACAATATCAATCTACCTACATACATTTTCCTGTCTTCCAAATTATTTCATACCATGTGCCCACACCTCAGCTACGTCGTAAACTACATGCGCACAATGTCCACGTCACGATTATTTACACCATACCTCCGGGAGATTCCCCAAACTACCCGACCGGCAAACGGCGAAGAGAAACCCGAAGATGCCGTGTATTCCGGCACCCCAACGAATCTCCCTAGCCAGGAAGGCTGATTGATATATACTAGTAGCTTACAGAATATCAAATTTTTATTGCCAGTATCTTTTTCTTCTGAAACCAAGATGATGTCGATGTTACATGTGTAACTAGATTTTATATTCTATCATACATCCCTCCCACGAGCTAACAACAAGCATGAGGAAGAACCCAAAGAATAGAATGAATTGCAACTGACTAGCAGCCACAAATCCCCAAATTACATACATCTCAACCAACTTCAATAATATCTCAAATAAAACCCACTGTTTAAGCCTCAACATTGGCAAAGGTGTCCTTGGAGATCTTGATAGCATCGGTGTGCCAGGTTTTGCCCTTGTCGGAGGTGGTGAGGCCGTTAGAGGCAGAGCCGCTGTACAGGGAGAGAGTGTCACCGAAGTTCTCGTCGGCAGCGCTGAGGTGGATGGTGATGTTGTTCCAGCCTATTTAATTCCATATTAGGTCAGGTATCCGCTGATGTAGAAGGGTGCAGGGGGTGAGAGAAGTAGCCGTACTGTAGGATTGGAGAGTACCGCAGTCACCGGAGCCGGTGTAGCACTCGTCTCCGGAGTAGAGGTAGAGGAGGGGGTTGTCGAGGGCTGGATTATTGGCAGTTAGTATGATGTTAAACAAGTTTGAGGATGGTACTGGGAACAACGGACCGTCGCTCTCCTTGGAGACGGTTTTGCCGTTCATGGTGACGACCTGGTACACCTTGTCGTTTTCGACGTAGACTGTTTGTAGTCAGTGTTAGGACAATTGCTCACACTGTTGTTTGACTTGATGTTTGAACATACCCTCAAAGTCCACCTGGGTGTCCGCGGGAACAGTCACGTAGGCCTGGCCATTCTGACCATCTAGACACAGCATTAGTATATGGAACCGGGACATTTGAGCTAGTTCACTAACCAGGAGTGTACGTGCTCGCAGCGACACACCACTCGTCATCCGGGGCGGGGCATCCCCTTTGATCGTTAACATACACTTCCTAAATCATTGAGGAGTTGATGAACGTACTGGGACTCGTTGTCGGGAGACCAGTTCAGCAGGGGCTGGTAGAGATCGGCGTCGTAGTCACCCGCAGTAGAGGACAAGCCAATCCACAGCGACACCCAGACCTCGTCGTCGGAGTTCTTCACAGTGACGTTCGAGGGAACATCGGGAGGCACCAAGGACCAGGTGGCCCTGGTGATGTGCGCGTTCGTGGGGGGACCGGTGTAGAACCCGTTTCCGAAGGCCCAGGCATCACTGGTGACGGCAGCGGCACGGGCAGCAAAGGCCAGAGGGACGGCGACGGAGGAGTAGCGCATGTTGATCAATACGAAGGAATTCTTAAAGAACGTAGAATTGGAAGCGAACCGGTCGCAGAGAAAAAGAGTGACAATGCAGAAAAATGAACGAGTGTAGAAAGGATGAAGCGATGAGCCAATATGGTCTCCAAGATGCCGCGGGCCCAATTATAAAGGCCTCGAGGCCTGATGGAGGCCATCTCCAACTTGGGGTCAGGAAGACTTCAAATCCGTTCTGGCGCGAAGATTGTCTCAGGAGCAATGGTGGATCCACCAGGGAGCGGAGTCGGCAGTCAAGCTTGTTTTAAGTTGAAACGTTAAATAATGCCGCCCTTGAACCGTGCTCGCCACAATTTCTTTTCAACCCTGCTGGGTTGAACGCGTCAGGGTTCGGATGTTAACCTTCCAGTACACATTTTGCACTCTAGCGATGACTTGACGATCGTTGGGCCTCGTTCGTTTCTCTATCTTCGGGAGAACTAGCGCGGGCCTACTCCAGTTGCGAGACCATCCAACCCCATCCCCATCTATCATGTCCGCAGCCCTATAAGGAATCAACCCATGATCCGATGGATATCCACACACCCCTGAGCCCCTGTTATTATGGGCCCGGTCAACTCCGGCAAAATGAATGCCGCTTACTACACAAGTATCCGCCATCAGGGACTGGGTATACGCAATAATAATTGTCTCGACCAATCGAGGGAGTGTTTCCTGGGTTGGCCTAGACCTGCCATTTTAATGGACATGGCTTTGGTGCTAGTTAGGCTCTAAGCTAGTAGCGTTTTGGTTGACGGTCCTAAGTCAATGACATGATTCCAATCCTGTCCGGTATTTATTGACTTGATATCTCCACCATCAATATGGAACAGACTCCGAGGGTATGCCGAGGCATATATGGAGCCAGTAATAAGTCCAGTGTTCCTTAAGTCTCCATGCGTATATGGAGTCATCCCCTACGGGTAATTGACCCGGCATTCATCGACGAAAGCCTTGCGTGCTGTTTGAAAGCCTTTCCCGTAGATACCGGAAGATCAATTAGGACGGTACTCTCAGCAGGGAAGGCGAAGCCGATATGGCAAACTCTCTGAATGGAGCTGCGCTATATATCAGCTGCCACAAAAGTCCCACCCACCGGCATACGCGGAGACAGGAAAAGGCCGTGAAATGTGTACAGTGAGATTCGTCCAGCGACCCACAGACCTTGATCTTCCATCCATCATGCTCCTGTAGCCATCTCAGGGGACTGACTCCGTGGGGGTCCGGCCCGAGGAGAAATCTCGGACATGTTGCTCCCCCACAGGCCTAGGGCATGTCGCTTCTCAACCAGTTTCAACACCTCGTACATGAACTGCCGTTCCGGTCCTCCATCCGGGAACACCTCCCAGGCCACCCTGACCGGAAACGCAAGTCGGTTAATCATGTTTCCTGGGGCATTGACTATGTACCATTCCAAGGAGCGGCAGATGCCACAACCCAGGGAGTATTGTTCCAAAGGTCCAACGCGATCCGTTGGTCGCGTGTCAGCGGACGAGAGAATTAACCGCGTGGAGTAATAAAGACACATGGTTTGTGCGAGCCGGAGGTCCCGATAGACAAACATTGGAGGTGTGATTATACCTCCGGTGCGAAAGTCCCGGCAATGGAATCGGGGGAATGGGTCGTCCGGTGAGACTTCCACTTCTTGGGGTGGCCCGTCCGGGTTGTTATCAACCCATTGAACTTTCCATTGGCGGAAGCGGTTTGTTAGGTCAGCGACACCGCTCCATAGTGAGGCTTGCTTCATGCTAATCTCATGTGCACTGTACATGTTCGATTTGAGGGTAGCCTCGATGTCATCGAATTGCCAAAGCAGAGCAGGAATCTCAACCGCCAGGTCTAGCAAGTAATGCAGGATGTCTCTTCGGTCAGGGTTAGCTGACCAAGGCAGGTTGATCCAGTCTGCACTTGCGAGGGCGGAGGGAGTTCGACTGACAATGGCCGCAGCGACCTGCTTCTATCTCAGCAAATGGATCTTAGAGAAACTAAAATGGATACGTACCCAATAAGGACGCAGCTCGGTATACAGCAAATGCTCCACACCATGTATGTGATTCTCTGGTCCTCGATGCTCAATCAGGCGCAGTGCACCGTGGACATGAGCAATCAGCGACACTTGTGTAGTTCGTTCCACACTCTACAAGCAGTCAGAACATTTCCTAGAATTGAAGATCGAGACTTATACCTCAAACGCCATCAAGAGGGTGACCGTCACTAGAGTCGACTCAGCCTTGCTGCGCTGGGGATCTTGCAACGCCTGCTGCAAACTCCGCAGCACACGGGGGTATAGGCGGAAGCCAGCTGCTTCGAGATTCTTATCCTGAACAGACCGCCCAAAGTATGCTATGGAGACAGATTCGAACGCATCCATGAGAATCGGCGAGAACATGCGTATCTCAGCAGCCCGTCGTAATGCACCAGCCTGTCCTGTCTTGGATTGGACTACCGGACTAAAAGCATCCACGAAGCGTTCAATAAACACATCCAGCATCGGCTTCCACGATCCAATGTGACTTATCGGATCATAGCTTGAGTCATCGCTCTCTTCTGATGAAGACCGACTATCGCTATTACGGCCAGAGAGCGAAAATACCTCGTCTTCCGAACCGAGGGAATCGTCATCGCTATCGTATGAATGGGACCGACGAAGAACGACAGGGCCATGTTCTGCTGTGGAACATGGCACCGTTTAGCCCCCAAATCAATAGTCTGTACCCCACCAGGATGCGAGGGACACCCACCTTCCAATTCATTCAAGGGTCCCACCGGGATTGCCACTTCGTTTGTTTCCCCGCGAGGCTTTCGGATTTGGGCGACGAGCCGATTGACGGTATTTGGCGGGGCTGAGCGGATGGCGTTGACGAGGCCTTGTAGCTGGGCTCGTCGCCGTGAAGTCTTGATCCGGTGTTCTAGAACGCCAATGTCAATGGTTTCCACTGCAGAGGCAGCTCCAAAGCCACCGAGACGATCCGGGCTCCAGATTGGGGCACGCACCACAGTTATGAAGGCTGGCTGTTAGCTCGCGGATTTCCTCACGGAGATTACGGATCTCATCGGCTTGACTGATGGGTTGCAGGACATCTTCGGGACTGGTATCGTAGTGGCATTTTGACGGGTAGCCATGCGCACAGCATGCATGACAGGGTTTAACTCGATCACACTGTCTCTCACGATCGTCAATTAGGTCGGATTACACACATGCAGGTAAGCCAGCAAAGTGCGTTGCACGGGCCTCCTCCCACCCCAACTAGCAGCGCATTTCGCTCCATATTCTTGTTTCCCTCCATCATCCTATTCGTCTGAACAACTGTATTGTTTTATTCCCCCATAACGGAGACCCATGCCCACACCTTAGTATCGGGTCGGGACGCACCTTGACTTTCCGGAACCGGCAGGCCTTGCAGGATCGCAATTGACGGGTCAATTGACCCGACGTAAGGGCGGGCTTACTGCGGATGTGATCGGGGACCAAGACTGGCTGCGAATCGTGGGTGGCCATGTGCGGCAAGCTTAGACAACGAGCTCCAGTCGTACCAGGCCACGAGGTCACGATAGGGGAAGGTCAACGTCGAGCTTGAGCGGAAATGGGGCCAACAGAACGGCGAGATCACAACCAGCAAGATCTGGGCAGACATGACCGAATTCCTCCGAAATTTCCACCTTCGCTTACGCCGAGCCCCGCGACAACCGTTGCTAGTTGTGGCTTGAGAAGACCAATAACAAGTTGCGCTGAAGGCGATGGCGGCCGCAGAAGTGGGTTCGGTGGAGGACTAGTTATTCCCCTTCAAGCGCTCTTCCTGGGATCACCATTGGGACCCTCTGTAAGTCGGGCATAGCGCAAATAGAGAGCTTCCAGAATTGCCACGGAAAATCCAGGCGAAGGAAGAAGATAAACGGAACGAAGGCCAATCGATCTCATTCGTTACCAACCACTTAATATTTGGAGAAAGGAGAGATTTAGTGGATGATGTTGAACGGGAAATAGTATCCAGCCTGAGGCACCAATCAGGCCGATCAGCGGGTGCTGGTTAGCGTCATCCGAGGAGCAATAAATAGTAGCAGTGGCAAGGAGAAAAATGATGATTGATCCAGTGATTATCTCACTTATTAGATGGATATTGTAGTATGGGGGATTCAGAATTGAAATTCAGTTACAATTGTAAGTAAAAACGGTCCCATCTTCATGAAACATAAATGATGTTGAGAACTACTACCATTTGTAGTCGGATATATATTTCGTGAACTACTTATAGCGCCCCCCAAAACAAGAGGGAAAGAGGAGGCAACGAGGAACTTCATAGTACAAGTGTACTGCGAAGGCAAAAGTTCAGCTTGCTGCAACTAGTAAGTATCCAGGGTCAACTGGTCTGGAAATTCACAGGTAGTATTACTAGTGTTGAGTACCGCCAGGAATCCTTCGTCCACACGTGCCTAGATCACCTGACTGACAATCACATGAGCCCCTCAAGGCCAAGCCAGTTAGCAGAAGTTGAACTCTCCTCGGCTTCTCCGTGCGATGAAATTTTCGAGTCAGCTGCGTGGAATCGGCATGTCACTGACTACTACTATGTAGGAAGAAATGCCGACGGGAAGACGGGACGGATGTAACTTGCAGGGTGTGACGACATCAAGAAATTCGAGCTGACCTGCTGGCCGGAAGATCACCGACATTACCCCAGAACGTGGAGCTGCACGGATATTCTGCGAGCCAATCCTCGCCTTCCCTGAGGTGAACAAACACGGGAGCTCAACAGTTTTTGCCCGAATGACCAGAAATGCATGTCTCCACGAGCGGACTTGTGTACAGCGAGGATGCAAGTTGCGAAACAGACTACTTCCCCCCGATGATGGAGCCATGGACAGTGGATCCCAACAACATTGGGAACTGCCAAGTATACGTCGATTCGCTGCTGAAGGCGGGGATTTCAAACAAACTTTCCCCAGACCCATCCCCACCCGAGTTATAGGAACAAAGATACGAAGCGTCAGGGGAGGCCCGAGAGACACCAACGAGTCGATCGACTCCACTTCCCCGGACGATGTCCGACAGGAGAGCTTCTGTCGCACGATGGATGAAGAAGAATAGCACGGGAGGTGGCTAGCGGCGTGGGGGTGAGAATCAGCCGAGCAGCTTCTGGTTCGAATGTTAACTGTCTTCCCCGCATTTGTGCATCCAACCAGGAGTCTGGATGGCGAAAGCTGGGTAGAAGGTTTCCCCCACGCTTTGCCCCTCCCCCGGATTTGCAGGTGGTTTGGCCCTTCTCATGTTGTTTCCTAGAGCTCATTCACCTTATACCAAGCATCAAGCTTCTTCCCTTTTCTTGGGACATATATAGCTGAAGCTTTCCCTCCTTCTATGATGGAGTCGCAACAGCATTGTCCGTGCACACTGTCTCTCCCTGCATCTTGACTCGCCTCCCAGAAGTATCATCATGGCGGAAGGAGTCATCACCGACCATGACGCCATGGGCGAAAAGGCTGAGATCTCTCATGAGGAGGTTGTCCATTTGGCGCAGTTGACGCCGGAGGAAAAGATTTTGGAGAGGCAATTGCGGCGACGGATTGACACCCTCATTATGCCGTTGGTAATCCTTGTTTATCTAATGAATTACATCGACCGGTACGTCTCACAGATTCCTGGCATCGGATTGTTTTGAGTTGCGATGTGCTGACGTCTTTCTTGGTAGGAATAATTACGCCGCTGCAAAGCTTCAAGGATTAGAACAGGACCTCTCCCTCGATGAGGCCAAGTACGAGACAGGACTGTCCATTCTATTTGTGGGCTATATCCTGATGCAGGTCCCATCGAACCTGCTCCTCAACTACATGGGCCGTCCTTCACTATACCTTGGCTTCTTCACCACAGCGTGGGGCCTTGTCTCGGCCTTGACCAGCCAGGTCTCAAGCTACGGTGGCATCGTGGCGTGTCGATTTATTCTCGGCTTGGTCGAGGCACCATTCTTTGCAGGTGTCCTATTTTACCTCTCCAAATGGTACACCAAGAAAGAGTTGGCCCTCCGCATGAGTATCTTCTACTCTGGCTCATTGCTCAGCGGTGCCTTTGGAAACCTGATCGCTGCGGGCATCCTTAATGGTCTTGCCGGAAAGAGAGGCATGTCGGCCTGGCAGTGGTTATACATCATTGAGGGTACCATCACTGTCGCAATCGGTCTGGCCATCTGCGCTGTGCTGCCCGACTTTCCCGATACCTGGAAACTGTTGTCGCCGGAGATGAAGCATGTCGCCAATCGTCGCTTGGCCATTGAGGCAGCCGAAGCGGATGTCGATGACGGCGACAAGATGACCCAAATCAAGGGTCTGAAGCTGGCCTTCACGGACGTCAAGACTTACGCCCTGGCCATTGCATACATGTCTCTCACGGCCGCAAGTGGCTTCCAGAACTTCTTTCCGACTCTGACAGAGACCCTGGGGTACAACCATATCATCTCTCTGCTCTTGGTAGCGCCGCCATACATATTCATGGTGGTATACAGTCTCTTCCACTCCTATCTCTCTGATCGTTTCGCCCATCGATTCTGGTTCTTTGTCGGCCCCATCCCCATCACCATCGTGGGGTTTATTATCTTCATGACCACCCACTCCTTCGGGCCTCGGTATTTCTCGTTTTTCCTCATGGTCTTTGTCTTTGCTCAGAACGGCACGATATACTCGTGGATCGCGAATGCGATTCCACGGCCTCCTGCCAAACGGGCTGCTGCGTATGCCTTTATCAACTCGCTGGGAAACTCGGCCAGTATCTGGACTCCGTATACCTATCTGGAACGAGAGGCACCGTATTACTATACAGCTTTGGGAGTGTGCATTGGCATGCAAGTTCTTGGCACTATAATGGCGACGTTCCTGTACTTCCATCTGCGGTCGCAAAACAAGCGACTGGCACGCCTGGAGGATGAGGATGCAGTTTTGACTGATAAGGAGCTTCGTCGGCTACAGAAGACGGCGGATGTAGAGGGCATCGACATCGCTGCCGCCCGCCGGCTCCAGAAGGGGTTCCGATATGTTACCTAAGTTTTTACAAGCAATTAATCGATCGTTCTCTTGATCTGTTCAAAATTTATTTTAACCCCACTTGGGTTACGCTGAAGCTTCGAAAATGAATGCAAATGGCAGTAGTGTATAGAGTAATCAGTATAGGATTACGCAAGTACAACTAAGGGGAAGATGGCGCTTAAGACATTCACCTCCTTGATCAGTGTACTTCCAGTGAAGCTACTACTACTGTAAAAGGCATAAGTATGAGTACACCGGGAACGTGTTGGTCCCCGTGATGTCAACCTCGTATCCCGACTTCAGACGCAGAACGGACCACAGCACGTCTCAGATTTCGGACTACAGAGTCTACTATTCTGCTGCTCAAGTAGAATTACTCGGTCGGAATGTCTCGATGGTGGCTTGCGTCTACCAGTTTCCCCGTTCTGGCGGTATTTTTCCATCTCAATCGGATCAGTGATGATAATCGCTAAGATGTCCAGGGAACCATCAGCGCCATGGCAACAATATTCGGTATATGTGCAGTTAGCCACGGTTGGCAGGAAATTGTTTCTTCAGACGCAGGGACTGCGATGGCAGCGCAGACTACTCGGTGTGTCACCATAAACTACGATACTTGAGTTTTAGTTTCCCAGTACCGCTTCTAATAACCCAACAGGGCCGTGACTCTCAAGACTATATCGTTGGCCCTTTCGGCTACCGCAGACCTTGCCCTCCTGCTGACCATGCTGCTAAAATGGAACGCAGTCAGAGGATACCTTGCGACAGCACTAGTTTACTTCATATCCTCAATGCTTCTCTTCAGTCTCATCGGCGTGACCGTGCAGCAACCACCCCAAATTATCGCCTCCCAGACATGGCACCACACACAGAATTTCTACTACGGCATCTTCGCCGCTACTTCCTACCTCTTCGTTGCAGTTCTTTTAACAATCTACGCATGCAGCGTCCGTACCATCCACCTAAGCATCCAAGATCGCCGCATCATCGAAAACACGAGCATCATCCTCCGCGCATTCACCCTCGCTACTTTCCTCCTCGGCGGCGCAGCCATCTACATTCCCATCGAAGGATGGTCCCTAGCAGATGCACTCTACTGGTCCGCATACACCATTCTAACAGTCGGGATTGGCAACATCGTCCCGAAAACTCACCTGGGACGAAGCCTTCTAATCCCCTACGCTACGGGGGGGATCACCTGTCTAGGCTTATTCGTCAGCTCGATTGCCTCGTTCTCAAGAAAGATGGGCGAGCTACGACTGAAATTCGAGCTCGAACAAGAAGGTATTCACCTCCACAAGACACCACATCCCGACATCGTCAAAATCAAACAAATCAAATCCCACTGGCAGCGCCGCCACCGCTGGATCATCTTCTCCTTCTACTTCTGCGCATGGCTTCTCCTCTGGCTCGTCAGCGCCCGTATCTTCAAGTCCTCCGAGCGCAGTCAGGGATGGACGTATTTCGAGTCTTTGTATTTCACGTTCGTGTCGCTGACAACCATCGGGTATGGGGATTTCTATCCGACTAGTAATCTGGGGAAGTCATTCTTTGTGTTTTGGGCGCTGCTGGCGGTGCCGGTTATGACGACGTTGGTTGGGGTCGTGGGTCAGGTGGGGTTTCATACGGTGGTTTATTTTGTGCGGAGAATTGGGAAGGGGTGGTCCTGGGGAGGATTTATGAGACGGGTAGGTGTGTTTGTGGATGGGAGGAGGCTTGATTTGTCTGCTCCTGCTGGGAGAGGGGCAGATGTGAGGGTGGCAGGTGGTGATGTGGAGGTCGATATAGAGAGACAGACCTGCCCAACTCTTGACATAGTGACTCTGCCACTTGAGAGACCGCGTCCAGGACAACACAAACTGCACCTGTGTGAAGAGATCAAATCTCTCGTGGACATCCTCAAAGATGACGACAGAGACGTAGATCTACATCGTGAATGGGCACGTATTGTGTCTCTCCTCAGTGTTGATGAGGGTGACGGAGAAGTGTTTGGGGCTGAGAGTCATCGGCAGCAAGTAATCAGAGAGGTGGTATCTGCGAATCAGTCCGCGACGGATAGAGACAAGGAAATTTTGTGGATGGCCAAGTTGCTGGTTGAGAAGTTGTGCTTGTGTTTGAGGGAGGATGTGAGGTGTGAGGGTAGATAGGGGGGTACATGGTGAGATAACTATGGGTAATTTGGTTTCATCCCTTGCTACCAGCCCAGTAGGCAGGGTACATAGTGTATTAATTACCTTACCGGTAACTATACAGCATGCGTGTCTCAGCCTTTGATGATTAATTACATGAATATTTGGAAGGAATTGCTCATAGCAACTAAGTCAAGTTGACTGCAGTTTCAACAGATAGTTTCAGTGCAGTATACATCATGTATGAGAACGAGAGATTGTACTCCGCACAGCACACTTAATTGATAATTAGTTATGAAAAGTAGAATAACGGCATATATGACTAATAATGCACGCATGCATGCACAACCCTTCATAACTAGTTGTACAGTGTTGCCCAGACACATACACACCCCAAATGTTTGAGTTCGCTTCATCACAGATTTGACCAACTATGAAGTCTGTAGCATTAATTCCGTAGTTTTCTCTATGCAACGATCGTAGAAAGACTGGTATCGCTTGAAGTCTGCTGACTGGCAGTACACGATGAGTATTGCTGCTAATGGTAGAAGATGATGGATGGAAGCTCTTATAGAGGAAACGATCAATAAGATTGTTCTTATTGATTACTACTTACCTAGTAGTGCTAGTATCTAGCGTGTTCGAATGTACTAGTCTGACGAAGTGGAGTCCGTGCTGAACAGCATGATTGTAACAACTGTTACTATTGGTAGTATTATATATTTTACTACTGGTAAGTAGTGGTGGTTCTTACCTCAAGTCAGAGGGCAACCCAGCATGATGATATTTTCAAGCTGGCAATATTTCAACTGTTAGCGTAATAGTACTGGATGATACTCTGTACATATATCTACTATGTAGTATACTGTAGAACTGAGAAGAGAGCCCCTCTACTATGCATACTGCCTACTACTTTGCATGGGCTAGTCTCAGCAGTGACCCGCCCGAGGAGCCCCCGGTACTAGCCGCCCGCGATCATCTTTAACCAAAGCTCGCCTTCAGGCGATGATGAAGGCAAAGTGTGACGCTGACAAGGTACGCACCCAGGGATACAATCGGTGGAATTAGCAGTTGAGTTTGCCAGCACCAGTTTGAGTAACTTGGGTATTCTCCTGATACGCTGCAGCGGAAAAAGTAAGAACGCGCGCACTCTTCGGATGACCTTCCCTTGGTATCGAGGTTCTGGAACCCTTTTTCGCTCAAACTGGCGGGCAGGAGTTTGGATCCCATTCTTTCGAAGCCATGTGGCTGTTTAGGGGATGGAGGCGGAAGCAGAATGACGTCGATTGTCACATTCACCATCAACCAAGCTTGAGCACTGGAAAGCAGCTTGAGAAGCGCATTTCGGTTTGTTTTTGGACGTTTAATTAGGAATTCAAACTGGGTGAGGTATTTAGTACCATTGCGTTGGTGGCATGCAGGATTATCACCGCGGCCTTTTTTGGCAGGGTAGGACAGATAGCTGTGATGTTGCAGATTCGCATACTACCTTCGTATACCTTCCGTGCCAGCAGCCAGAACGTTGGCCCGAGCTGGCTGTTCTGGTGCCGTGGGAAATGCCAGAGACCGGCAATCATTTGTCGTGGCAATATGGGCTGTCATTGGCCGGAGCAGAGGTGTCCTGGCAGAGTTGCAGCCGACCAGGAGTGACACAGCTCACCCATAGGACCGTCTTTGCAGAGATTGGCATGTCCATCCCCGCAGATGATATCATACCACATGGTTGATAAACAGAGCACCACCAATCCCACCACTGATCGTAGTAAACTGGGGGAGAAAAAGGAAAGGAAGTGCTCATCCCTTGCTTCCCCGGGCCTTTCTCTTCCTGTCCAATGATGCAAAGCAATGACCATCACTTGTCTGGCGCGGGGACGTCAAGGCCGGGGGATGAGAAGGATGCCGATCCGGGGATTCGTCGATCGTGGCGGTGGCGGAGGACACTGGTCCGTTGTTGTGATGGGAGATGAAAGATTGGTCTCAGGGCAAACAATTTGGTTCGCCTGAAAATGGGAAGCTGAATTGCTGCATCAATCCGAACTTTGGTTTCAGCATCGCCGGATTGAGAGGGGAGCCGAGTCACATGACGTTCACGGGACAATCAAGTGGTTGTATATAATCAGCCAGTCGCCCAATCGTCCATTGCTCGTTCTTCTCATTGAATAACGCTACTGCTCATTTAGACGTCTTCTAACTGATATTTTGATCTTACTGCGACGGTCACTCCTTCCAACGGCTTCCCGTGCTTTGCATCAGCTCCAAGAGATACCCATCAATCTATACCGTCATCATGTCGCCTCTCAGCCAAATGTCACGTCCCCTTGTCCGCAGTTCCAGCAACATGCGATCTTTCTCGATTGCCGTCCCTGCTCGACGCGAGGGACAAGTGATCAATCCCAAGCCCCGTGGATATCTGGCCGAGTAAGTGTGAACCTGACTGTTATCAAAGTATCTATCCCCTTGTGTTGGTGGTTGTTGTTCCCCTTTTCGGAGTGCCGTGGGGACCACTGCCGGGCCCTGTTGCAATGACGTCATGGACTGTTTCGGAGCACAGTGATCCACTCTTGTTCCCTCCAGTTGCAAACAGCACCACCACCACCCTCAGCTCAGCAACACCCGCAGCTAACCGTCACATTCACATGTAGCAAAGAGCCAATCACCCGCCGTGAAGCTACCAGCGAGCGATACTTTGTCAGGACCCAGCCGACGCAACCTGAACAGCCCGAGACATACCAGATGGTGCGGCAGAAGATGCTCGAACATCGTCGTCATCTCGACGAACTGGACCAATATCTGTGAGTGATACTGCTGAACGTAAAAAAAGGGAGCAGTTTACTGACTGGTCGGTTTGTTCCAGCCAAATTCTCGGTAGAAAGCAGGGTCCCACGAGCTATTATTAGATGGCTTGAGCTCTGTTTTGTCGGCTTCTTGTCCTCGCATTCTTCGTCCTTGTTCTTATCTTCGCTTTCCGATGGAACCTTGATGGTTCCCGCTCCTTATATTTTATAACACCCACCCAACGGTCACGATGAGTTAGTTCCTAGTGAAGTAACTTGTATTCTGACCACCCCAAACGAACCCCCGCCGGATTGTCAAGCAGGATCTTATGATGATGACAGTAGGGGGATTGCGATCTGGGGGAATTGAACTAGACTGAACTGGATTTGTAAATAAGTACTACTACTGGTATGTGGTATGTGGTCAACGGACCAAGGTTATGGTGTGAATGAGAAATGTCAATTATTACCCCTTATTCAAAAGTTACGATGCAAAAAGTAATTCAAGGTTGAAGTAGTGGTACTAGCTGGAGTACACCTTACTATTCTATAATTATTTGGACAATATTGAGCAAATTGGAATTGTTCAATCTTCCGTCCGAAGCCTGCTGGTGTCGTACCAAAATACACTTTACTATTACAGCCAGGAACAATTTCTGAAGAAGAATGGTGAGCACGGTCGGGGCTCACCATTGAATGACAAATCCAGAGTACCAAGCACAGCTATCAACAATTTTAGTCGGAATATATCATGATATAACTGCATAGCAAGAACACAAGAGTTCGCCCAGCTTCTATCTTGCCTACGAATGAGGCATAAGGGACTATAGAAACTCCGAATTGGTTACCTAATAAGTAAGCTCACACTACACCAAGGCAGCTAAGGCAACCAACCAGGTGGAACATTATTCCGCAATAGAGGAACAACATTTCTTTCCCATGTTCATAATCAACTTCATAAGTTTTATCTTGTACTGCGCATGACTGACAGCTGGTTGTCGTGTGACTAGCTGTCAAAGGTTCGGGTTGCGACCGTAGTAAACAGTCACATAAGGCTGACTGGGCTCGGAAGCGGCCCGGTCGGCAAGCTGGACAGGAGAGGGACAGCAGGGACAGCAGGGACAGGGTCACCAGTCACCACACCCTCTCTGCTGCAGCTGCAAGTCGTAATCACCACCCAAACAGGTATAGATCCACAAGTAAGGTAGAAGGAACTGTGACCGGAGATAAGACAGCTGAAAGGAAAATCCCGAGGCAGATCGGCATCTCGGAGGATGGCATGAGCGAGGTTGTGATTCAATATTATTAATGCGCTAGAGGTTGGAACAATGAGTTAGTGGTTGACTTTGGTGGCGTTGCTCGTGTCAGGCTGATGATCCCGGATTGACAGCTTGGTATACTATTTTGAGGATGGATCGGATGTGCCATTGCAGGGATTCGATGTGTTTATCTGATGGGATGACTGAGGTGGTAATCAGTCGACTAGACTAGATTAGTTTGTTAGGTTGCGAAGTAGTAGGTAGATGTACACAGCATGTATGGCTGCTGCGTGGCTGCATGTGAATAATCCAGTGAGATTTTAAAGCGAGGCGAAGTAAATAGCTCACGTCTCATGTACTAAATAATTCAGGCAGACTGGAATGGATGCTCTAGAAACCATGTCCAGCATCTGTGTGTCAGTAGACAGCACCCCGTAGAGATGTAGATCTTGTTCAAGAGGTGATTTCAAGATGGGTGCTTGGTGACATACTGTCTAACACCATCAGCCCAGTTCCACAGCACATCATTGACCCTGAAGGTCCAAGCTCCAAGCTCGAAGCTCGCCAGAACGATGAGACAGGTTCCATGCCCAAACGTTCTGGAACAAGGCAATGGATCGCAGGCGCCACTAGGATCCATGATACGAGAAAGTCCAAAGGCCGAAACGGCAGGGGATCGTGGTTAGGAGAGCCGCACTGTTCCGCTGAGTCATTGGAGACACGAGAGTGACTGTGAAGCAATTCACCAATAGGAATGCATGCAGTAGGGGTTCATCCGCTGACTCAGAGGAAAGAAGGAAAAGAGAGAATCCCGTCGAGCGGAAATTCGGCGCTTGGATGGCGCCGACTTGATAAAGTCGGGCCTGATTAGTCTGATTAGTAGTCGCAGAGATTGACAGGGAGCCACTCACGGCCGTGGATTTTCCCGAAAGACCCACTAATCTTGCACGAAAGAGGAAAAATCAGCGGAAGTGGCCCGCATTACGATTCTGAGGGACAAAAAGAAAACAAATTCTGCTTGCAGAAGCCACGGAACCGATCCCCAGGCCCCATAATGGCAGGCCGCGAACTATCTCTTACATTCCACTAGTCCACCTAATCGCCTTTCCTTACGTACCTCGGTCCCTGCTCTGCCTGATGTGTCGAAATCCTCCTGACTCAGCGGAGCTTTTCACGCTCCCGAAATGTCCGGTGGATCTCGGAGATGGCCTGGATCCCGATTCCCTGAGGGAAGTTTTCTGGACCCCCCCCACCGGCTCCCCCCCGAGTTGGATGGGAGGAGTATATGAGCTTCTCGCACCCCCAAAGGGCCCCCGGTCGAAATGATTATCCCTACTCCCGATCAACAGGGTGACCCTTGACTTTCACAGTATCGTCAAGTCGCCCATTATCCCAATCCCACCATGGCGGAGGATCAGGAGAAGATCGCCTACACCCTCGGGGCCCCCGAAGGCAGAGATGATACCGACAGCACCGCTACCGTCCTCGATGAAGATCCCACCGTCACTCCTCGCAACCCCGGTGCCAGTCGGGCCGAAGGCTGGGCCTTGATGTCACAGGTTAAGCAGCAGAATGAGCGGGACATGCAATCCGGCTTCAAACGCAAGGAGCTCGGTGTCACCTGGAAGAACCTCTCCGTCGAAGTCGTCAGCGCCGAGGCCGCCGTCAACGAGAATTTCCTGTCCCAATTCAACATCCCTCAGCACATCAAGGAGTCCAAGAACAAGCCGCCATTGCGTTCCATCCTCTCCAACAGCCATGGCTGTGTCAAGCCCGGAGAGATGCTTTTGGTTCTGGGTCGGCCCGGCTCCGGTTGCACCACCCTGTTGAAGATGCTGTCCAATCGACGCCTCGGTTACAGGTCAATTGAAGGTGATGTTCGCTATGGTTCGTTGACATCGGACGAGGCGGCCCAGTACCGCGGCCAGATCGTCATGAACACTGAGGAGGAAATCTTCTTCCCCACCTTGACGGTGGGCCAGACGATGGATTTCGCGACTCGTCTCAAGGTCCCCTTCAACCTGCCGAACGGCGTCGAGTCCCCCGAAGCTTACCGCCAAGAAGCGAAGAAGTTCCTCCTCGAATCCATGGGCATCTCGCATACGAACGATACCAAGGTGGGCAATGAATACGTACGTGGTGTCTCCGGTGGTGAGCGGAAGCGTGTCTCCATCATTGAGTGCCTTGCGACTCGTGGTTCCGTTTTCTGCTGGGATAACAGTACGCGTGGTTTGGATGCCAGCACGGCTCTCGAATGGACCAAAGCTGTTCGTGCCATGACAGATGTCTTGGGTCTGTCTTCCATTGTCACCCTCTACCAGGCCGGAAACGGTATCTACGACCTGTTCGACAAGGTGCTCGTGTTGGATGAAGGCAAGGAAATCTACTACGGCCCCATGGCCCAGGCGCGTCCCTTCATGGAGGATCTGGGCTTTGTTTGCCGCGAGGGCTCCAACGTCGCAGATTACCTTACCGGTGTCACGGTCCCCACCGAACGCATCATCAGACCGGGCTACGAGAATCGCTTCCCTCGCAACGCGGACATGATTCTTGCTGAATACCAGAAGTCGCCTATTTATACGCAGATGACCTCCGAATATGACTACCCCGACTCCGATCTGGCACGCCAGCGCACTGCCGATTTCAAGGAATCCGTCGCGCAAGAGAAGAACAAGAAACTTCCCAAGACGAGTCCCTTGACGGTTGATTTTATCGACCAGGTCAAGACCTGCATTGCCCGCCAGTACCAAATCATCTGGGGTGACAAAGCCACCTTCGTCATCAAGCAGGTCTCTACTTTGGTGCAAGCGTTGATTGCTGGTTCACTGTTCTACAATGCCCCTAATAACTCGGGTGGTTTGTTCGTCAAGTCCGGTGCTCTGTTCTTTTCCCTGCTCTATAACAGTCTTTTGGCCATGTCCGAAGTCACCGACTCTTTCAGTGGTCGCCCGGTTCTGATCAAACACAAAAGCTTCGCATACTTCCACCCTGCCGCCTTTTGTATCGCGCAGATTACTGCTGATATCCCGGTTCTCTTGTTCCAAGTCAGCGTGTTCTCCCTCGTGGTCTACTTCATGGTTGGCCTCACCATGTCCGCCAGCGCTTTCTTCACCTATTGGATCCTTGTTTTCACTGCAACTATGGTGAGTTGACGCGAAATACTGCTTATTAACCAAAACTGTACTGACTCGTTCTCGCTTAGGTCATGACAGCACTGTTCCGCGCGGTCGGCGCCCTTTTCAGCACGTTCGATGGCGCCTCCAAGGTCTCTGGTTTTCTCATCTCTGCTCTGATCATGTACACCGGTTATATGATCAAAAAGCCCCAGATGCACCCTTGGTTCGGCTGGATTTACTGGATCAATCCTTTAGCCTACGGTTTCGATGCGCTCCTGTCCAACGAGTTTCACGGCAAGATCATTCCTTGTGTCGGAACGAACCTCATTCCCAGTGGAGAGGGCTACGGTGGAGATGGACATCAATCGTGCGCTGGTGTCGGTGGCGCCGTCCCCGGAAGCACCTATGTCACCGGTGATCAATACCTGGCTTCCCTGTCTTACAGCCACTCCCATGTCTGGCGCAACTTTGGTATCCTCTGGGCTTGGTGGGCGCTCTTTGCTGTTGCCACCATCATCGCGACGTCCCGCTGGAAGTCCCCCGGTGAGAGCGGCTCCTCCCTTCTCATCCCCCGCGAAAGAGTCGATGCCCATCGCCAGGTTGCCCGCCCCGACGAGGAATCTCAGGTTGACGAGAAAGCCAAGAAG